TTCCCACGTCGTCTCGGTGACACCTTGCTCTACACGCGGACGTCCGCGGGCACAGCGTGAAGGCCCTCATGCAGTATCTCCAACCGCGCGGACACCCGCGCATCTAGCATATGTGGGCATCCGTGTTCGGACTCCCCACACTCCCTTCTCGGAGGCATCTGCTTCTCAGCGGTCCGCGGACGTCCGCGCGTCGAACAGTCCGACGTGCATCGTTGGGTGCACGGATCTCCGTGAGTCGGACGTCCAATCCCTAGCCTTGTTCTGCTACTTTCCCATTGCCATTCTACACGCGGATGTCCGTGCGGAGTCGAAGCTGCTTGTACGGGCGGGGCGGATGTCCGCGCGCGCAGCCTCTAGGATCTCTTACCATCCTTCAATGCACGGATTTCCACGAGAGTAAGACTGTCCTTGTATGGGCCACTACGGGCGGATGTCTATGGGCCACTACGGGCGGATGTCCGCGCATTGAAGTACGGTGCCACTTGTACGGGCGGACATCCACACGTCGAAGGATGGTCCTTGTACAGGTGTATGTCCTCGCAAGCAACAGCGTCCTTGTACGGGCTGACAACCGCGCGTCGAAGGACTGGCCCCGTACGGGCGGACGTCCGAGCGCGCAGCCTCTGTGATCTCTGACCGTCATTCAACTTAGGCACATACTGATATTGGCACATGTACCAATACAAACAAATATACTATATGGACTCAGCGCAGCAGGTGGGATAAAAATACTTTGCCGATTGTCGGGGAGAGCGCAGATTATCGCGCCTGGGGCGCCGTTCAAATGAGGGGTTCAACGCGCACCCGTGTGCTGAATCACATGCAAACCGGATGCAGAGCGAGCGAAATGCGAGGGCAGGACCGGGGAACGCAGGAGGACGGGAGGAGACAAGTTGGACATACATAAGGACTGGAATCTCTGACGCAAATATCCACCGATCTTTACGGCCAAGGGTGCCTTCAAAAGTGTTTGACGACGCGAATCGAATGATACCGGACGCATCTTCTATGACAATGATGTGGGTGAGGTCCAGCACCAGGAAGAGGGGAAGACGGTGCTGGCTGTGGGCGCTCTTGCGCAGCGCACAGCGGGCGAATGAGTGCGCTAGGCGAGATGGTGGGGAGCGCGATCGAAAGGCGTTGACGAGAGCTATCAACGCCCCAACTTGCAGCGCAATCGGAGCGGAAGTGGTGCGACGGCGCGTCCAGTTCATGCCCCAGGGTCGCTGGAAGCGGCAGGGAGATGGAGTTGACTGCCGGGGGTGAACGGCTGCACGTCTTGGTGAAGGTAAGGGCGCATTCAATGCAGCGTGAAGAAGGAAGAAGACGTACCAAGTCGTGTTTGGAACGGATGGAAGTCTCAGCCGTGGTGGTCCAAATCGCCAGGTTCGAGGAGGTGGAGGGGCGATGATGTGGTGGCTGTCGCAAATGAAGGGCTGGTCGTACCGGCGTGCGTGAACGTGCGTCAGAAAGCCCTTGACGATGGTAAGAGAACGGACCTGGCCGCGTCACAAACGTACTCCGAACCGTCAGGGGACGGGAGCAGCAAGTCGCGACGCGCACTGAGCCCTCTTCTGTCGCAGAAAACAACACGCAGCGGGACGACGGCGTGGCGGATCATGTGGCGAGGTGACTCGTAGGAAAGAGGAGGGAGATGCGCACGAAACAGGCCGGGGCGGGCGTCGAATGGAGGAGTACTCTTGGAGGGACGGAGTGACATTCAGCTGGAGGAGAAGGTGGGGGAGCGCGAGGATCCGAGCGACGTTGGGGAAGCATATTTGTGCCGATTGCGATGTAAAAGCACTCACCAAGAAGCCAAAGACGACAGATTTGAAGCAGTGGCTGGTGTGTGGCGAAATGAGTCCGGGTCGGCGCAAAGGCGAAGCCCAAGACTATGGAGCGACCTCTGAGTCGAGGGCGGCAGTGATCACAACGTAGGGCGACGACGATGGCACGCCCCACGACGCGGAGGGGCGCGTTTGAAAGTCACTGACTACGCGCACAGAACGATCCCGGCCGCGCAAGAATCGGCCGTGGCGTCGCGGACCAATGAGGTGGGAGATGGTGGTCTGAAGAGGAAGAGGACAACGTCTTCGACCACAACGTTCCTAGGCGTCCTGGGGCGGAACACCGTCGCGCTTGGCAAGATAGAAAGGGGGGAATAAAGGCTTTGAAGCGCAACAAGAACGAAGAACGTACCATGAAAACTGGCGGAGATACGTCAAGTTCTTCCCTTTCCTAGACTCCCTGGGCGACTGTTCACGTGCTCGGACGATTGTGGGGTGAGTTCGGGGCGTATCGACGCGCGAAGGAACCCGACTGAGATAGGGAAGCACTGCTGATAAAACGATACTAGGATCAGGGCGAACGGACGGTGGGAAGGGGATGTCGGATGGCATGAGGAGGACATACCTCTGACTGCCAATCACTTGGATTATGCGCGGGCATCCGCGCGCATTCCCACGTCTTCTCGGCGGCACCTTACATACTATACGCGTGGACGTCTATACGGCATGTAGGCTCTTGTGCAGGCTCACGAAATGCGCGGATGTTCGCGCATCCAGTGTGTGAGCTCTCTGTCTCTCTTGTGGACATGTGGATGTTTGTGCTTCGGGCAGCATGCTGTGTCATCCAACACGCGTGGATGCCCGCCCATCCAGTACGTGTGGACAGAGGCCATATACCCTTCTTGGTGGTACCTCAGCGCGTGGATGTCTGCGCGTGCGGCGTCTGGGCTCCTACGTCTGATGGATGGCGCAGAACACGAGAGTGTCTGCGCATTGAACGTCCGCCTGCGTCCCTCTGTGTGCGGACGTCCGCGCATTGAACCTCCTGTGACCTGCATGTGTGTCTAGTATGCATTGAATGCTCAACTGTAGGTTGTTGGGTGCGCGGATGTCCGCGCATTGAACGCTCAGCTATAAGCCATTGGGTGCGCAGGTGTCCGCACGTTGAACAGTCTGCCAGGCTTCATTGCAAATGTACAGACATAGTGTACGACCTTGTCCTTCTGCGCGCGGACGTCCGCGCGTTTTGCCAAAGGCCTCTGAATTTTCTAACCCGAGCCTATCATTAACCCCCTGTAACTAGCCGAAACACCTCTTCTATGGCGGGGCGGATCTCAGCACGGAGCGGCTCGTAGGAAAGCGGGGAAATATACGCACAAGATAAGCCCGAACAGCCGTCCAACGGGTGAGAACTCGTGGCGGGACGGGTTGGCGATCGGCTGGAGGGTAATCTATGTGTCGAAGGTAGTAGTGATCGCAACGTAGGTCGACGACGACGGCACGCTCCACAACGCGGAGGGGCACTTTTGAAAGCCACTGACGACGCGCACAGAACGATTCCGGCCGTGCAAGAATCGGCCGCGGCGTCGTGGACCAATGGGATGGGAGATGTCGGGATGAGGAGGAGGAGGACAGCGTCTTCGACCGCAACGTCCCTGGGCGTCCTGCAGCGGAAATCCGCCGCGCTGGGCAAGATGGAACGGGGGAAACGAGGGTGTTCGAGCGCAACAAGAACGAAGAGCTTACCATGAAAACTGGCGGAGATACGTCAAGGTCTTCCCTAGCCTGGGCTCCCTGGGCTCCCTCTCGTGTGCGGACAACCGTGTGGCGAGTTTGCGGTGTATCAACGCGCGAAGGGCATTGATAGGAAGGGGGAGCAGGACAGATCAAAAAATACTAGGCGAACAGACGGCAGGAAGGGGATGGATGGCGTGAGGAGTGTATGGACATACCTCTGACTGCCCAGCTGGATTATGCGCGGGCAGCATCCGCGCGCATTCCCATGTCGTCTCGGTGGCGCGGACGTTCGCGCGCACAGCGTGAAGGCTCTCCTGCGGTCTCTCAAAACGCGCGGACACCCGCGCATCTAGCATGTATGGGCATACCGGTTTGGACCCACCACACTTCCTTCTCGGAGGCATCTGCCTCCATGCGCGGATCTCCGCGCGTCGAACGCTCGGCCGTACATAGGCGTTGGGTGCGCGGACATCCGCGTATTGAACACTCAGCATACAGCGTACGTCGTTGGGTGCGCGGGTGTCCGCACATTGAACACACAGCTGCATATCGTTGGATGCACGGACGTCCTCATGTTGAATGCTGCTCAGCCATAAGTCGTTAGGTGTGCGGGTGTCCGTGCATTGAACAGTCTGCTAGGCTTCATTGTACATGTACAAACATAGTATATGACTTTGTCCTTCTGCATGCGGACACCCGCGCACTTTGCCAAAGGCCTCTGAGGTTTCTATCCCGAGTCTATCTTTAACACTGTGTAGTTAGCCGAAACACCCCTTCTATGCTGACTACGAGACACAAGAATAGCAGCAAATCATGAGCCGTGTATTACGGTCAGTAGAGCCATAAGAGTTGCTCAGATTTGCCCGTATAAGTACATCATTGACTTACTCGAAATAACAGGCCTGATGAGACTGCATAAAGTCGAAAGGTCTCTGGAGGGGAAACCCCCAGATCTTGCCTCCTTTTCGAGCACTCTCCTCACCCGTAGCCGCACTCCTCACTCCGCCTCCTTCGTCGGCTCCGTTCGGGCGCGACTACTCCTGCCTAACCTAACTAACTAACCTCCATGACATCATATCAGGTAATCACTGACGTCATGTTCTAGGACATTCCAGAAGCGGCTATTTATAACCAATTGCCAATCTATCAATTGGAAATAGCTGAGTCAATCCCCGATCGGACATACATATCCCGGTCGGACATGCTGACTGCGACGTACGAGAATAGCGAGCGAATGAGATCGTTGCGATTACGGTAAGTAAGACCGTGACCTGATCCATTTGCAAGTATTAGTACACCAACTGACATACTCGAATATAGGCCTGATGAGACTGCATAAAGTCGAAAGGTCTCTGGAGGGGAAACCCCCAGATCTTGCCTCCTTTCGAGTCGCACTCTCTTCACCCGTAGCCGCACTCCTCTCTCCGCCTCCTTCGTCGGCTCCGTTCGGGCGCGTCTACTCCTGCCTAACCTAACCTAACCGCCCTCGGGGTCATTCTTGCGGGCGAGTCTGCGGCAAAAAAAGGGACCCACGAGCAGCCAGGCAAGCTTGAGCGCGGCGGAGGTGGGGAGGGTGACGAGGAACGCGATCCATGCGGTCCAGAGCTTCGGGAAGCCGGGGTCCCAGACACCCCCAAGGTACTCGATGATTGTTAGGTTGGCATAGCACCAGATGAGGTAGAATGCGAGAAGCTGGGGAACGGCGGGGAGGCGGAGTAGGAAGAGGAGGGTGCGCCAGAGGAAAACGAAGACGAGCCAAGCGTGTGCGGGGAGCTGGCGGAGATTGAGGCGGCGGGCGGGGCCGAATGGGGGCCACATGGCTCGCGGGAGGCGGTCGTGGCGAGGAGAGAGGGAGAGGCGGATGGGCGGAGGCGGTGGAGGATGGCAAGGACGTGTCCATGAAGGCAAACCGCAGGCCATGCAGTCGGCGATGTCGACGCCTCGCCGAAGGTCGTGTTGGTCACAGCTTCCATGATAGGTGGCATCGAGCTGCGGCTTACTATCATGGGTTTTGAGCGCGTCGCTCGCGGGCCCCGACGCGCTCACGCAGCCGCGCCGGTCCGTGACTTGCAGGAAGCTCTCGGCACGCCACCCTGTGCGGCACAGATAGATAGTACATAACCAAGCATGCACTCACATACCCCCCTCATCGACAACACCTCCCTGAGCTCATTGCTTCCGCGCATGCACTTCTACCGGGAACTCCGGCCGCGGCGCGGTGAAGTAGTCCTTGTAGTCCCTCCTCACACGCACCGCATCCCAGCTGGCACCCTTCTTGAGCACGAACCGCTGCAAAAGCGCGACGACGACGGTGCGCATCTCCTGCATCGCGAGCGCCTTGCCGACGCAGTTCATTGGGCCCGCGCTGAACGGCAGGAAGCCGCTCTCGTTGTGCACGAGGTCTGCGTTGCGCACGCCGCGCGCCTCGGCGAGCTCGCCCGACGCGAGCAGCCAGCGCTCGCGCCAGAAGTCGGTCGTGTGCGGCGCGAAGTTCGCCGGGCTCATGTGGTGCGAGTAGATGTGACACCAGAACATAGTGCCGGGTGGGAGCACACTAGAGGGACAAGCAGTCAGCAGGGTAGGTGGAAGCGTGACCCTGAGGTGAGACGCACAGGTCTCCGGCGACAACACCGGGGCCATCGATGGGGACTTGGCGCTGGCTGCCTCCAGGGACGGATGGGAAGACGCGAAGGGTCTCGTTACTACAACACACTGGTAAGTGGCAGTCACGTCAATTGAGAGTCAATACGCACATGCACGCCGTCAAATACAACAACTCGCGGTGATTCTTGACGTCCGTCGCGTCCTCACCAGCCGGATAGTGCTTGTCGATCTCTCGCTGAAGCTTCTCGTACACTTCGGGGTGCTCGAGGAGGCAGAAGACGAACATAGTCAGCGCGCTCGCGGTGGTGTCAGCGCCGGCGACAATGGCGAGCACGCCATCATCGACGAGCTGCTGGACAGGCGGAGAGGGCTTGTCCGGGAGGTCCTCGTTATTCTGAAACACAATGAGCGTGACACAACGCAATTGAGGAGAGAACGTACAAGATAGTGGAATAGATCCTTGTGCTCAGAGCCACGCTTCAGGCGCGTCATGGTGAAGCTAATGCAGTAGTCGAGGAAAATCTTGAAATTACCGGTGGCGCCTGGGATCTTGGCGACGTAGATGGCGAGCCAAGGAGCATGCCCGAAGAACGTTGCGATGCTATGTAGCGCATGAGAACATGTCGCCAGTGGCATGAGGAAACGAAGCACTCACGCCATGGCATCATCGAGCACCTTCCAGGTCTTCTTCTCATCCTTGCCGGCGGTGAGCAGCTCCGAACCACCTCCAAATGCCATCTCGCACATGAAGTCATATCTAAGAAAGCTGTCAGCCGCATATCGCAAGAGTATGAACATCCCGAACACGTGCACATCGTGCATACAATTTGGTCCCATAGTGCCTATATATACTCGATGTGGACAGTTACAGTCCTCGAGCCTGCAAACATCGCCGGCTCCAGGGCTCGCAACCGTAACATCCACAGCGTGGCATACGGGCACTCCTCTTGGGAGTGCACACAACCGTCGGGACGACCACGACCACCGGTAGTGAGTGCTCGAACAGCTGCTACAGCGGCATCTAGAAAACAGTCCACCAACCGCACTCGACGCTTCTGGCGACGGCAGTACCTCTACTCTCGCGCACGGCCAACTGTACAATCGCCCGCAGTCCACGACGACCATGGCGCTAATCCCGGTGCGAGGCCGCTGCAATGTTTTAATGCGATATGGCATGGCGCGGGCAATGGTCAACTCGCCGATGCATCGAGCGTCGTGGCAGGTCCTCCGCTGCGCCCTCCTTCAAGCCCAACCAGCGCGTGGTCCTTGCATGCGCTCCAAATGCACGAAATGAACTGGCCACTCACGAGAAGAAGTTGAACCAATGCCCCATGATCACCGCCTGGCCCTTCTGGTCCTCCAACCGGCTGAGAAGCTGGTTCACGCGCTTGGAGATGAGTTCTTCATAGCCCTTAATCGCGATCGGCCCCATGCCGCGCGTCCAGTTGCGGCGGCGGCGGAGGTGCGCATCTGTGTCCATGAGACCAACCATAGGCAAGTTGGTGTCGCTGAGCACACGGCCGATATAGTCTGCGGAGAGGAGTGAGGGGGTGAACCGTCAAGGGGACATAGATGGAACGTACGAGGGCCTTTGGGGACGCCAGAGTTGCCGTAGAGCTTGCTCACCACAGATGCGTCGAGGATGGAGAGCTCATTCGGCCCTGGGGACGGACTACATCAGAACCTGACACTGGCACGCACACATCTTGACCGCAACGAGTACGCGAGACCGTGAGCACGCACCGATTCTGACCACGCTGCCGTACTGGTCATGGAGGGACTTGATGTACATGTGCTGGTAACCCCTCGTCGAAATCACGCCCATCCAGAACTTGGTAAGCTTGCATCCGAGTGGACCGGGGTAGCGTGCGAGCGGGTGGAGAGGCGAGACGCGGTAGACGAGGATGGCGAGCACGAGGGTGGCGAGGTAGACGACGAACGAGACCTTGAGCGCATGCTCAAACGGAGGGCCTGGGGGTGCGCTGAAGATGGCGGTCACGAGCGGAGGGAGGGTGAGGAGCGCAGCGTGTGTCGAGATGCTGTATGTCTCAAAATTGCGGAAGACCTGGTGTACGGCCTGATAGGACGGTTAGAAGTTTTGTACAGCGGCGGATGCAAAGAGCTCACCAGGCCGAGGAGGATGGAGGTGAGGACGGGCGAGGACGGCTCTACAGCCATCGCGGGAGCAGGACAAGGAGCGAGGGGCGGGCATGGGCCCGCGCATCGCGGACGTCGTGGGGGCTCTAGAGAGGCGGAAGAAGTCGTTGCCGGCCAATTGTGCGCGCGGGTCCAGTGGCAGGCGCGCATCGCACGACTCGGGAGAAGGCTGCCTACTCAGTACTCACGATGCCCACACTACAGACTTCTTAATTAATGTACGTAGCACCCACTGAGACCTTGGACCAGGCTCAGGCGAACGCTTGTCCCACATTTAAAACGCGAGAGGCCATAATAACATGTACTTATTGTAGACGAACCATGTCCAGTCGAACGCCCCACCTACACAGGCATCCCGAACTCCTGCAGCTTCCCGTTCACCGCCTCAAGCCGCTTCTTCTTCGCGGTCAGCTCGTCTCGCAACGCCACGATCCCCGCATCCTCCTCGATGTACGCCGCGCACTTCTCCGTCGCGTTTGGCGTCCCCACGATCCCCAGCCGCGCCGGCAGCCGCGTCCGCGCGGCCTCCGCGACCTTGAACAGGAACTGGTGGTCGATCGCCATCGGGATGTAGTCAATCACCCGCTATGCAACCCACGTCTCGTCAGCTCTCGTCCTGTCCTGACGTAATATAAAGACGCACCTTGTACGCGACCTGGAAGTATGCGCGGACCTCCGCCATCACCGCGAGTTCGTCCTCATACTCGTCCGCCTGCCTCAGCCGCCCGAGGTCCTCTTCCGTCAAGCCCGTGTACCCGAGCCGCGCGAGTGTCGCGAGCGCCTCTGGCACAAGCGCGTCGTGCTCCTCCTGGCTGAGCTTCGCCGCCGCCGGCTTGAAGAACGTGGACGCCAGATTTGGCGGCGAGACCGCTGTCGGCGTCGCAAGAACATTCGTCGGCGCACGTTTTCCAAAGACCGACTGCGGCGTGCTTGGGGGCTCCGCACTCGCGCCAGGGGTCGAGTTCGGGGGGACCGAAAAAAACGTGTTCGAAGGGGCCTTGTCAGTTGCCGCTCCAAACGGCACGCCAGAGGTCGGAGGTCCGAAAGGATGGGGCAGCGTCGCACCCGCCCCCGGTGGCGGGGTCGCGAACGGAGACTGCGCCGTGGTTGAGGCCCCGAAAGCGGCGAACGCGGACTGACCCGCGCCAAAGCTTCGTGCCCCGAAGGTGGACGCGCCCTGCGTCCCAGCCGCGGCGCCCGCGTCTGTGGTGCCGAGGGCGGACTGTGTCGCCGTGCCAGTGCTCTGGGTCCCAAAGCCGCCCCTTCCGAAGGCGAAAACCGGGTCATCCGCGGGGGCTGCTGGCGTTGCTGGCGTGCGTGTAGTCGTCCTTGCCTTGCGCCGCTTCGGCTCCGTCTGGACCTGGGTTGCCTGCCCACGCTTCTGGTGCGGGCTCGTGGGCATCGCGGGTGTTGAATCGGAGGCCTCCACTACGACAGATGGCACGGGGGAGCGCTTGATGGTGAGGCAGGGCTCGAGGTCGAGGATAGTCCAGTCGCCTGCGCGCGCGTCCTTGAACTTGGCGAGCCACTTGTCACGGTAGGCGTTGAAGTAGTGATCGTTCTGGGTAAATGGCGTCGTTTCGAGCCTGAGCAGGAACCGGAGCTGCGCGATCGTGTCCGCGGCGCAGCCGTGTGCGAGGTCAACCATGACCGGTCTAGGAAAAATTAAAAGTCATCAGCGACGAGACAGAGGGACGAAGGGAAAGAACACACTTGATGATGGACGCGAGACTCGGGTAGCGCTCGAAATGAGAGTGGACGAGAAGGACAATAAATTTGCTGAACTCCTGTTCGACGGCGCGGAAGCACCGAAGAGTGCTATCATCCCAGGTCTCCTGGAACCTCTCGAGGAGCCTGAGCTTTGCAGCATATGGGACGTTCCCGGGAAGCTCGCGCGTGATCGAACTGCCACAACCGGTCAGCACCCGGATGGAGCAGAGTTAAGGGGAACACATACGCTGCAAGGTGTGCACGCACGTCCTCCAGGTACATCACTGCCCTCGCGGCGACCGAATTCGCGATCACGAGTTTGCCCGGGATTTTGTGCGCGTTCTCGTATGGAACGAATGGAGGCGCGGAGTCGTGAATCGCAGCCTTGAATTCGCAGAATGCACGGCGCGACGCTTGCACCAGCTCCGCGTTCTCCGGAGAACCCCGCACCATCTCGTTGAGCTCGATGCAAAAATCGGTGACGATCTTGTACACAAACGATGCAGGATCGTCCGTGATGGGCTCAGGCAGCCGGTCAAGGTGCGAGGTACAGCCCGCGAGGTTCAGCGCCACCTGCTCTCTGATAGTGGGAAGGCTGTGTATCACACTCTCAGCAACTACGCAACGATGTGGAAGCAAGACAGAACGTACGCCTTCCGGATGATCTGCGTCAAAAGCTTGCTAACGTTCTGCACGAGGTGGGTCGTCCCAAACCGACGCTGGTGGCTGGACGTGGCCCACGGCGGTGTGCTCCGGAAGAACGCGAGCTCGGCGTCGCGCGCTGCTATCCCAGACACGCCCCGCGCGCGCTCGTCGTCGTCCGGTTGACGCGTGCAGTAGTAGCCGTGCCGCAGAGGGTGGCGGCGACCTTCAAGTACCTCGAGCCACAGGTCGCGCGCCTTCGTAGAGCCCGCGGAGAGCGTGTCGGGCTTGGTCATGACGCCTACGACAGTGGAGTGAGCGAGGTAAGGAGAAAGATGAAAGAGCGGTGCGTACCTATTGTGCGCTCGCCGCTTGGGTCTGCCTCCTTAGCCAAACGCGCAGCCTTCTGGTTTTCGATGTCGTCTGTAGGCGAACTGAGCGAGAGGATCCATACGAGAGAGGTAGGACGTACCGCTCATGGGCAGAGTGACGAGAATGAGACTGTTGCCGCTAATGTACGACTTGACGAGGTCTTCGACAAGCGTCACCAATTCCTTTTCAGCGTTCTGTACAATACCTGTGGAAGTGCCGTCAGTAAAAACAATCGCAGGGACGGGAAGACAAACATACCTGGGAGATCCACGAAGGATAAGTCCGCGAGCTCCGGCCCCGAGAGCTCCACGCACACGATGTTCCTGGAGAACGCAAGTGGCTTCTTGCCGCCCACAGACGCGCCACCTATGTCGGCGTTGTCCATATTCACGAAGCTTGCGGCTGGCATGTGCGGGTTGAGGATAGCGGCTTGCGCGCGACGCAGCATTGGCTCGACCTCATTCTTGTCCGTCAGACACGGACCGAAAGGGAGCTCTGTGACCTCGTCGAGACGTGAACACCCGTCCGCTGCGTACTCTGTGCGGATTTTGATCTGGCACGTCCATGAGCCGGTAGAGTGCGAGAGGCGGCACTCCATCGGGCAGCGCGTGCACGTGCCCGCGTCGCGCGGGACACTTATCTGGGTTGCCGCGCGATAGAGAGTCAGGTCATAGAAGAGGGCAGAGAGAGGCAAAGACGCACGCCAGAGATGGCCTCGACAAGACTAGACTTGCCCGCGCTCTGGTTGCCGATGACCACGACACGGGGGAGCTCAATGTTGTCGAGGTGGGCGCTACGAAACACGCGTGCGTCAGCAGAAATATGAGAGTTGACGCGTGTGCGGCGCTCACCCGAGAGCGCGAAGCTGGCCGACGATGTCGATGAGCTGCTTGGAGCTCTTCCCATAGTCGGAATTGAGAAGAGTTTGTGCCTGTGGCGTGGTAGGCTTCATGAGGTGTACGTTGGTTCACTCGCACTGGATATATGCGGTCTTGAGCACGCGTCGGGGTGTATATATGCGCGTTTGGAGGGGACAATCGGCTTACCTGAGCCACTGGAGGGTAAAGCGTGGCGGTTGGTGGCAAGCGCAGAACGTGAAGTTGGAGGAGAGAACAAAGAGGTTCAAGTGGGGACAAACAGTCGTCACTGCGCCCCTTTCCCACGCAACGCCTACGTCCCTCGCATCACAAGTCCGAGCCGCGAGGGGAAAGCGGAGGAGGTGAAACGTGGACGGCAAAGGTGTCTGGGGTACTTGCGGGCGCGGCGAGTCCTCGTCTCGTCGAGCGCTCTTTGATAGCGATACATATGGCTTTTGCTGCTCGGGAAGACCGAACGTTGAACGCGTAAAGACGTATGGTGGTAGCTCAAGCGCTCATGGTGTACGCGTACGTAGCAGATGAAGCAGAGGTTCAAATTGGCGCCTCGATTTCGGGTTCCCCCTGCAGGTTGGGCGCCTGCATCATCGAGTTCTCTGGCTCCGTACAACGACCATGTTTCTATGTCCACATACCCCCCCCCCCCCTCTTTATACTGTGTGTAGCCGTATCTAGGCTTACAGCGAACCTTCTGTATCTTTGAGGTAAGCGGTTTGTAACTCACAAGCGCATCAAGGACTGACCGTAGTTGTACACCATCAGGCCCTCCACAACTTCGCCCTTCGCGCACACCATGTGCATCTTCCGCACATGCAGTTTCTTCCCTCCCAACGTTTGGAAGCCCCACGTCTGTGGCGGAAGTATCGTCAGCGCACGGCTCCGGTACTGGTGACCGCGTCGCTCGCACCTGCTCCATCGTCCACCCGCTCTCGCCCTTGGTGCGTACATGGATGATCTTCCCGTCCAGGAACGACTCCTCGAGCCACCCCTCAGCCAACCACTTGCACGTGCTCACCTCCGCCAGCGTCTTGCGCGAGCTCGAATCTGCTGTCTTCCCGAAAAGCGCGCCCTCGTTCTCGCGCTCAACGCCGTCGAGTGCGCGCTCGTTCACCTTCTCCCCACCCTTGCCAATACCCTGGACAAGCGCGATGTGTTCCATCCCGGCGTCATCCACGGTGTGCGTCATGGTGAGCCGGGGCGTCGCGGCGCCGATCGTCTTGCGGAGCATCCAGCTGACGCCTTGCGCTTTCAGGAGCTCGTCGTTCTTCGTGAACTCCTTGTTCTACCCAGACTCGGATCAGTACCACGAGGCAGAGCATAAAGCGGATAGGACGCACGAGAGCGAACTTTCCGCTCAGGTTGCGGGCGGTCATATCGGCGGGTGCGGCCATCTTGTAAGGATATCTGGTGAGTCGCTTGTTGCTTATGGTGTGATGGATTGGGTAGGTGCGTTGAGAGTGCTCGCGATTGTGTCTCTTCCGCACCCTTTCACAGACCTTTATATCGCTCTTTTAGCGCTTCATATCCGACTCCCCACTGGCAAGTATACGATTCGTACGGCCGTGGTGCTCGCCGAGGTCCATTCACCATCCGGTACCCGCTCGGCAACAGCGGTACGTACCCAGAGAACCTCGGCGAGGACTATAGGGTTGTCAACACCATGCGCTGCGTATATGTTGTAATACATTGCCCTGAGCGGTGCGATCGCCTCCGAAGCCGGTACATCCGGGTCCTGCCAGTGCAGCTTATAATTATTTCGATGGCCCATGACCGGTGAAACTTATGTCGGAAGCCGGGAGATCCCGCAGCCGTCTTTTCTCTGTTCTCTTTGTAGCCCACACACAATTTGCATCGTCTATTGCATCGTGTACATATATACGTGGTGAACCGGTGACGGGCAAGTAACGGGGAGCGAGTCGGCTTATGGCGCCTAACACCTTGTCATCCACACTCGTCATCCCCGCCATCTGTTCCGTCCGTTCGACTTGGTCTACCGCCTAGAGGGGCCCGACTGCACACCGAGTTCTATCAAGCTGGCTTCTCTGCCCCCGGACTAACTGGACACGCACCGTAATCATACACCATCCGTCCTTCGACCGCAATCCCATCGGCAGCGATGATGTGAATCCTCACAACATGTTTCTTCTGCTCTTCAAGCACCATGAATCCCCACACCTGCTGCCGCATCAACACAGGCCATCTCAAGAACCCGAAGGCACTCACCGCCGTCATCTTCCACCCCGCCTCCCCCTTCGTGCGCACCACGAGCATCTTCCCCTCCGCATCCACCGACTCCGGCATCCACTCCCCCCTCAAGCACCCACACACCGCGTCGTCCGCCTCGACGTCGACCCGCGCGTGCGTGATGTCGATGTTCCCGAGCATCGCGCTGCTCTGGGCTCGCGCCGCCCCGTCGAACATGCGCACGTCCAGCCGCTTCTGGCCCCCGCCCGCATACTCGGTCTCCACCTTCTCCGTGCCATCCTCGTCGCTGCCGTGGCGGATCGCGAGCGCGGGCGTGACCATGTTGATCGTCTTGCGGAGGAGCCAGCTGATACCCTGCGCCTTGAGGATCTCGTCGCTGTTCACGCCCAGCGCCTTGTTCTGCCGTCGGAGAAGATTGGGTCAAGGCCAGGAGGGGGGTTACGCGGGCTGGGACGCACCGTGACGAACTTGCCGCTGAGGTTCGTGGATGTCATGTCTGCGGGGGCCGCCATGTTGGTCGAGCTTGCGAGGTGAGTCGTTGGCGCTGAGCGGGCTGGGGAGGTTGTAGAAGAGAGATGTAGAAGCGTAGCAATGTCCGCAATATACTTCCCACCCCCGCCTACAACCGTCAGAGATGGCAACCGGCGTACCCTCAGAGCGTGTCCGTGGGAGCGGAGGGGGCCGAATATGTTCAAGATACTGCGGGCGGCGTCGACATGCTGAGGTGTGTCTCCAACTCTTGGTCAACACCTCAGCTGGTTTCTCATCGACTCCTTCAGCTACGGCAGTCACAGGTTCTCGATCCAACACGCTGTAAACGAATAGCTGGTGAGAGTATGCAGTACGGAGATGGCGAGCACTCCACCTTCGTAGTTATATTTTGTCTTCTTTCTTCGCATTCGTGCATTACTGTTATGTACTGAAGACCGAACTGTAGCTTGGATGCGCAGTGATTTTATCAACATGTCCACCATCCCGTGATTAGGTCCTTTCCGAGAAGGACCGAAATTTTTATCGAGCTGAGCCACTCGACCATTGCTTCCCTCGCTGTCGTGCCTTCAAGGTAGGTCTTGCATCACTCTTCTCTACCCTATGCTAACATCACTACTATCACCACAGCTCATCTCGGACGTCCGGTGCGCCGATCGTGATTTTCACCAGACCTTAACAATCTCCGAGCTCGCGTCTGGTTCGACGACGGGAACGTTGACCTCGTTGCCGACGGCCGCACCGGTTCTGCGTCCACCAGGCCCGCTCCATCCTCGCGCACAGGTGGGACGTCTCTCAGCCCTCTACCCCCGGTGCCACAGATGCATCCCTGCGGTCTACGCGTCCGAGGACCAGCCATTCGAGATTCTCGAGTTCCTCCGCGTGTTCTGCGACGGTCCTCGATAAGCCCGCCGCCGCTCATCAGGTTTGGTACACGCTGACTGACCTCTCCCGAGTCCCCAGCTGCTTCATGCCCGCGACGACATGGCCGATCCCGGACGTCTCCGCAGCTCGACGACCTCGCCGCCGCCGCCGCCGCCGCCATGTCCCGGCTCGTGACGGTGTTCACGAGCATCTGGACCAAGCACGGCGCGCACGCCGTCTCGCTCGAACCGCGTCGGCTCCGTGTGAGCCTGATCCCTTGGAGCGCACCGGCCGCCGCGAGATGCTGAAGGAGCCCGACGGACCTGGGCCGCACCTGCTCGAATGCGGAGTTGGGCGGTCTGCCGGGCGCGGGCGCAGGAGGAGATGGGGACCTGTGTGCGGAGGCTGCAAGCGTGCTGGGACGAGATCCAGGGGAGGAGGAGTGCTGGCCCGCACTGGTGGACATCTCTGGTTGGGGAGACGCGACCATGCTGGTCCGTAGGGTACTTGCATCCTTCTCTGTGCCACGGCATCCTCGCACTACAGTACGTACGCCGAACCGAACGCTGGCTCTATGAACACACGCTTTGCTTCACCGATGAACAATTCGTGGCCGAAACTAGCCACTGTGTGGTGCACTGAGCACGAGCACATCCTCCCGTTTACCTCAGGCCTGAAGAGAGCGTACACAAGCCAACCATATGGAGTGTACGCCGGCCGTTGAGCTCTTGAGCTTGACGTACAAAATGCAGCAGGAAATTGCGTAGGTCGATAACACCCAGCGGCCTTGAGGCTCTCGTGGAGATGTCTCGGCGACGAGACATCAGGTAGCTGTCCGCACAGTGATCATACTTTGAACGCAAGGACGCCGGCGAAGTCACGATCACACGGGACGAAGGACTCTGAGCAGGGATGGACGATTAATGCGACGGGTGGACAGTAGCACATGCACGATTAGCGTGGGGGATACAATGCATACGATAGCGAACTTTTGTAATGCGGCCTTCGCCCACCGCTCCATCCTCCCACTCTCCCTCTTCCCCGATGACCTTCCCAAGACCCCTCCAGCACGGCGGAGAGCAAACGCGACACGACCGACGGAAAATGAAACTACGGGCGAGAGCGCCCGCTCACTCCTGGATCTTTGCGAGGATCTCCGAGTCCCGGAAGAGGTGGTACTCCTGCAACCCAACGTCTGCGTCAGCCTTGCATTCTTCTCGCCCACGCCCAGCGCCGGCCCGACCCGACGGAGCAGACGGGCAACAAGACAACGAAAAGACGCACCTCCTCGCCAACCTTAATCGGTGACCCGCCCCAACCGGGGAGCAGGACGCGGTCGCCCGCGGCGACGCTCATCGGGAGCGTCTTGCCGTCCTTGCCCGTCGCCCCAGGGCCGACGGCGATGACGGTCGCCTCCGGGAGCGGGCTGGTCGTCGCGGACGACGGGAGGAAGATCCCAGACGCGGTCTTCTGCGGGACGAGCGGGATCAGCGTTCGTGTATGGGAGGAGGGAGGGGAAGCGGGGGGGACGTGGCGACGTCGTGAGCGCGTGGCGTGCGTATATGCGCGCAGAACAACGCGGGACGGGCGGGGATCGACGACGACGGGTCACGGAAGAAGAGAAGAGACGAACCTGGTCGACCTTGAACCGCTGGACGAGGACGCGGTCGAAGAGGGGGATGACGGACTTGATAGACTTGAATGTCGCCTGGGCAGCCTGCGCCCGCGTCCACGTCAGCTCCGGCCCTCTTTCATACGCATCGAGACGGGCACGCACCATTTGTGAGGAAGAGGAAGGCAAGAAGGACGCAGAGAGGAGGGCTGGGGCGAAAGGCGGGAGAGGCGAGAGGGTGAGCGTGTCAGAGTGGCTAGGCGCCCGATGACTGTCCTCCGCCTTTTTCTCTCCCGCTTTGTTTGGTCTGGCAAACAACGGCAAGAACCGTCTCGAACAAGGCGGGCCTCGAGCTGGGGGCACAAATTATTGGTATTCGGGATATAGCGTGTGCGGGGGCATGTTATAGACTACAGTGCAAGGACGGCAGTAGACGATCGAGCAGGACGGAGGATGTGTGCGTACGACTACGGCCAACGACGGGGTGGATGGATGTGCGGAGAACGAGGGTGTGCGGAACCGAGTCCTAGAACGAAACCAAAAGGGAGACAAGGCAAGAACGAGCGTGCACGGACGCGAGCGTCCTTCAATCAATCGCCATATCCACGTCCATGTCCCCGCCCGCATCTCCGCCCTCTGCTCCTGCTGCCCGCAGCATCGCCGTCTCCCCCTCCGGCCCTGGCCCAACCGTGAGCTGCCGCGCGAGCATCCGCCGCGGCCCGTCGCTGTCCACCGTCGGTCCCGCGGCCGTCACAGCGAGGTACTGCCGGAACGCAGCGACTCGCGCGTCCGTCGTCCGAGGGTCCGTCATCCCCGTCGCCGTAGACGGTACCGCGTCCGTTGCCCATGGCACTGGTCCTTGCGGCCGGTACGACCACAACCGACTCCGCGCCCCAGAGGGTCCAGGGACCGCCGTCGGCGCCGTTGTCCCGGTGCCAGTGCTCGAGCCCGCGACAGGCGCCGTCGGTCGAGTCGTCGTGCTCGTCGCCGTTGTCGAGCTCGCGGAAGGGCCTGTGCCGCCCGTGGTCCGCCCCGCACCTGGCGCCGTGTTCCCGACCGTCACGCGCGAGGCGACGTCGCGCTGGAGCCGCTGCTCGGCCGCCATCGCGCGTGCCTGCCGCTCGCGCTCTCGAGCCTCCCGCCGCTCCGCTCGCCCAGGGTTCGCCGCGCCCGATGGAGGTGCCGCGGGTGCGTGGTGGTGGTGTCCGTGTCCGTGTGCCTGCGCGTGCTCACCCTCCTCGTCCGGGTCCTTCGCCGAGCACCAGAAGCGATGACCTTCCGACCACGCCGTGCTTTGGCACTCCTTGCCACAGTACTTCGCCTTCCTGCACCGTCGGCACTTGGCGAACTCGCGGGGGAAGCGCTCCCATTTGCCGCAGAGCACTGCGAGAAATCATTCGTCAGCAACGCCTCAAACACATCATATCAGAGGAGGGGTGCGCAAAACGCCGCGAAGAAAGGGACCCAAGGCGATAAGAACAAAACTCCTCACTGTTTGCGCACTGCCGGATCCCACCCCTGCTGTCGTCCTTCCGACACGCGTTCCGCATGATCACCCCCGCCCAGTACTGGATCTCCGGCGGCAGGCTCGGCGGCGGGTGCGCCGACTCGAGCTCGGACGAGCTGTGCCGGTACGTGAACCTCTCCACGAGCGCGAACAGGTTCGTCAGCCGCGGCACCGAGTTGTCCGTCCCCACAGTCGCCACCCCGTTCGCGCTCGGCGCCCGCTCCTTCTCCTTTCCGCGGCCCGTCGCGTTCTGGAACGCCTTGATCAGCGGGTTGCTCTCCCGTCCGAAGGCGGAGATGCTGCTTGAGGATCCAGACCCGCCTGCGAGCCTCGAAGTCGAAGCGGAAGCCGACACGGACGCAGACGAGCTCGCGCTGGCGGAAGTCGATGACGACGCCGACGCTGCCGCTGCCGCTTGCCCATTGGCAACCTGCGTCGTCGCCGGGTGGAAGCTTTGCCGCGGCTTGTAAAACGCCTGTCGGCAGTGCGGGTACTTGCTGAGATACGCGAGGAGCTGAAGCCCAAGAACGACGTCCTCATCCCGGTACGGCCCCGTGTCTACTTCCCGATGGTGGTGATGGTGGTGAGCCGCTGGCAATCCGGCTCCCGTTCCCGCAGCGCCGGCGCGGATGGTGTTCTGTCTCCCGGGCGTAGTTGCGTCCGCATGAGCGGGCTCGGCGAGGGCGAGATTAGGGGTAAGGAAGGCTCCGGCGGGGGCGCGGGGGGCTGTCATTGGCAGATTCGTCGTGCCCGCGCGCGGTGTGCGTTCGCCCGCGCCTGGATGTCCGTCAGCGACCGTGCGGGGTGCAGGAGGGCCGTCGAGCGCACCAGGAGCTCCGGGAGGCGCGCCCATCGCGAAATCGTCGTTAGTTTCTAGCGAGACTAGGCCGTCTTCGACGCCGACACCGGGCACACCACCCTCGTCGTTGATGATGATGTGCGCGTCCGATGGGATGTCGATCCCAGGTTGCCCGACGGTGGTGGGTGCAGCGGCGTCGGAGACGATGCCCACCGCGCGGCGGGAATGCGCGGTCCGGATCGTGCCTCCGTCGTTCTGTTGCCGCTCAGGAGAGGGCGAAGGGTTGTTGTCGTCACGGCTTGTGTCCATATCCACGTCGCCGTCTCCATCTCCATCATCCTCCGTCTCCGTCTCCGGGCGAGAGTTCGCCGCCGACGTCGAAGTCGAAGGCCCGGCCGAGTTGTCCTGGACAGGTCGAGCACGATGGGCCCTTCGGGCAGTGTTCGCAGGCTGATCCCACACGGGCTGTGCGAGAATGGTCCCGCTGCGATCCCGGCCTGGGACCACGACAGAGCCCGTGGGGGTGTTCGAGCGGTTCGGGGTCGCGTTCGTGGACGTCTCCGCCGAGGTGTCTTCCTCCTGCGCCTGCACGCGCGACGAGCCCGCGGGCGGCTGGGTAGCCTCCGTCTGCATCGGCTCCTGTCCTGCGGTCAGGCACACACGCACTCCGCCGCGAGTCTCGGTACGCACCTCATGCGATGTGTCGCCACTCCTCCCCGAGGGTTCGACCGCTCTCGCCTCGGGCTGCTCCGACACCTGGCGCTCGAGCGCTCGCTGGATCGCCGCGATGGTGTGCTGCTCGCGCTGCTCCCTCTGTTCCCTTGCCCGGATCTCCGATTGCGCCTGCCGCCGGGCGAGCCGTTGTTCGCGCGTCTCGCGAGGCATGCCATTCGCGGCGACAGCGGGGCCGACGGCGAACCCTTTGCTGGCGAGCCAGGCCTCGAGAATGCAGCCGACGACCTCGAGGGTGCCGGCCTCGACGACGCGGGAGCGGATGGGTTCCGAACCGCGGACGCCGATGTTGGCGATGCACTGGAAGGCGAGGGAGAAGCGGTAACCGGCGTGCTTGTCGTACGTCTTGGGGAGGAGGATCGGGGCCGGCTTTGGGGGGTGAGAGCCGGGTGGAGCGAGACCGTAGAAGATGGATGGGTTTTCGGGAGGTGGAGGAGAGAGGCAGAAGTCGCGGAGGATACGGACGAGGCGTTCGAGACCGCCATCCGCGGTCATGATCTCGCGTATGCGGGGCGAAGTGGATGTGAGATAGACGAGGTGGGTGAGGGAGTTGAAGAGCGGCAAGGACGAGTTGGTGTCCAAGGCTGGGAGAGACGGGGAGCGTTGGATGGCTGGGTTGGGAAACTGAGCGAAAGGGACGCACCTCGTCGGTCATAGAGCTGGGAGGAGATGCAGACGCAAGCCCTGTTCTGGGCCGGGAATGCGAAGTTGGATTCCCGCATGGTGGTGGGAGAGGAAGGAAGAGAGGCGCGGTAAGCGCACTGAGGAAGATTAGGATGCGTGCGCAGGTGTGGCGGGGCGGTCGGAGGCGGTCGTCGGGAGGGTCGTCGTCGTCGGAGCGGTCGATGTTGAGGTCGTCTGCGCGGCGCGGGCCCTGTGATCTGACTGATCCCTTGTTTGAGTCTGTTTTGACAGGTGGCTGGCATGGTCCAGGCGCCTCCGCCTCCGCCTTGTCCTGCGCCTTCTGCTCTTTTGTCTCGTTTGAAGACAACGCTCTGCGTATCCTTTGTGTCTTTTTCTTCCAACTACCACGGCCCTTAACACACGCAAGTCCCTCTTTGCTCCGTTTACAGTAGTTGCCGTCCGAGTGGCCGCGCCATCGCCGCGGCTGGCGACGATCTGTCACACCCGTCTTCCTCGCACCCTACCGTTCCTCGACGCTGGCGATCGTGACCCCCTCGGCTGGAAGACGGTGAGTAGCAGCCTTGTGCACGCTTGTGAGGAGAGGTTGCCGCTTAGATGGACATGCGGCCCGTGCGTGTTTCGTGCATGTCGGCCATCGGGCCCGAATCATACATAATGAAGCCAGTATATGCAAGTGTCCATTTTGTTGTCTTTGCTCCAGCCCAGGCCTGCCGTGTACATGTGCGTGGTACTCGTATTCACGCTCGTACTCGAACACGGCAGATTGACCCAAGTACCCCAGATACAAAGCGGATATCCGGGACATGGGCCCGTTTTCCCGGCGAGTGGTGGCTCGTGCAGAACGCGCAGCGGTCGGAAACAGATTTCTTCGAGGATCACCACGCGCGCACGCGACGATAAGCCAAGCCGCACCGATATGATGCGAAGACGTTAGTCTTACCACGGCCTCCGTCTGCCTCTGTCCGCCTGCCGACAAGGTGAGTGTTGAATAGATCGTCGTGCCTGGGAGTCGACGCTGAGATGGACGATGACGCAGGTGGATCGCGAGTGGCGGTACATAGCGATGTCACTGGTGGTGGACTGAAGCGCTGCCTCGGACGATGCGGTCGGCGAACAGTCGTCAGGTACGTATGCAGTCAGTTGTGCAGCCGCCTGATGAAACGGCAAGCCCTGGTAAGCCCGCAGCCGGCGCCCGTGGTCGGCTACGTAAGGATTTGAGTTACGGTCCGCGGACGACCTCGTGCGGGGTGGGCGCATGACGAGAGGTGTGGTGATGGACTGTATGCATGACCATCGACTGGGCCACATCCAGCCCTCTGAACTTGTTCATCGCTGTCCCTGGGTCACCCGACCACGACCAGCCGCCCTTTCCCTCGTCCGTCCGCCCGGTGGGACGCGCGGGTGGGGGGCGTATAAAGTCTCCGGAGGAGAATCCTCGCAAGCCGGTTGAGGTCCGACATTCGTGCTTCCCATCCACCTGCGTCTCCCCTTGCGCCGTCAATATGGGCAAAGGCGTGCGTCCCCTCTGTCCTCTCCTCCCCATCTACGCCCAACGCTGACGCTGAGCTTGTGTTGACAGTACAGCGCTTCAATCGCGTCTAACCCGGTGCGTGCCCCGATCCTTGATCGCTCTGCCACCATCGTCCCCGTTCCTGACCTTGGCCTCTCCTCGCCTGCATCTCCAGTACATCGTCGGCTCGTTCGCATGTATCGGCGGAGGCCTCTTCGGTCTGGACATCTCGTCCATGTCCGGAGTGCTCTCGAACCCGTCCTACAAGAAAACGTTCGGTAACCCCGGTCCCAACGCCCAGGGTGCCATCGTGGCCGCCATGCCAGCCGGCTCCTTCGTCGGCGCCATCGCTGTCTCCAAGCTCGCCGACCTCATCGGCCGCAAGTGGACCATCATCATCTCCGGCTGGATCTGGGTCCTTGGCTCCATCCTCCAGGCCGCTGCCGTCGTGAGTGTTGCCGTCCATACCCATCCCACCCCCGCATGCTCGTCCTCCGCGCCTATCCGCAGCCCTGGATCGCTCCCCCAACCGATGTCATCCCCTTCACCTCCACGTGCTGACTCTCGTCTGTGCAGAACCGCGGGATGCTCGTCGTCGGTCGTATCATATCTGGTATCTCCGTCGGCATTGCCTCCGCCATCGTTCCGCTCTACCAGTCTGAGATCACGGAGCCCCGAATCCGTGGTCGCATGGTCTCCCTCCAGCAATGGTCCATCACCTGGGGCATCCTCCTCCAGTACTTCGTCCAGTTCGGCTGCTCGTACATCGATGGCGTCGCGTCCTTCCGTATCCCCTGGGCCCTCCAGATGATCCCCGCCATCATCCTCTCTGTCGGCATGCTCCTCTTCCCCGAGTCCCCCCGTTGGCTTGTCGACAACGGTCGCGAGCAGGAGGCCCTCGAGATCCTCGCCGACCTCCATGGCAAGGGCGACCCCAACAATGAGCTCGTCCAGCTTGAGATCACTGAGATCAAGGACCAGGTCGAGTTCGAGAAGAAGGAGGGCGCCAAGTCCTACCTCGACCTCTTCAAGCCCGGCATCGCGCGCCGTGTCATGCTCGGTGCCTCACTCCAGATGTGGTCGCAGCTTTCTGGCATGAACATCATGATGTACGTCCCTTCTCTGCGCTCTTACTGTCCCAATGCTGAACCGTGTCCGCAGGTACTACATCATCTACGTCTTCCAGGGCGCCGGTCTCACCGGCACGCGCGGCAACCTCATCGCGGACTCCGTCCAGTATGTCCTCAACGTCGCGCTCACCGTGCCCGCCATCATCTACATCGACCGCTGGGGCCGCCGCCCGATGCTCCTCGCCGGCACCCTCCTCATGGGCTTCTGGCTCTTCCTCGTCGGCGGCCTCCAGGGCGGCTTCGGTGCCTGGGGCGAGGTCGACGGCTCTCGGGTCTGGGTCATCAGCGGGCACGAGGGCATCACCAAGGCCGTCATCGTCTTCTCCTACCTCTTCGTCTGCTCCTTCGCGATCACCATGGGCCCCGTCTCGTGGACGTACCCGGCCGAGATCTTCCCGATGCGCGTGCGCGCCAAGGCGGTCTCGTTCTCGACCGCCGCGAACTGGATCTTCAACTTCGCGCTCGCCTGGGCGGTCCCGCCCGGGCTGTCGAGCATCGCGTGGAAGACGTACTTCATCTTCGGCACCTTCAACTTCGCCGCCTTCATCCACATCTTCTTCATGTACCCCGAGACGGCCGGACGGACGTTGGAGGAGATCGAGGGTGTGTTCGCGCAGGGGCACATGTTTACTGCGTGGAAGGTCAAGCGCGACGTCGGGAAGAGGACGCTCGAGGACGTCAAGGTGCGTTTTGTTTCCTTTTCTATTTCCTTTCCGCGTTACGGTGCTGATGCGGCCTCGTTTCGTAGCACGACGTGCACGAGGTCGACAGTAAGGAGAAGCTCGAGGCCTGATCGCCTCCCTCGCTCTCCTCACCTCCGCTCGCTCGCTCCATCACTGCCTCCGACCTCAGATGCACATCCCCTCGCGCTCCCTGGCGAGCATGCTCTTACGATTCGTACACGACTTCGGCGCCTGCCAATGTATTATTACTGTATCCATGACCTTTCTTTTCCACCGTTGCTATCCTATGGGTGTAATACTTTGCGTCCAGGACTGCGAGACGGGCGTCGACGAGCCTGCGCGTTTGGGTTGACGTCATGCATCGGACGACACGGCTGACGCAGTGCGATCACTGAAGCACTGAGCGGCCATGCCGTCGATGGACCGGTGATGTCGATGGGGCGCGACAGGTGCGAGGGACCATGTATGTCCGTCGAGCGTGCACCACGGGAAGACGGCCTGACCGCTGCAGGCTGAGAGAGTGCGCGGAACGCGGGGCGGAGGACGGAAGGAAGATGCTGACGTGAAGACGTTGAGTGCGGCGATGTGGAGAGTGGGGGGAGGTCATGACGGGATCGACGGTAGATGCTCAATGCGGACGGCGAAGTTCTGATATGCTGAGGGCGGCGGTAGATGGACAGATGGCAGAAGGTGGGTAGCGCGCTCACGGATGGGGAGAATACTAGTACATGAGAAATTACGAGTCGTAGCAACGAGGGAGTCCGCGCGGGCATCGGAGAACTGTCTGAACGAACAGAGGAGTGAGCGTAAGCAGAGGCCTGGGTGTAGCGACCTCGTGGTCCCGGGATGTTGTAGCGAGGCAGACGGAGGTGGTTGGTAGCAAGCTCAACTGAGGAGACTACTAGGAGATATGGTATACTTAACTGAGACAGAAGCCGCAGGAACGGGGCGGAGAGTCGGGAGACGCAAGGCTACGGAATGTCCAGAAATGTCTACGGAATACAACGGAATACGGAGGGATGTCGATGAGGGCGGAGGCTTGTGTATTCGAACTGGAGGTGGGCTTGGCAGTCGGTTAGGACATTTGTAGGTCAAGCCGCGTCCGTGAGCAGCAACGCGGTGACGTCGACGTCTGCCTGGCCACATGGATTGCTTGCGTCGCGCGGGTGTGCGGAGATGGATCCTGGTGCTGGCGTGTCGCACAGCATGCGCATCACCGGGAGAGCGTCGACGAGTGGACGGGAAGGCTACATACTAGGTCTTCGCGACACAATGTCGTCCGCCGACTTGGAAGTTCTTATACATATGCAACGCCGCGTTCAGCTCGGCGGACGAGACGATCAAGGGACAACTCCTCCCGCCCCATGTGCGGACAGTGGCGATCTTCTGAAAACGTGCGATCACACCTAAGCGCAAACCGCGATTCCGTAGAGCCTCGGTCGGCCCAAATCACGCCGCCCTGAGGCTCGAGGGTCGCCGTCGGAGGTGCACAGCGCAGCGAGCAGCTGGTGACCGTCGCTGCACGACCACGTACTCTCCACATGGTGTCGTTCACGTACGTTGATCCCAGTCGCCACGACGGGTCCGCCACTCATACCCTCTTCGTCCCAAATTAGAGCTCGATCATGCCCGTGGCGATCGCTCGAGTGTGCGGAGGGGACAGCACAGTGACTTTGACGTAGCAAGGGCAGTCGTCGCCGTCCTCGCGACCGTCCGTGTTCGTAGTCGCGCTGTAGGCGCATTCCATCGCGTGCGCTGCGGGCGGATGCCGGCGGAGTTATCGGAGGCGGAGAGCGGGCTGGCCGTGGGAAGGCTGGCGTGCGGGTGCCAAGAGCAGAGCTGGGCACCGTCGCAACCACATCGCCAGTCGCTCCTTTCTTCCCGCCCAGGCTGTCTCCCCACTGTCCCTCCTTCCGCCTCGCTCACGATCTCCCCGCGGTCGCCCTGCCTTTCACGATTCCTTTTTTCTCTGCCGGGCTAGTCCCTTTCGCGACACCTCTCACCTCACGACACCCCGCGCAGAGCCGACTTCCTCCAATCTCCCTACACTCAAACCAGCCTCAGCTCTCGCTCGGTACACTCCGCCCAACACACACTACCCACACCGCGCCGTCGGAATGGCTCCGTACCCGGCGTACGCTCCCCAATCTCCCTCCTCCAACATCCCCTACTCGAACGTCCGCCAGAACTCTCTCCCTCAAACCAATGCCTACCCGCCTCCCAACCGATACGACCGCAGCGCGACGTCCCTAGACTCCGAAGACAGCGCGGACCACGACAAGGCCAAGTGGCACGCACCCGGCGCCATGGGCCCCCGCGGCCCCGCCGTCGAGGTCCGCGCAGTGACCCGCACTCCAAGCCCAACCCCAAGCGAGGCGAAGGAGCTCAAGAAGTCCGGCATCTTCGACTGGCAGGCGATGTCCAAACTGCGGTACTGGTTCAGGAAGGAGTGGGCTTGTGCGTACTTTGGTCGTTCATTCCGAGCGGGCGCGGGGAGCTCACGCCGTCGCACTTGCGCGCGCAGGGTACTACATCATCTTCATCGTCTGTCTCGTTGGCGCCATCCTCTTCACTGTCTACCACAAGACGATCGTCAACCGGCTTCGACCCGCAGCGGACTGGATGCACGAGTGAGTTTCAGATCTTCGTCTGGCTGTATGCGCGGTCGCGCGGTGGAGTACGCTTGCGCACGGTTCACTGCGCCCGCATAGCCGCCGCCACAAGGCCAAGCCGCCGCACAGCCGCTTCGCGCAACTCGGTTGGAAGCTTGTGTCCGTCGGGACGACTCACTGACAGACTCCGCCCACAGCCTCCCGTTCGGTTGGACCATCCCCATCGCTGTGCTCTTCGTCATCTCCTTCCCGCCTGTATGTCTCCGTTTTCTCTCTTTGCCCGCCTTCTTGTTCACGGCCGAGTTTCCAGTTGTTTGGACATGAGATCGTTGCTATTCTGTGTGGTCTCGTGTGGGGGCTTGGTGTTGGATTCGCTATTGTCGCCGCTGGAACCTTCCTTGGAGAGTTGGGCAACTTCTAGTGAGTCAACCGTTAACTTCTTTCCAACGCTCTCTGAGCCCAATCCCTGCATTCTGCAGCGCGTTCAAGTACTGCTGTGCGGCACGTGGAGAGAAGCTTGAGCGGGACAAGCTTAGCTATGCTTGTCTCGCTCGTGTCGTTCGCGAAGGAGGCTTCAAGATCGCACTGATTGCGCGTCTGAGCGCTATTCCTGGTCACTGTGCGTACCTGGTCCTGATTGTCCAGCCCCTTCTCGTCTCACATGCGCCGCAGTCACCACCGCGGTTTTCTCGACCTGCGGTATGGGTGTGATCACGTTCTCCATCGCCGCCATCCTCTCCTTGCCCAAGCAGTTCATCACTGTCTATCTTGGTGTTGCCCTCGAACAGTCGGAAGATGGTATGTGCGGTTCCGTTTGATCTTACGCCCGATACCAACATTCCTGTAGGCCATTCGAGCACCAAAGATACCATCATCAAGGACTCCGTGCTCGGTGTCACTGCCCTCGTTACCATCGGCGCCATGTGGTACATCTACGACCAGATGAACAAGGTCAAGGTCCCAGTCATCTACGAACGGCGCAAGGCTCGGTATGCACGTTCCTAGAAGTTGCCGTTTCCCAGTGTCTGATAACTCTTCCCAGTCAAGCGAAGCTCGACATGGCTGCTGCCCCCGGTATGCCTTACGGCAACACCGCCATGCTTGAATCCACCGCTTCCGTCGCTTTTGACCCCTCGACGTCGACGGTTGACATCCCCCTCAACGGCTACCAGCGCCCGGCGTACAACCAGCACCCATACGCTGCCGCCGGTCGGGGCATGCACGCCCCGCAGCCGCGCCGCCCCCAACAACCGATGAGCGAGCGCTACCCGAACGCAGCTCTTCCTCCCGGAGCGGGCTACGCTTACCCTGTCCTTCCTTCAGAGCTCCCGAGCCACCGTGTCGTGCCCGGACCTGGTGGGGACCCCTTCTCGGATGGCGCACGGGTCCTGCATCAACAACAGCAGCAAGCCGGCGTATCATACCAGCGCCAAGGGCCTGCTCGCGGGTACGGCTCCCCTCCACCCGACACGTTCCCTAGTGCAGGTGGGCAGCGTCGCGGGCCTCGCCATCCTGGCCTCCAAGAACCCTCACCGAGGCCGCAGCAAGAGTATGCTCAGCAGCCACAGCCGACGCGCTCGCCACCCCCGGTGGCGCACAGCCCGACGAACCCGTACGAGCAGAGCGCGTACGCCGCGCACTCGTACGCGTCCCCCGCGTCGCCGCCGCCGCTGCCGAGCATGGCCGCCACGCAGAACCCGTTCTCGGACCCGAGGGTGATGCCGAACCCGTACGAGCAGCGGTCGGTCGCTGCGTCTGCCCCTCCAGCTTCGCACGGACAGGAGATGCCGAACCCGTACGAACGCCACGCGGCCCAGCCGACGGACGCGACGTTCTACACCGCGCACTCGCGCTCGGCCACGGAGGAGCCGCTGTACCCGCCCGAGAAGGAGGAGCCGCCGTCGTACATGTCGCACGAGCACCGCTAGGACGCGGTCTCTCCGCCATTTCCCGAACCTAACTTATCTTAGCAGTTCTTGTTCCCGTGTCGCGTACGCACCGCATACATACACACATAGCCCGAACACGCCTCTGACGACCTCTGCACGGACAGCTGGCCTGCAGACGCAGACAGATACCATGTACGCATCCTCGCCCGCCACCCTACCCACCCTGCCCCGCCCGCGGGCGCAAGCTCGCTTTCGGATCCTATCCACTCGCCTTGTTTCATGTCCTGCACACGCGCGTGCGGGGCCCTTTTGCACGAGTCGTACCAGTAGTGTAATAATACGAGCTGGGTGCTCTACTTTGGTTTCGGCAACCCTCCAGCCAGTTTGATGGCCCGACGGGTGCCCGAGTTGTGTGGTGGTGAGGGAGGAGTATGCTTTGGCCCTGGTTGGTGCGCTGAAGACAAGGGTTAAGGCTCGCATTCGCCACTCCATTGAATATCCGATATGGTGTAGTGGCTAACATTATCGCCTCTCACGCGATAGCCCGGGGTTCGATTCCCCGTGTCGGAAGGAAATTTTCAAGAAGTGCTTTTTGCTCGTCTCGAGCTCTGAACCTATGGCATAGCACCTGGGTGTTGTGTTACTGGTGAAAGGCACTTGGGTGGTACGTTCCGCGTCGCCACCGTGCGGCTCTGTCGCCGCAAGTTCTTCAGTCGTTCTGTCAACAGTTGTGATGAGAAGAGCGGTCTGAGGTTCGGCGTTTCAATGGTCAAACACACGAGGAGCGGCGGCGGCGCAGGTGCCTGTGGAGTAATCCCGGGCTCTCTTGCACGGGCTGCCCTTGGACGCACAGAGGAGGTGCTCGGCATTCTAAACAAAGAGTGTGCGGTGAAGTGAGCATATCATATCGCGCAAGCCGCGCGCCGCCGCGTCTGACCAAAGTCTGACTGATCATGAGCGCATGAGCAACGCGGCACGCCAGATCGTTCGTCCGACGCGGGTACATCATCCACCTCCTGCATTTTGCCGCGATGCTCGCCTGCCCCCCCTCGCGCTCCCCTCTTGCTCCTAGTCTCGCTCGCCCCGAGGAGTGCGCACCAAGAGGCCATGGACCGCAGCCCATCCCCCGCGCCCGTCCTCGCCGTCGCCATCGACGAGAAGAAGGCCGCGCTGGAGCACCCCCACCCGTCGCGCTCGACGCTCAAGAACATCGTCCTCATTGGCACCGTCACCCTCGCCCAGATCCTCACCGTGCGCACCTGCCCTCCCACTCTCATCCGCCCACTCACCCGCCCTCGGCCCCCAGATCGGGAACACAACGGTGGTGTCGATCGCGCTCCCCACGATTGGCAAGGACCTCAACATCGTCGAGTCCAAGCTGCAATGGATGGTCTCTGCCTTCGCGCTCAGCTCGGTGAGTCCGCCCACCGTCCCCGTCAATGCGCCCCCCCTCATCCCGCTCGCGCCAAGGGTTGTCTGCTCCTCTTCCTCGGACGCGCCGCCGACCTCTACGGGCGCAAGAAGGCTTTCATCCTTGGCTGCGCGTGCATGGGCATCTTCGGCCTCGGCTGTGGCTTCGCACAAGGTCAGTACGCGCCAGGTCTCCTCCCCGTTCCCGCCCCAACCGCTCCTCGTCCCAGATGAGATCACCATCGACGTCCTCCGTGCGCTCCAGGGCATCGGTCCCGCAGCTGCCATCCCTGCTGCCCTCGGTATTCTCGCCCACACCTTCCCTCCGTCCCACCTCCGGTCCATCGCCTTTGCCACCTTTGCTGCAGGTGCTCCTGTCGGTGGTGCCGTCGGCAACATCATCGGCGGTGTGCTCACCCAGCTTACGGCGTATGTGTCGTCCTCCTTTCCTCTCCATTCCTCACTCATCCCGTCCAGTCAGAGCTGGAGGTCGACGTTCTGGTTCCTCACCGGGCTCAGCTTCCTCTGCTGCGTCGGTGCCTGGTTCTCCATCGAACCCGATGAGCCATACCACTCCGAGGACCGGTACGTCGCACCTCCCGTCTTCTGTCTGCACACATTCATCTTGCTCTGCAGTCGTCTGGATTGGATAGGCGCCTTCCTGATCACCGCCGGCCTTACCTTCATCATCTTCGTGCTCAGTGACGGTTCCATCGCGCCCGGCGGCTGGAGCACCCCTTGTAAGCCGCTTCAGTCTCAGCCTCTTCATCGCATTTTTTAACATATGCGGCAGACATCATTGCAATCCTCGTTCTCGGCATTCTCTTGACAGGATGCTTCATTGTCTGGGAGTACTTCTTGGACAAAATCCATTCAGAGCCAGGGAGCCCGCGCAACCGCTGGTGGACGCCTCACCCGCTCATGCCCCTCTCGATCTGGGCGCGCGCGCACGGCAAGCTCGCCGCGCTGTTCACAATCGCGTTCCTCGAGTGGTCCAGTTTCACCCTTCTTACGTTCTACATGCAGGCGAGTGCCGCGCTTTCCGCGCTCGAAAGCTCGCGCAAGTCTCTGACGCATCATTTTTGCAGCTGTACTACCAGGAATACAAGGGGTACTCGCCCATCCTGACCATGATCCGCCTCATCCCGATGTTCGTCACCGGAGTGCTCTGCAACGTCTTCATCGCGCTCGTCGTCGGCCGCGTCCCGATCGTCTTCCTCGTCGGTACGCCCCGTCCACTGCGCGTGTGCATCCCCTCTCGCCGCTCACTCGTCCCCCGGGCTTACTACAGTGATCGGCACGGCGGCGACGGCAGGCGCGTCCCTGCTCTTCGCGCTCATCGACCCCAACGCCATCTACTGGGCGTTCGGCTTCCCCGCCGCGATCATCTGCGTTGTCGGCGCCGACTTCGTGTTCGCGAGCGGCACGCTCTTCGTCGCCAAGTCGTGCCTCCCGCACGAGCAGTCCGTCGGCGGCGCGATCTTCCAGACCGTCGTCCAGCTCGGGACCTCGTTCGGGCTCGCGATCTCCTCCGTCGTCTTCAACACCACCCTCGCCACCAAAACCGCCGAGCTCGACGCGAGCGGCGCGGGGACCCCCGCCGAGGCGCAGCTCGCCGCCTATCAGGGTGCGTTCTGGACTGGGGTCGCGTTCGGGCTTGCGGGTGAGTCCCGTTCTCCGGTTGTTGCGGGGAAGAGGACGCTGATCGGTTGTTGCGGTAGGCTCGCTGCTCGCGGTCCTGTTCCTCCGCGGGGTCGGCGTGGTGGGTCACACGGAAACGAAAGAGCATGCGGACGAGGAGACGCAGAGCGAAACCACTGTGCACGAGTCCTCATGACCTCTCGCTCCGTCAGCGCGCGGGCACCTTAGCCCCGCGATCTTGGTCCGCGGTCGCACCGTGTGGGAGCGGGTAAATTTCGTGCGCCCCCGACTCGACTGTGTGGGTACGCGCTGACTGAGGAGTGCTGTACGTTCTGTCACCGGTAATGACACGGCTTTCACTTCGCTTAGACATGACATACTTGTGTCATGGCGTCGTGTAGCCTCCGCATGGTTAGTTTTGCATCTGGCTGTTGTACATACATATTACACACTACTTCCATACCTACACGGACCACCCGCTAGAACGCTAGAACGCTAGAACGCTAGAACGCTAGAACGCTATTACTACACCTTAATCACGCCACCGCCGACCGTATTACTTGGAGCGGTTCGTAATCTTGATTTCGGCATGGGTGCACGCTCGCACCACGCCTCGCCTCGCTGCTCTGACTTGCTTCTTGTCCTTTGACCCCCATGTTCTCCCGACCACAGGGCTCTGTACGAGCCGCGCGGTTCGGATCGAGGCGAGCCAGGTTCGTTGCGAGTTGGACATCCATCCGCTCCGGTCCGCTCTTCCACCACGGGCGACCGGCGCTTGTTTCATGAAGGTCAAAGGCGGTACTTGTGGAACGAGCCGCATCCGCATGAATCCTTGATACCAACGCCGATCAGGCACAGACCATTGCGCAACACAGGACGGACGAGGTCCCAAACGATCCGGTCGCCTTCAAGTCGGCCGGAGATTCGCGCATGTCGGGCGTGTCCCGCATGAAGGGCCAAGGCCGGGCTGCGCGCGAGAGCGAGCGTCGTCCAGCCACAACGGCAGCGCGCGGAATCCGGATGGAATTCTCAGGGTATGCACGCCGTGACGGTGGACGCCGGGCGGCGGGGCGGAACGTCTCCGACCTGCTGGAGGCCGCAGCAGGCACGATCAAAGATCGAGCCAAACTAATAGTCCCAGCTTCCGCTCGAGGAAACCCGGCGCGGAAGCGGGCGGAGTCGACGCGGACGAGGAGCTCCGAGTTCACAGGCCTGTAAAGCACTCGAGGAAGAACAAGGAGTGAAGAATGGTGTTGCTCGACAACGACGCGCTTCGAGCGCGGGCACGTCAGACTGGGTTCGGGGTCGCGAAGATGGCGTTGGAGGCTATTGGAGGCCGCGGGTGCCTGCCGTCAGCAGAGGCGGTTCCCCGCGTGGGCACGCGCGGATTCAGCCAAGTCTTGTGTGACGCGGCCCCCGCGCGCGAGCACGTTCGAAGGTTCACCCTTGCGCGCGCGCCGCTGACACTCGTCGCGCGGCGCCGCGTTCTCTCCACTGGGCTTTTCTCGCCGTGAGGCGGTGGGCGTGAGGGGGCGAGCGCGCGGAAGGAGCGGAGAGGCAGCGAACGGCGAGAGGAGAGCGTGCTGATGTTGATGGGAGGTGACCTCTGGACATCAACGCAGATGTGCAGAGGGAGCGGGGGGGACCACATGGAGAGCGCGAAGAGAGATGGATGGCTTGCGGTCTCGATGACAACCACGAGCTTGCCCCCCGCCGAGGACGGCCGCTAGGGTGGCGGCGGGCGTGGCGCGCTCGGCGGGGCCGCGGTATAAAGCGGGAGAGCAGGCGTGCGCTCTCTTCGTCCCTCCCTCCATCCGACAGCTGGAACTCACGTCTCTCTACGCCGGGCGTATCTTTCTTCTCTTTGCTTTGAGCTTGACGCTTCCTGCAACGCTCGCCTTCCTTCCGTAGACCTTTTGGACCGCCCGAATCCACGCACACTCTTTAGCTCTTTCCGTCTACGCACATCCCTCTTCCAACTCACGATCATGAAGTTCGCCACCATCGCCCTCTCCGCCATCGCCATCGTCGCCGTCAACTCGGCGCCCCTCCTCCGCCGCGACGTCAACGCCGCGCTCATCCCCGAGTTCGGTATCCAGGCCGGTACTAGCCCTGACGGCACTGGGTGAGTCTTCTTTGTTCCCCTCGCCCGCGCTCCGACGCTCATTTCGTCCGCCGCAGCAACTGCAAGGGCGTCAACAACATCAACGTCCCGTGCTCGTGCCCTCCCGACCGGAACGACTTCATCGCTAAGCTCAACGCGAACGTCGCCGCCGGCCACCCGACGAACAACCCCTCGGTGACCATCACTGGCTTCCCCGAGGACGACTCGAAGGCGTCCAAGCTCCAACGCCTCTTCGTCGCCACCGTCACTCTTCAAAACCTCAACGGCCCCGGCGTCGGCTGCCCCCAGGCGGCCACCACCTGGGGCGCCCTCCAGGCCGCCATTAACGCCGGCACCGACACCACCCCGCCTCCCGCCGCCCCTGCTCCCCCAGCCGCCCCCGCCGCCTCCACTCCCGCATCGACGGGCGGCATCGACGCGTCGCTCGTGCCCGACTTCGGCGTCGTCGCGGGCACGTCCCCCGACGGCACCGGCAACTGCAAGGGCCTCAACAACATCAACATCCCCTGCTCGTGCCCGCCTAACCGGAGCGACTTCATCGCGAAGCTCAGCGCGAACGTCGCCGCCGGCCACGCGACCAACAACCCCTCCGTCGCCGTCTCCTTCCCCACCGGCAACTCCAAGGGCGAGCAGCAGGCGCGCATCGGCGCGCTCCTCGTCACCCTCCAGAACCTGAACGGGCCCGGCGTCGGCTGCCCCGCGGTGTCGACCGTGTACGGCCAGCTGCAGCAGCAGATCAACGCGCTCCCGAACTGAGCTCTGTTCGCGCGCGCGCGCTGGTCCAGGCCCGCTGAAGGACGAGGCGGGTCTGGCGCGGATACCGATCGTCCTGGATACCCCCCGGCGTTGAGATCAAGGGTGCTCTTGGATGCACACGGATGCACGCAAAGTGCTATGTAGCTATGTAGTACGGTCCAATTGACGGTGCCAGTCACCAAGTTCCAGCTGTCTCTCCTCGGTGTGATCACGAGTGGGGGCACTTGCGTCTCCGTTGCGCCATTCGACATGCACAACAGCGCCAGGTCGGCTAGCTCGAGCTTCGGACGCCGGAAGGTGAGTACACGAAGCTGCGGCAACCCAGTGCTCGACACCCAAATGGGGGCAAAGCTGGCTGACGAGAACCGCGAACGCTCTTCCGGAACGACGACTCGACGGACGCGTGGTGGATCAGAAAACTCCGACGCTAGGCTCGCACCCGATGTGGTCACAGATTGGACACCGCGATCGGCCGGGAACGGGGGGGCGGCGTGGAATTGGGTACTCGGGTTACCAGGACCACGGACGTGGTTGTGTAGGTCCTCGCACCCCTGCCCTTCGCCAGGACACCCGAACGCGCCTATGCTGGGTCATCCGGACAGGGAAGGACTGTACGCATGTTCACATTCACGTCGTCTCGCTCAAGGCTGGCTGTTCTCGAGGTTGTTGCTCCCGCAAGAGTGCTTCAATCGTTCGCATTCATTCACGAATCATCTGATCTCCACCCATGCTCAAGTCCGAGTCTCGCCCTGTCTCGCCCCTCCGTTGACTGTAGTCATCCGGCCCGCGAAAAGTTCAGGCCAAGCCTCCTCGCACTCGTCTCCACAGCAACCACGGCGACGGAGGTCTATTCTACGACTGGTTTGGTGCGGCCCATCCCTCCCCCGGCCGCTGCATATTCCATCACTGCGGACCGTTGTTCGCCGCGCACACATAAAGGCGGACGCCTCGCCGCCGCACGTCCTCCTCCCCACCCTTCGCCAGGCTCAGGCAGCTGAAGACTCGTCTCGTTCTTCGCGCCGGCCGTTGCCCCTCTTGCAAGTTCTCCCCCGCTCCTTTGAACTTCCCGGCCGCGCCGCCTTCCCCCCTTCGCCTTTCCGCGTCCTCTGAGACGTCCGTTGGACCGCGTCCGCCTCTGCCCTTCTGCATCGCAACCCACTTTCCCCTGGCGTTTCCTTCCTCCTTCGCCCAGGCGTCCATTTGTCCCTTTCCCCGACACACGCAAGAAACACCGAGAAGATGAAGTTCTCAACCGCGACCCTCCTCGCGGCCTCGATGCTCGCCGCGAGCGTCCAGTCCCTCCCGATCCCGGCAACAGACAGCTCGACGGACACTTCCTCGAACGCCGACTTCACGCGGCTCGAGGCGGCGCTTGGCGAGTACGTGTCCCCCTCTTTCTCGCACTCGTCCGACCTCCCAGCCCCCACACTCACCCACCGTGCCCTCGCAGGATCTCGTCCGTGTCCAAGCTGGAGGGGCTCTTCCTCCGCGACGCCTCCGACGAAAGCGCAGCGCTCGTCGCGCGCGCCGCCATCGACGCCGCTTCCGTCTCGACCGTCCCGCTCGCGTCCCTCTCCACCGCCGCCGTCGCCGCAGCCGCCGGGTCCGGGGGCGCCGCGATCTCGACCGCGCCCGTAACTTCCGCGCCGCTCGCGTCCCTCTCGGCGACCGCGGCGGGCGCGAGCAGCTCCGCGGCGAACAACGCGGCCGGGGGCTCGGGCGGCGCCGCGGTCTCGGCCGCGTCCGTCACGAGCGAGCCGTTGGCGTCGCTCTCGGCCACGGCGACAGGGAGTGCGGCGTCGGGCTCGGCGACGGGCAGCGCGGCTTCGAGCGCGATGACGGGCAGCGCGGCGTCGAGCTCGGCGATGAACGGGGATGCGTCGAGCGCCGCCTCGAGCGCGATGACCTCCGCGACGGACAGCGCTGCGTCGAACTCCGCGGCGGGAAGCGTAACCGCGAGCTCGATGACGGGCAGCGTAACAGCGAGCTCGATGATGGGCAGCGCGGCCGCGAGCTCCGCGACGCAAAACCCGGCCTCGAGCTCGATGATGGGCAGTGCCGCGTCCAGCTCCGCGACGAACAGTGCTGCCTCGAGCTCGTCAGTGTCGGGGTCCGCCACCGTCGTGGTCTCGGTCGCGAGCTCGGGCACGTCTGCGCAGACCTCCGCCTCGTCGTCCGCCAGCTCGTCGAAGAGCACCAGCACCGCGTCGTCGGGCTCCTCTGGGAAGAGCACCCACACCGCGTCGTCGGGCTCCTCTAGAAACAGCACCAGCACCGCGTCCTCAGGCTCCTCCGGAAACAGCACCCACACCGCCTCGTCGGGCTCTTCCGGGAACAGCACCACCACGGCATCCAGCTCGCGCTCGACCGAGTCGTCAAAATCGAAGGGGAGCGCCACGATCACGGTCACGACTCACACCACGAAGGTCGTCACGGTGACCAACAAGGGGTCGTCGGGGAAGACGACGGAGCGCTCGTCCGCCGCGACCTCGACCGCGTCGTCCGAATCCTCATCGGCCAAGAAGGGGTCTTCAGAGACCACTTCCGCGACCAAGACCGAGACGACCGCGTCCGCCGCGACGACGACAACGAAGGAGTCAAAGAGCAGCAAGACGACCGAGACGTCGGGCGCGAAGAGCAACGCCTCGTCTTCGTCCGCTGCGGCGGCGAAAACGAAGGGTTCGACGGACAGCAAGACGACCGAGACGTTGGGCGCGACGAGCAGCGCGTCTTCGTCCTCGTCCTCGTCCGCCGCGGCGACGGAGACGACGGGTTCGAAGGGCAGCAAGACTACCGAAACGTCGAGCGCGACGAGCAACGCCTCCTCGTCCGCCGCGGCGACGAAAACGACGGGTTCGAAGGACAGCAAAACCACCGAAACCTCGAGCGCGACGAGCAGCGCGTCTTCGTCCTCATCTTCGTCCGCTGCGGGCCTGGTCGGCGGGTTACCCATCATCGACGTGTAGACGTCGGAGACCAAAATACGTACGAGCCTCGGACTTTGCGGACTGCTACGAATAGGGCTGTGATTACTAGTGTACGCTTTCACCGCTCGGACTCTTCTCGCTGGACTCTTCGTTTTTGCTTTTGCCTTCTTGCAATGCCTGGTGCGGGACGCGATGTACTTTACGCAGTAGTGATTCAATGGACGGTGCCAGCCACCGAGCTTCAGCTGTCTATTGATATGTGTGAATGCGTCCGTACTGGTGTCTTTCAAGATGCCATCACCGCTCCCAACCCGTTTTCTCCAGAGTGCCTGCAGAGCCTCGACCCCCTCATCTCTTGGCGTGACTCCCCTGCTGATAAGTGGTGGCCTGCTCACGACGTCATCGAATACGGTGATAGTCGTTGAATCAGTTCTGTACATGGTATGTGCGCGGACGTCGAAGTTTCCCAGAGACCCATTTCCGCCAGGTTGATAATAGTGGGCATTGAAACGAAACAGGCCTGTCCATCCGGAGTGCGGTTTACTGCTCCTCCCAGTCCGTAGAGGCGCAGTTACGACATGCGCGAGCTCCTCACCGTCCTCCATGGCGCATCCAATGAGTGGTACTCACACGACGTAGTCCGGTGTAGTATATTTCTTGGAAGTGTAGTAGGAGTACATGATACAGTAAATTGAACCTCTTTGACGCAACATGATCTCCAAAATTTGGTGCCCTGTGACGCAGATGAACAAAGATTCCCCCGGAAACGTACACAACTCAAAGAGATTCATTTCTGGTGAGGGTCTTGGAGCTAATGACGCTTGATGAGTATATTGGTGGAAAATGTACCCTCGCTCGGCGGCGGCGAAGTGAGCTTTCCCGAGCCTTCGACGGTGTACCCCAAAGAAGTGTAGACAGGGATCTAAACAGCGCGCATTCCGCGTCAGCGAACGCATGTGCCCCGAAGCGCCTAGATACGCACGTTCTCGTCCGCGCATTCGAGCACAGACGCGACGCCTTGCTGGCGCGCCTGTTGCGATCGCTTTATATCCCCGGTCGCAGAAAGCGCCCCGACCGACGCACCTTGTTGTGTATGTCGGCCATGAGCGCGGTCGCGATGCCCTTGTGCCGGTGCTTCTCGACGACGCCGATGATGACGAGGTGCCAGGAGGCGTGGTGCGTCTTGGTGCTGATGGCCGATTCGACGATTTGGCCGAACTCGGCGTAGTACTGTGGGGAAGGTCAGCTTCAGTACGAGCGGACAAGAGGACGAGGGACGGATGGGCATATGCGCGCGAGTATGAGGGGACGAGACGTACGTTCGTCCACCACGCCTGCAAGTGTGCCGGGAGCTTCGCCATGAGCTCGAGCCATCCCCTCTGCGCCTCCTCGCTGCACGCACGCGGTTCGCGCTCAGCCTGCGTCGCACGCGCGGACTCGCGCCGAGGGCGACTCACCCGTCTAGAAAGTCGCGGCCCGGCCTGACCCTGTGTCCCACGGGAGTGAGCGAGCGGCGTGCGTGCGAGGACACAAGAAGGGACAGACCAGACGGCGACGCCCACGACGCCTTCTCCAGGGACGCTCGCTGCGTAGACCTCGCCGGCGCCGTCGACGAAGCAACCCTGGAGGGAGACGAGCAGGGTGGGGACCTGGAGGTCGCGGCGGCGGTCGAGGGCGTCGAAGAGGAACTCTGGGGAGCGCGTCGACGGCGGTGCGCGCGTGAACAAGGCGAGAGATGGGGCGGGCAGGACTGACTGTAGTCGAAGGCCTCCGCGAGTGCGCGCGCGCACTCGTCCAACTGCGCGTCTGGGCCCGGGCGGTCGGTGTGTGGGCGTAGACGCAGCTGGGCTCGAGGGAGGACGGACCTGTGGGATCAGAGAGCCGGGAGACCTTGTATGCAGCCATCGTCTTGCGGGGGTGAGATCTTGAGATAGGACAAGAGGGCGGGGCAGTCGAGCTGCAGGGCGGTCGAGCTAGCTATAAGCTCTCATGGACGGGTGGGAGAGAAGTCGAATGGGCGGGGGCTTCGCTGCTTCTGCCATCGCCGCTGGTCTGTCCCGAGCGGCGACGGACAACAGCCCAAGGCCTGTGCGCTGAGCACGGCCGTTGCACGATCGCGTGGCAGGTTGCAGTGTGGAGGCGAGTGGGAGACGTCCAGGACATCCGCAGATGAGGACAGGTGTGCGCCTGGAAAGACCGTGCTGAGTGCTTTAATTATAAAGCACAACGCAGCTTTATTATCATCCGATATGGTGTAGTGGCTAACATTATCGCCTCTCACGCGATAGCCCGGGGTTCGATTCCCCGTGTCGGAATAGTAGCAGTTGTACGCACTTTTTGCATGACACCGCGGGCATTAGCCGCTGTTACGGTCCGTTTCTGCATCATGTTGTATGTCTTCACGTGGGGGCACTCTGAGAAACATTGATCGTCAGCCAATTGGAACTCGAGTTTCCAGATGTTACAAGGATGTTGCAAGAATGTTTCGGCGCGTAACATACTGCATGAGGCAAACATGACGCATCAAAGGAACGCCAGGATTCGTTGGCTCATGCCCCCGGTGTGAGGTCAGAAGCAATGACTAGACCAATGGAATGCGATTAATTGGAAACTGTCCAGAACATAAAAGTACTGTGGTTACATAGCGCTGTGAGTGCGCATTCGCGACAAGCTGATAGGGTAAGTAAGTACTAGGGCAGATGGAGCACAACACGAGGCTAGCGCGAATTGGACCGGGGCCGTTTCGCCCGCCCATAGCGGCCCCCAAGGCCAACCGACCGCTTCATGGCGGAGATGATGTCGTCCGGGTCCTCGTACTCAAAGTATGGCGACGCTGGGGGGCGAGCGCGCTGTGGCGAGCCGTGGCTGAGGATCGTCACACCCTCTTCGAGCGACACGGCGGGCCCCATCGCGGACGTGCACGCGGAGGGCGGGACGGAGCGCGCACGGTCGCGGACGTCGGGGTGGACGGTCAGCCCGGGGAGGTTGGGCACGGTGACGTACGCGTACACGACCGGGTTCCAGGCGCAGGTGTTGCGGAGGACGAGGACGAGGGCGCGGTCGGACATGTCGCGCGCGGCGACGAGCGGGCCCTCGATGTGCGGGTCGTAGGAGTCGTACTGGTGTGAGCCCGTGGGCGGGGGCAGGTCCTCGGCGGGGGTGTGGAAGCGGGGGTCGGAGAGGACGAGGAGCTTGAGGTGCTGGCCGAGGGCGAGGGGCGCGGCGGGGCAGATGGGCGCGAGGTAGTGGTAGACGAGCGAGGAGGCAGGGGTGGGGGTGAGGGTGGAGAGGGCGAGGGAAGGGATGGAGGACTGGTGCGTCCATTTGACGTACAGGACGGGCAGGTCGGATGGGTTGTCTGCGCGAGACATTCGCTGGTGGACGATCTGGCTGTGCTTCAAGCGGCCAGAGAGTGGAGGGCGCACGGAGTGAGAGAGGCGGGGTGAGTACGAGGACGAAGGATGGAAAGCTCGCTGGGCAGGGGCGACGCATCTCAGGGGCACACTGCGGCGGCCCCGCCCACCACGTTTGGCTTGCGTTTGGAAAACACGGTGCACGTACGGGCGGGTGTCCGCAGCGGTCGGGGCTGGCGGGCGCCGCAGCAGACTGAGGAAAGCAATCGGAGCACAGCTGAGCGCAGAGTCCGTTGTGGACGACGACGTGAGCGGGAGTGGCGCCTGCTGCCTCCACCGGCGCCTCCGCTCGCCTCCTCTTCCTCCACCGCCTCCACCGTCCCGCCCACCGTCTCCGCGTTCCTCGTCTCCGCCTCCCGCGCTACCCCCGCTCTCGACAATGACGCTGCTCACTGCCCTCTTGACCTCCTCTCGAACCTTCTCCCACCCGGCGCTGGCTCCACCGCTCGTCCAGACCCGCCTCGCGTCGTCCCGCTCCGGCTCGCCCTACGGCCGCACCCACGTCTGGAAGCTCCGCCCGAAGACGCTCCCGAGCCCAATGGTGCCCGTCTACCCGCAGCGGCTGGTTCGCGTCGACGGCTCGACGGTCGTCCACCTCACCTCGTCCCCGCGCGCGGCGATGCGCCTCACCCGCGACACGACCAACCACCCCGTCTGGAACGCCACGCGCTTTGTCGGGATGGAGGCGGAGGAGGACGGGCTCACCGGTCGGCTGGGGCGGTTCAGCCGCAGATTCGCGGAGCTGGGCATGGGGAACGGGCAGCGGCAGGATTTGTCTTGGATGGAGGCCGAGGCGAAGGAAGGCGCATCGCGCAGCACGTAAGCCCTGCGCGATCTGTCCACCATACATGTAGTCTCCACGCTCTCCCTCTCCGCGCTGAGGGTGTGTCGCACTCCAGCGTTCCCGTAATCAAAGGCACTGCTCTGAGGACACGTGTCTGCACTCAAGCATCGCAATGCGCTGCTGGATCGTGCTGCGCGACTGTGCTCATCCAACCCTGGGCCAGCGTATGTTCGCCTTTGTCGGGCATGGCGTTCATCTTGGGTGCGAGCGCGCCGCTTTTAAGAGGCAAATTACCCGTCTCTTCACCACAGCCACAATGCTCGGCCTCGGATCCTCCACCTCTGCCCTCACCATCTACCTTCCCCCAGCAGTCTACTCGGCGGGCAGCACCGTCGCAGGCGAGGTCTCCATCAACGTCCGTCAGGTGTACGACGAAGACATCGAGCTCGTCGAGATCCGCCTCCACGGCACAGCCTATGCGTGCGTGCTCCCCCTCTCCCTCTCTTGCGCGCACTCTCCGACCCTCCCTCCCGTCCTCGCAGCTCCATCCAAGTCGGCGAGAACGTCGTCGTGGCCAAAGTTCCCCTCATCCGCGAGGACATCACTGCCTGGGCGCGCGGCGCGGGCCCGCACGGGCCCGACTCCGACACCCTCGCCGTCCCGTTCTCGTTCACACTCCCGCCGGACCTTCCGCCATCCTTCCACCACGTCGGCGTGGGCTACAGCGACGTCGGCACGGTGCGCTACTCGATCGCCGCGGTCGGCGTGCGCAAGGGGCGGCTGCGCACGAACAAGCGGCACCGCGTCCCGCTCGCCGTCGTCCCGGAGGATGCCGTCGGCGCGCGAATCAAGGCCGCGCCCGGTGCGCACCAGCGGAAGACGTACCGGAGGGAGGAGCGGATCCGGAAGGGGCTGTGGGGAGACTACTCCCGGGTCGAGGTCGAGGTGCGTCGCCGCGCCCGTGCTGCCTTCCGTTTCGTCTGAGACGCGCTCCCCCAAGCTGAGCCTCCCGGACATCCCCGTCCTGCCCCTCTCCGCTGTCATACCGTACACGATCTCGGTCACGACCGAGACCCCGCCACTCACCCGTGCGAAGGCGGCTGGCCTATCATCGGACAAGGGCGTCTTCCCGCCCATCCCCACCACCCCCGACGCCGTCGAGTTCAAGCTGCGGCGGCGCGTCAAGATCATGGCGCTGAAAATCAACTCCAAGTCGCACAAGGACATCTGCCTCTTCCCGGGAGAAAAGGCGGCCGAGAAGGAGAGGAAGGACGGCACCCTTCGACCGCCGACCGCCGCGAAGGTCTCCCCAGGGGAGTTCGTGCCTGAGCGCGCGCCCGGGGACGAGAAGCGGACGGCGGGCGACAAGGACGCAGGGACGTGGGTCCAGCGTGCGACGTTCGACTCGACGCTGCGGCTCGACTGCCCGCCGTCGTTCGCGCTGTCGAACATCGAATGTTCGGTGGGTCGTGAAGCTCGCGCTGCGCATTCTCGGCTGCCGCTGATGCAGCACAGTACGAACTCGTGGTCACCGTGTCTTTCCCGGGGATAGGCAACAACCTCACGCTTGAAGTCCCGGTCGTTGTCTCCTCTGGGGTGGACACGGCTCTTCCGCGCGAGGAGGGCGCGTCTGCGGGCGAGCTTCCGTCTCTTGACTTGCCCCCGTGAGTCTCCACGTCGTCGCCTTCGTGTCTCTGCTGACGGAGCTGCGCGCACAGTGCCTACTGGGATACAACTGACACCAGGACTTGGGGAGATGACGAAAAGGAGTGAAGCTGGTAACAGTGCTCTTGTGTGCTTTGTTAATACAGTCGACTCTCTCGGTCTACCACCCAAAGATAGCTTAACCCACTGGCCAGTGTTGCCGCTGCAATGCCTTCGATCGCCCTTCTTCGAATCGGCTTCCTGGATATTGATCAAAACCAAGTGCAGGGGCTACTATGCGCCAGCCTTCCTCGCCTTTGTAGATCACTGTACAGGTACCGCCTACCATAGGGCTCCGCCCTCACGGGCGATAAATGAGATGCCAAAAGACAAGTCTTTATTTCCTTTGATGCAAGCTGCCGCAGTCCTCACCCGGTATGCGGGGCAACCGGAGGGCCTGGTGGCACGCTTTTGGCCATGAGACACGCAAGGCCGTGGAGGCGGACAAGGTGGACATGGCTGGGTAGGGGCATGGCTGTTGGGGTGGGCAGATTTACGATTGGGAATGCAAGGCGTTAAGTCATCTCCTCCCACACGTCGCGGCGCGCGGGGGTATGCGTTATGAGAGAGTCACCTGTACCTTTTCGCTTACAGTGTCTTTCGCCTCGCTTCATGGTGTGGTGTGACTCCCTACTCGTGAGCACGACTGAGTAGGGTACTACGACGGTGTACACACTACGGTACTACAACAACTGTTATTCCGACAAATCCCCATCGTCTGAGGTAGTATCCCAGCCTTCAATATGCGGCAGACCGCATATAACAGGCAGCCACGTCCACATATCCTGCCGTAGGGCATCCCAACGTTCGGTCAGCCTGCTATAGCATTGCTCGCAGCGCTCAAACGGCGCGAACTCCTCTCTCCTCGACGCCAGCAATCCAAACCCAGAGTCCACTGACCAGCAAGCGGAAGAAAAGTTCCGCTGGGCGTCGTGGAAGTCCCCCCACAGCCGCTCGCAGTCCTCCTGGTGCCCGCCGCCGCCCTCCATCTCGATCTCCGCGAACCCGCGGAACATCCACCCTTGGTTCTGGAAGAACGTGTCGCGGATGGCGATGCACTCCGCGAGCGCCTCCGCCGAGGTGAACCGCTCCAGCACGCCGCTCTCCGGGCACCGCCGCCCCTCGAGGAGGGCTCGCGCGGGGAGCCGGTAGCAGTGGTAGTACGCCGCGGGGAGCAGATCGTGCCGCCCGATCCGCCGGAAGAGGTTCACGGCCGGGATCGCCTGCGCGAGCCGCACCGCGTCCGCGTCCGAGCCCGCGGCGGACTGGTGCGCGTCCCAGGTCGCGAAACTGAGCGGGAACTCGCCCGCGGCGAGGCGGGCCGTCGCGGCGGCGAGGACGTCCTCTAGCTCGTACTTGTGGCTGAGGCGCGCGACGGCCAGCAGCTTCGGGAGCGTGTACGTCGCGGAGGGGGCGAACGCTCTGTGGGCGCGCGGGCGGCGGCGAGAGGTGCCACGGGCGAGCGTAAGTCGTGAGCCCGGCGATGGGAGGAGCGGCGCGCACCTACCGCGGGCCACTGTAGAGCACGGCGAGGAACTCGCGCATATCGTATGCGCAATCGGACACGTGCACGACGGGGCAGCCGTCGAGGTGATCGGCGGCGGCGGGCAGCGGTTGGGGGACCTCGAAGAGCGTCCGGAAGACCGCAGACTTGCTCGCCTCCAGGATGGACCTGTGGACGCGGAACGCGACGTCCTCGGCGACGAGAACGACGTTGCCATCGTGGTACCAGACTTCTGTATCCCGAGTGATTGGAGGAGAGGCTGACATGATGGAACAATGCCAGCAAAGCACAGTGGCTCTAAACGAGTTCGTCCATATGTTAGTGCGGAGTGCTGTATGGTAGGTAGGTTTATGCACTTGCAACTGTTGGCTCGCTGCGGCAGCAGCGTACTGGGAAGCAACGATGGGGGCGCGATAGCCCTGTGGACGATCATCAGAGTTTCAGTGGGAAGGACGCCAGGACGCTATTACGTAATTTGAACCCCGTGACTTTGGTCGTGCGCGCCGGGTGCTCGAGATCAAAATTCGCCTCCTACCTCATCAATGGACGACTTTTAGAACCTCCCACGTCCCGGTCGGGTGCAACTAGTACCAGCATTAGCCGCATACGGCAGCGTGGAATGGTTACTATTCCGCAGGAGGCCGGAATGTCACAGTCGCCACGTAAGCACCCGCCGAGTCGCCCGATTCCCGCTCATATGTCGCTATAGATTGGATCCGAAATCCTGTGTGTCCGATTGCGGCTCCTTTTGAACCAATTCGAGCTTTGGATGCACACTGATCGGCTTCCCAGACTCGCGCGCGGCCAGTGCTGAGTGGACCTTATCGGGCCGACGGGTCGTCCATCTACCACAGCTTGAAGACCTTGGGCTTACCTTGGACTCCCGGGCCCGATTTTGTCAAAAGCTTCCGGTACGTCGTCACATATACTGCGGTACGAGGACGGATGCTAAGAAAAACCGATCTGAATATCCCTGTCCGGGTAATCGCCACCATATCCGGCCAGGGGCCACTGGGGTAATGCGCATGAAGACCTCTCTCCTCGATCGTGGCGTCTAGACGGCTTGCTTCCAACCGCACGTGGTGCGACTAGGCTGGCCGGATATGTTGACACGGGAAGTGTCCACCTCCTTTTTCTTAGCTCCATCTAGGCTCTCCGTCGCTTCCCGCCTCAAAAGCTCTGTAGCAGACGCCACCCGCCATTTCACCTCCTGTATCCCTGCTCTGCTTCCGCCGCCCGTCAACTCAAAACGCAGACTCTCTGTGTAGCGTTTTCGTTCCGCTCATCCATTTCTCTGCCCACCATCTCGTCGTCAGACCCATCTCAGCCCTTCACCTCACGAGACTCCATCTATGCCTGTGTCCCATCCACAGTACAACTACCCGCCCATGCACAACTCCCCAGAATCGGTACAGCCACAAGTTTATCGGCCATCCGTGTATCCAGCCTATACCCCCAATGGGGTCGACTATTCTGTCAGTGATCTCCCATCCAGGGGCGTCGCCCGCACTCCGAGCCCGACCCCCAGCGAAGCTCGCGCTCTCTCGGGAAAGACCCGAATGTGCAACCTCAGGGCACTCCTCCATCCCCGCACGTTCAAGCGCATCAACCGCCAAAACATCGGTGCGCTATCCTCCTATTTTTTCCTGGGAGTAGCCGCTGACTTCACGTCGTTCAGTGCCCGTCATTGCCGGATTCACGGTCGCAGCTGCGTTGATCGTAATGCTGGCGCTGCACTCTCGCATCGAGGACGCACTGGAGCCGGCGGCTCGGCAGCTGCGCAAGTGCGTCCCGTTCCATTATGACGTCATATCATACTCACCGCCGTCTGCGAAGCATGCCCGCAGGATGGCTCATTCCCATCGCCATACTCATCGTCTTGTCCATTCCCCCAGTACGTGTTTCGCCAGTTCGCACACCAGCATGTGCTGACCACGCGGTCCGCATGTGCAGCTCTTCGGCCACGAAATTATCGCGTTTCTCGTCGGCGACGTCTGGGGCGTTGGGATCGGCTTCGGTATCGTCGCCGCGGGCACGATCCTCGGAGAACTGCTCACCTTCTTCATCTTCAAGTACTCGTGCACAAAGCGCGGGCGCAAGCTCGAGGAGACGCAGCTCAAGTTCGCGCTCTACTCCGGCGTCGTGCGCGGGGGCGGCATAATAGTCCCCATCGTCATGCGCTACAGCGCGATTCCCGGGCACAGTACGTGCCTCCCTTCATCGCTCTAGGTGTGGACTTCCGACTCAAGAGCCTCTCCAGTGACCACGGCCGTGTTCGCGATGTGCGGGATGCGCCTCTGGGTCTTCCTGCTCGCCGCAACTCTCTCTCTCCCCAAACAGCTCGCGCTGGTCTTCATCGGCGACGACCGCTCCGGTCCGTCTGCTCCGCTCTCGTTCTCCGAGTCCCCCGCTCACGCGTGTGCACTTTTTCCGCGCTCCCATAGTCAACCCGCGTGCAGGCAGGATCGTGAAGATCGTCGTGATCGTCGTGATTGTCCTTGTCACCATCGGCGCGATGCGCTACATCGGTGCGAGGGTGGACGCGATCAAGCAAGAGGTGATCTACGCCCGTCGGAAGGCGAGGTGCGTCCCCCGTTCGTCTCGTTTGCGGCGTTTCCTGTGCGCTGACGGCAGTTATGACGCGTACAGACAGGCGAAGCAGCTCGAGGTGGACGCGGATGAGGTCAACGCGCCGAAGCTGAGCGACGCATCTGTTTCCCCAGCCCCAGCCCAGTAGTAGGGTATCGATGGTTATTCCACCTCACGAAATGGTCTGGTCTTTAATCCGATATAGTTTTAGTTCAAGAAATACTTCGATCTGTCACAGCTATTTTATAAACTCTTGGAAGGTACCTTCCCCGCGCATACCGGCCGTGTTGAAAAATCCGTACAAGCGGGTCCAGGTCGAGTCAACAGCGCTTGTTGGGGATTCATACGTACTACCGGGCTCAGTGATGACTACCTATGCCGAAATCTGCTTTACAAAAGTTCCCCATCCCTTCAACATAGACTCTTCCAAAAGCTGGTGATACTTTTTCTTGCACCCCGAACAAATCCACTCCCTGAAGCAAGGCAATTGATACATGCTCGGCGCGACCGCTCTCCATTCCGGCCACACCCACACGTCCTTCATATCCCCCGAGGCCCACGTCCGCCCGCACTCCTGAGTCCTGACCCATTTTCTCCGCCAGCAACCAATAACGCACGTCGTTTTCGCACTTGGGCTGCCGGGAGCAACCCACGACGTTCTTGAACTTATCGTAACCGTTCCAGAAGGCGACCATCGCCCGCCCTACGACGTGGCCGAACTCCTGCCGGAGGCACACCATCGCGGTGGCGCATCGTCCGTAATCCGCGTCGCTGAGCACCTCCATCGTCCCGTCCGCGCGAGGCTGGCCATTCCGAAGGAATTGCGGCTTCCCATCGGCGGCGACGCAACAGTAGAAGAGCGCGACCGTGACCGCGATGTTTGAGAAGCGCGGAGAGTTTGCGCTCGTCGCGGAAGAGTTGATGAGACGCATGAGGTTGACGGCCTCGATGGCATCGGCGGGGTCGAACGTGACGCGTGAGGACGTGTTGAGGTGGGCTTCGACCTTGTCCCAGGTGGTACGGTGACCGAGTGAGGTGTGGAGCGGCGCGCCGAAACGGCGCGAGAGACGGTCGACGGCGACGGCGACGCCCTTTTCTACGTCGTACTTGTGTGCCATGCGGAGGAAGGACGCGAGCGCAGAGAAGGCTATTGGCTCGGTTTCGTGGGCGAGACTTCACGAGCTGAATGTTAGCGGCGTGTCATGTCAAGGTGTGAGGATCGGCTAAGCTCACCTATCGTAACCCGGGCGGAACATCACTCGGAGGAAATGCGACATATCGATCTCGGAATCCGTGACGCGCACGACAACACATCCTTCCATAGTTTCGTATTCACCTTCTCGATGAAGGTTCAACATGTCTCCGAACACGGAGGAGACTGCTTCAAGAACGCTGCTGTGAACACAGAACGCGGTGGTGCCGGCGATGATGACGATCGTTCCATCCTTGTACCACAGATCTTTTGCTTTGTGAAGACTAGAGAAAGACATTTCAATGCTGCGCATTGATGAGGTGACGATGTGGGTCAAGATGATGGGGCGATGGAAAGAGGAGTGCGAGTGGCGCGAACTAAAGGATGATGCGTGCACCTGCAGCTGCGGTAGGTGAGGTGCTTCGAGTTCTCACGGATGTAAGCAAACATGAGGTCATATTCAATCCATGAGATCCTCCCATTAGCGGTCAAGGGACTTAGACTTGGATGATGAAGTGCTCGTCCTATGTGTCTGGGTGCTGTCAGATGAGCTCTCTCCGTCTAGTAGCACGATTGGATAAACCGACCTCGAAATTTTTCAGTGGTCGCTCACCGGTCACGGCGATCGATACCACGATGTGGACGCGCGCCAGCTCCGAAGACCGCTGCATGACGATGAACGAGAACGTCGGTACCAGGGCGTTCTCGGGCATGCCTTCAATGATATATTCCCCACCGACTGAACCTGACCAAGCCCAGCGTTGGCAGCGCTGACGACTCCGACGTCCGCGACCTCGAGAGTCGAGGGCGAACCTGTTGAGACGGTAGCCTCACGCTAGTGGGCGCGACATCTCACCTGTAGCTTAGTAGAGCCTGTTTGAGGTCTCGCACGTAGTGTAGTAGTAAAAGGAACTGTGTATTAGCAGGCCGGGATACTCGGGTATTTATACAGGGTACGAACGAGTGGCTGGTGCTACTGTACAGTACACGAGAGAGGCTGAAACGAGAGCAAAGAAACGGGGCTACACTACGGTATCATAGAGTAGCTAGAGATAGCTCTCTGGAACGGGGGATGCACGATCGGAGACGTGCATGCCATGCAGTGGCGTTCCGTAGAGCGCGCCATACGGCTAGACGCTCTTAGGTAAGCCGAGCCGCTCGGCGGCCCGTGGCCGAGTATGCCGAGCGTTCTCACGCGTAGTCCGCGGTGTACTTACCGCGTTCAACACCCCCCCTCGCTGAGCAGCCGTAATAAAGGCGCATCAGCGAAGTAAGACAGAGGCCTAAGGGTGGAATACAAGCCCTAGAAGAGGGCGGAACTTGAGGAACTTGTCAGGCCCCAGGTTCTTGGTGAAGAGGTCGGCGGGGTTATCTTCGCCTTGAATGTAGAATAATTCAACCTTCTTCGCCTCGACGATCTCGCGTATATAATGATAGCGAATGTCGATGTGCTTGGTGCGCTTCTCAGTGACTGGGTTCGAGGCGAGGAAGATAGCACCCTGATTATCGCTAGAAAGCGGTACAGGCTCGAGGAAGTAATAGATCTCCTCGAGGACGTTGCGCGAATAGACGATTTGACGTCCAGCGTCGTCTACAGCCATATACTCGGACTCGGTGACAGAGTGCGAGACAGTGTTCTGCGCACGTGACTGCCAGGAGAAGGCGGCGTTAGCCATCTTGACGAGGTATCCAGTTTGAGAGCGGCGAGTTGTAGGATCAGTGCCCCAGTCGGAGTCGACAAAAGCGACCATGCCAAGCCCCGAGTCGCCGTCGTAGACCATGGAGTACGATTGAGTGCCGACAAGGTAACGGCAGATGTACTTGGCCTTGGTCAGGTGATCTTCAGATGGGTTAGCGGCGTATTGCGCTAGCTTGGTAACTGCGAACGAGATGTCCGGGCGCGTGCCGAGCATGAGGTATAGAAGCGATCCGATGACCATTTGGAACTCAGCGCGACGCTCGAGGTTCACAGGCTGGTCGTTGGGTTCAGGAATGTACCCGGCCGGTAGAGGTGTGGGCTTGGATTTTGCGTTCACCATCTTGCAGCGCTCAAGGACGGATTTGAGGTAGGCGCATTGATCCAGATGGATCTTGCGGCCGTCGCGTCTGATCGTCATGCGGAGGAACTCCTTGGTCTCGCCAAGGTCGCGGCACTCCCAGCGCTTCATGAACTTCTCCTTGAGTTCGAGCACGAGCGCCTTGTCCTTGCCGCAGAAGAGCGCATCGTCAACATAGATGATGACGAGTACAATACGTCCGTCGCTATGTTTATATAGGAATAAACCAGCGTCGGTGGAGAGTCGGATGAATCCGAACTCTACCATGGACTCGCAGAGGGCGCGCCACCACGCTAAGCCCGCTTGCTTAAGTCCGTAGAGCGCACGAAGTAGTATGAATACTTGGTGCTCATGCCCTCGGATTTTGAATCCTTCGGGCTGCTCCATGTATATCTCTTCGTCTAGCTCGCCGTATAGGTAAGCCTTCCGCACATCAAGTCCAGTCATGAACCAATCTTCGAGCGCACAGAGCGCGAGGATCAGTCTGACTGTCTCGTAGCGTACGACGGGAGAGAAAACCTTGAAGAAGTCTTCAAGTTCAGTCTGTGAGTAGCCCTTTGCGACTAATCGGGCTCTCTTTCGACCATCTGGTTTGATGTCGAATACCCAGCGGTTCTTGACAACCTTGCGGCCTTTCGGGCGGTCGACAAGTTCGAATACATCCCTGCGCTTGAGGTCTTCCAGCTCCTCGCGGCAGGCCGCTTTCCATTCTTCTTGCTCGTCTTTAGGTAAGCGAGCGATGTCACGGAGCGTCCAGTTTCGGACGTTTGACGGATCGGGAGTACTATCTGGTGGTACAGCTTTCGCTGCGAGATAGTTTAATAACTCCACTCCCCCTTCGCGGCACAGCTGTGCCAACAGTAGGTCGTCGACTTCAGACGACTCGCCCGAGGAGGATGATTCAAGAGAGGGTTGTTCCACATTTGAAGGTGCGTTCGGAGCAGCATTTCCGGTGTTATGCGCTTCCACTTGCTGATTGGGATTACGATGGCGACTCGCATTTTCTCCAACCATCTTCTTCCATGTACTCTCTTTCTCAATCTCTTGGTAAGTCTTGATGGGGTCTCGTGACTCCCCATAGACGTTTCCTGGACGAACTGGTACTTTCCGCTCACGCGTGCTTTTTCGCGTAGGTTGCTGCGGCGCTTTCGCGCGCTGCTTATCCTTACGTTCAGCAGCCGGTCGCTGTGGCGGCGGACTAGGATCGCGCGAGGGTGGAAGGTCAGGTTCGACTCCCCCTTGCTGCGGTGGCGCAACATTCTGCTGCCCATCCTGTCTCCTTTCTGCGGTTGTGGGAGCACGACGCGGTGCAGGTGCGTCGTCTTCATCATCCGACAATATTTCGTCGCTGACGGTGGGTTGTTTATACGGTCGTCCGACCGGTGTAGTGCCTCGCTTATTGTAGCCGGGGCATCGTGGGAACGAGTGCTCGTCGAAAAGCGCTGATGTCCCGGTAAACACGATATTGTTGGGTGAGCGCATGAATTTGAAGCCGTTCACGCCGTCGGGGTTGCCGATGTAAGTCATAAGCTCAGATCTAGGTGAGAGCTTGTTCTGACGAACGTCTTCAGGCAGATGAACATATGCCCCGCAGCCGAATACGCGAAGGTGATCAACTTGCGGCTTCTCGCTGTACACCACTTCGTATGGCGTGACCCAGTCGTGCCTACGTATCGGGGTGCGATTGTAGACGTGAGTTGCGTGTTCTATCGCGAACTCCCACCATGAATCAGGTAAGCAAGCGTCGTGACGCATAGCTTCAGCCTTTTCCATGACAGTGCGGTTGAAGCGCTCTGCGCGCCCGTTCTGTTTTGGTGTATGAGGTGCGCTTTGTTGGATTTTGATCCCTTCATCGCGCAACATGTTGACGAAAGCGTCGGAGGTATATTCGCCTCCAGCGTCTGACCTCCAGTTCGTTATACGCCCATTAAGTTGATTCTTGATCGCGGCGATGAACTGCTTGGTCGCATGAAACGCAGCACTCTTTTTGCGCAGAAACATGGTCCAGGCGAAGCCTGAGTAGTCGTCAACGTAAGTGATAATCCACTTATATTTGTGATACGACAGGACGGGGAACTCCTTGAGATCGGAGTGTATCGTTTCGAATACGCGCTTGGCGCGAGCGGAGGAGGGCGGGAAGGTGCGTGAGTGCATTTTTCCTTCTGCGCATCCTTTGCATAGCGGCGCTTCATCTGGGAAGATGACGCTGCCAAAACCATCTGTATGGTTTCTTGCGTGCTTCAAGACATCAATTGAGGGATGCCCGAAACGTCTGTGCATAGTCTCATAGTCGAGCTTGAACACAGATCGCGATACAGCGAACGCGTCCTCGGGCGGGACTGCCCAGAGGATGTAGATTGAATCCCCAGGTTTCCTAGGTGAGAACCGTAGTAACGGTTTTCCGTTCGGTTTGACTATAGTAAGCGCGGCTTTATCTGCGCGCGCTGACATTCCTTCTTGTAAGAAGGATCCGAGTGAAATGAGGCGTCCACCTAGATTAGGTAGGTAGTTGACGGGGTGCAGCCGTATGGCGCAACGTTCGCAGTCAAGTGCGCTTGCGGTGTTGATGAGTACTGTGCCGAAACCCTTTACGAATGTTACTCCGTTTGCTGTGCGAACAGGGGTGGATTCATCTTCGAGCGGAGTGAACTCAATGAAATCATTGATATCATGGGTATAGTGCTCGGAGGCTCCGGAGTCGCACATCCACGAGATAAGATTCGCGTAATGCGGATTATCAGGGCGCCAGCGCTCATCGTCGGTTAGACCCATCCGCGCGCGGTCTTTTCCTTTGCAATCTGTACACGCAGCGTATGTGAACTTATGCGCACATAGATCGTCATAGCATAGTAAACTAGCTAATACATGATCATCTACATTACTAGTCTTCGCAGCTGTGAAGAGCGCGTTAGCTAGTTGTAGATCGCGCGAAGATGCGAGGACTTGCCTCATATACTCATCGCGGTCAGGGGCAGACCCAAGAGAGACGACGTCGTCGTCCTCCATAGCGCTCTTGTCGCTGTCGGTCTCCACGCCACTGTTGCTGCCATGATCGGAGGCCCATATGATGGGCCCGAGGCGCTCCTGGAGGGATAGGCGCTGCTTCTTAGAAGAAGATGCTGCCGCGTTGTCGGGCTCAGTGATACGCGCGCTGAGCGGGATGTCCATGCGTCCGGACGATGTAGAGACAAAGTTCTTGATCGACTGGATGGACGCGGAGACGTTCTGCTGGGCGGCGGTGTTGAGTGCCTGGACGATGTCGGGATAGACATTGCGGCCGTCCATCGTGTTAGGAGTGCGTATGGCGTTGGTGCGGATGGTGATTCCGTGAGGGTGAATGTCCATGACGCGAGAATAGTCGGGAGGAGGGATAGAACGAGGGAGATCCGTGATGACGGGACCGGGGAGAGGAGCGCGGAGAGGAGCGCTTAGCTCGGTGATCGCGGGCGACGCGATGTGCGCGCTGTGATCTTGCTTGTTGTACTTCTCCTGTACGCTCTTGCCGGCGCGATTGCCTCGCTTCTTGTTCTTCTTCGCCTGCTGCTGGTTGCTGCCTTGGTTTGGGCGCATTTGCTGCGACTGGAAGGTGGGATCGTCACCCTTGCGCTTGACGGCTGAGATCTTCGCCGCTTGTGGATCCGAGTGAGTGTGTTTCGACTTCGTCCGCTGGTTTTCAAAGCAGCGGATGATCTCCGCGCGGAGCTCGGGGTACTTGAGCTCGGCGATAGTTGCGACTGACATCTTGGAGTTGATGACGTAGTCGTAGTTCGAACTAGGCAGCTTCGATAGTAGAAGCATGGCCTTGATGAAGTCGGGGATCGCGATTTGAAGGTCGGAGAGCTCGGTCCAGGCTTGATCGAGGCGATCGAGAGCGGGGATAGGTGACGAGTTTGATGGGAACGAGGTAGCGAGAGCGGTCTTGAAGTGACCGAAGGCGTTCGCGACCGAGGTCTTGTCGTAGAGATCTTTGAGAGCTTCCCAGATCTCTTTGGCGGTCGTCTTGGTCTTCACTGCAGTTTTGACTGCGGGCGAACAACGCAAGAGGATGTTGCCTTGCGCCTTCTGATCGAGGGCGTCGAAGGTCTCGCCTTTGGTGTCGTCGTTGTCCTTGGGGTTCGCAGAAGGTCTGGTCTTCGTGATCACGGGACCTTGCCCTTGGGAGAGCAGGTAGCACCGCATCTGCGGTTCCCACGACCGGTAGTTCGTGCCGTCGAGGACAGGAACGTGCTGCGTCAAGGTTGAAGACATTGTATGTGTAGGACGATTTGTATTGGAAGATAGTGCGATAAGTTCTGTATGAAGACAGAAATCAGCATACGTCCCAAAACGGATGAAACGCAGCCGTTACGGCGCGAGATAACGCTTTGATGCTGACGCTCTGAGTGAGTCCTGCAGCGGATCAACCGCGCATGGATCTGCACTCCGGTCTGCCATTTCGGCGACCTACAGGTAAGCTCAGCGCGCCGACTGCAGCCATGAAGGCGCTGTCGAGCGACACCAGGGCTCATAACCTGTTGAGACGGTAGCCTCACGCTAGTGGGCGCGACATCTCACCTGTAGCTTAGTAGAGCCTGTTTGAGGTCTCGCACGTAGTGTAGTAGTAAAAGGAACTGTGTATTAGCAGGCCGGGATACTCGGGTATTTATACAGGGTACGAACGAGTGGCTGGTGCTACTGTACAGTACACGAGAGAGGCTGAAACGAGAGCAAAGAAACGGGGCTACACTACGGTATCATAGAGTAGCTAGAGATAGCTCTCTGGAACGGGGGATGCACGATCGGAGACGTGCATGCCATGCAGTGGCGTTCCGTAGAGCGCGCCATACGGCTAGACGCTCTTAGGTAAGCCGAGCCGCTCGGCGGCCCGTGGCCGAGTATGCCGAGCGTTCTCACGCGTAGTCCGCGGTGTACTTACCGCGTTCAACAGAACCTTCATGGAGGGCGACGCACCGTCTTTGGTGAGAGGGCACGTGTTCGAGGTCGGGAGGTCGGGCGGGCGAGGCAGCCCCTGTCGGGATAACGGTACGCAAGCTGAAAGTGGCCAAATTTGAGGGGCTTGAAAAGAGTTGGTGTAACGTAGCGCTGTCGATGAGGCGGAGTATCTGGGATGAATGACGAGGAAGCGGGCTTACTATATGCGAAGGTCTGCCAGACGAGCGAACGTGCACGATGACAGGTTGTCGGAGAAAGAGAATTACTATCACGGCTACTAATCAAACATGTGATGAGTACCGATAAGTACCTGGCAGTATGTTGGGACGTGATGGTAGATACGCAATCCGGCTGGTGGTGGAGGTGACAATGAGCGGCTCGGGTGCTTATATAATCGAGAACATCGCGAGGCGAAGACGCCCGATGACCACGAGCGCCAGTGCGCGTCCACTGCTCTGCTTCCGCCAATCAAGTATCCAGGTCCTCATCAGCATCTTCCATCCACCTCTTCAGGAGTCTCAGACTGTGACCAGGACCCACACGAAAGCGATCTCTGCCCCACGCAATTTACCTCGATGGAAGACTTTGCGGTCAACACCATCCTAGAGTAAGACACGGTGACGCGGTGACCTTCAACCCATCGTGAGTGTGGCTTTTCACGAGAGCTCGTCAAGCGTAAACGGCATACACACAGGTGCTGCAGCAAGGACACAACGTTCTTCTAATCCGAGACCGACATGTTCGCGACAAACAGGTCCCAGCCTTTCACCATCGACTCCTCCAGCAGCTGCTCGAACTTCTTCTTGCACGGACCGCACATCCATTTCTGCCACGCCTCCGCACCGAACAGCCCCGGCGCAGGCTGTCGTTTCGCCACCCACACCCAAACGTCCCGCACGCTCCCGCGACCCCAGGTGCGTTCGCATTCCGTCAGTTGAACGTACGCCAGATGGATCTTGATGTCCTCCTGACACCCGTTCTGCCGCGGGCACTTGATCTGGTGCTTGAAAACTCCGTATCCGTCTTGGAACGCCATCAAAGCGCGCGACACGCCGTCGTAGACTTCTTGGCGGAGCAGCGCGGTCCCGCGCACGCACCGCTCCAAGTCCGCATCGCTCAGCTCCTCCACCGTACCGTCCGCGCGCGGCGCGCCGCTCCGGACCAGGCGCGGGTTCTGCTCCACCGCGACGCAGCAGTAGAAGAGCGCCACGGCGAGGGCGCGGTCTGGGAAGCGTGGCGGACCCGTGGCGGCGTTGATGCGTCGCATGAGGTTCAGGGCTTCGAACGCGTCGGCGGGATCGAAGGCGACGGAAGCGTGGGCCGTGTCGAGGTGCTTCTGGACGTCGTCCCAGTCGACTTGGCGGCCGAGCGAGGTGTGGAACGGGGCGCAGAAGCGCTGCGAGAGGCGGTCTACGGCGATCGCGACCGCCTCTGGGACGTCGTACTTGTGGGCCATGCGGAGGATGGAGGCGAGCTCGGGAAATGAGACTTGCTGGGTATCGCGTACCAGGCTGAACATGTTCAGCGTGAACGGGCAAAGTGGAGTGAGTGGTAATGCATGAGGCGGGCGGCGACCGGGCATACCTTTTATATCCCGGGCGGAACACTGCCCTGAGGAAGTTCGTCATATCGAAGCCCGAGTCTGTAATGTGTGCTACGACGCGGCCTTCCATAGTATCGTTGTTGGGAGATTTGGGGAGTGCAAGGATGTCGCGGAATATGGGGGAGAGCGCAACGAGCACGCCCTTGTGTACGCAGAAGGCGACTGTTCCAGCGATGAGGATGATTGTGCCATCCTCGTACCACAGGTCTTCAACTTTGTGAAGGTTTGACGAGTCCACATGTCCCATTACTGAGGTCTCGCGAGAGGAGTAAAGCGGGGATGGTACTCCGAAGGAAAGAGGCGCCGACCTCGATGAAAACACGAGGATCCATAGCTGCGGTGGGGATTCTCATCGCTTCTCATTCACACGGGCTGAGTCGTCTTGCACGCAGCGAGATGTTGTGACATCGGAAGTGCATGCATTTTCGGATAGCATCACTGGGATGGGAAGAAAAGACAGGATGCAGCTGCGGTAGCCGTCCGGAGCCCGGGCCGCGGTGATGTTGGCGAGGACGTTATGTTCCAAGTCATCGCCGAGATTCCATTTCGTTGAAAACGAGACTTGTCGTACTTTCGCTAGCCAAGTCCTGTGACGCGACAGGCAATGCAGGATTCCTCGAGTCCAAGAGTCATCGCGATTGTGTTTTTCTCGGCAGTGCATCAGCATTTTTCACTCATAAACGACTTTTACGACGAAGAAGATTTCTAGTCCGATAGAGCAATAGCAGCAACAAAACCCTCCCATCCCTGCACCATCGCATCCTCCAAGAGCTCATAAAATATGTTCGTGCACGGTGCGCACAGCGCTCCTAAGTTCTCCTGACTGAACACCTTCGGCACCTTCTCCCTCTTCTTCGCCTACACCCACATATCCCTCACACTTTCTTGCGCCTCGGCACGCTTCTTCCCGTACTCCGTTAGCTGAGCGGTCGCTGTCGGCCGCCGGACGTTGTCCTTGCATACTCGAGGCGGAAGCATGCACTGGATTATGTCCTTGAAGCCCTCGTACCTGTCCCCATACACGACCATCGCCCGCGACACGACGTCCAAACTCTCTTGTCGGAGCAACGCGAGCCCGCGCACGCACCGCTCGAAGTCTTCGTCGCTCAGCACCTCGACTTGCCCGTCCGCGCGTGGGGTGCCAGTTCGGAGGAGACGCGGATTCTGTTCTGCCGCGACGCAGCAGTAGAAGAGCGCGACGGCGAGCGTGCGGTCCGCGAAGCGCACCGCGTTCGGGCCCTTGACGGGCGCGCTCTTGTTCACGAGACGCATGAGGTTGAGCGCCTCGAACGCATCGGAGGGGGTGAAGGCGACAGCGGCGTGGGTCGTGTTTAGGTGGGCTTCGATTTCGTCCCAGCTCACGCGTCGGCTGAGCGCGGTGTCGAAGGGGGCGCAGAAGCGGCGCGACAGTCGGTCGACGGCGATCGCAGCGGCGTCCGCGACGTCGTACTTGTGCGCTATGCGCAGGACGGATGCGAGCTGGGTGAATGGCAGAGGCTGCGCGCCATACACGAAACTCGGAGAGATTGTGAGCGCATGGTTTGAGAGAAAAATGAGTACTGCATACCTTTTGTAGCCGGGCAGGAAGTTGGTGCGGAGAAAGTGTGTCATATCCACACCAGAATCAGGCAGGCGTACCGCCACACGACCTTCCATCGTGTTTTGATCTTCATTCTGGGGAATGGAGAGAATATCTCGAAATGCAGAAGAAAGTGAGGCGAGGACACCCTTGGGAACGCAAAAAGCGGAGGTGTCACAGATGATGATGATTGTGCCATCATCGTACCATAGATCTTCCACCTTATGAATGTTTGATGAGTCTACGATGTGGCCCATGGCGATTTTATCGCGTGTTGCGAGCGCAGGGTGACGTGCGCCGGTGGCGGTAGAAGATAAGGAAGAAAGGAAGGTTCTTCTCACCCTGAGATGTATAAACATGATCACGAGGAACTGCCCAGCACGTGACAAAACGCGTCACGTCGCGTCAGCCACGCACGCATCAACCCAGAACCGCCGCGATCGTCCTTCGAGAAACGTGCCACCGGGAACGTGCGCATGTTGGACGAAATGCTCAGTGCGGCGATGCTTGGTCATCCTCGGTTCACGGAACGATAACCGGCCCGAGGGCGCTGGACCTTCGCCAAGTTGACCTTGAGTTGACCTCCAAGTTCTTCCCTCTGCCCTCGACACGTCCTTTCTCTATGCATGGTCCACATCGTTCATGACGGTGTTTGTAGCTGTGCATCGATATTCTCTCGCGAAATCAGCTCACTTGCTCTTGTCTTTCGACCAGAAGAATTGTATGATATAGGGCTCAGTATTGAAGTACACGCATTGGAACGAGACGGTCACTGTAACAAAAAGGCTTCTACCCGCTCCCAAGACGCCACGATAGCTTCATAGTGCAACCCCAGAAACTTCCCCCGACAGCCGGAACACATCCACTTCGAACATGGTTCGCAAGTAAAGACGGCAGGAAGCTCCAAACGCTTGTCCATCCTGATCCATGCGTCCTTCACCGTGTGGGCTGCTGTCCTGTCCGTGAGATGATGCTTTACCGCGTGCTCGCTGATGTCGAAGAAGCACCACCGTTCACGCTTCTGCTTCTCTGTTCGAACGCAAACGTGCTCCTTCCACTCGTTGAAGCTTTTCCCGTACTCGGTGATTGCGTCCCCTAATGTTTGGCGCGCTTCTTCGCGGATGAGCTGCATCCCTCGAACGCAGCGCTCGCGGTCTTCGCTCGACAGGTGCTCTGCAATCCCTCCGCCACGCTTGATGCCTTCCCAGAGAAGTCGTGGCTCTTCCTCGAAGGCAACGCAGCAGTGAAAGAGCGCGACGGCGAGGGCAGTGTTGCTGAAGCTTAAGACTGGCGCGTCTGGAGGGGTCGCGGAGCCGTTGACGAGGCGGATCACGTTCACGATTTCGATCGCGGAACGTGCCTCCAATACCACGTTGGCGCACGTCTCGTTCATCCGCTCGAGGTTTTCGGTCCACGTGCGGCTGTCCGCGCCCGCCCCGAACCGCATCGGGGTCTGGAGGCGGCGCTCGAGGCGGCGGATGGGGATCTCCGCGGCTTCGCGCACTTGGTACTTGTGGGCGACGCGGATGAGAGACACAAGGTGCGAGGAAGTCATGGACTTGGTGGATTCTGACAGACTTGCGTCGAATCTCTATCAGTCTGTGTGCTTGAGGGGGGTGTGCTGAAGAGAGCTCACCTGTCTCGATGGATGTGGAAGACCCACTCGAAGAAGCGTGTGAAATCCTCCGCAGAGTCAGAGACGCGGACCACTGGGCATCCCTCGACGGTCTTCGCATCCTCGGGGTGTGGCACGGAGAGCATGTCTTGAAAGACTGGGGAAATAGCGCTGAGGATACCCTGGTAGACCCGGAATGATGCGAGATCGCCAGCAAGGAAGACGATATTCCCGTCGTCGAACCAGAGGTTCTTCGCTCTTCGGCTGCTAGGCAGCTGGATGTCCATGTTCAACATGTCTGCTGAGGTGGGTGATGGACGATGGCAGAGTGCTGCAGTGCGCGCCAGGAGAGGACCGCGCTGCTGCTGCGGTAACAGTGGGTGCTCCCGTGCTTGATATCCGATGGGAATTCTCGTGTAATGAGGACCATACATATTGGACAGTGCTGGTGACGTCGCGCATGCGCCTCGACTTCAGCCGCGACCGTTATCCCGCGTCCTTCTACACAAGCAGCACTTCATCAACGGACAGGCTCATCTGAAACTGTACCCAATAATCCGCATTCTTAATTAAGTAATTCTGACAAAACATCGCACGATCAGTCAATTCAACAACACCTTCTCTATGCGTCTCCACGAATCGCAAACGGCCCGGTAATGCAGATCCAGAAACATCGACCTACACCCGACGCACAGCGACTCCGAGCAGCTGAGCACCTCCGGGTACGCCTCCCGCATGTCGATCCGCTGCCACGCCTCCCGAACCAGCGCTCCGAACGACTCCCTATCCTCCAGATGGCACTGTACCGCCTTGTCCGTGATGTCCGTGAGGCACCGTCGTTCGCCCTTCTCAGGAGAACGCCGACTGCACCACCCCTCTCTCCAGGTTTCCCGGTACCGCTTGATCGCGTCCGCGACCGTCCACTGGATCTCCTCGCAGATGTACTTGCTCGCGCGGACGCACAGAGCGCGGTCGGCGCCGGAAAGGTGCTCGGCGTTGCCGTCCGCGCGCTTTATCCCGTCCCAGAGGATGTTCGGGGCGTCTTCGATGGCGATGCAGCAGTAGAAGACGACGACGGCGATGGTGGTGGAAGGGACGCGGGGGTCGCCTCCGGAGGACTGGGAGTTGAGGAGGCGGCAGAGGTTGAGGACCTCGATCGCCTCATGCGTGTGGCGGAGCTCCACCCTCGCGTGTTCGCAGTCGAGAAAGTAGTTGAGTCCGACCCACTCGTACTCTTCCGCGCTGGGGATTTCCGTGTTGTGTATGGGGGCCTGGAAGCGGGTCTCAAATTGGCGGACGACTTGTTTGACGGCCGCGGCGACCTCGAATTTGTGCGCGACTCGGAGCAGGGACGTCAGTGACGAGCACCGTACGACTCTGGGTAGGTCTCCTTCGGAGTGCCTGTTGTGGAGATGTCGTTGTCAGCGTTGTGTTCGCTCCCTGGAAACGTGACAGGACGCGACCGTTACTTACCTCCCGCTGCGATGGGTGTTGAACACCCATTCAAAGAAGTGCCTCATATCTCCAGCCGACTCCGACACGCGCACTACTGGGCACGCCTAGATGGTCTCCGCATCGTCGGGCTGTGTGGAGGAGAACATGTGTTCGAAGACGGGGGACAGGGAGCTGAGGAGACCCTTGTAGACGCGGAAGCCGACATTGCCTGCGACGAAGATGACAGTGCCGTCTTCGTACCAGAGACCGTCTGCTCGGGTGAAACCTTTGTCGACTTGATCGTCCGTCATTTGAAGATGCGTGATGAACTGGCGGACGGGGCGGATGTTCCACCGGTGGTAGTTGCAGAGAGAGGCGGCCGCTGGCGCTGCGGGAACACGCGCAAAAGGTGCCGCTTTACACGTGGTCTCTTTCTTACGTTCCTTCGGGAGTAGCGACGTAGACGTGGGAAGCCTTCTTGACCCGACGGAAAGAATGCAAAGCGTCGGGCCAGACGCGACCTGCACGTACCGCCTGTTTGGAGACGATTTCCGATTGATGGCCAACTCCGAGCTTCGAAAGAGAGCCGCGCAATACGAGTGATGTCAGCCTCCGTGAACGCCGAGCTTTCACTAAAACTCTTACCGTTGTCCGTGCGTGTCGCGCTTGAAGGCTGCGTGGATTCGGCATCATTGGTAATCCAACACGCAGTCTTCGTGTTCTGGCAGAGCCGCGGCGTCGATGGAGGTATGAATGCCGAGCCTAAGTCTGACGTTTCCAGGCGGCAGAAGGCCCGTCAAAAACTACCCCTGCGTGAAGGTGCGTATTAGACAATCGTCCATAAGGTATATCTGGCACGCACATAAAGCTTTGGGATGTACGTGTACAAACTGGGCCTTAGCTCCTCGTCGTTCGGCAATTTCCCGACCTGCCAGGACAGTCGGGATCACAGCGATTCCGGGAATTGAAACTCGACGGTCCTGCAAATGAGCAGGCTGGCTGCAGTAAAAGCGTCGATTTGAGCACCGATACGAGAAACCAACCGCCATCTGCTCTCGGCCGAGATATTGATACATACAGGGGGCGCTGCACGAACTCTTGGTTTTCAAGGCTCGTGTAAACGAACGCCAGGTGGAAGATCGCGATGCCTGCAAGTGGTTGGGAACAGCACAAAGAGGCGCCAGGCATTCTGCGGTGAGCGCGGGCGCCACCATGCTCGACGACGGTGGTGCGTCGACGTCATCCGCTCGTCGTCATCCGCTGGCCACCGCTTTCCAATGGGCGCATATATCCTCCCCGTTGCGCTCTCTCACCCCATCCACCACCCAGCACATACGCCCTCCACGACTGAACGTTGAACTTCGAACATGAGCGGAGGTAAGCACCCACCCATCTTTCATAGGACGTCGCGCTCACCCTGAGCCCGTGAGCAGCATCCGACTATACGACCCGCAACTACCCGCCCGAGAACGACAGTGCGTCTCCCGCCCTCTCTCCCTCACGCCCCCTGACCCACTCCCCTCCAGCGACCTCCTCAGGCGGCTTCTCCGCCCAACACACCTTCGCGCCCCAGAACCAGCGCCGCGCCGACCACTTCGCCGCCGCGCCCTCCGCGAACCCGAACCCGCCGGGCACGACCGGCACCGGACTCGTCGGCGAGGCGGGCCGCGACTTTGGCGCGGACAACCAGCAGGTGGCCGAGGGTCGCCAGCGTGGTGGATTTGGCGGACGGGGAGGGCAGCGGGAGGACATCGGGGCGCAGGGCGAGATGGTGGACGAGAGCGAGATGATGTGAGCTTTCACTGTCTCCCTGGGGAAGAGCACAGTGGGTGCAAAAGCGAAGGACTGTCGATCATATGTTGTATGGTATCCGCGCCAATCGCAATGTCTCTTCAAGTGCACACCCGAATCTGTGCTGCCCCAGAAAGTGCACAGCCGACAAGCACCAAACAAGCTGGACCGGCTCTTGGGTTGGTATCCTGCTGTGACTTGCTGATGTCCAGTCAAGCCATGTAGACTGTTGGAAGGCGACACAACACTCACCAACCCTATGTCCTTCGCATCGAACGCACCCGACGGCAACACACGCAGAGAGAGATTAACCAAAATTACTTTTCGCACCTCTGTAACGCACAACGAGCCACGCCGCCCAAGCGGATAGTGAGTACAAACGCCGAAACTCGCCACCCTCCTCCCCCTACGCGTACACCACCCGGTCACTCCTCCTTCTTGCCGACCTTCTTCTCCGCCTCGTCTATCGCCGCCTTGTCCGTCAGCGGGTCCGCCGCGCCCCCGAACATGCCCCCCGCCTTGAACGGCCGTTTGAGGTCGCCCTCCGCCGGACGACCAAGGACGTGGATCGCGACCGGCTTCGCGTCGTAGAGGCCCTTGAGGCCCATGAGCGCCTGAATGAAAAGCGGCTGTGTGTATCTGCGTCGCGAGGGGCGTCAGCGACGTCCGAGGGCGAGCAAGAGGGCAAGGCAGGGAGAAACGGACCCCATGTAGAAGTGCATAAAGCCCATCATCGCGAGGCCAAAGTACACGGCGCGCATGAGCTTCGACGTCTCCTGGAGGTCATAGTCCCGGACGGTGGTCGTCACGAGCTTGCTCGCGTCTTTGTCCATCGCGTTCGGCTCGACGTACTTGAGCACCGTCTGGTCGTTCTTCTTCTTGATCTAAGCCAGGCGCGCGCGTGTCAGCGTCGGTCGTGTGCCCTCTAGTCGTAGCGAACGCACCTGGAGGCCGACGTAGTAGTACATGCCGAGCACGGTGATCTGCGTGGTGACGTACGCGATGCGGACGTACATCAGCACCTGCGGGTCGTCGAATGGGATCCGCCGCGCGACTGTCCGTCGGAGCAGGCGAGAGGGGCCCGGTGGACGAGCACGGAGGCGAGGGGGGGAAGTGCGGAGAAGGCGGGCGGGCGGGCGGGCGGAAGAAGACGAAAATCAGCCTGCGGTCGCCGAACGAACTGGCGCATACGGTGCTCACGTACCCTGCATGGCGCCGAGGGAGATGACGAGACTGTTCACCGCCGGGTTCATCGTGTTTTGGCGGGCGTGGGGGACGTTGGGAGCGGGTTGTAGGCCGGGAGACGGGGGAATACCGGGGCGGAGAGGAAGGAAGGTGAGGGTGTGAGCTGGCGGGAGGAGGACAGGAGCAAGGCGGGCGCCTGCGCGTCCGAAAACTGGGGAGACGTGTCACTCCCAAATCGGGACGACGCGCGTAGTGGCCACAGGCACGAGGTTCGAACCTCGCACTGCTCGCTTGTCTTTCGCCCAGGAGGAATCTTCAAAGTGAGAAGTGGGAAGACACAGACATTCACCGCGGATCGGCCAACTTGGCCTGCATGGACGTGGTGTGTCTCGTGAGTGGTGCCAGCGATGCACTGAACCATATATCTGACGTATCTTACAGCACCCGAATCGCGTTGTCAAAGAGGCCCTCGCTCCGCGCGCAAGCCTTGTGCTGACGCGCTCATGCGACGTACTTCCAGCGTAAGTACTAGGCTCAAACATGCTCTTCACTGCTCCGCTGATGGACGCCGACGAGGCTTCGCTTGTACTACAGTTGAACTTGGCTGCAGCTACGGGTGTGGGTCTCGCTGTCCACTGTCATTGGTGGAGATGGTTGTCGAGACGCCGACGAATCGGGAGCTCGAGCTCGAGGACAGTGCGCACTGGAGGCAACAGGTTGGAGGGTGCGCGCCGGTACGGGACGGCGACGGCTGACAGCGACTCCTCTCACAGAATCCCTCGTTCCGAGACCGGAGAGCGGGTGTTTTGCGCGCGTCTGCTGTCATGTCGGGTGCGCTCGCTCGCGTGGCTGTGTCAGCCATTCGTATGTTGCGCAGCAGTGGCCGGGCACCACTCCGCGCACGCCCGCTGTCGTACACACCATTGGGCGTCGATGACGGAAGAGGCGATTGCCGGGAACCTGTTCTGCGCCCCGCGCGCTGCGTGTCCCAGGCGGCTAGCTGTTTTTGGAGAAGTGGCCAACGGTTACGCCGCGGAGGCCCTCGGCAGCAGTGCTGGAGGACTCCATAGCCGGAAGGCGGGAGGAGAAGGTGCAGTCTCCTTCATTATCGGCGGTGCAGGCCATGCTAACGTCCGCCCCTTCGATCCCGGATGGCCTCTACGCGGACCCGATCCCAAACCCGTATCCGCAGCTTTCCCCTCGCTATAAGGCAGCCCTCGTCGTGACCTCATCTCGCTCATCTTCTCACTTCTCCTTCTCTCCCGCCCGTTCTCCCGTCCGATTTCTTCATGAGGTACGTCGTCGCTCGTTCCACCAGCTTGTAGCAAACTCTCACCGACACAACGGCGTTATCCAGCTACACACCTGTCTACGCCCCCCAGCCTGGCCGCGGTGGCTTCGCGCCCCCAGCCTCCACAGACTACACCCCATACCTCGCCCCCTCTCCGCCGTCCCACTCCCGCGCGTCCTCGGAGACCATCGCGCCTTCAGACTACTCCCATCCCAACTACAAGCCGGATCGGATAGGTGTCGACTACCGTCAATTCGGCGGGCGCACGCCCAGTCCGACCCCGAGCGAGGCAGAGGCACTGGCGGGAAAGACACGGAGCTGCGACATCCGGAAATACGCCAAGTACGTGAACAGGGAGTGGCTGAGCCAGCCGCGCAACCTCTGTGAGTCTACCCCCTTTGAACGGCTTCTGCCCACCGCCCCGCCCTCCGCCGGACCGACGCGCTGAACCGCCGCGCGCAGTCACCGCCGTGGTCACCCTCATCGTCATTGGCGCCTTGATCGCATTCGTCGCACTCCAGCAGACGATCATCAACGCGTTAAAGCCCGCGTCCAACTGGCTGCTCCAGTACGTACTCGTACCCCCGCGCTGCGCCCGCGTCCGTGCGATCCTGACGTCGTGCGCCACAGCACCCCCGGCGCGTGGGCCATCCCCATCGGAATCATGATCATCATCTCCTTCCCACCGGTGCGCGCCGTCTCGCCCACGTTCCGAGGACGCACGCTGACGCCGCGCTAGCTGTTTGGACACGAACTGGTCGCGGTCTTCACTGGTGTCGTGTGGGGCCCATGGATAGGCTTCGGGATCACCGCCGCGGGGACCGTCCTGGGCGAGCTGTGCACCTACTTGTACGTCGCGCGGCTCCCGGCACTGCGGCGCGTGCTGACCGCGTCCCAGCGTTTTCAAGTACTTCTGCTCCGCCCGCGCACAGAAGCAGGAGGAGAAGAAGCTCAGCTACGCGCTCACCGCCGAGGTCATCCGCCAGGGCGGCTTCACCATCGCCGTCATGGTCCGCTACAGCGCCATCCCCGGCCACCGTCCGTCCTCGTCTCTCTCTCTCCCCGCTCTCCATCGCTCACGCCGCCCGCAGTGACGACCGCGATCTTCGCGACCTGCGGCATGCCCCTCTGGACCTTCCTCGCCGCCGCAGTCCTCTCGCTCCCAAAGCAGTTCGCGGCCGTCTACCTCGGCTACGCCGAGAACCTCACCGGCGCGCAGGCGAAGGCGAAGCACGCGACGGCGATCAAGGTCGCCGTCATCGCCCTCACCGTGCTCGTCACCCTCTTCGCGATGCGCTTCATCAACGCGCGCATCGACGCGATCAAGGGCCCGCTCATCTACCGCCGCCGCAAGGCGCGCCAGGCGCGGCTCGCGGGGCGTGGGTACGACGCGCGCGACGTGGAGGCGGAGGAGGACGGCGGCGCGGTGCCGCTCGTCGCGCCCGCGCCGCGCCATCAGCAGTCGACGGAGGACGTGGGCTTTGTGCCGCCGCGGTACGATCCCCCGGGTGCGTCCTTTTCTGCTTTCGCTTTCGGGGGAGGTGCTGATGAGGCGCGTTCGCAGCTGGTGCTCCCCCTTCGCGGTATGCGTAGGCGGAGCTCGTGGGCTTTGTGTGGTGCATGTCCTTATTTCACCTTCAGTCCATGTATTTCATAGAGCTCTATTGTTATTTGCTTGCGCTTTGCCTAGCGACCGCTGTGATTGGATGCGTCAGTGTCTGCGCCTACGAGGCGCCGGAAGCACCTCTCTCGACACATCAGAATAGAAGACTACTTTCATATATTGTCGGCCGACGATGTACTATTTTCTGCAGCTGCTCTCCCCGGCGCGGAAGCGAGGAACGAGTGGCCGAGACAGGGGGAAGTCTAGCTACGGCGGGAGGAGCGGCAGAGAGCAGACGCCCACGGCTTGTCTTCGCGGCAAGTTTTCGACCCACCCTCCTGCTCCCTTTGTTTCTGTCTTTGGTTCGTCGGCACGCCTTTACATAACACGCGCCGTGCGCTCGAAGCCGCAGAGCTGCATAGCACGCGGCCGCTCTTGTCCCGTCTGACACCCGTCCGATGTATTTCTAGTGCGAAATATCAACGCCATCGCTTCGTTCGTCTGTCTGCCAGAATGCGTCCAGAGTCGGACGCCGTAGATCTCGCTCTGCAGACAGTGCGTATATGGGACCCCGGAAAGTACGCTGAGGCTATGGATGTGCGCTAACGCCTCGGGCTGCCAGTGCCTATGAAATTGACAAACCTCGGAGTCGCGGCCCGAGAACGACTGGCAATCGGGCGCTTGTCGGACCCATCTCCGCTAGCGCGCGGACGAGCTGGGCTTGGCTTGTCTTCCTCTTTTTCTCCTTCCCCGCACCTGCCCTCTCCGCGTCTACCGCTCCATGTCACTTCGCATGCGAGGGGCCCTGCAGTCCCCGTGCACTCTGCGCATGATGCGCATGATGCGATACCCGGACGAGGTGCGTAAGAAGTCGACCGTCTCCGAGGGCCGGAAGAACTGCGCTCAACGGCTCGCGCGGCGGGCTTACGGGGGTGAAGAGCTGTGTAGAGGACACAGAAGAGCACTGTGCGGAGACGACACCGAGAGAAGGCGCAGCGGTGACCGGTGAGGGCGGTTAGATGCTGTGCATCGGCTGCGGAGCATCGACCACGCACTCACGTCGCTTTTCAGGGATGCTCGTCGCTGCTTCTATGGACGCCCGGGTACGGATGCAGGACGGAAGGACGGGGGATCTCCACCCCGCCCGGCGTAATGCTCATGAGTCCCCGGGCCAGGCGTGGGGCAGGCACTCGGGCAAAAGGTCCGGGCGCTTGTGAACGCACCAACTGTCGATTGACATACGAGTCGACCTCTGAAGCTGGTCGAGACACCATACAAATTGCGTCGGTGGGCGTGGTCGTGCTGGGTCTTGTGCGCGAGGCCTGCGAGGCTCTGGTGGAGGGCGACTCGCGAAAGACTCGTGAAAGACGATTTGGACGCTTGGCGCCGGCGGCGATCGAGATCTGGGAACCTTCCGGCCAGCCGCTCTAAGTACTCATGCGAACGGCGTACAAAAGGCTGAGCGGATTCGGCGAGTAGCCTCTCACGCCAACCCTTTCTCCTCTTGCGACGAGTCATGGTACGTCCTTCGTCGCTCTGTGCGATGTGTCCGAGCTCATCAGCATCGCCGTGCAGGCCTCGATGCAGATCGTGGCTAGCTCTACCGAGAGGTAGCGTCCTCCACCTTCATTTTGTATTCACATGGTGACCATCCCGGCCTTGCGGCAGATCTCCCCCGGACGGCGCGCCGAACGGAGTGGGGCCGCACCAGTACCCTCCCGAGCCCCTCATTCTCGCGCCGATCCCCACCCGCACCAGCACGACATCCCGCACAAGCAAGGGTGCCCCCAGGGACAAGTACGCGTCGCCTTCCGACATCGCGTCCGTGCGTGTGCTTGCACTGCGCACCCCGAGCCCGACCCCCAGCGAAGCCCGCGCCCTCGAGCCGAAGACTACGGTGGAGAAGTGGCTCGGGGTGCTGTACTGGCCGCGGATCAAGCGCTCCGTCCGTGCGTTCAACCGGCGCCACATCCGTGCGTTCGACTCTCCAGCATTGCGCGGAGCGAGCCTGTCTGACGCACGCGCGCACTGCCAGTCCCGCTCACGATTGGGCTGTTCCTGATGGTGTTCGTCATTGCGTTTTTGGTCAAGAAGCAGGACATCGAGAAGAAGCTGAACCCCGCTGCGACGGCGCTGCGGGAGTGAGTGCTCGTCGTCCCACTGAGACCCGTGCGCTGACGCAGGTCTGACCGTCTCGCAGCATGCCCGGAGGGTGGCTCATCCCGATTGGAATCATGATCGTGCTCTCCTTCCCTCCGGTGAGCAACAGTCTACTCGTCTCCAGGACCGATACTGACGCACTCGGCGCTGAAGCTCTTCGGGCACGAGATCGTCGCCATTCTGGTCGGTGACGTCTGGGGCCTCTGGATCGGGTTCGGCATCGTGGCCGCGGGCACGCTCGTCGGCGAGTTCTTCAATTACCTGTGCGTCTCGCCTTGGCCTTCGCGCCGCGCGCGCCCGCTGAATGGTGCGAGTGCAGGACGTTCCGGTGGTGGTGCATGCGCCGCGGGAAGACGTGGGAGGAGAAGTCGCTCAAGTACGCACTCTACTCGCAGGCCGTGCGCGAGGGCGGCGTGCGAGTGCCGGTCATCATGCGCTTCAGCGCCATCCCGGGCCACTGTGCGTTTTCTCTTCGTTCCGTACGCATGGGCCGGCGTTCAAACGTTAACGGGCGGGCGGCGCGCAGTGACCACGGCGATCTTCGCCACGTGCGGGATGAACGTCTGGGTATTCCTCTTCTCCGCGACGGTGTCGCTCCCGAAGCAGCTCGCCGCGGTGTACATCGGCACGAACACGTCCTCGGACGGCGGTGCGTGTCCTTCCTCCCTATCCTCTCTCACCCCTCACCAGTCCGGCTGGACACTGACCGCGCGGGACCACAGAGGAGACCGCGCAAGGGAAAGTGGTCCAGGCCGTCGTCGTCGTCGTGACTGTCCTCATCACCTCGCTCGCGCTGCGCTATATCGACAGGCAGGTCGACAAGTTTAAGGAGCCCTTCATCTACCAGCGCCGGAAAGCGAGGTCCGTAGTAGCCCCACCTTTCGCTTCGTGCCGTCGCATCGTCTCACCGCGTCCTCTCCCCTCGTGGCAGGCAAGCAAAGATGCTCGCGGCCGCCGGAGACCCGGACATCGAGGCTCTGGATGACTCCCTCACTTGCAAGAAGTCCATTGGCGGGTCATCTGGTGTAGTCCCCAGCGGGCCCACGTCTCCAGAGCCCGCCGTGGCCGTTGCTCCGGACGCGCGGTATGCTTCCGCGGACGTCGAGGCGCACTCGTCATCGGACGCCGCACGGCATCGTGTTGTGCACGCGCATGATCTGTCGGATGTTGATGAACCGGCTCTTCGTAGCTGAAGTCCTCCTCAGGTTCAATTAGGGGCGCTGTGCCACGATGTAGAACTGAACGATCTTAGACATGGCGATGTCTAGACACTAATGGTCAGAATGGGTCATTCCGGTGCAGTTCGCATTGAAGGATAGTTTCTCGCCGGTCACACACTCGTTACGGTTACGAATTGTATAACACTTTTTGCACGCGACTCACGGTAGGCAACACGGACTTTGATCCGCAGGCGCAATATGTTTAGGGGCCTTGAAGGGCGCAAGTTGGGCGTAAGAGTCCGTTTGGGGAAAGACACGTGACCGTGTCCAACCGGTCGCTTTGTCAGCAGGCTGGGCTGGTCCACATCGATCTGTGCCTGAAGCGAAATCGCGACTCTCGAGCGTCCTTCCTTCCTTCCCCTCGCGCTCTTCCATGGACTCTCGCGCTAAGCTCGCTATATGCGCATGAATGGTGCCAGGTACGCCTCCCACTTCGACGCTGATGAAGCTTGAAGTTTGAACAGCACGCTCTAGCGCCGTATGTATATCATGCGAAGCCTTCTACGCTGATGGGAGGCGTATAAGTATAGCTCAGTAGTCATCCCGGATGCAAAGGTGCGTTGTCCTTATTGCTCCCCGTCTGGCTTGTCTTGACACACCGTGCTTGCATGGTTGCGTATCATCTACGCCCCGCACTCTGCAGCTGCGGACTACGATGCCAACCAGGGCCGTCCACAGTCTTGCGCCTGGGGTGTGCTATGTATCGCCGGCTGATCATCGCACACACTTTGTTCGTCGTTTCCCGCAATATCTCAGCGCTCCGCCTCGGAGTTCGTTTGCGGTATGTAAGCCGTCTCTTCAGTGCTTGTTGTTCTCACGATTGCTATCCGCGTGTCATCCACTTACAGCGAAGCACACATTCATAGCGACGTGGCGTCGGCCAAGTGAAGGCCGTCGTGGCCATCGTCGGAGTCGACAATCGCCCGCACACTAACAGATCACGTCGTCGGGCCCGGGCCCTGTTAAACATGTTTTTCCAGTGAGCTAACATCGACATCCGGCTAAGCTCTGTTGGTGTAGTCGAAGATAGTGGCCTGCGGCAATAGCGCGCAAACGGCATACAGCGCACGCCGTTGTATCCGCATGGCGTTCGCGCCCGCGCCTCTCTCAAGGTCAGATGCGATCTCGGCTGCCACAGCCTTTTTCGCGGGGATGAAACGGAAGGTCGCGGTGTCAGTAATCGCCTTTAATCCCCGACGGGGGCGAACCCAGGAGGCTGACACCTCCCTCCAGCATCGACCGCGCGTCCCTTGCCCCGTCTTTCCTCCCTCCTTCATGAACTCGCCTCACCCTCACGCGTCAGTATCTGGAGGCGACCAGGCGGCCAGTCATGGATACCCACCTCGAAGCGCGGCCGCGCCCGATATCGTCGCTCCCACTCCCACCTATGCGGCCACCCGAAGCCCTAACCCTAGACGGCCTTCCCAACAGCCACCGGCTTCCACCTCCGCCAGCAAGCCCCGCAAGTCGAAGAAGACCAAACGCCCATGCGAGCTCGAGGTCGCCGAAGAGGATGCATTCGACCTCGCGGCGGACGGACGCTCGCTCGTGCGCACGCCGAGTCCGACGCCGAGCGAGACGCTTGTCCTGACGGAGAAGTCGCGTGTGTGCGGATGGAGGCAGGTGTGGGCTTGGCGGAAGCACTTCAACCGGAAGAACATGTGTGAGTGCTCTCCTATCGCGATGGCTCTGTGCGTGTGGTGACCGGGGGAGGGTTCTGTGGTGCAGGGGGTATCATCGCGGGAACGATGCTGCTCACGTTCATCATCGTGTTCCTGTCGATGCAAGACAAGATTGAGAACGCGCTCGATCCCACAGCGAAAAAGCTCGAACAGTGGGTGTCGGCTCCTACATGTGGCGTGTCGGGTGTCGTCATTTACTGACTTGCGCACCCAACAGTATGCCCGCTGGATGGCTGATCCCAATTGCGATCTTCTTCGTCCTTTCGTTTCCACCAGTGAGTACCTTCTTTGGCATCTCGAGATCAAGCGGTGATGATGATCGTTGTATGCAGCTGTTCGGACAAGAAATCGTCGCAGTCCTCGTCGGAGATGTGTGGGGGCCCTGGATAGGCTTTGGGATTGTATGCGCGGGTACATTCATCGGCGAGATTGGCAACTTCTAGTAAGCTCACTCCCTGCTCAACTGCTACTTTTCGCTCACCTCTTGACGAAGTGCCTTCAAGTGGTGGTGCATGAGCCGCGGGCGCAAATGGGAACAAACACAGTTGACGTACGCGCTGCTCGCTCAGGTCGTGCGAGAAGGTGGGCTCTTCGTCCCCATCATCATGCGCTATAGCGCCATTCCAGGACACTGTGCGTGCCTCTGTTCTCTTCACGCGTTTGTCGTAGCCAATGCCTTGCTCCCTGGTCTGTCTAGTCACGACGGCCGTCTTCGCGACGTGTGGCGTCAGCATCTGGACGTACCTAATCTCAGCGGCTCTCTCGCTCCCCAAGCAATTTGCCGTCGTCTTCCTGGGCGCGAACCGAAACGGACCCCCAAGTGCGTCTCTATTGCTATCTTCGGCGATATCATCTTTTGACGCTGTTCTTGTGCTTCACGCGAGCAGCCCGGGTTGCTCTCCTCAATGTTGCGGTCGTCGCGGTCATTGTGATAGTCACAATTGTCGCGATGTGGTACGTCAACAGGCGGATTGAGATGATCAAGGAGGAGGTCATCTACGCGCGGAGACAGGCGAGGTGCGTCCTTTCGCGGTGTTCGTTGTTGTGTGTACATCGTGCCAATGCCACATCACTCAGGAAAGAAAAGCTGCGCGAAGTACAGTCGGTTGACGCTTTGTTTGCTGTTGCGTCTCCTATACTGGAGGAGGCCCTCGCCGAGGGTTCGCGTTCGAACTCGACACTCGACACTCGGACCTGGGCCTCGAACCCTCACTGTACCGCAACCCCCCGAACAAGCGGGGTTGACATCCCTGCGCTTCCCTCTTCGAGGGCGGTCTATTCAAAGGGCGGGTGCGATCGATATTCAACGGATGAGTTTGAGTTGCCGGCGCTACCAGGAGCAAAGCCCGGTGGAACCCTTTAAGCGTGGCATGGACACCTATGGGTATCTACAACATGAGTCGGTATATAGCAATGTATTGTGCGTATTGTGTTTTATACATCTGCCATTGAATTCACGAGGAGGTTCTAACGCGTTCTCAATCCAGTCTCTGCCCCACTCTTTGTAGTTGAAGGTGTATCACAACTCCGGCCCGTGTAACAGTTACTCGACAAGTGCAGCACCTCGCGTTGAGAGGTGAGTTCGCGCCGCGTGCTCATGGCTTCAATCACCTCCATCTTCGAGCCTCGAGGGACCAGCAGAGACGCGCAACGCGCCGAGAATATTCATGCGCATTACGTTTCCATGGCGGCGCTTCGCCGCGTTCGGCACCGAACGCGTCTCGCTCTGTCTCCCCCTCACAAGGCCTGATGGTGTTGTCATTGTCTGCGCCGTCCGCCGTGATGTTTTTGTTCCTCTTCCGCTGTGGGTTGGGACCGTCCCGCTGCTGCGGGGTTCCTCGGATGGTTCGGCACTCTCGCTCAAGCTTTTAGCTCCCGAAGCGGCCTTGTTATAACAATCGCCCGTAGCCTGCGGAGAACCTCGCACCCCCACTCAAGTCTGAGCTGGTCCTCGACCATTCTCCACTCCGATCGCCTGTCATTTCTCCTTGCCCAGCCTCGCATTCGCGGTGAGCTCTTCTGTCATGCGTGGATACTCTGCTCATCTAACTCCACCTTTTGAATACTCCAGATACTCTTGAACGCTCTTTACAAACCTCACACATACTTGGTCCTCTCGCAGTCCGGACATGCCGCACCCTCACCAGACCCCCGGCGCAGCCGCGCCGAACCCGATATCCCCGAACCCGATCTCCGTCACCCTGCCAATCACGGACTCCGTCCCGTCCCGCGGCCGCACCCGCACTCGTCTCGCGGATGCTGGTCTTGCCAGCCCGGACAGCCTCGACACGGAATTCGAGAAGCTCGGCGACTTCGGAACCGAGAAGCGCGCGTCGCTAACGAGCGTAACGAGCCAAAACCGACGCTCCCGGACGCCAAGCCCGACGCCAGAGGAGCGGGAGGTGCTCGAAAACAGGAGCAGGCTGTTCGACTGGAAGAAGATCTTCAACTTGAAGCGGTACAGGGAGAACCCGAAGAACCTCAGTGCGTAGCCTCTCGTCGTGTCTCGGTCCGACTCAGGTTGACATCAGTCGGCGTTCGCAGTCCCCGTCGCGATCGTGTTGTTCTTCATCGGTCTCCTTGTCGTCTTCGCCGTGTTCCAGTCCAGGGTCGAGGCCGCGATCCGCCCCGCCGCCCGGTTCCTCCGCGACCTGCCGTTCGGATGGCTCATCCCGATCGGGGTGCTTTTCGTGCTTTCTTTCCCTCCGGTACGCCCGCGCCTGCGTCCCGCATACAGCGACTAATTCTGCATTCGGTCAGCTCTTCGGCGCTGAGCTCATACACATCATCGTCGGAGACGTCTGGGGTTTCCTTCCCGGTATTGCCATTGTCTCCGCCGGGACTCTCCTCGGCGAGCTGGCGAATTACTAGTGCGTATCTGTTCCACTCTTCATGAGACGGTGTTGAGACGCCTCTTTAGCACCTTTCGATGGTGGTGCATGGCTCGTGGGAGGAAGTTGGAGGAGAGGCGGATTAGCTATGCGCTCTACGCGCAGGTCGTGCGCGAAGGAGGCCTGGTCGCGGCCATCATCATGCGCTACAGCGCGATCCCCAGTCATTGTGAGTGCAATTGCTTCAAGTGCGTTATGCATACTGACCTCGGCGCATGTAGTCACGACTGCCCTCTTCGCGTCCTGCGGGATGACAGTGTGGACTTTCCTTGCCTCTGCCATAGTGTCGCTCCCCAAGCAGTTCGCTGGCGTCTTCCTAGGCAGCTCTGGGACTTCGGGCAGTGAGTAGCATGGATCTCTCCCGCGATTCCGAGTACTCACTGTATGCATGTGCGTGACGTTTTAGCGTCCAGCAAGGTCACCACTACCGTCAAGGGTGTCGTCGTTCTGATCACGATCGTCGCGACCATCTTCGCGATGAAGTACATCAACAGACGTGTGGACGAGGTGAAGGAGGGCGTGATATACATGCGGCGCAAGCAACGGTGCGTCCTTTCTCTCTCTCTCTGCGCACGCTTTTATATGTATCCCATCGCACAGGCAAGCGAAGATGTTCGAATTCGCCGGAGAGCCCCTCCCAGCCGACTTCTACGACTCCAAGACCGGCGCCGGCCCCCACTCGAACAAAGCGCGCGCCCTAGAGACCTCTACTCACGGACCCGTCTACCGCATCACGCACTTGGGTCCGTACACCAACCCGCGCGCGTCCAACGTCGCCCCAAACCGCGGGGTGGCGCCCTGGGCGGCGCAGTACGAAGCGCCCGCGATTCGGGGCCCGCCCAACCCGTACTCGCGCAGAAGCACGCTGACCGTCCCGCCCCGCGCCCACTCTGGATGAAGCACGGGCTGCGAGGGCGGGCGGGGTGAAAAGGCGAGGATTTCGCCAGGGATTGGACGCTTTTGGTCTTAGCTTCGGCGATGCGATTTCACGGACTATGTCGGTTGTGTGACTGTATTTTTACTTGGACTGTAGTAGTAGCTGTTTGAATGGCGGACTCGCGCGGGCGCGGCGTTGGAATGTATTGAGAGGCGTGTGGCAGGATGACGTCAGCGTCGAACCAACCTTTACTGGCCCTCAAGTCACACGCCCACTTACCGCAGCTATGCATCCTCGATCGCGGCTTCATCGAGGTCGGCGCGTCTTTCCTTCTGACTACCATCCCCACTCCTCTCCTCTCGACATGGGACTCATTGTGGACTCGTCGAACCTCCACAAAGTCGAAGACCTGTGGTACGAGGATGGCACGATCATCCTCATCGCTGGAACGGCCGCCTTCTGCATACAAAAAGGCGTGCTCATTACGCTCTCCCCCATATTCCGCGACATCCTTGCACTCCCCAACTCTCCTAACAACGACACCATGGAAGGCCGCGTCGTAGCACACATTGCAGACTCGGGCCTCGATATGACGAACTTCCTCAGGGCAGTGTTCCGTCCGGGATACAAAAGGTATGCCCACTCGCCGCCCGCCTCATGCATTACCACTCACTCCACTTTGCTCGTTCACGCTGAACATGTTCAGCCTCGTACGCGACACCCAGCAAGTCTCATTTCCCGATCTCGCCTCCATCCTCCGCATGGCCCACAAGTACGAAGTCCCAGAGGCGGTCGCGATCGCCGTAGACCGCCTCTCGCAGCGCTTCTGCGCCCCATTCCACACCTCGCTCGGCCGCCAAGTCGACTGGGACGACGTCCAGAAGCACCTCGACACGGCCCACGCCTCCGTCGCCTTCGATCCCGCCGACGCATTCGAAGCCCTGAACCTCATGCGATGCATCAACGCCGCCGCGGGTCCCTCACGCTTCCCGGAACGCGCCCTCGCCGTGGCGCTCTTCTACTGCTGCGTCGCCGTGGAGCAGAACCCGCGCCTGGTCCGGAGCGGCGCGCCGCGCGCGGACGGTACGGTGGAGGAGCTGAGCGATGCGGACTTGGAGCGGTGCGTGCGCGGGACCGCGCTGCTCCGCCAAGAAGTCTACGACGGCGTGTCGCGCGCGCTGATGGCGTTCCGAGACGGATACGGGGTTTTCAAGAACCAGATCAAGTGCCCGCGGCAGAACGGGTGTGAAAACGACATCAAGCTCCATCTGGCGAACGTTCAACTGACGGAGTGCGAACGTACCTGGGGTCGCGGGAGCGTGCGGGACGTTTGGGTATGGGTGGCGAAACGACAGCCTGCGCCGGGGCTGTTCGGTGCGGAGGCGTGGCAGAAGTGGATGTGCGCTCCGTGCAAGAAGTTCGAGCAGCTGCTGGAGGAGTCAATGGTGAAAGGCTGGGACCTGTTTGTCGCGAACATGTCGGTCTCGGATTAGATTGGGGATAAGAACGTTGTAGCCTTGCTGCTAGTAGCACCTGTGCGTATGCCATTATAACACATTTACGCTTGACGAGCTCTTGTGAAAAGCCACACTCACGATGGGAAAGTGACCCCGTCACCGTTATCCCAGGATGGTGTTGACCACGAGGTCGTCGAGGTAAGTTGCGTAGGTAAGAGGTTGCTTTCGTGTGGGTCCTGGTCACAGGCTGAGACTCGTCAACAGGTGGAGGGAAGATGCTGATGAGGTCTGTATACTTGATTGGTGGAAGCAGAGCAGTGGACGCGCACTGGCGCTCGTGGTCATCGGCGTCTTCACGCGATGTTGTCGATTATATAAGCACCCAAGCCATTATTGTCACCTCCATCACCAGCCGGATTGCGTATCCACGATCACGTCCCAACGCAAAGAAGTGGCACTGCCTAGGACCAACGAGCGTATGTTAAGTCTCTACTTGTTTCCAAGTCGTCGAACTTCGCTGACCCATCATACGGCACTGCCAGGTACGTACAATTGTCGAGACCCAGAGATGTCACATCTTTGATCGGTGGCCATGACAGTAATTCTCTTTCTCTGCTAACCCGTCATCGTGCACAAACACTCGTCTAGCAGACCTTGGCATATAAGCCCGGTTCCTCGTCGTTCATCCCAGATACTTCGTCTCATCGACAGCCTCACGACGTTACACCAACTCTTTTCAAGCCCCTCAAAGTTGGCCACTTTCAGCTTGCGTATCATTATACCAACATCCCGACAGGCCTTGCCTCGCCCGCCCGACCTCTCGACCTCGGACCCGGGCCCTCTCACCAAAGACGGTGCGTCACCCTCCATGCTCGAGGTCGTGGACACCGTCGTCAGCGCCGTCAGCGATGGGCGCGATCAGGTTTAGTCCGTGGGGAATATATCGGGGTATGCCCGGGAACGCCCTGGTACCGACGTTCTCGTACATCATCGTCGAGCCGCTGAGATTGCGGTCTTCGGAGCCGGCGCGCGTCGGCATTGTGGTCCGCCGTGACTGAGGTCCGTTTATTCAATCGTGCTAGGACGGATAGAGTTGATCTGACAGCACACAGACACATAGGACGAGCACTTCATCATCCAAGTCTAAGTTCCATGACCACTAATGAGAGGATCTCATGGATTGAGTAAGCCTCATGTTTGCTTACATCCGTGGGAACTCGAAGCAAATCCCCTACCGCAGCTGCAGCCCACGCACCTTCCTTCAGTTCGCGCGATTTGCGCACCTTCCCCATCTCTTCATCATCTTGACCCGCAGTTCCACCTTGTCAATGCGCAACATCGAACCACCCATCTCCAGTCTCCACAAATCAGACGATCTGTGGGCCAGGGATGATGGACTGATCGTCATCATCGCTGGCACCACCGCCTTTTGCGTACACCAAAGCGTTCTTACAACAGTCTCCTCCGTGTTCGGAGACATGTTGAACCTTCCTCAAGAAGGTGATTGCGAAACTATGGAAGGACGTACTGTCGTGCGCGTCCCAGATTCCGAAATCGATATGTCGCATTTCCTCCGAATGGTGTTCCGCCCGGGCTACGACAGGTGAGCTTAGCCGATCCTCACACCTTGGCATGACGCGCCGCTAACATCCAGCCCATGAAGTCTCGCCTACGAGGCTGAGCCAATAGCCTTCTCTGCGCTCGCGTCCTTCCTCCGCATGGCACACAAGTACGACGTAGAAAAGGGCGTCGCCGTCGCCGTCGACCGTCTCTCGCGCCGTTTCGGCGCGCCGCTCCACACCTCACTCGGTCACCGTACCACCTGGGACAAGGTCGAAGCCCACCTCAACGCCTCCTCGGGGGTCACGTTCGACCCCGCCGATGCCATCGAGGCCGTCAACCTCATGCGTCTCATCAACTCTTCCGCGACAGGCGCAGACTCTCCGCCCCGCTTCGCAGACACCGCGGTCGCGGTCGCGCTCTTCTACTGTTGTGTCGCCGCCGACGGGAAGCCGCAGATTCTTCGAAACGGCTGGGCTCGCGCGGACGGGACGACGGAGGTGCTCGACGACGCAGATTTCGGACGATGCGTCACCGCAATGGTGTGCCTCCGGCAGGAGTTCGACGACGTCGTAGGGCGGGCGATGGTCGCCTTCTGGGAAAACTACGATAATTTCAAGGACGACGTGGGTTGCTCCCGGAAGCCCCAGTGCGAAAACGACGTGCGTTATTGGTTGCTTGCGGAGAAACTTCGTCAGGAGTGCCGGCGGACGTGGTCCTCCGGGGATATGAGGGATGTGTGGGTGTGGTCGGAATGGAGAGAGGTCGCGCCAGAGCTGTATCGCTGGGATTGCTTCAGGGAGTGGATATGTTCGGGGTGCAGGAACAAGTATCACCAGCTTTTGGAAGAGTCTATGTTGGAGGGATGGGAAACTTTTGTAAAGCAGATTTCGGCATAGATAGTCATCACTGAGCCCGGTAATACGTACGAAGCCACAACAAGCGCTGATGATTTTACCTCGACCCGCTTGCACATAGCGCATCGCGCCGATGGTGACCGGGACGGCCAGGACGATCACGACGATCTTCACGATCCTGCCTGCGGTGCGGAAAAAGCGCAGGCGCGTGAGTGGGGGACTCGGAGAGCGAGAGCGGAGCAGACGGACTGAAGCGGTCGTCGCCGATGAAGACCAGCGCGAGCTGTTTGGGGAGAGACTCGAGAGAGCGTTGCGGCGAGGAGGAAGACCCAGAGGCGCATCCCGCACATCGCGAACACGGCCGTGGTCACTGGAGAGGCTCTTGAGTCGGAATCTCACACCTAGAGCGATGAAGGGAGACACGTACTGTGCCCGGGAATCGCGCTGTAGCGCATGACGATGGGGACCAAGATGCCGCCCTTGCGCACGACGCCGGAGTAGAGCGCGAACTTGAGCTGCGTCTCCTCGAGCTTGCGCCCGCGCTTTGTGCACGAGTACTTGAATACGAAGAAGGTGAGCAGTTCTCCGAGGATCGTGCCCGCAGCGACGATGCTGAAGCCGATCCCGACGCCCCAGATGTCGCCGACGAGGAACGCGATGATTTCGTGGCCGAAGAGCTGCACACGCGGACCACATGGTGCAGTGACCACTGAACAATTTCGAGGTCGTTTTATCCAATCTTGCTAGGACGTCGGAGAGAGTTCATCTAACAGTACCTAGATACATAGGACCAGCACTTCATCAGCCAGGTCTAGGTCCCATGACGGCTAATGGGAGGATCACTTGGATTGAATATGGTCTCATGTTTGCTTACACTCGTGGGAACTCGAAGCAAATCACCTACCGCAGCTGCAGCCGCACGCACCTTCCTTCAGTTCGCGCTACGAGCGCACCTCTTTCCATCACCCCATCATCTTGACCCACATCGTCACCTCATCGATGCGCAGCATTGAACTGTCTATCTCTAATCTCCGCAAAGCAGAAGATCTGTGGTACAACGACGGAACGATCGTCATCATCGCCGGCACCACCGCCTTCTGCGTGTACAGCAGGGTTCAAGTTAAAGCAGTCTCCTCCGTGTTCGGAGACATGCTGAACCTTCCCCGAGAAGGCGAATACGAAACTGTGGAAGGACGTGTTGTCGTGCGCGTCCCAGATTCCGAGATCGATATGTCGCATTTCCTCCGAATGGTGTTCCGCCCGGGCTACGACAGGTGAGCTTAGCCGATCCTCACACCTTGACATGACTCGCCGCTAACATACAGCTCGTGAAGTCTCGCCTACGAGGCGGAACCAATAGCCTTCTCGGCACTCGCGTCCTTCCTCCGCATCGCTCACAAATACAACGTAGAAAAGGGCGTCGCCGTCGCCGTCGACCGTCTCTCGCGCCGTTTCGGCGCGCCGCTCCACACTTCACTCGGTCACCGTACCGCCTGGGACAAGGTCGAAGCCCACCTCAACGCCTCCTCACGGGTCACGTTCGACCCCGCCGATGCCATCGAAGCCGTCAACCTCATGCGTCTCGTCAACTCTTCCGCGACAAGCGCAGACTCCCCGCCCCGCTTCACTGACGTTACGATGGCGGTCGCGTTGACATCAGGAAAACCCCAAAATCCTAATTAGTACTATCAAGTATAATATTAGTGCTATCGCTTCACTAATGGGACTACTGAGTTTTGACCCTTCTAACACGTACTAAAGGGATACTAGTGCTTGAGCTTCTCATATAATATATCTATCTGCAACTATTACTTCACCTATCACTGGACACCGCTGTCTAGTCAGAATACACACACCTAGCACAGGGTCTAACCAGTGACTAACTACTGCATTTTTGGAGGTCTATAGAACTACTAATACAATCAATAGATCACACAAACGTGAAGGAGAAGCAAATCTATTTGTGTTCATTACACTACAAGGTACACAGTAGACTACAAACAAAGACACTGAACACATCCAATCAGGCGAGACGGGTGACACAGGCAAGAGCGAGGTTGGTGAGGTAAGCGTCATGGATGATGCAGACGCGGGCGAGGCGAGTCGTGGATGTGGGCGCGAGATGGAAGAGGCGGGCAAGGGAGGCGACACAGACGAGGTGGGCGGCACGGACACGACGTGGGTGGGGGCGAGGGCGACGTGGACGCAGGCAACGTGGGCGGACGAGGCGGGTCGCGCAGTCACACAGGAGCGAGACGTGGGCGACATGTCGACGCAGGGGTGAGACGCAGGCGACGAGGACGAAGTGGGTGAAATAGATGACGCGAGACGGCAGTGCGACGCGGGCGAGATGGGCGAGGGGATGGGACGGGCAAGGAGAGCAGGACGAGCAACGAGCGAGATGGACAACGAGCGAGAGGCAGGATTGACAGACGAAGCGGCGACTCGGGCCAGACTGACGCAGGTAAGCGCGAGGCGGCAGGCGCGATGTGAGTAAGGCAGGCGAGGGCGAGGGGGCAACACGGCGGGGTGTGGGCGACGCGGGCGAGGGCAAGACCGGCGAGGTGGGCAAGATGGGCCAGATGCACAAAACGGGCAAGGCGAGCGACACGGGCGAAGTGGGTGAGGTGGGTGACGCAGGGGATGCAGTCGCGCGGTCAACGCAGGGGACACGGTCGAGGTGCGAGACGTAGGCTCAGAGGGGCAAGAAGCGGGCAACGGGCAAGATGCAGGCGTCGCGGAGGTGGCGACAGACGTGAGTGGCATGGGCAAGATCGGTGACGCAAGCGAGGCGGGTGCAAGACGGACGAGATCCGGGGCAACGCGAGCGAGGTGGGCGACACAGGCGAGACGGACAAGGGGCGTGAGACGGGCCAGGCAGGCGAGACGGACAAGGCAGGGGTGAGAGCAGGTGGGCGACGTGGCGACGTGGGCAGTTCGAGCAGAGGGGTCAGCGCACGTCGTGCTCCCTGCAGTTGGGCTCGGTACGCGGCATTGGAGAAGACGGGGCGAGGGTTGGCGTCGGGGCGGCGAGACGGGAGTCGCGGAGGGGGTCGAGGGCAACGTCAAGGGGACGACGAGGACGCTGCTGGCAGTGTCAAGCGCGGGAGTGCACGCGACAATTCCCACGCCTCCAGAGGCAGCGCCTGCTAGCGTGTCTGTGCTGGCACCGTCCTCTCTGTCCTCCCCGTCCTCCCCGTCCTCCCCATCCTCCTCGTCCTCCCTGTCCTCCGCGTCTTTTCGTCCTGGTGCAACATCTTCGAGGAGCACGCGAACACGCCCCTCGCCTGCCGCGACGAGCTGTCTTAGTGAGTCCCTCGTTCTGCCCTCTTGCGCTCCCCATTTTGCCCACCACCTTGCCAGGCCCTGGCCGCACCACGAACCCTGTCCCCACCACGAGCACGTCCCAATGAAGCTCGTTTCACCGGTGCGGCCGTGCTCTGCGGCCGTTGTCGCCGTCTCGTATATCGCCCGCTTGCCCACTACGACTCGGGCTCCTGCGTTGTTGATACACCCACCTGTAATCCCAGCCAGGCGACGGCACGACTCGGTGCGAGGACTGCCCCGCGGGGCAGTCCTCATTGGAGGGTGCGTCCGCCTGCTGATATTGGTACGTTCTTTTCGATGGACCGTGCTCTGCGTGTGTGCTCACAGCTGCTCCGGCTTTTACTCCGACGTAAGCGCGGGCAGCTGCTCGCAGTGCTTGACACCTGGCGCGTACTCCGTCGTCGGCGACCTCCTCGTCCGCGTGCTCCTCCTACTCCGGCGGCCAGCTCTATTGTCCCTAGCTCCTGGCCCACCTGCTGTGCGTCCCTCCGCCGTTCTATCTTTCCACTTCCACGTGCTGACTTCTCGTCCACTCACCCCGGTTCGGCTTCGCTGTCCCATCTGCGAGCCACCCCGTCAGCCGCTTGTCCACCCCGACGCCCAGTACCTGGTTCGGCAGCATCTGGAAGCTCGCGAACGGCCGCACGACGGGCTTCCCGTCGCCCTCCCTTTGCACTGGCGCGAGGACCTCGGGGCCCGCGCGCGGCATCACCGAGACGAAGCCGCCGTGGTCGCCGAGCGTGGCGTATGCGAGCCGCTGCGTGTTCTCCATCCCGATCGCGTCGTACGCGAAGAACATCGGCGCGCTCGACGCGGCGGCGAAGACCGCGGCGAGGAGCTCGGGGATGGGGAGTGCGTGGTCGATGACGTGCGTCGCGCCGAGGGACTGGAGGAACGCGGCGTGCGACGCTTGCCCGTGTCGTTCTTACCTCGCCCACGTCGTCTGCCTCGCTCACGTCACCCAAGTCCCCGACGTCATTCGTCTACCTTGCCCGCCTCACCCACTTCGCCCACGCCCCCGTCCTCTTCGCCCCGTCCTCTTCGCCCCCGTCCTCTTCGCCCCCGTCCTCTTCGCCCACCCACCTCGCCCACGTCCATGTCCTGTCGGCTGCCCAGTCGCCCACGTCGTTCCCATGTTGGCCGCATGTCTACCTTGCATGTGCCATTCACGCGTCACCCACGTTGTTCCCATCCTGCCCGTCTACCCCTCGCCCGCCTCGTCTGCCTTCCCCGTGTGCGCACTGACCTCTGTAAATAGCTGGTTGTCTTGTACAATACTTTGTGTAATCTAGTCGTCATTGCCAATAAATTTCGTTCTCATTACCTCTCTATCTGTGTGACTGTCCCTGATATTGGTCCACTAATCTGAACTATTTCTGAGCTGCCCTACTATGTCTAGATGTATGAACTAATGCTTGCCTACACCTATGACTATCCCTGTCTATTTGACTAGATTAGTTTTTGGGACTTCTAAATAGACCTAATCAACTATTCCTGACTATTGGTCTAATTAGTGCTAAATAGTCCTAATTAGGAGTTTGGGGTTTCCCTGACGCTTCTTCTACTGTTGCGTCGCCGCCGATGGGAAGCCGCAATTCCTTCGGAACGGCCAGCCCCGCGCGGACGGGGCGATGGAGGTGCTCAGCGACGCAGATTACGGACGATGCGCCACCGCGATGGTGTGCCTCCGGCAGGAGCTCAACGACAGCTTGGGGCGGGCGATGGTCGCCTTCTGGGAAGGCCACAATAATTTCAAGGACGACGTGGGTTGCACCCAGCAGCCACAGTGTGAATTCCACGTGCGTTATTGGTTTCAGTCGGAGAAAATTTATCAGGAGTGCCGGCGGACGTGGGACTCGGGGAACACGATGAGGGACGTGTGGGTGTGGCCGGAATGGCGAGAGGTCGCGCCAATCATGTATGGCTTGCCTTGCTTCAGGGATTGGGTCTGTTCGAAGTGCAAGGACAAGTATCACCAGCTTCTGGAAGAGTCTATGTTGAAGGGATGGGAAACTTTTGTAACGCAAATTTTGGCATAGGTAGTCGGCTACGGTAACGCACGAAGCCCCCACAAGCGCCGTTGACTTCACCTGGACCCGCTCGTACTGATTGTTCAACACGGCCGGTATGCGCGGAGAAAGTACCTTCCAAGAGTTCAAGAAATAGCCGTGACAGATCGAGCTATTTCTTGGACTATCGTATTAAAGACCCCGCGCGTCGATTGCGCGTCGTAATCTAAGACCATTTCGTGAGGTGGAATAACCATCCGGATACCTACTACTGGACCGGGGCTGGCGCAACAGATACGTCTCTCAGCTTCGGCGCGTCAACCTCATCCGCGTCCGCCTCGAGCTGCTTCGCCTGTCTGTACGTGTCATAACTGCCGTCAGCGCACAGGAAACGCCGCGAACGAGACGAACGGGGGACGCACCTCGCCTTCCGACGGGCATAGATCACCTCTTGCTTGATCGCGTCCACCCTCGCGCCGATGGTGACCATGACGGCCAGGACGATCACGACGATCTTCACGATCCTGCCTGCGGTGCGGAAAAAGCGCAGGCGCGTGAGTGGGGGACTCGGAGAGCGAGAGCGGAGCAGACGGACTGAAGCGGTCGTCGCCGATGAAGACGAGCACGAGTTGTTTTGGGAGCGAGAGCGTTGCGGCGAGGATGAAGACCCAGAGGCGTATCCCGCACGTCGCGAACACGGCCGTGGTCACTGGGAAGGTTCACGGCGTCAGACGTTCAGAGTGGTATTCATGCATATTACCCTGATCCGTAGTCAGGTATGCTGGCGCGGACAGTCGTACATATGAGACCCACGGTCGAGGTGCGATTCCGTCCTCAGAGCGCACGTCAAATTTCTGCTGCACGACTCGACCTAGATCCAGACGGCATCGAAGAAATCTGGCGCGCGCTCGAGCATTCGAGTCTGCCCGTGTACATAATCCCCGTGCAGCAGCAGGACGACGCGCTTGACCACGCCGGGCGCGACGTCCAGCGGCTCGCGCGGGAGTGGAAAGCACGTCGGATTCGCGGGGGAGATGGAGGGATCGGGTGCTGGGAGGTCCGTCACCCGTGAGGACGGGGAACGCACGAAACGGATGAGGGACGTCCCAGACTACCTCGTCAACAGAGATCTGTGCCAGAGCCAGCCGCACTCTTTGTTGGAGCCGCCATGGTAGGGCGACAGAGGTAGAGTCGCGTCCCGTGCATACAGACGAAGGTTTGATCGACCTCCGGCCGAGGGACTCAGGCTAGAAGGGACGCACGTAGGAAACCGAACTGGGGATGGCATGGAGGAAGAGGCTCGGAATACATAGACGGAACGATACGAGAAGACGTACGTGTTTCATGGGGTGCGTACGCGCTATGCCTGAGCACCGTTCAACGTCGAAGTTGGAAAGAGGCATCGCGCGCACGTGCGGCAGCGAGAGCCGCCACCACAGAACACGTTCAATCTGGGTAAAAGGAAGGTCCTGAGATGGCAGCGGTGTTGAGGAAAGGATGCGTACTGTTGCTGCTGCGTCCCCTCCTCCCCGGGGCACTCAGCACGAAGCGGTGCACTTTCTATCTTCGGGCTCATGAACGAGCGAGTTCCTAAATCCGAGGCGTTGTTGTGTCCGATAGGAAGTGTTCGAGCCGGGGACGAGGGAGGTGGTGGATGAGACGGAAGATGGGGCCCTAACCCTAGCCTGAGGTTGTGTGCCAGGGGCTGACGAATTCTATGGCGCGCGCTGACCTGGCGCCTCTTTGCGCTGCAGTCATCGTTACCGTCCACCTGGCGTTCGTTTGCACGAGCCATGCAAACTGTATACATCGATCGGTACCTCGGCCTGGATGAAACGGTGGATATATGCTTTCTGCACTCTACGACTTCCATCGGTGCTGACATCGATGCCGCTTTCCCTGCAGCCACGTGCCTCCTCCTCCTCCTCCCAGATGTATTTTATGGACGAGTGTCTAATACGCCCCTACACGCTGGGGCATTCTGCCGTCTAAAATGTCAGATTTTTATTTATCACCCTCTCTTCAGTGTATTCATACCTCTATCTACGCCACAACTCTACCAGAACACAGAGACTGCCTGATGGACCACCAGTTATGCCGAATCCATGCAGCCTTCAGCTTCAGGTGCGACACGCCACACCGGTCAGAGTTATAGTAGAGGGTCGCGATTCACGGGGGCTAACACCACTCGACCGCCGCAGCTCTCTCCGTTCAATGTCGATGTAGTTGCGCACGTCTACGGCGTCACTCACGACGGAACGTAATCGAAAGGCCACGTGTAAAGCAGCACCTTTTGCGCGTGTTGCCGCAGCAGCGCTTTCTCCGTTCAACTATCATCTAAACATCCGTCCTTCCCGCCAGCTCATCACGCATCTTCAAATGACGGACGATCAAGGCGTCCAAGGCCTCACCCGAGCGGACTACTGCTGCGTCGCCATCGACGACGCCCTGAACATCCTCTGGGACGGGATGAAGCGCGCGGACGGTAACATGGAGTACCTGTCCGGCGCCGACCGCGCTCTGTGCGTCCGCGCGAGCAAGTACATCCGCGAGGAGATCCAGTGGACGGTCACGGACGCGATCAAGCGATACAGGGAGAACTGGAGCGAGGGGCGGTGCAGCCGACCTCCTTCTGAGAAGGGCGAACGACGGTGCCTCACGGACATCGTGGACAAGGCGGTACAGTGCCATCTGGAGGATAGGGAGTCGTTCGGAGTGCTGGTTCGGGACGCGTGGCAGCGGATGGACACGCGGGAGGTGTTCCCGGAGGTGTTCAACTGCTCGCCTTGCTCGGAGTCGCTGTGCGACGGGTGTAGGTCGACGTTTCTGGACCTGCATTACCAGGCCGTTTGCGACTCGTGGATACGCATACAGGAGGTGTTGATGACATGACTGATCGTGCAATGTTTTGTCAGATTTTCGTAAGGATGCGGATTATTGGGTACATTTTCCTGAGATGAGCCTGTCGGTTGATGAAGTGCTGCTTGTCCAGAAGGACGCGGTGCAATGGTCGCGGCTGAAGTCAGGGCTCGTGCGCGACGTCACCAGCACTGTCCAATTCCGATATAACCCTCAGGCCTCATCACACGAGTGTTCTCATCGCACATCGAGCACGTGCGCTATGTGCCGCATACAGCGCACGCACATCGAGGCCTCGTGCAGGATGAACGGGAGCCCCCGCTGTTACCGCAGCAGCAGCGCGGTCCTCTCCTGACGCACACAGCACTCTGCCATCGTCCATCACCCACCTCAGCGCACCTCAGCAGACATGTTGGACACGGGAATCCAGCTGCCCAGCCGAAAGGCGAAGAACCTCTGGTTCGACGACGGGAACGTCGTCTTCCTCGCTGACGATCTCGCATTCCGGGTCTACAAGGGTATCCTCAGCGTCATTTCCCCAGTCTTTCAAGACATGCTCTCTGTGCCACACCCCGAGGATGCAAAGACCGTCGAGGGATGCCCAGTGGTCCGCGACTCTGACTCCGGGGAGGATTTCACGCGCTTCTTCGAATGGGCGTTCCACAACCATCGAGACAGGTGAGTTCTCCAGCACATTTCCCTCAAGCCCGTGGATTGATAGAGGCGTGATGCAAGTCTTTCAGAATCCACCAAGTCCATGACTTCCTCACACCTCATGTCTCTCATCCGCGTCGCCCGCAAGTACCAAGTACGCGAAGCCGCGGAGACCCTCATCCGCCGCCTCGAGCGCCGCCTCCAGACCCCGATGCGGTTCGGGGCGGGCGCGGACAGCCTTACGTGGACCGAAAACCTCGAGCGGATGAACGAGACGTGCGCCAGCGTGGTATTGGAAGCACGTTCCGCGATCGAAATCGTGAACGTGATCCGCCTCGTCAACGGCTCCGCGACCTCCCCGGACGCGCCAGTCTTCAGCAACACTGCCATCGCCGTCGCGCTCTTCCACTGCTGTGTTGCCTTCGAGGAAGAGCCACGACTTCTCCGGGAAGGCGTGAAGCGCGGCGGAGGGATTGTGGAACAGCTGTCGAGCGAAGACCACGAGCGCTGCGTTCGAGCGATGCAGGTCATCCGCGAAGAGGCGCGCCAAACGGTCGGTGACGCAATCGTGCGGTACGAAGATAGCTTCGACGAGTGGAAGGAGAAAGTTTGCGTTCGAGAGGGGACGGCGAAGCGTGAGCGGTGGGACTTCTACAACATCTACAAGTACGGGGTGAAGCATCATCTCACGGACAGGACGGCAGCCTACACGGTGAAGGACGCATGGGTCAGGATGGACAAGCGTTTGGAGCTTCCCGCCGTTCTTACTTGCGGAGAATTTGCGAAGTGTATGTGTTCGGGCTGTCGGGGCAAGTTTCTGGGGTTTCATTACGAAGCCATCGTGGCGTCTTGGGGGCGGATAGAAGCCTTTTTGTTACAGTGACCGTCTGGCCCCAATGCGTGGACTACTTACTGAGCCCTGAAATCATACAATTCTTCAGATCGAAAGACAAGAGCAAGTAAGCTGAGTCTACGAGAGCGTATCTACGCACGGCTGAAAACACCATCGTGAACGATGTGGACCACGCATAGAGAAAGGGCGTGCCGAGGGCAGAGGGAAGAAGGAGCCTCAGGTCAAGGCGAAGGTCCAGAAGTTTGCCCTCGGGCCGGCTGTCGTTCCGAACCGGTGATGACTAAGCATCGCCGTGCTGAGCACTTCGCTCTGCGCCCCCTTCGACACCGCGCTCGGCCGACGCGTGAGCTGGGACGAAGTCGAGGCCCACCTGAACACGACCCACACCGATGTCACCTTCACCCCCTGCGACGCGTCAACGCCGCCGCGCCGGGCTCGGAGCCTCCGCTGGACCACGCACTTGCCGCAGCGATCATCTACTGCTGCGTCGTCGCAGAGCAGAGTCCGCGTCTGCTCCGGAGCGGCGCGCCGCGCAAGGATGGTACGGTGGAGACGCTGAGCGACGCGGACTTCGAGCGATGCGTGCGCGGGATCGCGCTGCTCCGGCAGGAAGTCTACGACGGCGTGTCGCGCGTGCTGGGGGCGTTCGGGGACGGATACGGGGTTTTCAAGAACCAGATCAAGTGCCCGCGGCAGAACGGGTGTGAAAACGACATCAAGCTCCATCTGGCGAACGTTCAACTGACGGAGTGCGAACGTACCTGGGGTCGCGGGAGCGTGCGGGACGTTTGGGTATGGGTGGCGAAACGACAGCCTGCGCCGGGGCTGTTCGGTGCGGATGCGTGGAAGAAGTGGATGTGTGGTCCACGCAAGAAGAGGTTCTAGCAGCTGCTGGAGAAGTCGATGGTGAAAGGCTGGGACCTGTTTGTCGCGAACATGTCAGTTTCGGACTAGACTGGAGATAAGAACAGGTCGATCGCATACAGGTTTGCGCGCGTGTGGGTCCCGTTCACAGGCCGAGAGTCAAGAGGTCGAGGGACGAGGCTGACGGAGAGGACGCGGATTTGAGTGGCGGAAGAAGAGAGCGGCCGTGGTCATTAACCGTCTTCGCCCGCGATGTTTCTGCTCTGCACCGAAGTAACCAGTGCCGGACTCGAAGTATTAGAGACAAATACTGAGACTACACGATCAGCGGCGACAAACACAACGACCTGGGCGCGATCAAGACTCCAGCGGAGCCAGGATCGGACACCGCGCACTACGCTGCGCAATTCTCCTCCCTCTTTGCTCAAGTCGGCCCCGCCCTAGAGACCCTGAGTATCGTGTTCATGGACCGTAATCTGAGCTGGAAACCCGTCCTGCCCACGCAGATCTCACGTCTCCGCGAGCTCACGGTGGTCCACGCGTCTCAAACGTTCATCCTAGGACGTAGGAATGTGCCGTGACCACCCTCACCGCGCATCTCTTCCCTCTGTCGCCTGTGGCACCGGTTCGGCACCCCTGAAGGCCTGAAGACTGGGACAACCTGTGCTCGCTCGACATCGCGCGGCTCAGCGGGGGAGCACGCGTCACAGCTCATGCATGTCCGCCTGTCAATTTTCGAGAACTTCTCCACCGACATCTTTCAACCGCCCCGAAGCGCCTCGCGACTCTGTAAGCCTCTCCTGCCCTTGCTATGCTCGGGCTGGCGATCACGACTGAGGGTGACCCACAGCCGATGTGCCGATTCCGTCCTTGGTGCGCAGCATCAACTTTGTGTCGCTCCAGATGGGCCCGTTCACGCTGGACAACTCGACCTAGATCCAGACGACGCGCATCGAGGGCATCGAAGGTATCTGGCGCGCACTCGAGCATTCGAATGTGCCTGTGTACATGATCCCCGCGCAGCGGCAAGACGACGCACTCGGAGACCACGCCGGGCGAGACGTCCAGCAGCTCGCGCGGGGGTGGAAAGCACGTCGGATTCGCAGGGGAGATGGAGGAATCGGGTGGTGGGAGGTCCGTCACCCGTGAGGACGGGGAACGCACGAAACGGATGAGGGACGTCCCAGACTACCTCGTCAACAGAGATCTGTGCCAGAGCCAGCCGCACTCTTTGTTGGAGCCGCCATGGTAGGGCGACAGAGGTAGAGTCGCGTCCCGTGCATACAGACGAAGGTTTGATCGACCTCCGGCCGAGGGACTCAGGCTAGAAGGGACGCACGTAGGAAACCGAACTTGGTATGGGATAGAGCAAGAGGCTCCGGATACAAGGACGTAACGATACGAGAAGACGTACGTATCTGTGATGCGACAACCTCTCGATGGAGCAGATATACACGTGCGCGTTTTTGAGCACTGTTTCGCCCTGGAACACGTTCAATCTGGGTAATGACCGCCAAAAACACCGAGGGAAGGTTCTGACATGGCGGGGGTGTTGAAGAAAGGATGCGTACTGTTGCTGCTGCGTCCTCTCCTCCCCGTCGCACTCCGCGCGAAGCGGTGCACTTTCTATCTCGGGCTCTTGATTGAGCGAGCTCCTAAATCCGAGGTGTTGTTACGAAGTATTCGAGCTGGAGACGAGGAAGGTGGTGGATGAGACGGAAGATGGGGCCCTAACCCTAGCCCGAGGTTGTGTACCAGGGGCTGACAAAGCAATGACAAATCTATGGCGCGTGCTGAGCTGCTTTCGATCTCCAACCACGATGTGGCAATGGTTGAGAGATGTATTTTCTGCCCAACCGACGCCGTACCACGCCTTCGAAGGGCCTACAAGTATTTCGTGTTTGTATTGTTCATCTACTGAGCTTCCTCTCTCACGAGCCGAAAGAAACTAATCCATGAGGTCAGGTTGTTCAAATTTGAGCTAATCATCGCGATTGACTCGTCCAACCAGGTCATATTCGTTCCTCGCACGTAAGAAAGATGCTTTGGCATAATAGGGGGTTTCTTGTTCACGTTCTCATGCATACAATGCACTCTTTTCTTGATTTCCTCGCTTTTGAGCTTACAGTCAAAGTTTCGCTCTCGTGGGTACAGGACGAGCTCTGAGCCTCCTAATCCTTCGCAAAGCGGAGCCTCCTGTGTGTGGCGGCTCTGTTCGGCATAGTTGTGACGCCGTGATTCACATACTCGAATTCATATATCGCACAGGTCAGGGGCATCCTCTACATTCTCCCCCATCCACATCTGCTCTCCTTCTGTAGCTGTCCACTCTCTTGCTCAGCGTACAGACTCCCGCTCAGTCGATCATGGAAACGCTACCAGTGGAGCTCTTGCAGCGGATCTGCTTCTTCGCCGCCTTTGACGGTAGCGCTATGTCCTGCTCCCTCGCTCTCGTGTCCAAGCACATCCACCGCGTATCTCAATACCACCGGTTCGACAACGTGGCGCTCATGGGACGCCCAGGATACATCGAGGCACTGACACGAAGGTTGGAAGCAGGAAAGACACGCAACGCAGCATCTTCGGCTCGGCTCCGCCACCTCTTCCTGATCTGCACGCAATCCCAATATCTCCAGCTCGTGGAAAAGGGCAGGCGTTCCTCCACGGGCAGAAGCCCCTTCATGGGCAAGATTTCCTTCATGAACGGAGGTCCCGTATACCTCCCTGAGGGTTTCCTTTCCCCAAACGGCGCAAACGACACTACCCCAGATTCTGTCCTTCGGTACGCCAAGTCGATAAACGACCTCCTCCGCGCTGCCGGGCCGGGTTTGGAAACCCTCACCATCGTCTTCCTCGAGCGCGACTTGACCCAACACATACGGCTCCCACTCACCCTTCCCACCCTCCGCGAGCTCACCATCTCTGGCGCCCCGCCGTCGTGGCTGCTCGACATTGCGGAGCCCCGCCCGCCGCACCAACCCCCGCGGTTCTTGGCGCTCCGACGCCTCCATTGGTACGAACGCTCAGGCCCAGAGGGCACCCTGCGCGACATCCCCGCGGTCGCCGCGCGGCTCCCCGCGCTCACGCACTTCCGCCTCACCGGGTACATGGACGACAGCATGCCGGGAGTGTTCGACGCTTGCGCGGACGAAGACGTGCTGGAGCGCATCGCAGACAGCCTAGAGCCCGAGAACTGCCGAACGTACCCGCATCGGAACTGGTGGGGTCTCCCTCCCCTCACGCTCCACCGCCTACTGGATCCGCGTGCGTGTATCAGATTCATTCCTGCTTACGGTCGTCGGCCGACGCTGAGCGGCGTCCTTTTTGTTTGCAGCGAAGGTGCCCCTGCTGCCCGAGTGGTGCGGGCTGCAGCAGTTCGCGATACAGCCGCCGTCCGTACGCTGCAGGGACGAGCAGGGCTACGGGAAAGAAATCATCTCCAAATTGCGGTTGATGTTGGTGTCGCTGGCGTCGGCGAGCCTGCCGGTGCACGTCTTCGAGGCGGGCGACACGTGGCAGGACGAGGATGGCAACCAGGCGATGTCCGTGGACATGTTGCGCTATTGGCACGAGGAACGGATTCGAGGGAACCGGGGTTGTTGGGCGGACACAGAGCATTCCAGGCGGTCAGTGCAGAAGGATTACCCCAAATATCTGCATTGAGTCCGCGAAAGCCCTTGGATAGGCAGAGAAGGCTACACGGTTAGACGTATGATTGTTTTTCCATGAGCACACAGATAGCATGTTCTGTCAGCGGTACATATGACTTCAGCCCGGTGCGAAGGTGAATGGACGCGATAGGCTCAGGTCTGTTCATCGAGCACCCGCTTGTGGGTTCCTTCCCCATCATTTCACCCTCGCCTCGTTTCGGCGCGTCCCTCCACACCTCGATCGGTCACAGTACCGCCTGGGACAAGGTTGAAACCCACCTCAACACGTCCTCACGGGTCACGTTTGACCCCGGCGATGTCATCGAGGCCATCAACCTCATGCGTCTCATCAACACTTCCGAGACGAGCGCGGACTCTCTGCACCGCTTCGCAGACGTCGCGGTCGCGTTCTTCTACTACTTCGTTGCCGCCGATGGGAAGCCGTACATCCTTCGGAACGGCCGGCCACGCGCGGACGGGACGGTGCCAGGAGGCGCTCAATGAGACCGACTACGGACGATGCGCCATCGCGATGGTGTGTCCCAGGTAGCGCAGAGCTCAGCAATGGCGTAGGGCGGGCGATGTTCCCCTTTTTCAACGGGTACGAATGCCGCAAGAACGCCGTGGGTTGCCCTCGGCAGTCGACGTGCAAGACGAGTTGCGTTGCTTCTTGCTTTCGGAGAACCCGGCGCGGGACTACCAGAGGACGTGGGCCTCGGGGGGCATAAGGGACGTGTGGACGTGGCCGGAATGAACACCAGCTACTAGAAGAGTCAATGAGGAATGGCTGGAACACGTTTTTAAAGCACATTTCAGCATAGGGAGTAGTCACTAAGCCCCGTAGTGACGTACAAAGGGGTAGCCTCCCATAGCCTTGAACTTGGTGCTGCCGTTGGAGTATAATAACAATACTGTTTCTTGACCTGTGTTCCCACCACAGTGATGGTGTCCGAAGATGCACGCACAATATCATAGAATCTCACTGCGTGGTCGACAACTCAGCCCGTGTGAATGAGAAGTGACGAGAAGCCTCACTTACCGCAGCTATGGATCCTCGTGTTTTCATTGAGGTCGGCGCGTCTTTCTTTCTGACTACCATCCCCACTCCTCTACTCTCGAGATGGGACTCATTGTGGACTCGTCGAACCTCCAAAAAGTTGAAGACCTGTGGTACGAGGATGGCACGATCATCCTCATCGCCGGAACAGCCGCCTTCTGCGTACACAAGGGCGTGCTCATAGCACTCTCCCCCATATTCCGCGACATCCTTGCACTCCCCCAATCTCCCAACAACGACACTATGGAGGGCCGCGTCGTAGTACGCATTGCAGACTCGGGCCCCGATATGACGAACTTTCTCAGGGCCGTGTTCTGCCCGGGCTACAAACGGTATGCCCAATCGGCCCGCATCACGCATCCACTCCACTTTGCCTGCTCACGCTGAACACGTCCAGCCTCGTACGCAACACCCAGCAAGTCTCATTTCCCGAGCTCGCCTCCATCCTCCGCATGGCCCACAAGTACGAAGTCCCAGAGGCGGTCGCGATCGCCGTGGACCGCCTCTCGCAGCGCTTCTGCGCCCCATTCCACACCTCGCTCGGCCGCCGAGTCACTTGGGACGACGTCCAGAAGCACCTCGGCACGACCCACGCCGCCGTCAACTTCAACCCCGCCGACGCCGCGTTCGAAGCTCTGAACCTCATGCGACGCATCAACGCCGCCGCGGGTCCCACACGCTTCCCTGACCGCGCACTTGCCGTGGCGCTCTTCTACTGCTGCGTCGCCGCGGAGCAGAACCCGCGCCTGCTCCGGAGCGGCGCGCCGCGCAAGGACGGTACGGTGGAGACGCCGAGCGACGCGGACTTCGAGCGATGCGTGCGTGGGATCGCGTTCCTCCGGCAGGAAGTCTACGACGGTATATCACGCGCGCTGATGGCGTTCAGAGACGGATACGACGGGTTCAAGAACCAGATCAAGTGCCCGAGGCAGAGCTGGTGTCAAAACGACATCAAGCTCCATCTGGCGAACGTTCAACTGACGGAAACCGAACGCACCTGGGGTCGCGGGAGCGTGCGGGACGTTTGGGTATGGGTGGCGAAACGACAGCCTGCGCCGGGGCTGTTCGGTGCGGAGGCGTGGCAGAAATGGATGTGCGGTCCGTGCAAGAAGAAGTTCGAGCAGCTGCTGGAGGAGTCGATGGTGAAAGGCTGGGACCTGTTTGTCGCGAACATGTCGGTCTCGAACTAGACAACATTGCAGCCTTGATGTATCACGTCCCACGCTCCACGATGTGCAATGGCCCTGACACGCGATGTAAATGTGTGCACGTACGTTTCCAAGAAGCGCACTATAAGACCGCGGCAGCAAGGTTTCGGACAAGGATTCCGGCTCGAGTACAGCAGATGACGCTACGGGCGGCCCGGTCGGCGGTAGTTGTCGTGGCCCTCACAGCCAGCCAGGCTTCCCCGCGCCGGCGCGCGCCTGCAACGAAAGAAACAGTTCAGCGTCGCGAAGAAGCAGAGGGAAGTATGACTTGGGAATAGCGGAATGAGCGGTGCAGCACAACATCCGGGCAATCCAAACAGGCCAGGAACGCGCGCGGAGCCCGGACCACCACACGCCCGTCTCGCTCACGGATCTTTCGCGAGCAATCACGGTCTCGCCGAAGCAGGATGGAAGCAGGCGTCCGCGGGGTCATCAAAATCGCGTCAAAGTGCTCGGAAGGGTGCTCCGGCGCTGGTATATTGTGGCGTGCGCTTGGGGCCATACTCCGCCCAGAGGCCACGGACCCGAGGGTGTTAAGACGTAGCCATTTGGAATGCGGGACGGAGACGGTATACATAACGCGTGCGGAGAGATGCTTGCGCGGGAGACTACCGCCATTCCCGTCTCTCTGTCCCCCACGCCGCCCCCCTCGGATCTCTGCCGACGCTCGACGTACGCGCGAGACGGGAACCCAGACAGTGAAGGACTCACCACCACCAAGCCATGGCTGCCCCCGCAGAGATGACCGCCCGCGACCTCAGCGGCAACTACACCCTGGTGCGTCTCCCTGTTCCCTCCCTGCGTCCGCCCCGCCCCGCCGTGTTCATCTCTGTGCCCCCGCCCTCCCACGCGCCCAGAACAAGTCGCTGAGCCGGAACAACGACGAGATCCTGCGGGCGCAAGGCGTCAGCTGGATGCTGCGCAAGACGATCGCGATGGGGAACCCGCACCTCCGCATCGCGCACGCCTTCGACGGGCCCGGCGGGGTCGAGACGATGGACAACGAGCTCAGCGCGGCGAACCAGCGGCGGAGGGAGCGGCGGACGTTCAACGGCGCGGAGCGGTCCGCGACCGGCACGCTCCTCGGGAGCATCACCGTCGGGAACTGGCGGCGGGACGCGGAGGAGATGGAGGAGCTGGAGATGTGCGGGTGCTTGACGGAGGGGTGGCTGCCGGAGACGTGGGTGGACGGGAAGATCATCTACATCCGCACGACCGGCGAGGCGGGGTGGGTGATCCACCAGGTACGTCGTCCCGGGGTGGTATTGGACGGTCTTGACACATCGCGGGCAGACATGGGGGTTGCGGGTGGTTGATGGGGCCAAGAGGTATGTGCGGAGGATCCACCTTGCTGGTGCAAAGGGTGAGGTGGTAGAGGCAAGACTCGTGTACGATTACGGTACGTGCTCTTCGTGGAAGAGCTGCCTAAGACGCCTGACTTGCATAAACAGACGGGCCATTATGAAGACGAGGCAGATCTTGGCGGCGAGCGGGTGCGAGATGGTCGTTCGGGGGAAAGAGAAGGCGCTTATTTCTGTCGCACCCAGCAGGTGTTCAGCATTTTTGTTGCCTTTTTATTGCTCCATTCCAGGAATGGGCTCTGCGTCTTCTCCATCTTGCTCATACATGACTTGTTTAAATCCCAGCGCGTGACCATATCAAAAGATGACGAGAATCCGTACAACACATGCGCTCAACCACAGTACATAGCATCTCCCCCACCGTCACTGAGCTCATGCTACATTCTCAACAAATCGTTCCCACCCCATTAGCTTCTCATACTCCAGGAACAAGAGGTATTGGTCTCTGCATCCCGAGCACATCGCCTGCCAACGACACATGATCTCCAGTGGCGTCTCTTCTGTAGGTTTCTTCTTACCCGTCGCCCACGCATCCCTCGCGGTCCGCGGTTTCCACGTCCGCTCGCCCTTCTGCTTAGTGATGAGAACGGAGATTTGCTCCATGTCAGTGCGGCAATCCGGCGACTGGCGGCACTTCACGTCATCCTTGAACGTCTCGTACCCGAACAAGAAGGCAGTCAGGGCGCGACTCACGGCGTCGCCCCCCTCCCGATGGAGCGGCTCGAGCGCGCGAACGCACCGGTCGAAATCGGCGTCGCTGAGCATCTCCACCGTGCCGTCCGCGCGCGGCGCGCCGACGCGGAGGACGCGCGGGTTGGATTCCAGGGCGATGCAGCAGTAGAAGATCGCGACCGCGACCGCGCTGTCCGGGAAGCGCGGGGAGTTCGATGTTGGGGCGAACGACGAGTTGACGAGACGCATGAGATTGAGGGCTTCGACCGCGTCGGCGGGGTCAAAGGTGACGCCGGAGGACGTGGTCAGGTGTGTTTGGATCTCGTCCCAGTCGACGACAGCGCCAAGCTTGGATTGGAAGGGGTCGCAGAAACGTTTCGTGAGACGGTCTACCGCGATCGCGATCGCGTCTGCGACGTCGTACTTGTGCGCGAGGCGTAGTAAAGAGGCTAGTTCAGAGAATTGGCAGTGTTGTTGTTCACCCTTGAGACTTGAGGGGGAAGAGCGAGAGTCAGTCTTCAAGCGGCGGGAGTCCATCAAACGCAGAAGCTCACCCATCATGCCCAGGGCGAAACACTATAGTGAGGAAGTGTGCCATGTCAATTGCAGAGTCTTGTACTCGCACCACAGGACATCCTTCCAGGACGCTGTCTTCTTGAGAGCGTGGAAGGGAAAAGAGGTCGGCAAAGACTGATGAAACGGAAGCGAGAATGCCCTTGTAGACTTTAAAGGCGCTGGAGGAGCCGGCGACAATGATGACCGTGCCGTCGTCGAACCAAAGGTGTTTGCTCTTTACAAAAGGAATCGGACTTTCGGTGTGCGTCATCATAGTGGGTGAAAGTCAGGATGGAAGTAAATCTGAGAATGAGAGGTGACCCGGGCCGGGCCGGCGTATCGGATCGACGCGCGCCATGGCAGTGCTGCGGTAGGTGCTTCTGAGTCGCCGATTGAACTGGCTCTCGGCTCAGGCGCTTCCGCTGTCGGCGTCTCCGCAGCTTTGCTCTTGATCACTCTACGCACAGTGAACGTAAGCATACTGGTCTAATCGTTCATGCAAGATGTTTAAAATCGGTATAGCATCCGACACCACCGTCTTCGTGTCTCTCACGGCCAAAGGTGGGCTTTTCTCTTCTAACTCTGGCTCCTCGATATCATCGGAAGCACTGACACTACTTCTTTAATGAACGTTCGCTCAGGATGTCAATCCAGACAAACACACCCATATCTACTCGTAAAGATCTTAGAATATGGTACAACGACGGAAATGTCGTCATTATCGCGGAAGATGTCGCATTCCGTGTTCACCAATCAATTCTCTCAAGCAATTCGGACGTGTTCCGGGATCTCTTCCAAGTTCCACAACCTCCTACTCCATCGGACGGGGACACCTTTGAAGGCTTCCCCGCCGTTCATTCCCACGACAAATCGTGCGACATGGCCGAATTTCTGGCGGTATTGTATGGTGGCAGCCAGTAAGTGTGCGCCGTCATCGAGTCCACATGGATGTAAGTGCTGACACAACCTGATCTCTAAGATCTTTCAGCCCTGCTGTCTTGTACTCGTTGCCTAAGCTCATTGCCGTAGCACGGCTAAGCCACAAGTACCAATGCGAGGATCTCCTTGCTGCCGCGCTCTCTCGTCTACAGGATGTATTCCCCACCAAATTCGCGAGCTGGTGCACGTCCACACTCAACGCGCCGGAATCGGGACCGGCCGCGTGTGAACGTCCGCGGCTTGCCCACGTAATTTCCGCCATCAACCTCTACCGTTATATTGGACGCAACGACATCCTCCCCGTTGCTTTCTACTTCTGTGCCCTCGTAGACCCCCTAGATCTCATCAACGGAGTCAGCACCCCGGAGATCGGGACGATCGAACGCCTCTCACCTTCAGACTTGGCTCAATGCATCCGGCTGAGGACCGCGTTGGGGATTAGGTGGACGCATTGCTTACATTACGCTGTGAAAACTGGACACGACCACGACAACGAAACGGAGAAGGGTAGGGTCTGCAAAATCGCCATGGAGTACTTGCTTCAAAGCGCAGAGGAGACGTTCGACGACGTCGGTTGTGGATACGGGCTTCTTCGGAATTGGAAAAGTAGCCTGCCGGTGGGAGTGATAGATCAATGCTTCGGTAACTTTACAACGATATGGTCCGTCACGCAGAAGGAGTTGTGGGGCGACCTGCCGGAGCTCTGCGGGCTTGGAGAGATCAACGGCTGGTCTGAATAGAGACATTTGTCCGACGAGAAAGTATGTGGACTTGGTCGTTTTGTATCACATAGTTCTTTCTCTCCGATATTTCACCTATACAATTCCGTCCTTTCCGCTAGACGCGGTTGTGCTCGCCCATACAGAATCGCGCGCGTACTTCCCAGAATGGCGCTGTGTTAACCGCACGATACCTCATACGCCCGCCTGTGCCCGGGACGATCTTACCCAAATGCTTTTCATTGTGGGCGCGAACAGGGGCACGAAGGCTTCTATGACCACCCGACAGCTGCGCGAGGCTGTGGTGATTCGGCGACACAGGCGAGCGCGACGGATCGACCGTGTTTTGCAAATTGACTCGGTGGTCCTTGATCGACACAAGTCGTCGAAAACCTGTACGAGTGCGCGATGCCTGTAAACAACACCTCTGCCACACCCCATACGGTGAATTGAACGCACCACATCCAGCTCGTCCTCGCGATCGCGCCTCCGATACCGGTGCATCTCGAGCTCGCGCAGACGGGGGAACCACGCCACCACCGCACACAGCGCCTCCGCCTCGCCCTCGTCCACCGCGCGGGGAGCGGCGGCGTGTGAGCGCCTCCAGGCGGTCCGCGCCGACGCGCCGCGTAAGCGCGACGTCGCCCGCCCGCCACAGCGCGACGCAGTGGTGCGGAGGGAGAGCGCGCGGAGCGTCAGCGGGAGGTGCGCGAAGACGCGGTCGTCTGGGTCCTGCGCGGACAGCGCGAGGCGCTCGAGGTCGCGCCACGTGAGCGTCGCTGGGGGCGGCGTGAGGCGTGCATTAGGTTGTTTGAAGGTTCGATTACCCTCGGGTGCGCGCGGTTGGGGGTGGTGCGAGGCAGAGCCGGGGGAGCGAGGTTCAGGACGAGGACGCGCAGGTGCGGCATGGACGCGAGGAGGAGTACGAGCGACGTCGAAGGCTCCGTCCGTGCAGGACCGGCCAACCTCGGCTCTCGGAGACGCGGCCACGGGAGGGCAGCGGCGGTGTGAATGGGGGTCGGCTCGGTTGGTGTGCAGGTGGGGTGGCTTCGAGTGCGAGAGATTCCGATGGCAACGCGGGCTGCGTTCGGAATAGGTTGACGGTACACAAACGAGCGAAAGGTGCTGACATTGTGCGCTGTGGAGAGTGCCAACTTGGAGGAGAGTTGGAGCAATAGCGGAGTTGATCAATGTCTAGGTGACGAAGGTGAGGAAGGGACAGTATTCTCGTGTATGAACGCCCATGACGGGTTGTAAGCATGGGATCCCAGAGACCGGAGGGCGATTGCAGACAAGCGTGGCATGGAGCGGAGAACGTCGACGAGCGGCCCACACTGGAGAACTCCGCAGACCATGGGGTCGTCCGTGTGACGGATCTGCTTTGGGTACCACATGTTCTTGTCGCAGTCCTGTTTGCTGCAGTTCGAGTAGAGCCGATCAACACATTTGTCGGGTATGGTCAGTGATCTGCAAGCACATCAGTATACGTACAGATGTCGCATGTGCAGCGATTTCTCACCGAACAGCTGGCCAAAGCGAATGCGGTACTAGAAAGCATTCCGAGGTGCTGATCGGATGCTCCCGGAACCAGGTCCTTCCTAAAGAATCAACTTTTCAGCATATAAAACCACGCGTCATGGAGTATGCGACTTACAAAGAACACTGGACCATGTTGACGCGCGGAGAAGGGAAGGAGGACGAACGCCGGCGAAGCGTTGCGTTTTACCCTCCTTTAGGCGATAGATGATGTTGTCCTGCCGTCTGCCTCGGGATTCAGGAACGCCGCGCCCCGGCGCATGCGATGAAATTACCATATTTCAAAATGTCAGATGCGGCGTAAAGTGCGTCAAGCAGAGGAACGTAAAGGTGTGACGAGAAATATGCGCACCGTAGAGCAAAAGGGGGCATCGAGGGAACTGTAAGCCCGATGACGAACGTAGTTTCTGCGCATTGAGAGGTTGATAGATGGAGAGTAAAATCAGTAACGGAAGGCCTTTCCGTCCCTCCTCGTCGCAGCATCCTATTGGCATCCACCAAGGACCGAACGTTCACTTGCTATGCCCGTCAGTAAAGCATACCGACAGATCATGCTGGACGTACTAGTAGCCATACACGACATCCCTGTCTAGTCAGATATGCGGCGTGACTGTCATGAACGGCAGCAGGGCGGCGTGGGCGCGCAAGACAGGAGGAAAGCGTCCAAGATTGGCTGGCTGTGGGACTCCCGCTTACGTGACGCGTCATGGGCCAGGCGCCAAAGCCCTTGCTCTCAACTATGTAGTTGCTACAATTCGCCTCCACAGCTAAGTATCGGGCGTTCTTTGGCTTGGTGCACTTGTACATTCCCTCTCCTATGTAAACCCAACGTGGGTGTCGCCCACCCGGGCACATCCAGCGTGTCAAAACATTGGCCAACCCCTGGAGCATGCCCTAAAAGGCTGCCCGCCCTCCGACTACCCCGGGTTTGACGTCGGCTTACTTTCGAGTACTCGGGTACTACGTTACACCAACGGATGGTGCGTCAGTTTCCCCGAGACATTGGTCGCATCGGATCAGGAACCAACCACAGTTACTCTTCCTTGATACAGCTATTCGTCCTCTCCCTCCGCGGCACCACACAGAATTAACGTGGTCGTACGCTACCCCCACAATCTCAGCTCACCCGAGTCCAATTAAACACGCTTCCAAAAATCCTCCCCCAGCCTCTCCTCCCGCACGCGCACGACGCGCTCCCCCGCCGCATCGAGCACGACCGCCGTGTCCGGCACGCCCGCGTCCCCATACACGACCCGCCCCACGCGCGGCGCCCACCGCCTCAACACGTCCCGCGCGACCTCCTCGAACAGCACCCGGACCTGGTCCGGGTCGCTCGCGTCCAGCACCGTGCCCCACGCCTCCTCCTCGAGCACCCAGCCGACCGTGAGCGCGCGCTCGGCGGCGGGCTCGAGCTCGACCGTGGGGGCGAGCGCCGGGGGCGCGGACTTGCTCCCGCGGTGGCCCGCGCGCGTCGGGTGCGTGGTGGCCTGCCACTGGATCGGCAGCGGGACGAAGTCGGGCTGCCGGATGTCAGCCCCCGCGCCCCGAGTCCCACAGAAGAACGCAAGACGCACCTCGGCCATGTGCATCTGCAGGTACCGCAGCCGCGGGAAGCGCGCGAGCACGTCCGGGACCGCCCACGGCGCCGCCGCCGCCGCGAGGGGGGAGTCCGGCATGACGATGCGCTCGAGCGCGCCGAGGCGGAGGCTCACGAGTCGGGGCCCGAGCGCGGCGGCGACGCGGGCGAGCGCGTGCGGCGCGTGCGCGCGCACGTGCAGGTGCGTCAGCGCGCGCGCGGACCCCGCGCACGCGAGTGCGGTCTCGAGCCCACCGCTGAGCGTGCGCAGGCCGGGGGTGTGCAGCGGGCGGTGTGCGTCGGAGGCTGTGGCACGGCTGCTGCTGCTGCTGCTGCTGCTGAAGGTCGGGGCGGAGAGCGTCGGGGCGGCAGCGTCGCCGTCGTCATCGCAGTCGGGCACGACCGCGCCCGGAAGCAGGGCGAGGTCACACAGGCGTGGGTGCGCCTCCACGAACGCGGCGACGGCCGCGGCGCAGCCCATGTTCGTCTCGAACGCGCGGAGGCGCGGGAGGCGCACGTCCGCGAACCCCGCGCGCGCGCACGCGTCCGCGACCTCCGCGCTCTCTATGTCGAGCGCGAGCGTTCTGATATTCGGGAGGAGCGCGAGGAGGCGCGGCAGGCGCGCCGCGACGCTCAGGTCCCAGCGGACCGCGCAGCGGAAGCGGAGGGTCGTGACGGCGTAGCGCGCGGGCGGGGACGCGAGCGCGCGGTCGTACAGCGCGCAGAGGGCGTCGTGGGTCTCGGCCGTCGCGGTGCCGTGCGCGGCGGCGAGGGCGGCGTGCCGCGCGATCGCGGGCTGCGCGACGGCGTGGAGGCCGCGGCAGGCGAGGGCGAGCGCGTGGATGTCGTAGCCGTCGGCGAGGCGGTCGAACACGAGCGTCCAGAGCTCGTAGGGGAGCTTCATGTCGGAGCAGACCCGGGTTGGGGAATGGTCCGTGGGGGTGAGGGTTGGGAATCGGTCCGTGGGGGTGAGGGATTCTGACAGTGGGAGAGGGTGTGGGCGAATGCCGCGTTGTGCGCTCGAGATCGTGAGGGGACGCACCTGGCGAGGCCACAAATGTCGCGGACAAGGGAGAGCAAAACATCCCTTCGTTCGGCGGGCTCTTCAAGTCCCACTCGGGGAGCAAGGGCACCATGTCCCATAGAACTGCACAGGTGGTAGCAATGCGCGGATGTTATTAGCATGCGAGCGAGAGACGCTTCGCCAGTACTCACGTTTGTCTGCCGAGTCTTTCCTGAACGAATACGACAAGCTAAGTTTCCTGCGCAGACCCGAGCCCCGCCGCTGCTCCCCAGGAGCAGTCGGAGACCTCAAACTCGGCATCTTCAGCGGCATGGTCAAGATCCAGCGTCCCCGGTCGACGTGTACCCACAAGCCCTAGGAGGATGTCCTAGCCAGGCAGGAGAAGAGGAGAAGCAGCGGAGGGGAAGGGATGCCGGCAGTCTCGCAAGCGAAGCTGAAGGTGGAGGTCGGGACCAGGTCGCGTCTGGGGCAGCCGGTGTGGGGGCGGGGACGACTACCATTCCTCGCACGGGCAGAGCATAACTGCGCGCTGACGATGGCGGCGCGGCGGGGGATGCGAACGCTGTTGAACGGATGGCAGGCGATGCGGATGGGCGGGGGCTGCGTGCCCAGTCCGCGCACGAAGTGCCGCCGGAACGCGGACAGACGTGCATTGCTTCGAGGCGTCGTGCGATGGGTGCGTGGGCGGCAGTGCGGAGAACGAAGGGCGAGGGTGGTCTAGGATGGTCGGCGTGCTGGAGGGAGCGAACCGGGGCGACGGGATCGGACGTGCGAAGATTGGAGGCGTTGGGTTTGATGACGCCTGATTGTGCAAGACGGAATGATATGTTTATCAGATCGCCAGCGGTGACAAGAATAGGAGCGAGGATAAGAAGGGACGAATAACGATGATGAAGAGGGAACCGCGGGGCGTCGGGGACTACAAGAAATCTTGCATCTATCAAACAGCAGCACGAGAAGAGTCTCACCTTCAACTCGTTCGTCAAAAGAAATACGACTCGCCACTGCTGGTAGTTCGTTCACGGCCGCAGACGCGCAGTCAGAGACTCCAGAGCGCGACGTCCTTGGTTCCTCGAGGGCTTCTATGGCCAGTGACGCACGAGACGAGCTCCAGGAGCAACGGAGTGGCCGCATCCCAGCCCGGCCGCTCCCCAAGCGGAGGCCGGTCCGGATCCGGTGCGTACATACATGCCCCACACAACGGCCAGCGTTCTGAGAGCCCCAAGAAAGAGCATACAGTCTGAAGATCTGACCACGAGCCCTCACGACGCCCTCCGAGCGTGCGTTCGCGCACGCGCATCATTCCGCATGCCCATGCATGCGTCACGCGTCGCGCACGAACAGCGTGTTCGCCGCCCGCCGCGGAGCACATCCCGACCGTCTCCGCCACAAGCACGCACGCAACGCACGCACGTCGCCACGACCGCCACCGCCGCCGCGTTCGCGGATGACGTATCGGACCTACCTGTGCCGCCAACACGTACGCCACCAACTGCCTCCCCGTTGCTTCAACGTGCACGGCCGACTCGCGGCGAACCTGGCCCGGTGACCAGAGACACCCCGTCAGGTCGAAGCCGACGCTGAACGCACGGCGGGCCTACAGCGCCACGTCGAAGTCACTTGAGCTTCAACACAAGTTCGCACACGACTGTACACATACATAGCTGAGCTGTCACACATACCTGACGATATCCCACGCTCAGACCACAAAGATCCGCGCGCATACACTCACAACCTTGAGACCTTGAGATGCTGAGGGCGGCTTCGTCGTCGGGCGAGTAAACCGGAGGAAAGATCGTTCGAGGATTTCGGCGCTTGTGCGCGCGTGAGCGCAGCGCAAGATCTTATCTTATCAGCCGCTTCTCCGTCGAGTCGCCGTCGATCGTCCCCCCGACCAAAACAACTCGCACTCCGGAGTCAGCTCAGTCGTGCACCGCGGAGAAGGGAGGAGACTGCACGACGATCACACCAAAGCGAGTCGAGTCCCTTCCAAAGCAAAGTTCGAGGTTCCAGAATCCAGTCTGGCGGCGTACGTACTATGCAGAGAGCGCGGCTACTATGAATACATCGATTGCAGCGACGAGGCGCGGGCGGCGGGGAATAAAGAAGGGCGCGATCCGGATCCTGCAGTGAGAAGAGAGAGAGGTACGTGACTACGCAGCGAGCACGGGGAGTGCGGGGGGAGACGAGGCGAGGCGGGCAAGGGGAATCTGGGTACTCATACAGTGCAAACGGACGGACAAGGACGTACGCGGCACAAAGCATCCTAATTACACAGCCGGCGGGGGCCGCACGTAGAGTAAGTTACTGACTGGCGTATCTCGGTTATATGGGGGACGCGTGCGTCGGCACCGGCATAAGTAGCATATACCAGCTATATCATCAGCGCGCGCGCGCGCGCCGGAGGGCTGCTGGCGAGCCTGTCCGGCGCGCGCGCAATACAAGTGTCGGTATCGTATCGGTATCGCGTGCACGGCGCCACGAGCGCGTCGTATGTCCGTCCGCTCCGTGGCGGGCGCAGCAGTGTATAATCGGGGGAGAGGCATGGTGTGGAGAGAAGGGGAGACGGGCGGCGAAGCAGCAGGAGCAGAAGGGCGAGACGAAGCAGCGGCGGACTTTCATCCCGACGCGTGCGCGGACAGACCGACCGTCCGCGACGAAGGATCCGCGAACGACCCAGGGAGGTACGGCATCCGGATCGGCGGCGGCGGATGCCCGTCCTCGTCCTCGTCCGCCGCCGGCGACGCGCTGTCGTCCCCTTCGTCTTCCTCCTCCCACCCCGCCGGGTTGAGCAGCGCGCGCTTCGCGTTCGGGGGGCCGAGCGTCTGCGACGCGCCGCGCTTGAACGACGGGCGCAGGCCCGCCTCCGTGAGCGAGTGGTGCGCCTGGCCCGGGTCGTCGGTGAACGCGTGCGCGAGCGACGAGCTCGCCATGGACGCCGCGTTCGGGGGCCCGCCGCCGCCGGAGCTTCCGCTTCTCTCTGCGCTCGAGCTAGACCCGGGTCGGTTCAGGAGCTCGGAGATCTTGCTCCCGCCGCCGCCGGAAGGGGGGCTATTTGAGAACGGCGCGTGGGGGACGACGGGGCTCATGCTCTTACTTTTCCCGAGCGCCGCGCCGGCCACCGCGAGCCCGTGCGCGCTCCTGGGCGAAGCCACCGCGAGCGAGCCCTTGCGCTTCGGGGCGATGTTGAGCGTCATCGGCGCCCTGCGCGCGAGCACCGCCTGCTCGTAGCTCTTGAGGTCTTCCGCGCCGTGCGCCGTCGACCGCATCGTCGAGTTGTAGCCCGCCTGGCCCTGGTGCTGTTGCGCGTGCGCCTCGGCGTCCCCCGTCGACGGCCGCCCGTTGTAGCCGAGGCGTTCGTCGGTGAAGAGCGGCGGGGTCTTCATGCTGGGCAAGCTGGCGACGCGCGAGTGACGTCGTGGGGGGCTGGGCCTGGATCCGCCCGGGTGCTGACCGAGCTGGGAGCCCGGGCCGGTGGGGGTCTGGAGGGGAAAGAGGATGCCAGACGTGTTGGGGCCCGTGAGCGGCGTCTTGAGATACATCTTCCAGAAGTCGCGCATCTCCTTGCTCTCCATCCCTTCCCGCCCACCGGCGCTCTTCAGCTGCGCCAGGAGATCCTGCGTGGGCGTCGCGAGCGCGTAGTTGTTGTTCGCACCGGGCGTAAACCCAGTTCCAGACATGCCGGAGAAGAACGGCTGGCCGTCGGCGGCGAGCCCGGCGAGGACGTTCGGGTCGTCGAGGCTCATGAGACCGAAGGCAGAGGAGAAATGGCCCTCGCCATCGTGGGGCGCCCCTGAAGGATACCGCTGCTGGTCGTAGTCGTCCTTGCTGCCTTCACGCGTGCGGATGTTGTTGAAAGCGGGGAGGGGAAGGTGGACGCTGCTCGAGTTCGCGCTGCTGGGGATCGAGTGCGAGCTCCCGGCGTCGCTCCCGAACTCGTCCGAGCTCAGGTCGTCGGTGCGCGCGTGGGTGTGGTGTGACGGAAAGGCAGAGGGGTTGGCGAGGGAGGAGCTCGCGTGGTACGCGGCATTATCGGTGGGGTATGCGTTGGCGGTGGGAGGGTGGGATTGCAGGGTGGGTTCGGTCCCAGGAGGAAAGGACACCGATTGATGGCCTGAAGAGCGTGCCATGTAGGAGGGGTCGACGCGTTGTGCCTCCCACTGGGCGGTAGAGGGAGGGTTGTACCTGTCATACTGACCACCCTGCGCGCTCGCTGCGACGGCGTAAAGGTCAAACCAGACGGCGCTCGTGTCAGCCGACGAGGCGGGCTGTGCAGGACTGAGCGCACCATTTGGCATGCCACCAGCACGAGTGAGGAGTTCCGCCTGAGCGCGGATGCGGGCCATGGTGTCTGCGCCGTCAAGGCCTTCACGATGGAGCATGGGAGGCATCTGACTGTCCGACGGGGCGAGTGCCGATGAAAGCGGGGGCAATGATGACTGGTAGCCGTTGGGGTAGAGGGAGTAGTGAGGAGCAGTGTTGTACATGCCGGGGACACCGAGGACGCCCGGGGCGGGCCCGAGGAGGAACTCGTCGGGCAGGCGAGGCGCACCGAGGGAGATGGCGTGTCGCGCGACAGGCATCGTCTGGGGCAGAGGGTGACCAGGACCGGCGGGGGCTGTTTGGCGATGGAACTTGATGTAGGTGCATCGGCACTTGCGATGGACGCATTTTGCTACGCAGGGGGAAAGTGTTGAGAGGGGATGGAAGATGGTATGAGGAGGAAGACTCACCACAAGGGTTGGCTCCATCGCACGGGAGACTCGAGGTCACACACTGGTCGCACGCTTGCTTCGAGGTGGTTGCGCGGGAGGCGGCGGCTGTGCCCTTCCTACGCGAGGGGGCGGTGGTAGTGGGAGGCTTTTCCGAGGCATGGCACTTGTTGATGTGCCGCGAGAGGAGGTCGCTGTTGTGCGGGACGGAGGCGGGTGAGCGTGGGCGGGGAGGACGGGCCGGAAGCGGGAGGAAGGAAGAGAGGGGCGCGTACCTTCGAGCAAACTGATCACCGCAGTGTTGGCACTTGTATGGGCGGTCGCCAGTGTCTAGAAGGCAGGAGGCGTTAGGAAAATGTCAGGGATCGAGGAGCGGTGGGGCCTCGGCGGAGGTGGGGCGGGGGGTGGAGATGGAGAAGCCACTGACGGGAGCGCATGTGTCGGGCGACATGTTGGGGCCGGGTAAAGGTGGATTGGCAGACTGGGCACTGTGGAGAGGGGGGGTGAGCAAGGCTGGCGTGGACGGGGTCGGGGGGGTCGGGGCCACGGGGCGCACCTTGTGGTCGCCGGCCATGGTATGGAGCTCGGGCGTAGAGGAGGGGCTCGATGGTGTTGGTGGAGGAAAGTTAAGAGCGGGCGGTCGCGTCTGTGGCCGTTGATTCCCTGTTCAATCGACCTGTCACACATTAATCACTCGTGCGAACTCTGACGTCACCATCCCCATCCCCGGGCGCTTCGTTCGCCCGTCCCTGCCCTCTCGCGCGTCCGCGATGGGTGCGGTGCGTGCTCGCATTTGCGGCGGCATAAATCCAGGGCAGCAAGACCCTGTGGGTGTGCGAGCGGGCAGGAGGCAGGCAAAGGGACGGCGGGGCAGAGGCAGGCGTAGTGGAGCGATGACGTCATCCGCATTATAGTGAGATCGGAACGGAGATCAAGGAGTGCGTCATTTCTGTCAGCGTGGGCCCGGGACGGCTATGTGCTCCGATGGTGACTGCATTCCCTGCAACACGCACGGAACCCGTCGGTGCAGACGGGGGACGGCGGCGTGACGGAGAACATCGAGGGAGGTGCTGCGGACGGGGGCGGGCGCGACGGGCAAAGCTGTGAATCCCCCCAAACGGCTTTGGCTGACGTCTGCATAGCAACGGAGGCGATAGCCTGTCGTGCGATCTTCCGCCCGATCCCTCCCCCAGATCTCTCTCACCGAACCCCAGTGCGGTTCTGCCCGCTCTTGGTCGTGCGTTTCCGATTGAGGAGGATGTGGGCAGGGCACGGGAGCTGGCGAGGAGGGTGGGACAGCAGCCGTGTCGGGTGAGGAAGCGTGGAGGACGCCATAAAGTTCGCACCCTCGATGCAGGCTGGCAGCCCCATCAGACGTCTGAGACCGGTACCCTCGCGGCGATTGGCCTGCAGGCTATGACGTCATCCATGGCGACGTCCACTGGCCACCAAATCTCCTTTTCTTGCCCGCCTGCGCCCCCAGCGTCCGTGCACGCCCCGATACATGCTCGCGACGACCGACACCTTTCGCCTCCGCCACGACGCCCGTCGTCATCCAGATATCCAACGCTCGCCCTTCATGTCGCGCCCATGCGTTCAGCGGCTTCAGCCTCTCATCAGATCGCACGGATAACTTCGCCAAACTTTCGCGCACGCACGCGGTCGTCGTCGTCGCCTTGAGAGGCTCAGGGCTGATAGCGAAATGCGTCCTCGGACTCACCCACATACCCGCGCACCCGAGCCACAGATCCATCTCCGTCCCGCCTCTCACCATGAGTGCCCCTGATGGTGATCCGCGCACCATTAATTTTACGCGCCCGGTCTCTCTCCGTCTCCCGTCCGAGGGTTTCTCCTGGTTTCCCACATCGGAATCGGGGTGCTCTCGAGGACTGAATGCACATCTCTTAAGTACGCTTATATTCTGCAGACCGTGAACGTTTGAACGATGGGAGCGGTCCGAGCGCGAGCGCGGAAGTGCTGATTGCCCGCCCACATGATATTCCGTATGATGTGACCGCGGTGCTCGGACCCCACCCTCATCTTCAACACCCCTTTTCGGAGTGCCCTCCCCGGTCGTTCTTGCCATTGGTTCCGTAAAGCTCGACTGACAAGAACCCTCTTCTCACACAAGCACAGTCTTGTTCGAGACCTTCCTATCCAGGCGAGGTTTATTTTCGCTCGCCTCCGGACGCTTTCGCGGCGCGCTTCTCGACATTGACCTCGAAGTTCGAACGCGCAGCATCCCCGACGCACTTTCATTGCCACGACCGTGGGCGTGCGACCGTTCTTGTCTCGCCGTCGCCATGGCCGCGGATGCCCACCCACTTCTCACAGCTCGAGCATCACGCACCCCCGCACGTGGACTTCCCACACCTGGCTTGCATCGCAAACAATCAAGGACCCCCATCCGGACGCTTCGCGGATCACGATTACAGAACACGCGGTCCGAGCGTTGCGCACAAAGTGAGTATTCACAAAGGCTCCTCGTCTCGCACGGCGACGCACCCCGTCGGACGAGCGAGCCAAGCGTCGAGCACAACACCGCGCCTCCTCTTCGCTCATCCTCCCAGGTACCTCGGCCTACACTCATCCAGTCGACGGATGTGCAGATCGAGCACTCAACAAACGCATCGGAAACGCCCAAACGCGCGTGCCCCGCTCCACCCTCCGCCTCCGCCACTCCACCGTGCTCCACCGTTCTTCCGTCCGGCGATTCAGATCCGCGCACGGGGCGCGCACGCCAGGTGCGGCTCCGAGATACGCCTCGGGGGGCGGGGGCAGGGTACACAACTTGGGCTAGACCGGGGATTGCCCGCCTCCTCCTCCTCCTCCCTCCTCTCGAGACTCGTGCGGCCGCGTGTCCCACAGCTCCGCCCATGTCCATACTGTAAGACGTCAAGTCGAACGCTGCACAGCACGGCCGCACGCGACCTCCGCGACCGTCGAAGCCCCGAAAACAGGGGCCGGCTGTGCGTGTATAGAGAGAGACCGAGGAGTGCAGAGGCCGTCCGATAGCGTACGGGTGGAGCGGCGGATCGGAAGGCGGGACGAGTCCGAACTTCACGGGATCGCTCGGGGCCCCCGCGCTGCCTGCTTTTGGTGTTTGATCGCGCACGGCGATCGTGCACGGCGCACGCGCGTGTGTGGGTTTTCACGTCGAGGGACTTCCGGTCGATCGCACGCTATCGTCCCCTTCAAAAGCGTAGGCGGTGCGGCTGGACCTCGCAGGACCTCCTGTTCGAGATACGGCGTTCGCGACGGGCGTGATTGACCCCGTTCTCGAGCGACGACCCCTCCCGGACGCGCCATTCCAAAAGTATGTGCTTAGCTTGTCTCCCCGCAGGACTGCACGAGCATCTCTTCTTCTGTCGCGCGTGCGCGATGTCGGACGTCTACGGGATCCCGGACCGTCTCTCAGGGCTTCTGGCTCGTTCGAGGAGATGCGCGCGCGCTGGCCGTCATCAGTGCATCATCCATGGTATCCATCCCCTGCGCTCGTATCGTAAGTACGTCAAGCCACGCCGTTTCCCCGCGAATGCACGTCCAGATCCAGCGCTGCGGTCTTGCATCAAGGGTCGGAAGCAGAGAGCCCAGCCTCGCGCTCGACCAGCGCAGACGAGCTCTCTTCTTTCCGCTCTCCCCCCCTAGACCTGCATGCCCACCGCCCGGGCCCGCGCTCCGATGCCCCGCCGGACCATCGAAGCGTCGCGCGCGGGGACGTCGCAGGCCAGAGGACTCGTTGGGCTCTCGAGACTCGCGTCACGCGCTCGCAGCACCCGCGCGAAGCACGGTGGGACATGGCGCGTGCCCGCGCTTCCGCCTCAGCGAAGCTCTGGGCGAGTAGAACACGCTGCGCGTGATGGATTGCGCGCGTGGGAACCCTCGTTCGTGGGGGTGCGCGCGCGGGGGCTCGCTTGCCCTCACGTGTGCGCCGTGCGCGAGCGCGGGACCCTGCGGTGCTCGACGTAGGGTGCTCGACGCGCCGCGTGTTGGTTTTGAGGCCTTGGGGTACCGCTTGGTGACTCAGCACTCAGGACTGCCTGAGGGGTGCGGCGTGCGCGACCGGCGCGAGCGCGACCGTCTGCGCGCAGGGACATGTGGTCACCAGAACCGCACTGCGTCGAACGCTATCGAGGGCTGAAAGCCGTGCAGGCGCGCCGCGGATCTCACTGACGTTCGCCCCGAGCCGATGCACCGCGGTGGAGGGGTCCGTGCGAAGGCTGCGGTGGAGCGTCCTGAAGCTTCGGACCTCGGTTTGGTGCTCACGCAGCGAGTGCATGGACGCCTCAGCGATATCGATGCCACAGGGACGGTCGATCGTGCACGGCAAACCGTTTCTCGGTCGAGGCGAGTGGATCTCAGCGCACCATCTCCGTGTCGACGTTCGAGCGTCGACGCGCGACCCGTCCCTGAGAGCCATGTCCGTGGGAGCGCGTAAGCTCGGACCTGCGCCCGGTGCGAGTTGCATGTTCAGCAGCCTTGGACGGCGCAGGAGATGCATTTACTGCCACGGACATCGTCTCGTAAACTTGTGTTCGGCACGATCCGCGCAAGTACACGCCGTACCGACACCGAGCGCGAGATCTAGAGCGTCCCTCTGCGCGTTCCTGTCCCTGGGCGCTCGCCTCGCCCACGCTCCTCCCCCGTCTGAATCGGTGGAAGTCCAGAAGACGGGCGACTGAGTACCTGGCGAAGACGAAGGGGTAGGGCGATCCCAGATCGCGTTCAGGACGCCGGTGTTGATCCCAAGGTGCTTGCCACGAGTTGGACGGAAGCGAGGGTTCTCAGACTCAGACTCAGCGAGGACATGGACGTCTCCCACTGACCACTCCGCGATGGTCTTCGCAAATCTTTCCCGCGCGGGAATGACCCGATGCTATCTGTATCCCCCGACCGCGTGAGAATATGCAGGGGGCACAAATGTGCGGGGGGACTCGAGGTTGGCTCGAGCCCTTCGAAGTCGTCGACGAGGTTTGCAGAACTCGTGTAAGCGTGTGCGTGCACGGTCAGTGGAGATAGCGACGTACGTCGCGCGAGCACAATCCCGAGCGCCCCGAAGATGTGCACGACCTCGCGCCTGTACCGCTCCATCGCGCTGGGGACATTGCCATCGCTGTACAGCTTGAAGGAGATGGCCTGGCCGGAGTGGGCTGGGCAACGGAACCGCCCATTATGGCTCGAGCAGGAACGAGGGGGGCCCAAGCAGAAGATCGAGAACGTACCCTTGTCCAAGGCGTCAAAGAACATCCACTGCGGGAGCAACGTGCGCTCCTCACACGAGTCGGTCGAAACCTTGCGCGCTGGGTCGTGCTTCTTGACGAGGTACGAGGTGATCGCACCGGGTTCCGTGCGGTTGAACTAGACCACTATTTGGGTTGCTCTTCGGCTGCTCGGGGGTGCGCTGCTCACCGCTTTTGAAGCCGGTGTGCACAGCGCGGTAGCTAAGTCCGAGCCCAATCAAAACCACTTTCCAGGAGATCGCCTGCGAGGTCTACGCGACACAATCCGTTGGATGGTGTACCGGTGACGCAGTACAGGGCGTTGTCGACATCAGACATTGTTCAGGACACACTGCGGGGTTGGCCAATCCGTTGACACGGAACCTGAGCTGAATGTGCCCGGGCGGGCTGCACCGTGTCGCGCGGGTTTAGGAGAGAAATTGTACCAGCGTACCAAAGCACCATAAATCAGAGTCTCGTTCCAAATGTAGGTGGAAAAGTACAAGGTCTGGGTTGGAGGTGTTAGCGTTGTGAGTGACAGAGCTCGGCCAACGATGCGGAAGCCATAGCGTACGTCGATATAGATGGAGGCCATGTCACGACTGAGAGCAAGTAGTACTTCGGCGCCTGGAGGCCAGCGGTGGCCGATGTCACATGTGGCGAGCGAGACGCGTCACGTAATGTCGGAAAAAGGAAATCCGTCTTGCAAGGCGGCTATCTGGCAATGATATGGCAATTCAAGGCCACGGTCTTGATCGCGTATTGCAACGACCTTGCCACACCCTGGTTCGACTGGGATCGATTGCAAGATGGCGAACACCCTGCGACACCATATCAATCAGACTGATCCCCTTGCGACGGCACGGCTATAGTTGAACTCAACCTGCCCTGAAGTGCCGTCGCCTGTCGCAATTTCAAAGTTGGACTTCGCGTGAATCGCGTCTGAGTCCGAGTCTTGTCTCTTGCTCTTTCCTCCCATGCTCTCTCTGTTCCAAACTCCCCATCGTCTCCTCTCAAAGCTTTCGTCGACGCCACTTCATCCACCCCCAGTGCTCCCCCTGCTCTGGGAATTATGTTGCTAGTCGTCTGTGGTCGCTCTCTGCCCGCCTGTTGGATCCACACTCGTCCTCTGCCCCTAAGTCATCCCCTCCGCTGCTCTTCTCCTCGTATCGACGATAATTCTGCCCTGCAACCCTCCCTCGTGCTTCCGCATCTGTTTCTGTTCCTCTCGGCCTCCCTGGTTGCTCACTGGCGTCGTTCATATCACACTGTTCACTGTCGGTCTGGTTCTTGTCTGTCTCGACTCTCCACTGCCCCGTTCTCAATGTCCTCGTTCTCGTATTTCCCATTCTGTTGTCTCCGTTTTCTGTGCTCATGCTGTCTCTTGCCTGGACTCCCAGGGCACTCAAAATTTGCCAGGATCATGTTTAACACCGTTTGTTGTATATCATGTCCGTCTTTGAGTAGTAGTTTAATGAATGCCATTGTTTTGAGGCCATTACAAGCGTGAATCAGTAAATACGACAGAAAAACAGGGCTGCAAGACTGGAGCCTCAATTGCAAGGTGGACGCCTGGAATGGCCAATTAGCGCGCGGTCTTGCGATGACCTTGCAAGAGAAACTAGTCATCTGGCAGGAACGTTCCGATTCGGATCAATCTTGGGACTATTGCAATGGCGTTGGAAGCGCTTGCAAGCCCGATTTGGTTTTTCCGACAAAGCGGTGGCCACGTGGCAAACACACGCCAATTTCAGCCCGCCTCCTACCTGCCACGCCCACTCCGCCCAGTTGTCGTTCGTAACAATCGCGCCGGACATCTGAGTAGAATGGGACGCGACGCATGGCTGCTAGTAAGTGCAAATAGACGTGTTGGTGCGTTTTCCTGAGGCGTATATAGCAAGTGAACTCGACCCCTGGTGGATGCCGATAGGATGATGTGCTTGCGTAGGGGCGGGAATGCCAAGGGAGGCCTTCCGTTAACAATGTCAATTTTCACCTGTCAACATCTCCATGGATCCTCCATATCCCCTTTTGCTCTACGGTGCGCATATTTCTCGTCACGCTTTTACGTTCTTCTGCTTGACACACTCTACGCCGCATCAGACGTTACGTCCTTGAAAGATAGCAATATCATCGCATGCACCAGCGCGCAGCGTTCCTGCCCACGGCTAGCGTCCGAAGCAGAGGGTGGAACAACATCACCCATCGCCTATAGGAGGATAAAACACGACTGCTCGCGAGCGTTCGCCAGTACTTCTTCCCTCTTCCGCCATCGCTACATATCAACATGGCTCAGTGTTTTCTGTAAGTCGCAATCATACTCCATGACACGTAGTTTTCTATCCTGACAGGTCGGTTCTTCAGGAAGGACCTCGTCCCAGTCGACATTCTTGTTGATATCATCGAGCATCTTCCGTCCCAGGACCGGTGCAGATTCTCCGCCACATGTCGTCCCATTAGACGTCTCAGCAAGAGCTATCTCTTTGGAAGCATATCCGTCGGTCTGGAGCATCCAATCAGCACCTCGGAATGCTTTCCAGTACCGCATTCGCTTTGGCCAGCTGTTCGGTGAGAAATTGCTGCGCATGCGACGTCTGTACGTATACTAATGTGCTTGCAGATCATTGACCATAACCGACAAATGTGTTGATCGGCTATACTCTACCCGCAGCAAACATGACTGCGACAAGAACATGTGGTACCCAAAGCAGATCCGTCACACGGACGACCCCATGGTCTGCGGAGTTCTCCAGGGTGGGCCGCTCGTCGACGTTCTCATCTCCATGCCACGCTTGTCTGCACTCGTCCTCCGCTCTCTGGGATCGCGTGCTCACGGGCCGCCTTGGGCGTTCATACACGAGATACTGTCCCTTCCTCACCTTCGCCACCTGGACATCGATCAACTCCGCTATTGCCCCAAGCCCGACTCCTCCTCCTTGACACTCTCCACAGCGCACACTGTCAGCACCATTCGCTCGTTTGTGTACCGTCAAGACCTATTCCGAACGCAGCCCGCATTGGCATCGGAATCTCGCGCACTCGAAGCCACCCTACGCGCCGCGCACACAACGCTCGAATGCATTGCGCTCCCCACCGAACCGGCCCCCATTCACACCTTCGCCGCCCTCCCGTGGCCGCGCCTCCGAGAGCTGAGGTTGACCGGTCCTGCATGGACGGAGCCTTCGACGCCGCTCGTGTTCCTCCTCGCGTCCATGCCACACCTGCGCATCCTCGTCCTGAACCTCGCTCCCCCGGCTCTACCTCACACCGCCCAAAACCGCGCGCCCTGGGGGATAGTCGACCCTTCAAATAACCCAGTGCACGCCGGCGGCAGCGACGACGGCCGAGTTACGCCCGTGTGGCCGCGCACCCTCACTCCGCCCCCAGCGACGTTCCCATGGCGCGACCTCGAGCACCTCACGCTGTCCGCCCCGGACCCAGACGACAGCGTCTTCGCGCACCTCCCGCCGACGCTCCGCGCGCTCTCCCTCCGGCCGTTCCCGCACCACTGCGTCGCGCTGTGGCGGGCGGGCGACGTCGCGCTCGCGCGGCGCCTCGGCGCGGACCGCCTGGAGGCGCTCACGCGGAGCCCGCTGCTCACCGCGCGGGACCTGACGCGCATCGTGACCGCGTGCCCCGGGCCGATGCGCGCGATGCGCGAGCTCAGGGTGGAGTACCTGGCGGACGCGGGCGAGGCGGCGGCGCTGCGCGCGGTGGTCGCGCGGTTCCCCCGTCTGCGCGCGCTCGAGGTGCACCGGTATCGCCCGCGCGATGGCGAAGCGTCGCTGGACCTGGTGCGCCCGCCCCCTGCTCCTGCTCCTTTGTTTTCGGTGCACCAAGCTGACGGTTTTTGGGGCGGACAGGACGCCGTGGCACGGATCCTCGCGGGCTTGCGCGAGCTGCGCACGCTCAAGGTGCACCTCGACCTGCCGAACATGGTCGACCCGACGCGCCTGCCTGCGGCGGCGAAGCACCGCGACCTCGCGCGGCTGTACGCGGAGTTCTACGAGAGCATGCGCGTGGCGGTTGAAGGGTTCGCGCGGCTGCTCGCGCCGGCGCTGGAGAGCGTGTGGGTGCTGCACACGTCGGCGCGGGCCCCGGCGTGGAGAGTGTATGAGGTGTCGTGCGAGGGCGGGATCACGCTGACACAGGAGAGCGCAGAGTATGAGATGCATGGGTGAGATGGGGGGATGATGGTACGTGTAGGGCACGGTTGGTTTCGAAAGGGTTTGTTGTACATGTCATAAATAACGGTACATATATCGTTATCGTCGTCACCGACAGCATTGGGGGTGGTAGTATGTTGTAGACTATATTCACGGATCGTTAGGGACCCAGCCAGAAGCGTCTAACAAGAACGATTCGATCCGATGCCACGCCGACTCGAGCGCACCGTAGTGACACGAAAGCAATTCCTCCATACATCGGGAGCACAGGTTCCCGAGGCATTCCACGTACGCGGAAGGCGGCACCGTCCACTTGTCCATCCTGACCCAAGCTTCCTGCACCTTCGGCTTCCCATCGATATTGAGGCGGTCCTTCACGGCGCGCTCCCTGATTTTCGATAAACAGGGCTCGTCAGGGTCGAGTTCGTGAAGACATTTCTGAACCTTGAGATTTCTGTCTGGCCTGTTTGTGAAGCGCGATTCAAAATTGGAGAAGGCCTCGGCGACCGAACGGTGCGTTTCGTCGTGGATGAACTCCAGGGCGCGCATGCAGCACTCGCGAGCCCGGGAAGAGAGGTGGTCGACAGTCCCGTCGGAGCGCGCCTGACCGTCCCAGAGGAGGCTGGGCGAGGCGTCCACGACGACGCAGGAGTAGAACAGGGCGACGGCGGCCTCCGAGCGGGAGAAGCGGGGGGCGTTGGGGGACGTCGCGAACTCATTGACGAGGCGCATGAGGTTGACGATGTCGAAGATGTGGTCCAAGTGCAGTATGACGCTGTCACAATCCAAGTCCCATTCCAGGCCCGTCCATGCATCTTCTTGATAGTCCCAGTCCCAGAAAGGCGACCGCAGGCGACTCTTGAGGCGGAAGACGGCGGGCTCGATGGCTGAGAGCGCTTCGTATTTGTGACCGATGCGGAGGAGGGAGGCCACTTCGTAAGAGCTTCCGCTCCACACATGATGGAAGCTGTAAAGCGGTGCGGGATCAGCAAGGGAGTAAAATCATAAGAGGAACGATCCCACCGAGGGAGATGACTCTTGAACAGCCACATGAAGAAGACCCGAAGATCGCTCGCGCGGTCCGCAAGACTCACTACCGGACAGCCGTCTATATATTCCGCGTCTTCGGGTTGAGGAACAGAGAACATGTTTTCAAAGACGAGGGACTCAGATGCAAGGATACCCTTGTAGAGGCGGAAAGCGCAGTTGTTGGCGATGATCATGATATTTCCGTCGCTGTACCGGAGATCCTCGTCTTCTTTTAGAGCTTCTTGGGGCATGAAGGAGGTATCGCGCGTGATGAGGGATGGACTGCGGGAGGATGTCTCCCGAGTCCGGGGACAGCAAGATCTATATATATGGCCGGGCGTTCGCATGGCAAGCTGCGCCAACTGTCCACCGCTGTCACTGTCAGATCTCCTGTGTCCAATGCGTACGCTGATGAAGCCTTCAAAGTTGCCCACGATGTCACGGTAGAGGCAATTGCCGAATTGGTGAGTTGAAGCCAACTCCCGCGCACGGACCTGTACTTGCTTCAGGGTGCCGGTGAGGGGTCTGGACGTAAGTATCGTGCATCAGTCTCCTCAGTTGCAGCGCAACGACCATGAAAGGACCCACCGCCGCTTCCCAGCAGAACGCTCACTAGTCCCCGCTTCCTCGTCTTCTCCTTGTTCGCCCTGCGCGCCCTCCCGACGCACGTCCGCCGGCAGACCACCCGCCCCTCACACACGCGCGCTTCCTCCGCCGTCGCGCTCCCGCGGTCCATCCCCAGCGCGCGGTGCCCGTCCATCTACCGCAGCTCTTGCCGCGCCGCCTCTCACGGCGCGCCGAAAATGTCCTTCCTGTGCGGATCAGTACTCGCTTTGGCGAAACTGCCTGCCCAGCGCGACGATGGCGTTGACACCGCGGCGCCGAGCGCGGCTTTGCGGCCCGCCGCCCGTTATCGAACTCCCAGCGGAGTGCAGCGTGACCGGGCGCGGGCCGAGCAGGCTCGTCCCGCACGACCAGCAGCAGAAGGTATTCCCGATCGCGATGCTGAGCGGGACTGAGTGGGAGTCTGAGGGCAAGCGGAGCCCGACGCGGGCCATCGCGGCAGCAGCAGCGCTACGCAGGGCTCTGGCGGCTATTGTTCGTGCGCACTCTTGTTTGAGGGCGACTACGGGAAGAGAGTACGTGCGCGTCTTCGGAGCGTTCAGTTCCTACGAAGGGTCAGGCAAAGATCGTCAGAGCCAATGAAAACTTACGACGGGATCGCCGCGAACGTCTTAACGGACTCGGCGGAGGGGTGGAAGGTCTCTACGACACGGGCGTGCGTCCGATGCTGATCAACGACATGACTGAATATCTTCAGGCAGATACAGGGAAGCGTAGCCCGGAGGTGTCATCTCCGCAGCTGCCGATGCCGTTGGGGTGGAACAAAGTCTGTATACGCGCAACTAAACTGTCAGGCTGCGCGTCTCGTTCGATGACGAGCTAGTTCTCACCAGACATTGGGTCACCTGGGACTCTGAAGATAGCACGAAGCTAGTGTAGTGGGAATCGAGACATGATCGTAGACGACTCCATACGACTCTATGCGCGGCGATAACTGCGAATTGCCAGTGCGGGCGTGGCGCGCAGAGACTTCGTGTGTGGTAGCCATATGAGAAAATCCCGACGCCACGATGAATGAATACCCACAGGAAGACGACAACGCTTTAAAAACACGGTTTAAAACAAGGGAAAAGGTTTGAAAAAGCATGCGCCGAACGTCTTTCCACGTGGGGAATGTTGTAGCTAGCGCCATCGCGTCACGATTCGGGAACGATCGCTGCACATGAATAACGTACTCGAGTACAGGGCTCGAGCAAAGATTGTGCGCATCGATTTCGTTGTATGATACATTGTTAACATCGATTTCATATCTGTGGACCGATGTTTAGTCAGTCGCATGAGCAGAGACGAATGTAAAGAACGGCACCTATCACTGTTGCCTAGGACGCTCCAAGTCCTCCGGGCCAAATCCGTAAGGGAGCAACTCGGCGATACTGGTTTCCAGGACCCCGCCGTCGGCGGCTCCGTCAGATATGCGCTTATCGTAGTCTGCGGGAACGAGGTAGATGGGCATCGCCTGCGCGCAGAACTCGCGGATGACCTGGCGACAGATGCCGCAGGGAGAGATGGTAGACGGGACATCACTGATAAACGGTTGAGTGAGTAAAGGGGCGAGGTGCTCAGACTGCATACCTGGTGACCGCGAGCGCGGTAAACGAGCGTGTGCCCTCGCTCTGCAAAGTGGGTATCAGATGGACGGTGTTTGCCCGCGAGAAGGAGGTGGGCGTACCACGGCCTTGACAATCGCGGTTCTCTCTGCGCAGATCGTGCCACCTGTGCGAGTGGTGAGACAGCCGTGTTTAAAGGCGGGGAGTGCGCTCACCATAGGACGCGTTCTCCACGTTGCACCCTTTGATGATCTCTCCTGTAGTCGTGATGAAAGCGGCGCCTACTCTGAACTTGGAGTAAGGGCTGTAAGCAAATCCCTTGGCTGTTGCGATGTGCTCAGAGAGGCGAGCTTCAGAAGAAACTGGGAGGGTCACCTTCAATCGCCGCCTTAATGACGCGTTCTCTGTCTTGAGGCTGGATGGCCCAAGTGCTTGCAGACATGGTCGTCGTTATCGCGAAAGTGGCAGATCCACTGGCGCCCAGGCTGCCGACGAGCGGGACCCTAACCCCGTGACGGGCCGCAGCCGGGAATGACCGGGGCGTGGTAATCTGCGGTCGGGTGAGCTCGTCACTGTCCCGGCCGACGGTCTCGTCACCTCCAACGACCTCCTCTCTCCCTCCCAACCCCGCGCCCTCATCGCCATGGTGCGCCCCTTCTCCGCCCGCGTGGCGCAGGCCGTCCGCCCTCGCCGCGCGCCCCAGTCCGCCCCTCGTTTCCGCCAGCAGCGCTACGCGTCTTCCGCTCCAAGCACCGAGGAGATGCAGAAAAAGGCCCAGGAGACCCTCGCCGCCGCCCAGAAGGGTCTTGGTCAGGCGCTTGAGTCGGGCAAGAAGGTCCTGGGCCCTTTGGGCGAGAGGGCAGGCTCCATGCTCGGATGTACGTGTCACTCCTCGTTTCCTCCCTCTCCGGGCGCGTCTCGCCCTCGTCGCGTGTCCCCCAACCCCACCCATACCTACTCAGCCCTATTTTGCGCGCATACATGCACCGGGTGCTCACGCTACGCGTATGTTCCAGCCTACCGCGAGCCGGTGATGTACAACTTCGCCGTCTTTCGCGAGGTCCTCAAGCATATCTACGTGGCGGAGCGTCTGCAGTTCCCCGGCATCGCCCAGTTCCAGTCGGTGTACTCCCAGCTCTTCGCGCAGGCCCGGTCCATGGAGTTCTGGCGGGGGTTGGTACGGTCAGGTGACCTGACCAAAGTTGGCATCTACGCGCTCGAGGCGTATGGTATCTTCAAGGTGCGTCTCTTTTTCCTCGCAGACGACCGCAGTGCTGAGACCGCCCGTGTCGCAGATTGGGGAGATCATCGGCCGTAGAAGTCTGATCGGGTACAACGTGCAATAGACTGCCTCGCACTCTTTGAACTTGTAGAGCCACATAATCGGACTATGTATTTATGACATGCTCGCGCAGCATTATCCATGTGCATGGTCCGTTGTCTATTTGCTTGCGTCTTCTGCGTGCACCCTGGGCACGGAGACGGGTGTACTGCGACGTATCCCACTCGCATCTTCGCCCAAACACCGTCTGCGCGCCTCATGGCCGCCGTAGCGTTCCAGACCTGTCAACGTGCTGAACATCAGCCTGCTCGCATTCCACCGCGCTTTTGCCACAACAACCAATCCCGCTCCTGAAACTCCGCACTTTCAGGTGAGCCTGTTTTCGCCGGTCACTGTCACTCACATGTCTTGCAGTCAATGAACGAACAGACGTCTTCATTGGTCAAGAAGGACACGACGCTCTCTTTTGCCGACGGGAGTATCATCCTCATCTCTAACGACCTCGTCGAGTTCCGCGTTCACAGGGCATCCTCTCTCGTGCCTCTCCCATATTCATGGACATGTTCGGTGTGGAGCAGCCACCGGCTGCGGAAGTCATAGATGAATACGCCATCATGCGTTCAACAGGACCTCCGAGCGCCATTGGCAATGCTCATTTGGTGCGCTCCGGATGAAGGTCTATCGAAGCCCACTGACGCCTCTCCGATCCCAGTCCTTTCACGTCGTCAATCACCTGGTCGACGCTCGCAGGCAGGCTCAGCTGCGAGCACAAATACGCAGTCACGAGCGTCATCGCGCCCGCCTCGAACGACATCCAGCTGAGCTCCCTCACGCCATCGAGGCGATCTGTCTGTTCCGAGTCACCTGCCCATCGCCCTTGCGACTGAGTCCGCGCTTGCGCACCGTCTACCGGGGCGTGTCCCGCGGAGGCCGGGTCTTCGGATGTGTTGAGCAGACACGGACCCACGCAAGGACGCCCACAAACGTGGGCGTCCCGCGATGGCTTGGTTGCAGCGGTGTGAAGGTATAAGTTAGCATAACATCGAAAGAATTAGAACAAAGCTTTAAAGACGTAGACTGCGAGGGCGTTCGTTAGTTGGGGATATTACAGCCGGTGTTGCCGATGTTGATCCCCCCGTACGGGCCGTTGTGCGCCGAGACGTTCTGGTGGAGCAGCGACACCTCGCCGACGGAGCAGTGCTGGTCGCCGTTCTCCTGGCCTGCGAGCGCGACCGTACGTCAGCGCCGACGCGCACCAGTAGGACACGACGGGAGACACGCACCAGGGCAGCTCCACAGCGACTGGTCCTGGGAGAAGATGTGCATCTCGCCCGAGATCTGCCGGTAACCGAGGACGTTCGGGGGCAGGACGGGGGAAGATGTCGCGCGCGTTGGTGAGGAAGGACGCGGAGAGGGGCGCGGCGTCGATGAAGTCCGCGAACGCCTGGTTCCCGACGCGTGGGAGGCCGGTGCCGAAGAAGCGCACGTTAGCGTCTGGGAGGTTGAGGTGGTAGTAGAGGGACTCGAGGAGCGCCATTGCGGAGCCTGGTCAGGGTGAGGGAGAGTCAAAAGTGTTGACGAAAGGGTAGGCGCACCGAGGGAGTGGCCGGTGGCGACGACCTTCTTGGTGTTGAAGGTGGACATGGCCTTCTGGACGGCAGCCAGGGTGTCCGTCGCGGATCTGTTGTGCGACGGTAAGAATGCGAGTAATGAATAGAAGATCGAGACAAAAACACTCGCTTTTTGAAAGCATCTTGGAAGCCCTTGTAAACCTTAATGTCAGAGCTCATACCGGGGAATAAGGTCGAGTCGAGGTTGGTGAAGACGAGGTTGAAATCTTCGATAAGTTGCTCGCTGCCGGAGGACGGGGTTCGAGATTGTCAAAGAAAAGCACCAACTGCCAGACTCACATTGACCGGAGATCCGTCCCCTGGTGGCTGACAACAACTTCCTGGGTTTTCGGGTCATACCCGACGAACCCTTCAACCAGGCGCACTTCAGAAACCTCCTAGCCGCCGAGCGAAATGAATGAAAAACGCACAAGGCTGAGTTCCGGAGTTGTCACCTCCCGCGGCGACAGGTTTAAAGTCCGGGTTGGCGTCGCACCACGCGCCGCAGTTCCAGTTGGGCACGAGCGTGCTAGCTCTACAGTACGTGGCGCTCTCGTAGAAGACGTAAGGCTTGATGGCTGCCATTTGCGCGTCCGTCATCGCGGTCGCCGCGGCGGCGCGCTTGTCGGGCGCGAAGGGGACCGAAAGCGCGTGCGCGCCGGTGGAAAGGGCAAGGAGGCTGAGGCAAAGACGGGAGGCACGGTAAGAAGGCATCGTGAGGAAGTTGAAGTGTAGTAGGGTTGCGAGCGACGAAGAGAAAACGTGAAGTGAGGCAAGGAGTGGGCGCGCTGCAAGAGGGACCGTCGTGCGTGCGTGCAGGCTTATAAGACACCTGCTTGGATGGTGATGAGACCGAGCGTCGCGGTCTCGCGAGAGCACATGGATGGCTGACCAGCGGAGGCGTATGCATGGTGATCAGACGATCAGACGAGTGTGAGCGATGATGAGCGGGGTTGAACAGTTTTGATGCCATGTGGATCGACAGGAAGCTGTGCGGTCCAACGGAGCTCCAGGCCAAGGACGGGAGTTGAGTCCAATCTTCGTAAGGGGGTTGTGCTTGCAGAGAGCTGAGCTCATTGAACTGAACCTACTTCCTCACACGAACGGCGGGCCTACGTGCATCCGAGTAAAATATCAGGCACCATCTGAGCTTAGTCAAGGCTCATAATATCGTAGGCACAAAACAAGTACTCACCCGACACTAGTACATAAATGCGAACCGGCGGTCTGGTACTGTACCATTTCGTATTAATCGAACGTCACGCGTCACAGGAGGGTCCAAAAGTTCGAAATTTCGGGGGTAGTCACGACTCACAAGGCCCAAGTTCGAAACCGTCTCGCGGGCGCTTGTCAGCGCCCGCTCAGTTTGGGCGTAGAAGTACCCAAAAGTCGATGATGGGTTCGAACTTTCCGGGCCGTCACGGACGGCCCGGTCAAAGTTCGAATCCACCGGACCAAACTTTCCGTCACGCCCCAAACGGCGGTTCGATCAATTCGAAATGGTACAGTAGAGGAGAAGTAGCGTCGGCGTTCTAGCCCCTAACCCATGTGCATGCCCCACAGTGGTCTGTCAAACTTTCAAACTCCGAAAGACTCAAGTCGTGTAGTTACTATAAACGTGCTCCTCCTCCACCTCAACAGTCAGCCCCATCCTCAGGCGACGGTGCTACTCGTTGAAACCCGCGCACAAGCCTGCTCGCTTTCCACGCAACCAGTCGGTTTATGGGTTTCTGCTTAGCAAACATGCCATGGGCCTTGATCAAAGATTCTTCGCTCAATGTGGATAAGTATCGGCCTTAACTTAGCGGCACCACCATTGAGTCGCCCGCGCCACTCGAGATCGAGCTGAATGTCATGAAGGGCGTCCAAGGCACGCCCGACAACGGCGTTGACGAGTGGTCTACCAGGCAGACCGCTTGACGGTGAGTCAAGATCCACTGCCTCGGCCCTCCATGCACTACTTAACTTAAAGTCAGCCTACCCCTGCAGGTGCTGATTGCGTTCATTTCGAAGACTTATATCACCTTTCATTCGCGAATCGTCCGATGCGATACTGTCACTCAGACGCAAGTGTGGTCATGGCACGGGATTTTCTGCACTAACATTTGGTTGGATCTAACTGCAAGCGCGCTCCACCATGACGTCACTCGTTCAACATGCCACTCTACGTTCCCAAACTAAAATGTATCGACCGGCGCAAAAGAGCGCATTCCTGCGTCTTCCGCGACACATCCACACCGTCTAGAGCATGGCGATCGCGGCGATCGCGGCCGCTGCACCGGCGACGAGCATCGCGCCGCCCGCTGCCGGTGCCGCACCGTTGAACTGTCCGGTCGCGCTCGCCTGTGCGGAGGACGCGGAGCGCGACGCAGAGAGCGTCGCGCTGCTGAACGCCGACAGCGCACTGCTCGCGATGGACGCCGCGCTGGTGGTGATGGCACCCGCAACGCTGCTAGCATCGGAAAAAATGCTAGACAGGTCCGAGGCGACGCTGCTGGAGGCGTCCGTCGTGACGGTGCTGTCTGGAACAGTGGAGACGCCGTCTGTGGTGGTCGACGCGATGACGGAATCGGTGGTCGACGGAACGTCGGTGCCGGAGACGACAGCGGAGTCGGTGCCCGATGCGGCGGCGGAATCAGTGGTCGACGCGGAAGCGGAACCAGTAACCGACGCGGAAGCGGAGACGCTAGTGGACGGGCCGGGGGCGTTGACCGACGGCTGTGCGAGCGCGAGGTCCCCAGTGCACTGCGCGCTCCAACCTGTGCCAAGGGTAAAGGGGTCAGAGTGGCGGAGAGTCAGGGTGAGAGAAGGAAGGCTTACGATTGAGGGCGGCCTGCGCACTGCCGAGGTCGACGGCGCCGCTGTCGACTAGGCACTGGCTGCATGTGCCGGATGCGTTTATGAGCCCCTGTGCACATAGGCAGGCGACGTCGTCTTCGGCGCATGCCTGGAAGGAATGCGCACAGAGGTCAAAGCATTTCGCACCAATCGGAGCGCATCCCGTGAGGCGACTTACGCTTACAGTCGTGCCGTACACCGAGCAGTCGCCTTCGCACTGGAAGCATTTCATACTTAAGTACTGTTATTAGCAATGAAAGGGAGTCCCACCAACCGCAGATGGGATGGTGATCGAGCTAAGATTGATCTGGCGCGCGACCTTCTTGACGGTCCCGTGGGCATGAGCGTGAACCGCTACACTAGCAGGTCAAGCGCTTGAAGCTACGTATGAAAAGAGGACTCACCAGCGACAGCAGAGAAGACGGAGATGGCAGCAAAGACCTTGGAAAACATGTTGTAAACAGCTTGACGAACGAAAGACAAGAGATAATGGTCTGAGGTGAGTGCCGGATTGAAGGTGTGCTCAGGTCTCCGTGTATTTATATCCATGAGACGGTCAAAAGTGGCGTTGTAATGGTCGAGTGAGAGAGGAGGGTCCCTAGTATCGAGCTTGCCTTGCAATGCATCGAAAGCGCTCCATTGAAGATGTTTCTGCGTTGCGCCATTTCCATCCACAGGGTGGACTTTAGAACCTGCCCTCGAATGGAGGTCAGCGAACGATCGGCAGGAGGATGATTCAAACCGACATATACATTCTGAAGCCTATTGGGCCGACCCCTGGACTAGTCGCGCATTCAGAGCCAGATTCTAGATGCATTGCCCTCGCCCGCTCACTTGATGCGTATCGCGGGGCCCAAGTACTTGCTGCGGCCCGTGGTGGGCGGGTGGGGCACGGAAGGGAAGGGCATGTGATGACGTCAATGGTGTTCGGGCGCCAAACGCGACTCGCGCCGCACGCACCGTCCTTGCTGCGCGATAAAAGCGATCTGCCCGCTCCACTCTCCCATCCCCCGCTTTCTCCCCTCCACCTCCCCCGCTATGCAGAACGACTCCGTCTCAATATCTCGCGCGACCTCCATATCTCGGCCACGCAGCCGTGCGGGCTCGACCGTCTCCCGCAGCCAGTCGCTCATCCGCAAGAACATTGCCCCTCACGACCTCCGCCCGTCCGATATCCTCATCGAACGCTTCACCGCATGGAAGGCGATCGTCAAGCAGCTCATCTCGTACTTCGAGGGTATCGCAGACATCGAGAACAATGTTGCCCGCGAGATGACGAAGCTCGGGGCCGTCATCCAGGTCCCCTTTCGAGCAGGGAACCAGTTTTTGGGCGAAGGTGGGCTCCAGGTACGTCTCTCTCTCCCCCTCTGCCTCGTATATGCGCATCAAAGTGCCCCTAGGACATTTTCTACGGCATTCGCGACAAGACGCGTGCCATTGCCGATCAGCACGCCAACCTCGGACGCACTGTGGACGGTTCGATCGTGCAGCATTTGCAGAAGCTCAGAACAGAGATTAAGGCGCACATCAAGGTGAGTCGCATGTTCACCGGCCGTCTTCCCTTATCAACGCGTCATTCTCTCTAAGAACATCCAAAATGACACGGGCAAGCTTGCGACGTCCGTCGCGAAAGAGCGCGAGCTCTCCGCGAAGTTCATCGGCGACTTGGGTACCAACATCTCCGTCCTCAAGAATACTCCCCTCAATGTCACTGCGCGCACCGACCCCTACGTGGCCAACCAAGCCGTAGCTCGTCAGCTCGTGAAGCAAGTTCACACCGAGAACGCGCTCCAGAAGTCCCTGCTCCTTACCCAAGCGTCATCCGCGATGTTCGAAGCCTCCCTCATTCAAGCACTTCAGTCAGCATGGGCAACCTTCGCAGAGTGGAGAACGCGCATGGACACCGCCATTGGGGAGATTTGGGGCCACCTTCAGCGCGACATGTCCGCCCTTCCTCCTGATCGCGAATGGATCTCCTTCGCTGCGCGCGAGGACCACCTCGTCGACCCCGAGACGCCCCTTCGCGACCCCCAGGTGATTAACTACCCCTCGAAGGACGACCCGAGCGTCATCCCCGTCCACACTGGTCTCCTCGAGCGCAAGAAGCGGTACACCCGGACCTACCGCGAGTCTTACTACGTCCTCACCCCCGCCGGCTTCCTGCACGAGTTCACGTCCTCGGACCCGTCCATCGCGGACCGACCCCAGTTCTCCCTCTTCTTGCCGATGTGCACGCTCGGCCCCCCGAGCCCAACAAGCGGCAAGAGCCACAAGTTCCACATCGAGGAGCGCAAGGATGGGTCGGGCACGACTCGCTCGGGCTCGCTGCGCGGCCTTCGGGACTCGATCACTCGGCGGGGCACGGGGAGCGGGCGGGCGTGGGCATTCCGCGCGCGGTCGCACGAGGATATGATGGAGTGGTGGAATGACATCCGGATGCTCTGTGCGCGGTACCTCGTCGCGAGCGAGGCGATGGAGCGGTCCGGGCCGGTGCACGCGGCGGTGCGCGCCGCGGGCTACACGTCCGAGGACGAGGGCGGGGAGACGGAGGACGAGGGCTCGAGCGTCGAGGAGGAGGCGCAGGAGGACGAGGACGAGGACGACGCGGTGTTCGTCGAGGCGCGCGACGGCGAGGAGGAGGCGGGCCCGCCCGACTACCAGTCGAATCACGGGCACGGCGCGCTGGAGTATGGCGCGAACGGGTACCCTGTACGTGGACGCTCTGCGCGCGCTGAAGGTTGAGGCCTGGCGTCTCGCGCTTTGGCGGTGGGACGAGGCTGACGAGCGCAATCCAGGTGGACAAGAAGCCCTGGGCAGGGGGCGAAGAGGGCGCGAACATCTCGCGCGGCCCTAGCAAGCGGCAGCAGGAGAAGGCGCCTGAGGGCCGTCCTCCGCATGTGCCGCATGACGACGACGCGACGCCTGTGGCAGAGAGTCGGTTCATGGAGCAGCTATAGCGACGGTTTTGAACATTGGACTGGGTTTGGGGACGTGAAGTTGCGCCTTTGGATCAAGCATGGATTGTAGTCCTCGATGTATTGGTCGGTTTTCCTCCAGGACGTGGTCTCTGTTTCTTGTATAACTGTACTTACTGCTCGCTAGTGCCACAGCTTTGGACGATACACGCTGCTGTTGTATGTGCGAGCGCCGATGACGTCAATGAATATTATCAGTTTTCACAACAGACCCAACCTGTCGCAAGTTCCATCTGCCCGCCCATCTGTCCAGCACCGAGGACGCGTTCTGCTACACCGCACGTTGTTTGTCCCTTCTCCTGCCAATACTCGTCGCGATCTAGCATACTAGCAAGAGAACCGGCGCAACATCTTGGGCCTATCCGGTCAAGCGCGAAGGACCGGCGCCACTCGTCCCCGTTTGTTTGTTTGTTTGTATCCCATTTATCGCCCGTGAGGGCGGAGCCCTATGGTAGGCGGTACGTACGGTAATTACAAAGCGGGGAGGGCTAGCGCATACGGGGAGGAGCTCTCGTCCCCGTGAGGCAGCACCGACCGCGCACATCGGGAACGCCCCCTTCAGCTTCAGGTCTCGATGCGCCCGACTGCAACTCAGGCCCAGGCTGCAACATCTCCGGCGAGCTCGCGGCACGGGCGGCACGAGTCCTGGTGCGCTACTGCCAGGTGAGCACGTCCGGCTTCGTGCCTCTTCGCGCTCCTCCCGATTGCTGACATCGTTGCTTGCTGCTGTTCATCAAGAGGCTCGGGTCAGTCTCGAGCCGCGCGGGTGGTTCAAGCTAGGAGAACACGGGTCGTATTTATAGCGTTCATCAAGCACATCCAGCCTTGCTCGACGCGGCGGAGCAGTACATAGTGGGTCATTGGGGTCAGGTTGGGAATGTCTTAGGCTACGGCGGAGCTAATCATTCTTTCAGATCAAGAGCATTCCAAAAGCATACCTGTTTCAACGTTTCGGATCACCCTCTGGAGTGAAGGAAGACAACAATTTGTTGTTTTTACCGACCCGGTGGACAAGGCTCCGGCACCAGCGCCTGTGTTGTGCTATTCCGCCGATCTTGTCGTTTTGTGGACAATACTGATTGTTCTCTCCGCACAGTTCCTAAACTCACCCTCGTAGCGAGCTGTGCGGCGTGAATCCCAGATGGGCCCAAGGACCCACAAACGCCATCGTTAAAACGTCTGCAGTCGGTGGCGCACCACTGCACCACATCCTCATTCCTTCCACGATGTCAGAAGACCCTCGGCCGCGCAAGAAATCAAGACTCTCCATCGACAATGACTCCGAAGACGTGGACGACCGTATGGACGTAGACGACGATGCCGGTCCGTCCTCGTCATCGACCAACTCGCCAGCCCCGCCGCATGCCCCAACGCCACCACCGAAGAGGCGACGGGCGAGGCGTTTAGTGATACGTGGCATCCAGGAGCTACCGGCTGAGCTCCGTGAAAAGGTGCGTTAGCCATGCTCCTCCTTCGCCCGCGCCAGGACGCCGATCCCCGCCAGATCGTGGCGTACATGCACCCCCGGGACCTCGCCAACCTGGTCCGGTCCAGCGTGATGTGCTCGTACTACTTCCTGCAACCGCACATGGAGGACGCGTGGAAGATCGCGTTCGAGAATGCGTCACCGGACGTCCCACGGTGCCCGGAGTGGGTGAGCTCGTGCGCGTGGGCTCACCTGCTGTTCACGCCGTACTGTCATGTGAGTATAGTTCTCTCGCCGTTTCGTCTGTTGTCTGACACGGCAAAAATTTAGGACTGTGCTTGCAGGACGGACACGGTAGTCTGGCCTTGGCTCAAACGGTTTTGCGAACCTTGCGCTATTAAAAAGTGCGTGTCTAGTCGCCTTTGCGGAGTTCGTCAAGATGATGCTCACCGCATCTACAGCTCCTACGATCATCGTACAGCAAGACGGCTGTTCACTGATGCCACCGGGAAATCGCACCTGTGGAGCTATCTCCAGCCGTAAGCACTCGACGCGCGCGCAAGGTGCTCTGTGTTCTCATGCTCTTTGTCATAGTTATGCCTTTGGAGATGGAAGCCTTAGGTACTACAAGGTGCACTTAGAGCAAAGCATAAACGCGCATACGAGCAACACGCCGAATGATCTTCGCGACTTGACAACGCTGTACTCATCTAGACTGGATGTTCGTAGGCTTCCGTTATCTCCGCTTCAGCGCGTTGGCTTATAGTGCGTCTGATAGATCGTTCCCGAGTGCGAGGGTTGGCATCGGGATCTGCTCAACACGCAGCGTCTGGAACTAGAGAAGAAGGTGGAGGAGACGCGCGCGCAGCGCTTTCAAGAGTAGGTGCCCATGCGCAGAAAGCGGCAGACGAGATACTTACTGATATCGATCCAGTATCACGGACCGCCTCGCCTTGTCAAACAAATGGAGCTCTGAGATCAAGGCAATGGGACAAGACGAGATCGATAAGCTGGCGGCCCTCCCTGTGGTAAATCGGCCCGTCAAGCTTACTAAGAGGGGCAAGTCCAGTTGCCAGTGATACTCGCTGTCATCTCATTTCTCATTCCTATATTCCTTCTCAGGGTGGCTAGATGCGTTCTACGTACTCGACCCTTACCTGGCCGAACGCCGCATCAGACGCCTATGTGCAAAGCGATTTCCTATCCTCGATGACGCCATCGCCCAGTACTACATCCCGCAGTACCCGCGCACCCCAGACTCGCACCGCCGCCTCCGCTTCATCGACTTCGCGCTCGCCCAGCCCATCCGCAACCTCATACTGGCTGCCGACGGGCCGGAGGTCACCGCCGTGGACTTCGTCGTCGCGATGGGCGACGTGGAGCGCACATGGACCGACAACCGTCTAGAAGCCCTGCGCCTCACCGTCACCGCCGCGATGACCCGCGCCAGGCTCCGCTTACCCCTCGACGGCACACAAACGGACGTGCTCGACCTCGCGATCGGGAGCACGTTCTACTGCTGGTCGTGCCGGACGAACCTGCCCAGCCCGCACGCGGCCGCGCTCCACTCCTGCTGGACGTACGACCACGGGCCGGAAAGCCGCGCCCGGCGCCGCGATGTCTACGCCGCCGTCGCGCTCGGCAGGCAGTTTCACCAGCGCGAGGACTGGACCGCGCGCTGGACGGGCATGATTGGCGCTCCGCGAGAGGTGGCGGAGCACGAGCTGCGGCGGGTGGACGTGCACAAGGTGCAGTGCGTGGTGAAGCTCGTGCGCGCGCTGGGGATGGACCCCATGTGCGCGACGGCGGAGGAGGCGCGCGCGTGCGAGGGGCGGGTGGTCTGCCGGACGTGCGTCGGGAGGGCGCGCAGGGCGAACAAGGGGGAGACGAGGAAGCGGGGTCCGATGGCCGTCAAGGTGTTCTGCTGGGAAGCGGCGGTGCGTGCTTTCATGGTCGTTGCGCTTGAGGAGACTGATTTACGATATGCTCAGATCCTTCACCTTGAGGAGCACCGAACGGGAAATATCACATGGAAGCGCGTCCCCGAGGTGCACATGGACGCCGTCCGCCAGGCCGATGCCGAGGCAAAAGTCCGCGCGCGGGAGTTGGCTTCGAACTGTGGCTCATTCTGGGTGTGCTCGATGTGCCCGTACGAGGCACGCACATCCAATCCTGAACGGCACTGGGAATCGAGGTGAGATGCAGCTTGCTAGAGCGTCATCGCGTACGTAACTCTGATCCAGTCTTTCGTGCAGTCACAGCGCGGAGGGTATAGAAGAGCCTATGTCAAAAGCCTGGCTAGATCGGAGTCGAATGTACTGCCGCCCTCTCTATGAGTCGTCGTTCGCGACCCCGGTCGTGATGCAGCTGGACTTGTGATTTGAGTCGTCGTTGTGGCGGGTGTATGCTGACTGGTGATCCATGCCCCCGTGCGCCGCGGTCGCCATTTGTTCCTTTTTCGAAGTAGGATGTTGTCCATGATGAAGCAGACCATGTCCTACCTTTCCGGCTCGTTGGGCAAAGATATCGCGCTCTTTATTGAGACTCAGAGAGCATCTAGTTACATAGTAACGATAAGCTAGTACTTACATGAGCGGTAGTCGTCGTTATGTACCTGTGTCGCACTCGTTGAAGATGCCAAGTGAATTTGAACTCCGCTTGATCACGTCATCTCCGATTTTCGCGGCCACAGCGCGGCCAGCACAAACTTGGAACTACTGTTCCTCTCGTGAGCTTGCTGTGTGAACCTTTGGCCGGAATAGACGTTGTAGCTACTGTGAAAGATATGTAAGTTGCTTATGGAAATCCCTTTCGCAGAAGTCGGTACGTCCTCCGCATTTTGCGCCCCTTCTGTATTTGAATATCATCATAGATCTGCGCGAGAAGCTCTATAATCGTGACACTGTTCTATCTTTATTGGGAGATTATTCCATTATTCGCTTAGAGACTCCCAATCGCACTCATGACAGTTGACAGGAAGCAGGGAGAAGCAATACACGCGGCCAAATGCATAAGACAGTCAAAATTGACCGCGACGCCGTTCAGAGATCTCCCCTACGACGGATCCTCTCGTATCGATCATGGCGCAATGTTCGTCTCCGTGAGTCGCAGCCCTGTCTATAGATCAAAACCAAAGCTTACATGCTTAACAGGGTATATTCTTTGAACCATGACGTCGTTATCGAAATCCTTCGAGGTGTCTCCTTTCAGGACATCTGTATCCTCTCAGCGACATGCCGCTCTTTCAGAGACATCTGCAAGCCGCTCATATTTAGTGAAATTTCTGTGGAGCTTGACCATTTCACCCTGGGTGCATCTATCCCGAACCCGCTGTGTTCATTCGTCAGGTGAGTACCTTCGTCGTCAAGCGTCCTTTGAACTGCATTGAACCCACATGAACTAGATCCATCACGGTCATGGTTACATGCTCGCAGGGAGTTCCATCGAACAACACTCTCGTTTCTTGTCACACACCCTTCAACACGACGGCATTCATCAATTTCCTCAAAGACTTCACCCGTATAGAATGTCTCGCATTCAAGTTCTTGGGAGCCCTCGGGCATGCCATTCCCTGGGCGTTGGTACATGAGGCGTCGCTACTCTCACGGTTGCGCCACCTCGAGGTCGACGGGTTCTATCTATATCGAGAACCAGATCATGTTGGGATGATGCCTGCTCGAAGGAGTCTCCGAGGGTCGTTGACCTCTTTCGCGTACAGGAAAGGCGACTTTCGCTCTGCACTCGCTCTCTCTTCTGAGCAACCCGCGATAGAAACCGCCGTCCAAGCCCTCCACGATACGCTGGAACGCCTCGTTCTTCCCACAGAGTCGGCGCCCGTCCAACTCATCTCCTCTCTCCCATGGCCACATCTTCGAGAGTTTTACCTCAACGGCGCACGATGGACGGACCCCAACGCCTCTCCTCTCACTCTCTTCGTCGGAATGTCACGTCTCCGAGTCCTCGTCTTGGATTTGATTGACGACCCAAACTGCGAAACCGCTCCACCAGTCTGGCCGCATCATATCTCCATGTCGAAGTCGTTCCCTTGGCCAGAACTAGAGCGTATCAGTATCTCAAACCCCACTCCAAGCGACCAGGTGTACGCGCATCTCCCACAGACGTTGCGCTCTCTCTCTCTTCGGCCGTACCCGCACCACTGCGTCGCGCTGTGGAAGAAGCGAAAGTTCACGTACACTTTACGTCACGACGACCCTCGACTGCATTCTCCCCTTCCCTCCGCTGAAACCGTCCAGCGCATCCTCGATTCTTGCTCCTCCATCACAGGCCTACGCGAGCTCTCGCTGGAGTATCGTGCGGACGGCACGGAACAGGAGATGTTTAGGACGGCGATCGACAAGTTTCCTCACCTCCGGACGCTTGAGGTACATCGGTATCGCGACACCAGTCGGCACGAGGGAACGCCTGACTTTGTGAGCACATACCCCGCAGCATATCCCGACTCGTGAACCAGCGCGACTAACACTGCACCTCAGGATCTGCTCGCCGGCGCTTTTGAACGCTTAGGCCACCTGCGCGTCTTGAGACTTCACCTCGACCTGCCGAACGCAGTCGACCCAGAGCGCCCTATGTTCGGGATCAAACACGAAATCCTTCGAGACGTGTTTTTCGAGAGCGTGGATCGTGCGGCGAGGCGCTTCGCGCTGATTTTGGCGCGCGTTAGTGTTCTGGAGGAGATCTGGGTGTACCACTCCGCGGAAGGAACTCCAGCCTGGCGGATATACGATCTTACGAACTTTGGGTCTGCAGGAAGCGCGGATGGGCGGGTTGATCTGCGAGTACGTGGTGCAGATGTACCGTATGATAGGAAGGGATATATGTTGTATTAGGTGTACGGCGCTCAATGGAGCTGTCGCTTCCATTCTGCCTGCACCTTTAATCTCGGAATGTATCCGCACGTATCCAGACATGACGGCCAACCACACTGTGTGCCCCGGGCTCCCTTGGGTGGTGGAATATTCACCGCTCAAGCCGGCGCCTCCGCCACCGACGCGTCAACTATCCCACGACCCGCGACGCGCATGTCACGTGGCGGGCCGCGTGCTATACACGCGCCGTGGCCGCTCCGGCGCCAGTGCGTCAGCCCCTCTTTGGCCGCCTCCACCCGCACCCTCGCATCGACTCGACCCAGGTCTTCGCGAGGGCGCAGCAACGCGTCTTGTCCCGCGTCCACGCCCATCCTTCCACTCTTTCCTTCCCTCTTGGCGTCCCAGCGACTGCCACGAAAATTTTCACAGCCCTAACCACCGCGCCCCCGCCACTCCCGTGGCACCCTTCACGCGACGATGACCACCGCGACGAGGGCTCCCTTGTCTCTCCTCACGTCCGCACGGTCCTCGCAGAACACCCATCACGTCGGGGGAAGCTACCGTGGCTCGACCCTCGTGTGGCATGACCACGTCAACATGAACGACGGCTTCCGCGAGGCAGCGGAAGCGACACGCCTGCTGTTGGGCAACGCGCTCGCCAAAGCGAAACGTGCGGTCTCTATTACGCCTCAATGACACTCTCATGGTGCTGACCACAGTCCTTTCAGCGGTTGTCATCACTGGCGGTATGCGGATTACTACCCACCGCCGGCCGACACCTGTCGCTGCCACGACACGCACCTCCCGCCTCCTGCAGGACGAAAACAGAGCCGTTCCCGTCCAAAGTCAGCTTGAACTGGAATTTTGGAAGGCCTGTATACTTACATCACGATGCCCAACAGATCGCAGGATCGCCCCACTCCCGAGACCTAGGAAGTCGAAGGCAAAGAGGGCGCCAGCCCTGGAAGACTGGACAGCAGATTGTGCGCCTTCTTCCAGAAATTCCTTGGAGTAGTTCTGACTCGCTCCACAGACGTCTTCGACGATGATTCGTCGCCCTTGTTGCCTGTGAAGGTGCTTGGCCAAACGGAACGGCTGGAGGTCTGCCACGTGGATCGTCTGGTCTCGTCTTCCCCGCCGCTGCCACCTGTGCCCGAACCTCTGTACAGCTGCAACTGCGTCGTGCAGCGCGCTACGCCTGGAGCCGCACGTCTTCTACGCCCAAGCAAAACTCAGCCACGCGGGTGGACGCCACCTGGTTCCTCTCCTCTCTCCGCCTACCGCCAGCCCACACCGTTCTCTCTCTTCGACGCCCTCTGCCATGATCAGCCTTCCCTCCTACCCCGTCCTCTCAAAATCCGCCCCCTCCCACGCACGCTCGGCAGCGGGCGCGCTGCCGGCCGCGTGTCTCCCTCCCTCCGCCATGCGCTCACCAAACACCGCATCCTCCGCCGCGTTTCGTACGCCGGCCTCGAGGACCCGGAGCTCGATTTCCTCGACGAACGCAGCATCGACTTCGTCCTGGACACTCAGGCCGCCCTCCACAGCGGGTTCATCCAGCCCCCGAACCTGCAGGCCTTCGCTCGTGGCGCTTCGGAGCCCCCACGGAGGGGCACGCCGGCGCGTTCGATGAAGTGGGGTGCGCACCGTCAGATGCCGTGGAGGGTAATGGACTACGCGAAGGCGGCAGAGCGGATGCTTGAGCGGCGGCGTGCGGCGGACCTGAAGCGGCTTTGAAGCCCGAAGCCGATCTCGCCATCCTTGCTGCTGCTGCGGCGGGCAAGCGGGTGCTCCCCGCGGACGTGCCTACACATGCGCTTCGACGAGATGGGCAGTGACGAACTTTGACGACTTCACGACTTGCGACGACGCGTCCCTTCCGCACTTTATGTTTCCCCACGACGGCTCGTCTTCTTCTCCCCGACGGTGTCTCTCTTGCCGCTGTATCTGTAGATAGTGTATTCTGTACATATCACTCATCACCGATCACCCCCTCCCTCCTGCTTCTTTTATCCGCCTCTCCACCCCGGTCTCCGTCATCTGCGTACTTTGGCTGTTCGCTGTGCTTGTTATCGCACTGTTTGTCGCCTAGTTACCATGCCCCTCTATGACATCCCATTCTTCCAACCTCGCGCCCGTCTCAAATCGCTCCCATGACGCCAAAGTCTGCCAGGGATCAAGGAAGACAGGCAGTTGTCCACCTCGTCAAGCAGTCGCCCGACGGCCACGCAAATTGAGTTCGAGAAGTCTCATTGTCCCGAGCGCGGGAAAGAACTTGTTCATGTTGTTTCGAGAGCGTAAAGCCCCGGCGGCCGGCCCGTGGAGAAGCACCAACGCGTGTCACTAGTGTTTGTCCGTCACACGTGTCGCCCCGGGATGGCCGAAAGGGAGAACAATGGGTCACCAGCCCGTGCCGCCGATGCAGCATGTTCGCACAACCCTGGCTTAGTGTTCCGGCAGCCGATGTTTGGAATCTTTGACCAATGGGCGGCGACATTGTGGTATAGGGTGTCAATTGTCATTCGTGCCGTGTTCAACCACCGCATGGATCCAATCGCTGAGTGAAGGACCACGGGCGCAGTCCGACAGAAAGGCCGTTCATACTAGTACTCGTGACTTTAGTAGCCTTGGATACCAAGACGGAGCGCCGAGGACGGGTACATTTACTACGTAACACGGGGAGACCTGCAGGGCGTGTCGGGGTTCATGGAGTGCCGTTCGGCTGAGGTCTTGCCGGAATTCCGAACACTCACCAGTACGAGGTATAATGGCAGTGAGGGGACGCACGAGCTGTGTTTCCTTCCAAGTGTTCAGGCACGCTGCATGATCTCTGCAATGCCATGGAGCGGCGACTGTTCCAAAGTACCTCGCTTATGTGTTTCGTTCGTGGTATATTGCGTCAGCCCCGTGCACTTTGTTGAATGGGCATTCAACCAGTTGAATTCCAATGGCGCGCGTGCTATAAATCCGACCGGTCCCCCACCAAACGTCCTCCCCACCATCATTCCCCCGCACTTGTATCAGAACCCCTCTGTTGTATCACCGTACGTAGGCTCGTCACATATTTATCATTGCTTGGATTAAGGAATGCTGAAGATAACGCTCAGATTTTATAATGTCTTCTTTCGACACTGCCGCCTATTATTCCACCGCTGTGGCCACTACTCAGCCAGAGCCGGCGACCACTCAAGGCACCGTAGGGGCACTTCGTGCCGTGTTCGACTGGAACACCAGCCCGAGCTTGGACATCGCCGATTGGTCTGATTCCTACGAATCAGAATCAGAATCCGAATCCGAGGCGTCTTGGTCCTACCACTCGGAGGCGGACGACGAGTTGTCCGAGGACGAGTACCCTTGGAGCTCTGAAGACGAGTACAGCTCAGAGGAGGAGTTCAGTTCGGAGGATGATTCCGAGGTGGGCACTCCCGTCGGGTCCGACAATGAGCCAGCCATCGTCTACGAGGAGTACCCGTCCAGCGACGAGTAATTGCTCTTCTTTGTGGTACCTTTTCATTGCGCCCATTCTCATTTCACGGTAGTACATCTCCTTGACATATGCCGCTCCCATTTTTCACGATTCCGTCATGTTCTCTCTATGCCATTATCCTCTATGATTCCCTCTCTTTCAGAACCATACCGCACCCTCTCACGTACCACACGCATTACCACATCACACGGACTATCTCATCCCTCGGACTAAAAAATCTCAAGGATCACCATCTTCATGTAGCCAGTAGCCTCTCACATCACACGAGTTGTTTGTTCCACATCATAGCATTTATCCTCCTGCCTTACCAAAGATATCTCGTCCGCCAGAGTGTTCTCGATTACCCGCTCTGCACAAACATCGATCAAATCAGTCCCATTGTGCGCCATACGACTCCATCGCGACAATGGTGCAATGAAACTCCACGGCATGTTCAGAAATACTGCCGACGTGATGTCGGGACCGCACCCGGCTCCCGAGAGTACAATGGGGAGCGTCAACGTGTGAGCCGCCATCAGCGGCGGCGGCGGCGTCGGTTGACACTCCGCTGCGACTATGGCGCTCAAGTAGTTCCAACCACCTTCCATCACCTGCACCAGAACGATCGCACTCCGACCTAGACATTCTGTTTGCCACAATTCCCTCACAAACACTATGAGTGTTCTACTCAAGCGGACTTCGTACGACGCTTTCGGTGCCACTGGGGCTCGTGCCCCGAAGCGACAAAAGCTGGACCACTATTGGGGTAGATAGTCCATTCATATCTCTCGCGAACAGTTTCTAAGACGCACCCATTTTAGATGCACCTGTTCCAACACCTGAGTTCAAAGGACAGAGAACGTCCGAAATAATACCTCTCCACGCCCTCGTCCTAACCCACGAGTTCTTCCGGTACGTCTCGATCACGTCCATCACACAACGACCACTGATATCCCATCCACTTCGCAGACGGCTACCCAAGCTGCCCCCCAAGGGGAGGTCCAGGTTCGCAACAGAGTTCCACAAACACCTCGACCTCAACGCGACCGGGCACGCGGCCGAGCAGCCCGAGCGCGGCGCCGGCGCGCAAGGCACCCCCGCCCCCCGCACGCTCTCCCGCCTCCGCCCGCCCGCGACCGTCCTCCCCAAGCGGTGGTACCTCGTGCACTGCACGGGCGACCCCGCCGCGCCGCCGCTCTACTTCCTGCCCGAGCTCCGCCTCGGCTCGCACGCCTTCTACCGCGTCCTCCGCGAGACCCCGACGGGCGCCCTGCGCGGGCCGGCGCCGGCGCTCGACAGCATGCACGTCGTCGTCTGCCCCGGGAACGGGCCCGAGATCCACGAAGACGACGTAGAAAGGGAAGACGAGGAGGGGCGCGCGTGCCGCTGCGCGGAGCTCGGGCCGCGCGGAGGGCGCGGGTTCCTTCCTGGCCTGACCACGCCGCACGCGCTCCATTGTCCGGCGGGGGAGCGGTGGTGGGAGGGCCGCTTCGAGCCTGGCCCGTTTATGAAGGCGTTGTGGAAGGTGCACGCCTACCATGCGCTGAGGCTTCCGAAGACGCGGAAGGAGAGGAGGGAGAAGAACCTGCCGAGCAGGACGGGAGGCGGCCTCGACTCGCGGCTCAAGGCGGCGGTACGGGACCCGAAGAGGAGAACGAGTTGGGAGGAACCGGTGCGGATGGCTGCGTTCGGGAGTATCGAGGCGTTGGAAGAGGCAAGGATCTGGCGAGTGGTGCGGCGCCGCGCGTTGGACTGCTCCCAGACCACGCAGAGACTTGTACGATGACGCCTATATCGTCTGCAACTGTCTTTGTAGACGTGCAGATAGTCTTCGTACAAGAATGCAAGGACTTCGATAAATTCGAGTACTTATACATGATGTCCGATAGTAGTATACAAGATCTTCGGAGAGAACGAGTGACGAGTCGCAGCGCAGTCACGGGTAAGTGGACTGGCAGCGGTAGATACAGACGGGGTTGTGTCGGGTGGTCCAGGGAAACAGTGATCCTAAGAGAGCGTGAGTAAATGAGGAATCGGGGTTGACACTTGACGAGACAGAGCATAACGATGCGACAGAGACGAGACAACAAACTGGGGGACGAGAAATGGAAAGCGATAGCGAGAGTGTGTACAGAGGGTCTGATGGATGGAGATAGAGATGAGAGAATAAGAGTAGAGCATATAGATCGTGAGTCGTAAGGATCGTGAGGTGAGATATCAAAACGCAGAGCAAGAGAAGCGGGAGGAGAGCGGTACGGAGTGAAAGCGAGATACTTCGTGATGGGATCGCTGGGGGTTCGGTGATGTCTTAGTCCTCCGAAGAGGCTAGAACGAGATGAGTGATGTCCAGAGGGAGACTGGAGCGGTGACGGTACCACCTCCGATTGCGAGCAATTATACGAGTTGGAACGGGCGAAGGCGGCTCGCGCGAGCGAACGTGGAGGCGCGGCTCGGAGTCCTGGCTGACGGGACGTGGCGCGTGCCGGAGCTTCTTGGGCTCGATTTGTTGGGCGAGTTTCCCCTGAATGCTCTTGCGCGCCTTCCTCAGTGCCGACCTGGTGTCGAGACCCTTTGGAGGAACACGCGGCACGAAAACGCCCGACTTGTCGAGGCCAGTACGGCTACGGAACTCGGGTTCACCCTCACAGCGCGGGAATGAGCACTTGAGAATCGGGGCGGCCACGTCGCCAGCACGACTGACGCGTTTCAGACTACTCACGAAGCTTGTCAGAAAATGAAAAGCGTTTCAGGCGCCATGTAGACGTACCATTTCATAAAGTGCACCTGGATCACAGTCTCGTACAACGTCGTAGGAATGATGCGCCGCCGAAGAGGTAAAGTGCCCTGGTAAAAGCAAGACAGGTATAGAGCACCAGCGTTGAAGTCAATGCCGTAGGCGCGGACCATCTCGATCTCGGCGGATGCAGGAGCGTCAATGGGCGGAGCACATGAGTTCGGCTTATGATCTACGCGCAGGATGAGCATCTGCTCAGTATACACGAAATGATCCTGCTCACCGTCGCGATACGCGGTGGTGGCCGCGAGGGTGGCCATCGCATAGTTGTATTGGTTGATAGCGTCCTCTTCGCCCTCGTCGTCGTGAGAAGCACCTTGTAGCTCAGCAGGAATACGCGAGTTCATGGAATAGTGCATAGCGAGTGCCATCGCTCGTTCCGTCTCTTCGTCTTCATCCTCTGTAACCTCTTCGACAGTGACGTCTGAAGTTGCGGAGCGGGGGCGACCCAAGATCAGCCTCCGGATTTCACAGAGATACGATGGCTTGCTTACCGGAATCAGAAAAGTATCCTTCGTCAGAGTAATCGAGAGCTATGTAGCGGAGGCCACCACTGACAGTGCGGGTGAGGGGGACGCCGAAGGGAGGGCCTTTGGTTGACTCAGTGGCTGATGCGGGTGGTTGGAAAACAAGAGCGGGATTATTACGGCAAAAAGACTTACGTTCGGTTTGTTTGGGAGAGGGTAGCACGTTGACAGTGGTAGCTGATTGGAAAAACGTCAGCGACGAGGATGAGAATGGTAGAGAGAAGCCATACAAGATTGCGTTCCGGTCCCAGGAACGGCCAGAGCGTGAAGTAAAAGCACGGCGAGTGGTCCCGGGACGGAGGGTAGGAGTGGTCCGGCTACGGACATTTTGAGGGAACGAGGGAGGAGGGAGGAGGGGAGGGGAGGGAGGAGGGAGGAGGGGAGGGGAGGGAGGAGGGAGGAGGGAGCAAGAAATAGAAGTGCACAATTGTCCTGCAGAGTGGGGGAGGGGACGGATGGTGTTGGAGGGCGCCAACCGACGCGCGGGCTTTAACGTGCCTGCCGCGTAAAGGCGCTCGCTTGAAGCTCTCTGTTCGCCCACCAGGCGGTCAACAAAAGCCAGACACGTGCGGGCATACACGTCGATCACGTGCGCACGCGTCATGGCGGCCGTTGGACGAGAGGGTGGTCAAGGACAAAAAACGGCCAAACATGCACAAAGTTCCCGAGTAGGCGGCCCGGGCGAAGAACGCTCTCCAGTTGTGCTTGTCGCTGCCCTCGACGACGACTCGCCACGCTGTTCTGCTGCCCGCTTTCATGTCCTTGTCGTTCGACGTCAGCTTCATCGTCCCGCGATCAACCCACTCACCGTTGCTGAAGACACCGGCCACCTCAAGTCGCAGGACAACGTTTCATGGCGGGAAAGGACGTGGTGGCCTGGAGGGTCGGTCGGTGGATAGGCGTCCGTGGATTGCACTGAACGTATTTTTCGCACTCCGCGTATGTCTTTGTCTTTGCCTCGTTTTGTTTTTGCGTGTGTATGCGCCCATTCAAACGAGCCATCCTGCGCGACTGCGTGAAGTCTGCTGAATGCGAGGGGCCTACGGCAAGACGAGCAAAAGCTGGTTCCAGAACCGACGAAAGCCGAGTCGGGACGTAGATATGCTGTCTGTGCAGTCAGTGTATGCGGCAAAGACAGGAGATGCCGCCTGACAATTGATGAAAGTGCCAGATGTGGACGGGGTACCCACGGCCGATTCAACGCCCAGGTCAAGTTCGATTCGGTGAGCTCTCCAATGTTCAGTCTGTCTCAAGCCTCTTTCCGATCATCTAAATCCTCCGTAGGTCAATGCAGGTCTCTGACTTTCCGCAATGCACTCCGATCGATCGCCCATGAACTTCGGTGTCTCGTCGCATGTGCTCGTTCGAGTTACTGGGCAACAACTTTTGGTCGGGTGCGCTGCCCCTTCTGTCCTGGTCAACAAAAACGCTGAATGGACTCTATCTAGGGCATCACAACGCTCGCAATGAATGCGTTGTCGAGGATTGCCACTACACAAATGACCGAGCCCACGAACACCAGCAACCGTGTCAACAGCAGCGCCGCTGTGAACCGCCGCTCATCCATGTCTCCTCTGTTCCGCTTCCTCTCCATTTCGATCCTCCAACCCCGTCCTCGCTGCAACGCGTCCGGAAGACCGCCGCGAGAGCCGCCGTCGGCCGCCATCAAGTCAGCCGCAGGTCGGGCGCAACGGTCGGTCCAAGCCCGCGGGGACGACGAACGGCCGAAAGCCATATGTAACGAAGCGGATGTCATCTGCGCGTCCGCACGAAGGAGGGCAGAAAGGCAGGTGCGTGAGCACCGTCGTACCTCGCAGGATCGCACGAGAGAGAGGCACTTGCCACCCAGTGTCCGGAGGCGGTCTCCGCAGAGCCCGAAGCTCTCCGTGCGCTCCGTCGCGTCTGTTTTCCGAGCCGCGACGCGAGTGTGGAGGGGATCCGTGCGTTTCCCGGGCAGCGAGAGAGGCGTGCGGGGGGTGGTCAGCGTGCTGCAGTCTGGGGGGCTCGCCGACAGTGGCGTACCTGTACTTCGGTGCCGGCAGGAGCGGACGATGCCTTGGACATTGTAGAAGACGAGGTCGTCTCCAGTCTTCGAGTCGGACTTCCAAGAGACTCCTGCAGCAGGCCATGTCAGTTTGGGTGCTTCTCTTGGCGCAGAGACTCACCGTCAACATGTAGCCCGCCGAACCCAACGACGAAAACGGCGGACGAGTCTTCCTCGAGGCGGGGAACTCGCTTTCGCAAAGGATTCACTCGCTTGTGTTTTCGACTCTTCTCGGGGATGGGCATTTTGTCGGGTGCGAGGTATCGGGTGGTGGTTGGGAGCGGCTCCGCGTCTAAGTAGAGACTGGCGCTAGACGGTATTCGGGTGGTCAGAGAAGGCTCGGAGCCAGGACGGATGACTCACGTATGCGCGGTGGACCACGATTTGTGTTTCTGTTCCTGCGCCGCTCGACTGCTGCTCGGCGGTCTCTAGCAGCAGTCGAGGAGGTGCGCCCCATATATATTTTTCTGTCGCGCGCGGCCACAATCTTGCTTTGTTGCTGATGGGCCACAGCCAAAAGCGATTTCAAAGACAAGTATTACAACGCCATACGGTCATCTAAGCGCATGCGTCATGCACCGTCGCTGCCGAACGTGGCGCTACCCGTCGAGTCCAGCCCTCGAGGGGCAACGGGGACACGCCGCGGCTGGACGATGGCGACACGGGTGCGCAGAATCTGGCCTTTGCGCGATATTCAAGCTCCATAATCATCACAAGATGCAAGTGCCGCAGCGGCCCGTCTGAGCATGGAAGGACTGGCCGATCGCTGAAGCGCACTGCGGTTGGTGAGTATCGACTTGTTGATACTGTATCGGTAGTCACAAACGATAAAAGTTCCAGGTCTCCCTGTTCGCTTGCCGAGCCAGCCAGCGGAGACAGAGTATCACAAGAGATTGATAGACAAGCGTTATATTCTTGGTACGTATGTTACATGATAGCATCTTGATAAATGACATGCGACGGGAACTCGATCCTGGGTTCAGGGGCACGGCGGCTTGATTGAGCAGGACCACGCGAAACGTACTACCAGGACCTTGCGGTGATTGACGTTGGCACCGATGCGGGAGCGCAGGTGGACAAAGAAGCTGGGGAGTTCGTCAGCTCCGAAGGGAGTATTGGGCCGCAGGGCTCCATGTCTTCGTCGTCTTCGGCGTCGCTGGACGACATGGAAATGTCGATGTTGCAGTCCGAGACGTGAGTGTCTTCCCCGTAGAAGTTCTCAGCAGCGATGCTCGGACCTCTGGGAACGCCCTCGCTCACGAGCGGGTGCTTGTCCCAGTCGGCGTCAGACACACCTGATAACAGAGCATCAGCGACTCCCCATAGTATCCAGTGCAAATAGACGAGCACTCACAAAACGCATCGATGTCTTCCTGCAGATTTCCTACTACACCGACCTCGAGCGAGTTGGGGGAGCTGTTCTGAAGGTCGATGGAAAGCTGTTCGCGGAGATGGGGGTTCTCTGTGCGGACGAATGAGAAGTTTCTCGTGGGCGACAAGTTTGGTGCGTGCGTACCGCGGGCGATCTGCTCCGTCAACGAGGTATATTCGCCGAGAGCTGAAGAAGGGATGGCACCATTTATGATGTTATCGAGTCCATCCGTGCTCGGGTCCACGGATAGAAATCCTGCGACTGTTCACCGCGTCAAATCGAGGCCCGATGATGTTGAGAGCAGAGACGAACCGAACAGTGGTGCAGCATCCACGAATCCCTCCGGCTGAAGGAGATCGGGTTCAAATGAGATTGGTCCTGATGATGGCAGGGGTTTAAGAAGATGCGCCGAGGTGGGAGACGAAAACCCAATTTTCGGCTGCGGCACAGGCGCAGCAATGTGGTCAGACATCGTGTTGTCATAGTCTCCGCCCATGGCCATACGTTCTGCAGGATGATTAACACAGCGTATAACGCGAGTCATAAGAACGAAACGGGATCCAAAAGCATACATTTACTCACCGTGCATCCCCGAGCTCGAACGCTGGTGATCTGGCCACCAACCATCCTGGCCACCCGCGCCGCGATCACCTTCACCGTCGCTCCGCGGGCTCGCGGGCTCCAGTTCCTCGTAAGACCTCTTTGATTTTATGGAGTCAATACGAGAACCGGTATGCTTCTCGATACGTTCTCTCACCAAAGATTGAGCGCGAACAGTGGTAAGGTGCGGCTGGAGGTCGCGCTCGTGGAAGGAGGGGATACCGGCGAGCGGGCGGGAAGACGGCGGGTCGGACGGAGAGGGCGTAGCACTTGGTCCCATGCTGTAAAGGGGTGGTGGACGATACATGATGGAAGCGGGAGACTTCCCTGTCGTGTGGTGGATGCAAGAAGGGGGGCTGCCTGGGGCAATTTAGCTACAGACGCGGCCGTCCATCGTTCGCACGTGACTGGTTGAGTGAACAAAGGAACAAGTGGCCGTCCGACTGCGGCCCAGATGGTCACTGTAGAGGATAGACTTCAATATCTCATAAGTCTCCTAAATAACCTCTCTGCATGCGGAGATTTACGCACCGTCGTGCGATTCACGATGTTGCGCATTGTCGGGCGTAGTGTTCCTCTTGATAGTGGACGCGCCTGCAGCGGATCTGACGCGTCGCGTCTCTTCATCATGTGATCGCGATTTTCTGGCGTCAACCACCCACACCATTGCCAAGCGAGCAGGGACTCCAAGGTCAGAGCGACGCGATCTGGCCAACGCGCAGACGTGCAGGTGCGCGGCCAGTATACAACACAGTATACAACAACACTCGATTGATTCTCAAAGTACGACAAAAAGTTAAGACAACGGTAATATACCAACACAATATCCGGTTATAGCGTAGTGACGATCGTGGCGCGAGAGCGGCCGAGGCCCGAGGTGGCGGGGTTCAAGGGACGGGGGTGGCGTGAGGGGACCCCGGCGCGGGCGGTATGATACACATGCGGGGACGTTCAGTCGTTGAGTGGCGCGGGGGGTGCGGAGGTACGGATGTGCAGGAGGCGCGGGAGGGAATGCGGGTAATGGGAGTGATACAAGGGGTGTGCAGCGGGCGGTGGCCCGAGACGGATTGGACAGCGCGATGCTGGGAAGGAAAGGTTGACTAGGGTTGAACGCGTCTATGAGGTGGTGATGGTACGATATGCGGGGCGTAGACGTCGTGGAAGAACCCAGAGAGACGTGGCGTGGGACGTGACGTCGTTATCGTGGAAGATCACGCGAGGGCGGCGTATGGTAGAGGAGAGAGAAAGTGCGCAGTCAAGCGACAGAGGAAAGGAAATCGGAGGAGAGTGGAGATCGGCCGGGGCGAGAGAGATTCTCTTGCATGCGGCGTCCGTACAGCGTGCAGCCTTCATCGAGAAGAACGGGGCTGGTGTAGCACGGGGCATATCTGCCGATGCGCTCGCACCTGTCGTTGATCCTGAGTGATCGCATCTGATCAGCACCCTCCTCAGGCAGAGGAAAAGGAAATGCGTACTCGAGCTCGCACTTGTGGCGGAGGAGGCTGTAGTGGAGCGTTGGCTCAACAGGATGCGCCCGCTCAATGGTCGTGTTTGCGCCTTGGAGAAGTGTGGAGTTGAGGCAGAAACCGGTGACGCGTTCCTCTGCCCAGTCATGGAGCATCTTGTCCTCGAGCTCGCGAGGCAACGAAGACATGGAATCGGAAGAGGAGACGGCGGAGAGCGAGGAAGAGGAGGCGGTGGAGATCGAAGATGACGACGAAGAGAGTGCATACACTGCAAAGGATACGGTCCGATGAGCTTCGATCGGCTGCGCGAGCGCAAAAAACTCACAACTCCTCGATGGTGCAGGAACAGTATAGCAGGCGCCAAAGATCGCCTCCTCGACTTCTTTGCTGGGATCGCGGGAGTCGACCAGGACGCCGGGGATGGTGGATAGCGCCACTTGTGCGATCAGTGCGTGCAGGGCGTCGCCACTGGTGAACTCGGCGCAGGCGAGGGCGAGGGCGATGTCCTCGTCGGTGACGCCGCGGGTGTCCTTGTCGGGGTCGCCACCCCAGCGGCAGACGGGGCTGGTGGGCGTCGACGGAGGGGATGGAGACGGGTCGAGGTCTGGATGAGAATGGACGGAATGAAGTGATCGAATGATCGGAGTCAAAACAAGCCAGGAATTGTGCGCAGCGGACGCACCGAACAAGCGCGGAGCTTCAACGGGCGAAGCCGGCGTCGGGCGCTTGAGAAGGCTGTTCGCCGCGGAAGCTGCGGGGCGGGAAGGTGAGCACGGGGAAAGCTGCGGGGAGGGCGGAACGTACGGGCGTCAAGGGTATCGGGGCGGAGAGGAGCAGGTTTGGAAGCCTGCCTTGTGGCGGGCTGCTGGCCGCGAGAGGCGTGGACGGGGCCCACAGGGCGCGAGGCCAGAGAGGCGGCCAGGGAATGGACCCCCCAACCGGCACTAGGGGTGGTGAGCAACATCGCCGCAGGGATTAGAGAGAACTATAAGGGCTTTGGTGTAGTGGAGAAGGGGAAGAGAGGAAGATAAGGCGTGTGGGAAAAAGAGGAGATGAGAGCGATTAGGCCGTGTTTGTGGCGTAAGTAGTAAAGGAGGAGGGAGATGCGAAGGAGACGAGGCTCCCCGCTATTACGAGGCGAGCGAGAGGAAGAGCGAGAGGAAGGAGCCGCAGCCGCGCAGACGGCGACGACGCGAGGTGGGCGGAGTGGGAGCGGAGCCCAGAACCGGCCGCGCCTCTCCCGCTGCCGCGCCACTCGCCCCTGTTCCCGCGGTCACATGATGCAGCCATCCCGGCACGAGCTCAACAAGACCGACTCGCTGCCATCGCAACCGCTCTGCCACGCGTCTCTCCAACTGTGCTCTTCGCCGACCGCTTTCTCGCCTGGGTTCCCTCTCCACCGACCGCGGTCCCACTCTGCGATCCAAACCGCCGGAAACAGGCACCCGGAGTCAATGTGGCCGTACCGCAAGCGCCGCTATGGAAGCTCCACCGCCTTGCATGACAGGGGTCATTTATGCCCACGCGTTTGTTTTTCCGCTCTGGCTCATCCCTGCATGAGCTCTGGGTCCAATAGCCGTATGCTTCCGCATCTCCGACGTGCCGGCGGTGCAAGTCGTGAACGTTGCATTTCACACACTGCTCCGGAGCATGTCAAATCGTGTTTTCGTCCTACGTCTGCGAGATCCCTCAGGTGAGCGGTTCGAGCACTGTTCTGTTTCGTCTTCATCCCGCATCTTTCCAGGAAGTTGACGTCTTGCGTTCGTTTTGAAATGCGTCTACGAACAGCACCAACCTCGGCCCCCGCGAATGCATATCCTGTATTGCAACTCCGATACATCCCGAGCATGGTGCGGCGCATATTGTCTGCCTCTCCGTGCGACGTGTCAGTCGCTGGTATGCTGCCTCCCGGCGGGTCCATGCGTCGCATCGCGTTCCCACGACGCATCGGCGCCGCCCTCGTACCAATAGCCGGACAGATGCTTTCGGGTGGTGGCCACAACTGCGTACCATGTCGCTTAGGCACATCGTGTCTCTCTACGCTTCTGGTTCCAACCATGAGGTGTCTTCAACTTACATCGCTTTCCGATGGCGCTGATGGCTGTATGGCAGGTTCCTCGCGCATGGGACCTCACGATTATATCTTAGCGCATGTGGTTCATCATACCTATCGGTATCGTTTACTTGCGCGCTGACATTTTTTACGGGTGTCTTGGGGGCGACCGCCCCTTCCACGGTACAGAGACAATCAGACGCGTATGGCACAAGTCCACTGCTACGAATGGCGCGTTTCACCTTTTCCCTGCGAGTGTGCAAGCTCTTTAGCTCTTGTCGCCCTATACAGAACGCTGAGTGAATACAGCTGCGGTGTCATGGTGGTTCCGTCTTCTCCGAACCATCCAGAGCCTTACGAACCCTGCCAGCAGCGTCGCATGGCCCAGGCAGTGTTATATTGGACGATAGACGTGGTATGCATCCTCCGCGGCGGCGGGGCGAAGAAGTAGAGCGAATGTCCACACTAGCAGTCACGGATGGAGCGCTGACGGCGGGCGGAAATACGCGCACGTTCGCAGTTGTATAACAACAGCCCATCTTTTCTGACGTACGTTAGTCTTCCTCACTTCACTACGCAGTTGCTAGGTCAGTTTTTGACATGCTCGCCTCTCCCTCAGCGATGCTTGCTGTTATCTTGGCTATTGCCTGTGAGCATAGGTTCACTAGTGATCGCTATCGTAAGGCTCATCACGGATTTGCATAGCTGTGTCCGCCGCAACATCAGGACAACTATCGCACAGGCGCCTGGCTCGCAGCTGGTTTCGGGCCAGTTCATCGACGATCGTGGCGGCATTCCCAGCTTGGTAAGCATTCCGCTCTTTTGTGTTCCCCGATATCGCTACCACTATACCTCATTGACTCACGTCGGCCTACGTCTTCGCGGGGCGGCGGGCGATAGCGATTTCTCAACCGAGCAGGCCGCTCTTGACGGTAAGCCGACTAGTGCCCTCAGCGCCCCCTTCACAACCTGACCAACATTTGTCTTCGAGGATGGACCGTGAACTGCGCTTCTAATCTCTGTCCGGCATCATCAAGAGCCTCATCGCGACTACATTGGCTACATCGAGCAGTAATAGTACGTCGGAACCTGTCACAAGTGCTGACTCCGATTTAACCAGCGCGACGTCCGCAGCTTCTTCGCGCAGTGACGCGCAGACGGGTGGTCCACGCGCGAACAGGGACGCGATGCTGTTTGTGCTAGCTGGTGTCCTGGCCGGCGCAGTTGTGCTTTAGCTTCCTCATGTAACTAGTTGTCGAAGCACTGACTGTAGTGTACGTGTAAATGCCCTGAAGCAGCGTTCTGGGAACATCTTGAACTTATGATATATTCAAAGTGTTTTCCCGGTGGTCAGACTCTTTTTTCTAGCTCCGCTGCAAAGCGGACAATGCATGCCCGTTTGTTGCTTTGTTCTCTAACCAGTCACGTGCCTGTTTGGATGGGACCGCGCTCGCCACCCACACCGGCCCCCACAAACGCCTTTCCCCGACCACCAACAGCCATCACACACACGTCAATCTCCCGCTTCCTTCTCTCCTCGCGTCAATCATCGCGCGCCCGAGCACCTCCAACCACAGCACCTTCGCCAGCCTTACCTCCCTGGTAGCTGTCACCACCGGCCTGTCGCACCGGCCCAACCCGCTTGCCCCCCAGCTCCGACATACAACACGCATTCATATCCGCTTCCCCGCAGTCAAAGTTCGAGAAGAATGACGGTGATCATCGCGCCCACAGCGTCCCGCGCGTCTGCGACCGTCCGTCCCGACAACCCCGGGCCTGATCCCCGCGACCTCCCTGCTGACCACCGAGTCTCCGACGACCTGTCAAGCCCCATCTCAACGGGCCGCTTCGAAGATGCCGCCGCTCCTTCCAAGACGTCTACTCGCGCGCTCGGAAAGCGCGCGCGCGATGAAGGAGAGCTTGTTGGCGATGCCGAGCACGAGGCGGGTGGCGGGGCGGGTGGTGGGGAGAGGGATCGCAAGCGGCCGCGGCTCACGCATCCTGGTGAGTGTTTAGTCCGATTATACATGCGATATGGAACGCTTATTGGCTATATGATACGGCTAGACTGGGACAGTGTCACCGACGAAGAGCTGGAGGATATGTCGGAAGACGAGAGAGATGAGTTCCGGTTCCTCCCCCAAGGTACGCTAGATGTATTTAGTGCGTAACATTCTCGCCTTGCTCACACGGTTCTCATATCGTCTAGTATATTTGCTGTATGAGCACGAAGATCTGAATCTGACCACCATCGACGAACCGATCCTGTCGTCCGGTACGCGCTTATGTTTGTCCGAGTCGACCCCCCAAGATTGCTGACTTGATGTGGAAACCCTTCTAGATGGTATCGAAGGGTTTGATGACCTTTTTGACTTCTCCGCCTTCGAAGATGATAGCTTCGCGTCGTATGAACGGACGGGAGAAGGTGCGTACATATGGTAGTCAGTAGTAGCCTATTCTGACCCTCAACCGCCAGGAACGTCAGCATCGACTAGTGATGCAACAGTTGGAACGTCTCAAGGTCAGCCGTGCTTCAACCACTCGTGCCATCTCGCTGACCGAGTTTTTGTAGCCGGAGATAACTTCTGGGATGCGCCTTGGTTCAATGAGATCCGTACCCCCAGCGGCAGTCTTGCTGACGACGAACGTAGCTGGGAGGAGCTCGTTGCCGAGATCATCCCAGCCGGCACTACGCAAATCTCAGAAGACGACGAAGACGACATGGAGCCCTGTGGTCCAATCCTCAGCAACGACCTCACAACTGCTGGGTGGTACGATTGTACTCCATTCAACCCCGTTCGGTACGTCCTTTCCTACCCTCCTCGAGATATGCTGCAGCACTCATCATGCGATCTCACCGGCCGCACTGTCTTCAGAAACCACCCGCGGTTCGCGTACGTGCGTTCCTGCAATTTGGAAAACACCAACTATATCCCAACATATGCCCCACACACCACGGTTCCGTGCAGGTGGGAGTCTCACGAAGAGGCTATGCTGGCGGGAACGTCTCCGATCGCGCTACCCAACGGGAGGTCAATTACGCCGTGCCAGTTGGTACGTCTCGATGGGTCCCCGCTGAGGCTGCGGTAGGGGAAGGGAACGTTGAGACGATGAGGTGCTGTATGGTTATCGCAGTACTCATTTGAGAGATTCGAAGTGGTTAGCTTGTTTCGGACAGCGGTCAGTAGACAGGCGGCATAACGCCGTCACATTTGAGAGAGCTTTTTGCTTTACATAGGGCACTTTTGGAACGCGATGTAAGATACCATGTTATATACCTTGCTGTAAAGTAGAGTCGTTGTACGTTTGTAATCGCAATCTTTCGGTCATCGATACGAACCGCGAGGGATTGAGTGGTCAGAGCCAAGAGCTGCCAAGAAGCTAGGTAAACCTCGATACATTACAGTCCTATGCGTATTCGCGAGGACACGCACGTCGCGGTGTGTGTGACCGACCACGAGGCGGATGCGCAAGGTGTGACCCAACGCGTCAAGCGATCGGGCGTCTGCCAACCCAACCCGCGACCTAGGCCTCAGCCACCGCCTGCGATCCGCTACCCTCACTCTCAGCCTCTCCCTCGCCTATCCTGACCACATCCCCCACACCCCAGCATCTCGCTTCCGCTTCACACCCCCCCGAGGTCTCGACGCACGCATCGCCATCATGGCCACAGGTTTGACCACACCGCCCACCACGACTCTCCCCGCGGTCCTCGCGTTTGCCTACTGCAGTTTCGAAGAGGGGATCCTACGCGAGAAATCGGAGTTCACCGACGCAGCGAAAGAGATGATCCGAGCCACAGAGCTCAGCCAGACCAAGGTGAAGCGCAAGGCGAGCCAGGAGAACGTCGCGAGCGCGGATCGCCGGAAAAAAGGACGGAAGACTCGTCGCGGTGAGTTCGTCCAGAACAGAACACGAGTTCCATGAACTCACAGAGGAGCAGGCTCAGCGTCCGGTGCGAATGCTCCACAGAAGGAAAACAGAGGTCTGGGAGGGGAGTCAGTCGATGCGACGGTGGTTCCTGACACGCGTGAGTAGCCTGCTCGACTATGCGTGTGCTGTTGCGCTGAAAGCGCACCCCGATGGGCAGCTGGATCTTCTTCCGTTGCGTCTGGTTCGTCGAGGAGCAGCAGCATGCACGCAGAGGAAGGTGCCTCCAACTACGCTCTCGTCGATCCCCGTCCCGCAATTCCGATCAACGCTGGTCCAAACTATATGAACCAAAGCGAATGGGACGTGCCTCGTTACTACCAAGCCTATGCCAGCTACATGGTTGATCCTGAGTACACACCGCAAATGTTTACGGGAGGGCATCAGGATACAATGTTCGGTGAGTTTGATCCCTGTTCGCGCGCAATCCATGTGGCTTAACGCCGTCATGGTGGTCAGGACAACCATCCGGAAAAATCCTTCCTGTGGGGCAAGAAGTGTTCAGCAACTGCGGAGGTTAGTGACCACTCACTTCTGCTCCGATAGCCTGCTCATCGCCCACGCTTATCCAGCTCCGTACTACGCTGCCGACCCGTTGATGTCGAACCCCAACGGCTACGGAGAAGAGGTTCAGCCTCGTACGAATAACTACACTTGGAACGCACCGAGAGAAGCGGCTTCCTACACCGCACCGAACTACTGGACGCGTGGAGAACATGAACCGCCTTGCGTTCCAGAGACCACAGCGCACACTGCTTCCTTTAGTGAGTGCCAGCAGTGGTTCCCTGCCAAGGTCGCAATTGCTGACCACGGCTTACAGCAGTGTGCGGTGGACCTCAAACGTACGGAGGATACTTCCCATCCGATATGACGTTCGGCGTGGAAGGAAACGCAGTCTACGCGCCCGCCAACGCCGGCCTCCAATTCCAACCGCAACTGGTGATCGCTCCCTTTCCTCAAATCCAGCCCTCGCCCGCATCCTATCAGGAGTTCTTTCCACTGGACCAGCGCACCGACCCCACACGCGACACGCGTCTCAACGACGGCATCTCCATGGAGCGTCCCAAGCGCTCGCCGCCGCGCGACTTCGACACGTCGTTCCTGCACTTGCAGATGACCCCAAGCGCCCCAAATGGACGAAGGAGCCACCCGCCAGCGCTCCAGCACGACCGCCGCGCCCGCGGTCGCCTATCCCGTGCCTCCAGCGTGCTGAGCGGGCGAGCGCGACCCGCCCCCTATCCGGGTCGGGCAGATGCTCGACGACTTCCAGTCTCGGTGCGCGCCGACGACGTCCTGCTGGAGGTGCAGCGTCTTGAGCAGCTCGAGCGCGCCCGAGCTGCGGGAGCACGCGCTCACCCCTGTGCCTACACCGGGGCTTGAGGTCTATAGGAAGGAGTGGAGTTGAAGGAGTAGAGCCACATTCTCTCTCCGAGAATCAGAAGTGGGACGAGAAGGAGCAGTCGGCGAGGGGAACTGGAGCTCACGGGTCGGGAAGGAGGAGAGCTTCGCGGTCGTCGAGGCTGACACTTTTGCGTGTGGTAGCCTAAGGTTCGCGAGGACGTTCCTCGACATCGGGGGAAAGGCGAGACAGGCGATGGTGGAGTATGCTGTCTCCTGGGAGGGAAACGATGCGTCGGAGTGATCTGTAGGACTGTATTAGCACGCTTGGAAATCTATTTGGTTCACTGGGATCACGGAGGCGCTGCGGCTGACGAGTCACAGAGCCGGATTATCGGCCAATGACATATGCAGCATTGCGCCTCTCATGGACGGCTCTTCTGCGACTTCCCAAACATCCATCGGCCGCGACGAAGGGGAAAACCTAGACCACCCCACACGTGTCAGTCGTCTCGACCATTCTGACTGAGAGCGTTCATTGGCCGCCCGTGTCCAGTTCGATGTCGCTGCCTAGCATAGACGCGCGGCCACATCGACGGATCACCACGCACCTCGCAAAACACGTCATGGTGCAAACACGTCTCTACAGGCAGGAAGACGGGTGATGCGCGCGTGACCCTCCCAAGTAGACGCTGCTCTGCAAGCCAGTTTCGTCGGATTCGGAGGCCTGCACGTCGACGGTAAGTCTCGTTCTCGACGGCATCGGCAACCTGACGCCACTCACCGCAGGGCTCTCGTGGAGATCAGACCCAGACACGGGGATATCATGTCCTACACCGTCCAGAGCCTCGTTCGCCGCCGCGGGCATCGGAGTGCAGGTGCGTCGCCCCCGTCGGTGATCTCGGTAGACCAAAGCGCGCTAATCATCGTCCACATACCTTCCGACTCCCGGCAACCGTACGGCCCTGGTCCTGCCGGCCTGCCGCCTCGTGGTTCCGCGGACAGACAAGAGCGGACGAAGAGTTTGGGCTCTGTGAGGACCGTGAGGCAAGTCCTCCTCTTGCGCGTTCATGCGAGACACATCGAAGAGGCTCACGCACCTATGACTGCTTTTCTTCCCGCGAACTTTCGGATGACGTCTACTTCCCTGCATACAAGTTCCGGCCGCTTGGTGTCCCCGCCGGTGTGGACCGATCATCATGACCGATGAATGAGTAGTTGGAGGATGGGGGCCCGTTGACGAGGAGGATGCTATTGGCGTTCTTGACGTGATGTGTCTACAGGGTGTTGGAGTCGTGAACACCGTGAACTCCATAGAGGACGAATCATTATCAAGATGGTGAAAGTGTCGTACGGTTCGACGAAGATGAGGCGATGACAAAGCTGCAGGACGAAAATCAGAGACTGGAGGGGATGAGTTGCTTGTGCGTTGACCTCGGTCGGGAGAATGAACGATACGGAAGGAAGGAGGACCTGGAAGACGCAGTCAACGAGGGGTCGAAGGAGGAAAGAGATGAGTTTGAACTTTACCCTGGCGTTGTGACGCTGGCCGGCGGTCTCACCACCATATCAGACGGGCGCTGCGGACGCTACGGCTTTTGTTTTCTTACTCAGACCACTTGCGACAGTCGGACGAACATCCGCCCCTCGCCCAAGCCTCATCCAAGCTCTCCCGTGGGCTCGGTGAGAGCCTATGGCTGCCATCCTGCATCCTGTGAGGCCGACCACAGGAACCTCCGTGGTCTAACCACACCCCACCCAACAATTTCGATCGCCATTTTCACAGCATCACACAGGAAATGCAGTAAAAGACACAATGACATACACGGAAGATACATGAAGGTGTCGCTCGTTTCAAAGGGGGCGGCCTCGGTCGACTGCCAATGCTCCTCCTAGCTACCCTCCATCCCTCAGTGAGTCGGAGTGGCAGCATGAAGGTCTTCAGCACATGAAGCAGACGGGGGCATGAGGAGAGGCAGGCGAAGCTCGTCGAACGCGACGAGGAGCAGAGGTCAGGCGGCGGTAGCGGGCCGGCGGCTCGGGAACTTTGTACGTGTTTGCTCTTTTTTCCCTCACAAGCGCCGACGCAACTCTTTCCTACAGTCCATATGCGCTGTATCTTCTATATATTACCGCTCTATGTCATAGCGTGAATGAAATGGCACCTACACTGAAAAAATTCTGAGATTCAAGATAGATATAGCTGAGGTATGCACTGTGATGAGTCCGAATCCATTCTTACATTGTAGTCCTCCTCGCCCCCGCGCCCGAGCAACTCGCGATCCGCAACGCCTTCCTACTCCCATACCTTTCCAGCCTATGCGGATTCGGCCATGAATTCAGCTCCTCCTGCCTAGTCACAACCATGTCTGACGAGCGCGCCTGCGGCTGCATCTCAAAGCCGCACTTCTTTCTTCGCACGAGCTCTGACCATGCTTTGTTCGCGTGCGTGAGCCAGTACTCCTCCGCAAGCTCCTGGAATGTTCTCGAGACGACCCTTTCCGTGCGCTCCGACCCCCGCGCGGACTGGAGTTCACCAAACACGCCGACGTCCTGAGGCTCCATCGAGATGTCGGCATCGTCGAGAGCGACCGCGCGGGTGGTGGCCGCGCTCCGCTTGGCCTCCCGTATATATAGAAAGTCGACGTGGTTGAGGTACAGGTAGCGCGGAGGACGGAGATGCAGAGCCGGCATCGGAGAGATCGTGCGACGAGCTGGGGTGCCTGCCTGGGCGGGAAGTAGGTCGATCCCGGCTTCACCGGAGGTATTCTTGCGGACGGATCGGATGAAGTTCCGGGCGTCGAAGCGATATATTTCGGTGGCTCCTGGGTTGCGACTGAGCAGCGAAGGCTTAGTCTGGATTTCGATAGCACAGATTATGTAAAGGAACGTACCGATAGAACTCGCGGTTCACGACCGACCTGTACAGAGTATTATACTCCCTGATCCTCTCTGGTCTCTTGAGCGACTTTCGGCCGGAATCCTTGAACCCCCATGAGGCAGCGGGATTTGTAGGCGGAGAGTTGGGCCCCAGTAGGTACGAAGGGCGACCAGAAAGAGGGGATGACGGCGCGGGCGACGGTCGACGTGGTTCCTTCGCGCACGGGGTCGCAGTGGACTTCAAGTAGTCCTCCCACCACTTGTGCGCGGGTTCGGGGCGCACGATGGGAACTCGGCCGATTATCATCCGCGACAGACAAGATGGAATACGTTCGGATGGTCTGCCTACAGGGATAGAATCCCATACTGTGAGAAGAAACGTTCAATGGCTGCGCACCGGTACCTCAGAAACGAATGACTCACATGAGCTACTCCCAAGTTTGATTCTCTTCGCTTGACGTTGTGGTTCTTCATTCTCCTTCTGGCGTCTTCGCTTATTGGGAGTACATGTAGGTTGATACTTCATGGGTGAAAATAAAGTGGTGAGAGCAAAGACAGGGGTGTGTGTGGGAGTGGTCAGGGAGATGGGAGTGGTCAGGAGAGGAGGCGCTTCGGCTCGTTTAGGATCGTGACCCGTCGACTGGTCGCGTGACCGGTCCTCCGACGAACTCAACCAGACCTTCCAAATCATTGATATGAGCAGTATAAAAAGTACAGATCAGTATGTATATGAGAACAATAACGACTATGGGGTCCATATCTCAGAGATATGGGACGGGGTGTACATAACGAGCTTGCCACCCGAGTACACTCTAAGACCCCGCTTTTTCTCCTGCGCACGCTCCCCGACCTCCAACGCCGCCCAACACCCGTACGGAAACAACGCCTTTGGATCGTCCCACTTCATGATGTCCACAGGCTTCGGGTATGCGCTGCAACGAAAGCTCGTCCGCTTCACCCTCTGCAGCTCGAGCACGCCGCTCGACGCCCTCTTCATATCCCGCATCCACTTGCGCTCCCACGTCAGCTCCCACGCCTGGTGGGCGTGCGCCTCCCAGAGATTTTTCGCGTCCGCAGCCGGGAACAACTGCCACGTCCCCTGCGCGATCGCCGCCGGGCAGTGGAGCGCGTGCGCAGACTGTCCTCCGGCGCGGTACGCACGACACCGTCTCGGGAACAGCCAGGCGCACCGGCAAGCGGACTCCTGCGCGATACGAGGAACGACTTGCGCGACGTAAAAAAGGTCCAGAATTTCCCGGATGGGTTCGTCGATCGGGTCCAGGACCAAGTGGCGGGCGATGGTTATGTCTGATTTTCGCCCGCCCAGAAGATCGCGTCCGCTGAGCATGGAGCCGGGGGAGTCCTCGACTGTGTATTGATACGGCGAACTGGTGCCGAGGACGGCGAGTCTGCGGAGCGGGGGAGTGCCGGGGTTGAGGGGAACGTAATCGGGCATACAAGTTTCGCCAGAGGTGTGCCTGATGTGTGCCTTGAACTCGCTGTCGTCGTAGTTTGAAGTTCCGGGACGGTGGATGGATTTCCAGCTGTAGATGTTGGTGAGTGAATTGCAGTGAAACGTTAATCGAGGACGCTCACCGAGCTTCTTCTCGCCTCAAGACTCCGCGGCGTAGATAGAGTCGCTTGACGGCCTCCGTCTTCTGCGGCTGCCTTCGTGCAGTCTTGGGGAAAAAGGCGGGCTTTAGAAGATACCGCGGGTTTCCGGATAGGGGAGAGGATAGGAATGAAGGCAGGGTCAATTCCTTTCTCTCCAAGATCTTGGGGCGTTCTGCCCACCACATCCACGGGATGTCGGGTCTCTTTTTCGGGAACCAGAATGGCTCAGGGGCTGACGTCTTCAGATGTGTAGTCGGTTTATGTTGCACTGGTTTGGCGGACGTTTCATGTAGGGCGATGTCGTGGTTGACAGGCGGAGGTGGAGGTACTGCACAGGCCGAACCTTGCGCCGTCGCTATCGCCGTCCGCTGCTGATCCTTTACAGTAGAAAAGCCTTCCAAACAGATTGATAGCTGATAGTGACTCGATGAGTGAACGACTTACAATCCATGAATTTGTTACGCTTCGCAGGATTGGGATTTTCGTTTTCCTTCTCGCGTGCCCTCTTTGAAGAAGCCATTGCGGGACGGGATATATTGCCTCAAGCGAATGGTATAGTTTACAGATAGTGACAGAGATAACCGGGACAAGGTGGGGTGGTCGGGGAGATCGAAGTGGTCGAAGTGGTCGAAGCGCAGGTCGAAGCAGGTTGAAAGCGGAGTTTGGGTCTCCGCCAGTCACGTGCGCTGGGTGAGCGCACGCGCGGGTCTCGATCGGCGGTCTCGGCGCTACAAGGCCATCGAGCTTCTTTCTCTTTGTCGGCCACTCCGGCTCTCTGGAGGGCCTCTACCCCTGCCTTTGTATCACGCCACGGACAGCTACACGATGACAGACGGTACGAACGAACGCCATGGTGCCCGACTCGATCTGTCGCTCCGCGTGGACGCGGAGAGACCCCAAGGTGAGCACATATATGCTGTAGAGTTGAAGTTCCAGGACTGATAAGTCGGCCATACTAAGGGATTTCTGGTCTATGCACGTATGAAGATTGGGTTAACGGAGTTTCCCATGAGCTGCTTGATCGCATCCTCGAGACGGGACAGAAGGCAAGTCCTTCCGATGCAGTCACTAGGGTACGTTTTACTTGCCCCTCCCGTGAAAACTCGTTGAATGAAATTGAAGGCGACAAAGGAACCGAAGCTTTACATGCGGAAACAACCACTAGCTGCCTCCGCCGCGGTATTATAGCCGTTAACGGTACCCCAAGTCATCGCTGCCTCCGGAATATCAGGAATGGTCACTCGACCGTCGAGGAAGGAAATGCTCCCTCAGACGTATCCACTCGTAGTCGCAGTCGAGGATGTGGTCTCATAACATCTTCTCCTACGCCGAAAACCAAGAGCACTGTTGAGAACAAAGACCACCTGAGGCATGCGGCGGTATCGTTCACTGGCGCACACCAAGCTCATCCCTTGGGAAGCAACATGATTCCTGACGCTGGAACGTACATCGATTTCAAGCCTTCCGCCGACTCTTCCGCTCCTTTTCCCTCTCATACAGCTCCCGGCCACACTGAGGCAGGGCAGAAGCGCGGCCTTCTCTACACGGGTTCGCGCGTACGCGACTGTACTAAGCGCGTCAGATTGTGAGCTATTTCGAACTTGTTTACACCGATCTCTTACATATGACCATTCATTAGCGCTCTCCCCGACGACGACGACGACGACGAGTCTGCCCACACGCGGCCCACGTGCTCTTCCGCCGAAGTCCGTGGTGGTTGTGATCAAACACCCACTGCTGCGCCAATGTTTGTCACCAGCTCTCTTCCCAAGCTGCTCAGCGAGGCTGATGCTTCCACTAGGTAAGCGTTCTAATCGCTGGATGTATCTGTCTGGCTGACCACCCTCGCAGTACTCTCCCACGAGCAATCGCTCGTAAGGCTCGCAAGTCGCGCGCTGTGGCATACGCGCTCCCTCGCACCCCATCCTCCAAACGTCTTGGCGCGTGATATCCTGTGCAGTTTTGTATACGTGTTCCATCACCCTATCTCCACTAGTGAGTCGAATCATGACATCGATCCTACCTGCTGTTACATCCTATTCCGAAGAGCCTCTTCCAGCTGTCTGTCTTTAACATCTTGGTACCCGCATCCTGTCTCCACTCCATGTCTGCCATAAACGTCTACCATATCCTCTTCACCGTCCACCGCATCCTCACCACCTATCTCTTCACGATCTGCTGTCTACTGTGTTCTGCTCTAAAATTCACGTTGTCTCCTAGTTATGTATCCCCATAGCATAAGTTAGCTATCTCACACATCCTCCAAGCTCTCCTTCACATCATCTCGCTACTACACCATCGTATCGTCACCTGGTCCGAATCGGTACACTATTCCGGCTCTTTGACGTATCCATCCCCACATACCTATCGCACACATTTGTCGCAATCAGATGGAGCGACATCACATCTTCCATACGAGTGACAGCAAGATGAGAATACGATCGCGAGGGGGTAATGTTACAAACCGAGACACAAAGGGATAAGTTACCTACCTAACTAACCGAGCAACTAGACTCTGGCCTAGAAGCCCGTAAACTGCTACTACGAAACATCATACACTACATGGCACCGTCGACCCCGCGGTCCAACCAAGACCAAGGCCCGCCAACCACCCACGCGCCCGCATCGCGCCGCTCACTGGAGCTCACTCGCGAGCGGCGCGATGTTCGGGTGCACATAGTACCCCGCGTTCTCCTCATCGCGAGCACAGCGGCTCCGCACCGCAGAGGAGACGAGCTTCGGCGGGGCGATGGAAAACCTCGCCTCCGCGTTCGCGCTGTCCAGGTCAAAGCGTCTTCCATGAGCACCGATACAAACGCAAACAGCGAGAGAAAAACAAGTACTCACCGAACCCCATTCGTCTTCGTGCCCTTCGTGCGCCCTGCGAGCGTCGCGCCCCCGTTCATCTCGCCAACGAGGCGCGCGCGACGCGAGTCCGACGCGGGGGCGGCGAAGAGCCGCGGCCGGGCCTCGGGGATCCGCGCGAGCCTGCACGTCGCGAGCGCGGTGGGGCGCGCGCCGCGGGTGCACTCGACAACGCGGCTGTGCTCGTCGAGCTCGAGGGTGCCGGAGTAGAGGCCGACGAGGGACCTGCGGGTGCGGCGCCGCTTGGGGGTGTCGGAGACGCGGAGCCAGAACGACTTGCGGACGGGGCGCGAGCGCTGGCGGGGGCTCTCGAGCGCGCTGGCTTCGTCGTCTTCGAGCGCGGGCGTCGTGGGGAAGGAGACGGAGGAATGGGGTGGCGCGGAGGACGAGGGAGATGCGAGGTTCTCGGTGGCGGCGGGGGTGGACGTAAGGATGGACTTCATCACGGTGAGGGTGACCGCGGGTGGTGGTGTGGTCAACCACTCCGCGAATGAGGCGGCGGCGGCAGGAAGTGGCGTACGGTCGAGTGTGGTCTGCGCGTCCTCGTCCGGGATGGTAGGAAGATCGTCGACATTGACCTCTGGGGCGGGAAAGACGACCGATACAGAGGTAGTGGGCTCAATGACGGTCGCTGCGGGGGCAGGCTCGACGAGAGGGGCTCCACTGGGGAGTTTGACAGAAACGCGCATGTAGATGCGCTGCAGACGCCGCTGAAGCTGCGGGCCTTGCGGGCCGTATACGAGCTGCCCGACAATAGATGGTTGATCTTTGAAGAGGACTTCGGAGAAGGCCATCCTTCCACGCTCTTGGGGGGAGATCCTTTGCTCAATCACCCTTAGACGCTTCGGGGTCCTCGCCAGGACGCGGGCAGTGGTGGACGGGACGAAGGACATGGCGTTAGACAGTGAAACAGCAGGAGAGAAAGTGGCTGGGGGCCGCTCTATCGTGGTGGAGGGAGATGGTTGCTCTTAAGCAAGCGCGAAACGGGGGCTGGCGGAGTAGAGCGCTTGTCTTCCTGATGCGGTTGGCCAAAGGAACAAAGGAATGTTTGGCGCTCTAGTGGAGAGGCGATCGCTAAGCCAGGGTTTTGAACACGAAAGCGCATGTTGGCCTGTGATACCTCCCGTTTTAAGTACCCTCGATCAGTGAACAATGGGTTCAGTCGTATAGGCGGTCTATTGTACGTCAACATCATGAAATTCGTTAGCTAGTGATACATGTGAAGTGTGAAAGACTCCTCTAGTCGGCCATAGATCCTACTTGGAAGTAGCGATACAGCCCGACAGCATGTTTCAAGAGATACCAAGGGCAATATACGACTCATCTAGAGCTTGAGCACCTTAAATAAAGTGAGATGTACAAGTATACCGTCGTCAGCGCTGCTGCCGTGCCATCATGTCAAAATCCTGGAATGTCATATCGTCTTAGCCGTGTCTGATTGAGAACACAATCGCACTCACGTTCACCAAAGAAAGTTTCATTATCGCGCCTCGCACTTCTCCGCATCGGCCACACCGTCCGTCGACGAAACGTGTTGTACTGCCTTCTCCGTGCGCTTCGCCTTCTCAACCAGCGCGAGAGCCTTCAGCTCAGGCACGGTCAAAACCGGTACCTCATCGCTCTTCCGCTTCTCGTTGAGCACTTGACGCAGTCTCTGGAGCCTATCTTGCGCGGTCAGGCTGTGAGGTGGAGAGCGGTGGGGCAGGGTGCCCTCCTCGACGACTTTGACGCCGCCGGTCGTCGGACACTTGTCGTTCTCGACGACGGTGGGCATGTCGCGGAAGGGACGCGCCATATCGAGGTGCTGCGCACAGATCTGGTTGATACTAGACAGACGATGGTGATGTCGAAGCGAGAGCGCAGAGGTTAGCGCGGCAGAGATAAGATAGGCAAACGATAACGCTCACGCTTGTTCGCAGAGGTACGAGGTGAACTCAGTGCGCAGCGGCATCTCCCAGTCGTCAACTTCGATCGGGTCGAGACCCTGGTTGGTCGTCGACTCCCACGAGGCGCCGTTAATGCGTCGTTCCATATAGTCCTTGACCATGTCGCACTCTTCGCGCTGGCGAGGGGAAAGAGAGACGAGAGAAGAATCAGGTACGGTGAGAGTGGCTGGCGACTTGATATCGATCGCTACGTTGGCTGTGGCCTGCGTGACAGGGGAAGGGCTGGGCGGTGGAGTGGGAGGCAGGTCTTCGCATAGCGAAAGTTTCAAAACGGGGTCGATAGGGCGAACAGGCACCGGGGCGGGCAGCGCAGAATCTACGCAGACAATGAGGACACGTATGCGAAGACGGTTATACGCGTACTTACCCGACGGTGCGACCACGCGCTCAGATGCAACACCTTGTCTGTCAGAAGTTCGTTCCGGACTTTCGGAGACGAAGAAATCATCAACTAGACGAGAGTCAGAGGGGTCACTGGGAGAAATGAATCCAGAAACGCACCAAATGAGCGAACAGGGCTCACAGGACCGAAACCGCGGCCACGAGGCTCCTCTGGGAGCTCGGAGTTGAGCACGTAAGCTTCGGAACTGGTGATCAGCGAGGGACCCTTCCAGCTCTGCGGCCAGTCAGACCAACCTCGGCGTTCCCATTGCTCGTCATCGTCGTCCAGCCAACGCGAAGAATGTCTAACGCGAGCATCTGAAGTGCGTCTACGTCATCTTCGGTCCGGACACCGGCTAGAAGCGGAGGCACTCACCCGCGGCCTGGATGCGCCGCAGCCTGACGGCAACCTTCGGATCATCGGAGTGAGCACTCTGGCGAAAGCTGTAGAGCACCTCGCAGAGGGTGGGCTCGAGCGGGACACTGGTGCGGCCAAGCAAGCGGATGATGGCGGGGCGGCGGCGAGAAACCATGTCGAAACGGGGCTGGTTGCGACGGCCGGGGGGCCGGCCGGCTTAAAAGGGAAAACTGAGAAAAACGTGTGCAGGGCGTGCGTGTGGCGTGGCAGGGCGCTTCACCCAGGCTCCACTGAGAACGTGAAGCGCAGTGAGCGGTCGTAAGTACGGAAGAGGAAGAGAAAGGAGAGGGAGATGAGCGGACGGCGTGGTGGATGCAGGAACCGGTGGTGGTGGAGAAGAAAAGGACGGTCGGGACGGCGACCACTCGCAAGCGACGGAGTTTCAATCTAAGCGAGCATCGTGTTCGCCGTGCGCCAGCTTAGGCGCCTAACTCGCCCGGTTTGGCCGACAATAGACAAGCGCTCGTGGCCACGCGACCCGCTCATTGTGCTCAGAAATGTTTCATTGCATATGGCGGACAGAAGCGATGCAATATCACAGCACAGGTATACACGTCTATCATGCGCACAATGAAGTGGTTGGGCTCCCGACTCAGTACGTCGCAGCTGTGCATCTAGACCTTCCCGCGGAATTGCTCGCGTGCCCCGGTCCCTAAGAAATCAAGGGTACATCGACTTCAGCCTGTACGCTCCCATTGCCACCGTATCAAGACCCTGGTTCATTTTTGCTTAGAACTGACGACAAAGAGAACGTGTGCGAGCCCTTGTCGGATAAGCGTGCCGTGTTCGCCGCGCCATTGTCGCGACCATTGTGAACAACCCGTGACCTCACAGGATGTGACGCATATCACGGGCTGGTCGCGTCTGCTTCCAACCACTCTTACAGATTTCAGCCATTCCGACGCCTCTTCCCACTTTACACCCCTCAATCCACACTCTCGAGCCCATCTCTGGTTGTCTTTGAGCCACCGACAAAGTATACGATGCTCTTAACACCCACAATTCCTGGAAACGCGCCGGCCACCGGCACGCACGAAACACAAGCAGAGAATGGCCTTACTGCTCCTGGAAGATGTGAGTTTATTTTCGCGTCCTCTCTGCACATCCCGGGTCTCATAGGTCAACAAGATCTGTCCGCCCTTCCCGAGGCCAGGTGCCGTTCTCTCCCATTCGGCGATGAATCGTCCACGGCTGTGCCTATGGAGATTGACAGCGACGCTACTCCCGTTCCGTCTCCCTGTGCCACACCCCGCCAGACTCCACGAACCACCCGCCGTACGCTCACGCGGATTCGGACACTGCAGCGCGAGACTTCCTTTGATGTGCGTCCTCTTCACTCTCGGCTCTCGACCTGCAGCTGATATCGTCCATCGTCAAGACCATCCCCACGCTCTCGCTTGACGATACACCACCACAGTCGCCATGGTCCCAGCTCCATGTTGAAATCGAAATGAAGAGCCCGGTGAAGCAAGTGAAGGGCGAAGGTCCTTCTCCGCCGCTGAGGATTCGGCGCCTATCTCGCAGCGAGAAGTTTAGGAAGGATATTGAGGATATGTCTCGGTACGAGGAGGAGTGGTTCAAGTTGAATTACCGGAAGCACAGAACGCGTCCGTACCCAACTGCATTTGAACGTCCTCAATTCTTCGACGGGGGGTTCGAGAATATGTTGTGCGTCCAGACCATCTGGGACCGTTGTTTATTTTTCTAATCACCCATACATTATAGGCTGCTAAAGCAGAGAAAGAAGCAAGATATGATACGGGAGCGGGAGACGACACCGGACGACACTCTCGACCTCCCGATCTCTTGATAGTATTCTGATATCTTCACCGTCCTCTCTGCATATACACGTTTTCAATAGGTTTTCGAAAACAGTTCATACTCTGCTTATGATATTAGAACCTTTTCCCAGCACGCAGTTTTACTCTGCCAACAAGTGTTCTCCGCTTGTAAGATATAGCGTATCAGTGACACAAATGCTACACACACTTCCAATCTCCGTAGTGCATATCCTGATCTTCTACCCCAACTACGTCGTCGCCTTCAACCCGGTAACACATGCGAGTCTCGTACGGAGTTTCGCAGAACACCTTGACCGCCTCCACATGGTGAGACCAGCCCAGAAGCAGCTGACGCGCCCTGCGTTGCACTATGCATCGCACAACGTTTTCATCTGCAGTATTCTCGCCCCCAGAACCTCTCGCGCTGATCGCCCAATACACGTCTATCTTCTTCTTTGGAGCCTCTTCGACGCCGAGTGCTCCCGCTCGCGACCAGTCAACAGGGAAAATGCTTGCGCTGGGAGCAACTCCGCGCTGCGCCTCCAAGGTCTATAAGACATTGCGATCAGTCTCACTGAGTTCTGAGAAGAGAAGAAAGACGCACAAGATCGATAGCGACCGCGAAGGCATTCAGCTCAGGAAACGCTTGAACGACCTTCCGCACCGTCCACGGTTCTCCCTCATCTCGGCACGGACCGCAGCGCAGACCCACGAGCCGCGCGCCAAACACGTCCGCCACCTTCTGCAGATCCGCGACCGAGAGCGTGTACAGCTCCAGGTGCGTGACGTTGTTGCACCCCTGCTCCACCCCATGCACCGCGAACGCCGACGAGCACGCCAGCACTCGGAGCGCGGGGAGCGCGACCTCCGCGCCGGCCACCCTGTCCTCGCGCCCCGGGGCCACGTACAGCTGCTCCAGGCGCGGATGCGCGGCGAGGAACGCGCGGAGCCCGCGACCCTCGTTGGTCGCGACGCACGACGCGAGCACGCGCAGGCTCGGGAACCACTCCGCGCGCCACGCGAGCGGCTCCTCGATCGGCGCCCGCTCGCGCCCGGGGTAGAACTTGAGCCGGAGCTCCTCGAGCGCGGTGAGGCGCGCGAAGACGTGCGGGAGCACGGACGGCACGGACGCGCCCACGAGCGGGTTCCACATCGTCACGGCGTGCACGGTGAGGGTGCGGAGCGCGAAGTAGGCGTCCGGTGAGCGGGTCGCGCGGAGGCAGATGTGCAAGGAACAGATTTGACGGTGGGTGCGAGCAGTGGCGGCGCGCAGGCGGGCGCGGAGGGCTTCGGGATGAAGGGCGCGACAGATGTAGAGGAGTGGGGTGCGGGCGGAGATGGGGTGGACGAGCGCGAAGATGAGGCGCCAGAGCTCGATGGGCAGCTTGAGGTCTTGGACATCTGGTTGGATGACGTCCATGTGATGGTCGAGAGACATTTGTCGTGTTTGAGACGATACTAGGGGTATAGATGCTCTGTAAGGCTTCAAGCGTGGATGTTGGAGTGGTGAATATTGTGCTTACCAGTGCCGTGCTCTCGAATGGAGACAGATGGTCGATGGGACCTTGGATTGGGATGGGAACGACCTCTCCTTTTATATATGGCACGCTCCCCACTGAACAATAAGACTTTGTGTGCGAATCATGGCAGGCCTTCACTCCATTGTTCTCATCGACGCTGGTTGAAAAGCCACACTGGCGGATTGAAATTCGTTTCCGTTTACAATCAGATTGCATGAGAAAAGGCACTCGGAATATCAACTGAGGAGGGTACACGATACAACGGTAATCATTAAAACAGATCATTGTACACAGAGTACAGCTACCCCTACATGTATTCCAACTTCGCCAAGTCCGCTGTCGTGTACCCGCCATACTCCCTCGGGTTGGTCCTCATTTCCATGGCGAGATCGGCGTGCACACTCCAAAAGTCCATCGCATCTGGATCCGTGTAGATTTCCACATACCTTGACGACTGCATGAAGCACCGAGCGCAAGTCCACTGTTTCATAAAAGAGCACGAACACGGGGTGGTGCTCGTGCCGTATAAACAAGTCAGGAACAGCTTGTGCGTTACGCGGTCGAAGGGCGCCGTCGAGATGCGAGGAGGATACGGCGGTCGACTGGGGCAAGAGGGCAGGAGTGAAGGTACGAGTTGCGCGAGAGGGTCTCTACCACGGAAGAAACACTGGGAGAACTTCGTAGGTCTTGATACGAAGCGTCCGGCCGGAATCGTGTACTGGTAGATTGATGGGGGGATTGGGAGGGCACCCCGTTCGGGGCCGCTTGGAGGCGAACCCGCTTCGGAAGGCGTCTTGTGGACGTCAGTGAGTCTCTCCAACCTCGAAGACACGTATGTCCAAAATACGCGCGTCTCTTGCTGAGAACGGACCAACAGCGTGGCGTTGGCCTGGACGAGGTTGCGCAACCCTACTTGGACCCGCAGGAAGTTGATGCGCCCAACCGCCATCTTCCGAGGAATCTTCAAAGTTCGCTGTCGGTCTGCGATATCATTAGACGAACTGTCCTCTGTGTCATCAGCGACAGATTTCACAGTCCAAGACTGCCGCAGCGGAGAAGGTCCTGCAGGACTTGGTGGTTGGATGATGTGTTCGAGTCGGCCGCCGAAAGTCGAGTTCTCGTCAGAAACCGCGTCGTCTTCAGAGTATTCAGATGAAGGGAGGTTCGAATAACACTCCGATTCGGATATCAACTCGTCTTTGTATTCATCGTTGTCGTCGTCCATGTCGTCGTCAAATGAGTCGTAATCCCGGAGCTTGGGGCTCGCAGGTCTGACAAGAGAGTCGTCGTGACCTTTGCCTGCCAGTCGAAAGTCTGATTCGATATAACGCAGGAGTAGAAGGTTTTGACGACTTACTAAGCTCAATAATCGCGATCTCATGCGGCAACAAATCCATCCGCGCGTCGTCTGCAATAAAGCACTGTCAGAAGCCGCGTACTAATGATCAGGGTTCGTCTCGCACCTAAGGGGAGCGCTATCGTGTCGTGAACCGCGTTACTACGCTCGTAGGATAATGGGACATCTTGATCAATATCCATGTGATCTAGTTAATATGGTGTATAAACACGAGGACAGTATACGAGATGGGGACGCGCCGAACCGAGTGACTTACCTTCGATCTGAGGTTCACGGGGCTTTTCCTGCGATTTAGGTGATCCACTTCTCCACGAAACGCAGTTGGAAGGCAATATTGAGGTAGATGATGGTAGTGAGTATGATAGAGAGGCACTTTGAGGTGTGCCACTCCGCTGAGCCACTGTTGACGGCCCAGGAGGAGGAAGGGGAGGGGAAGTCGATGGAGGTCGAGCAGTGTATAGCACCTCGCCGCAAGAGCTGGAGATATGCATGGTGCTGCAGTGGGCTGAGAGAAGAATATATGATCGAAAGGGGAGGGGTGTGGTCGCATATGAGGGAAACTGGGAACCTACGAGTGGCGGTCTCTGTTATGCCCACGGTTGTGCACGTGATCAACGACACTCCTCACACGGAACAAAGACATTGCCTCTCGCAGGCACTATTGTTCTCTTGGTCGACTCAATGTGACGCGTCCGAGCAATGGCCTGGGGTGAATTTCATTTTTTCAACGAAAGCATCCGAGGCGGCAATCAAACATTAGGTGAAGAGAACATTGATAAAAGAAGAGATGCAACATGGTGATAGCGTGGATATACAGCATATGTAGAGCGATCTGGGTCAACGAGATGGGTAGTCATGGGAATATACAAGGAATAAGTATACTTCAGAAAGTCCGATGTCGTATAGAAGCGGCAAGCCCGCTAGCGAGGGGAAGATAGAGAAACCAACAATATCGATGGTAGCACCACCAGCCGGCGTGAAGTCCTTTGCCGGGGAAATCCCAGCATCCACGAAAACGGAGCTCTTCATCGTGCCTTGATGAGATCCTCAGTCGTCCCCGACAGTCCCTTTTTCCGTAGCTCCGCGGCGGCGGCGCTGTGACGACGCCAATGAGACATTGCTCTAGGATCCGTGCGGGCGTCGAATACCACCCTCCGGGGTTTGCCGTCGGGGTGCTTAAAAGAGCGGACATCCATCACGGTGAACTCGACGTCGCGTGTGATGTTAAGGAAGTCCTGATGAACGACCTCGGCGAGTGCACGGGCCCCGCAGATGTACTCCCGACCGAAGGGATTCACAGGAGCACGGAGAGTGTCGTTCCAATAAACGAACCCGCCGCGCGGGGGTAAGAGAGGCCCCTTGTCACGTGTTCCGGTGGAGCGAGACAGAGGCCTGTCCAAAGTTGGAGGGCAGTCGTTGTCGATGTGAGACGAAAGAGGCCGCAGCCTGTTTCTGGCGCGCTTCCCTGCGTCCCTGTACTTCTCGCGAAGGTCTTTCTTCATCCTAAATGCCGACGTCAGAGACATACTACTTCTCAGAGAAAAATATGACGCACGCCTCACAGATCGTCTTCACGAACATGTAGTCCGTGACGATACGGCCCGGGGTGATGTTGTCGACCGTACGATGAAGGCGTTCGATGGGAGCGATCCTTGGCAAAGGGCGGTTCTTGAAGAAAGGCATGTTCTCTATCCGAGACCGCTCGGGTTGCTGTGAGTCCTGGGTGACGCTTTTGCGGAGAGGAGACGGCCCCAGTTTGGAGCGAGAACGAGGAGAAGGAGAGTCGGACTTCTCGGCCGACATGGCCGCGTCGATCGCCCTGTTCACGGTGAGGTCCAACGAGTCCTCTTCGTGTCCATCTTCAGACTCCTCGTCGGAAGAGTCCTCGTCGGACGAGATCTCAATGACATCGTCTACTTCCTCGCTGAGGATAGACTCCATCTCGTCCACGAAAGCATCCACATCAACGTCCACAAGCATCGGTTCTCCGGCCGCTGGAGCAAGACTGGTTTGAGCGACGGCAGAGTGTTCCGAGCAGTCATCGCTGTCGTCGCCGCTCTCGTCAGAAGCTGAATCGACGTGCCCATAGGTGTAGCTCGGACTCGCTGCGGCGCGTTGAGCCTGGGGTGTGCGCGAACGGAAAACCAACCACTCACCTCGAAGCGAACCTACGCTTCCACCGGCCTTCGAGAAGAGCTTTTGCATGAGCTTGATCTCGTGATCTTGAGCGTATTCTGATAGGAGAACTTCTGAGCCAGATTCAGCGAGATGGAGGGGGTCTTAGACATACCAAGCAAATCGATCTGCATCTTGTCACCTTCGCTCTCAGGTTCTCTTTCGGCGCTGCTAGACTCTCCTCGCTGGTCCTTGATACCCTGATCGCTGCCATCTAGAAGTGAAGTCGTCAACATCCACCCAGAGGCAACGTGTCACGCAGCTCACCGGGGCAGGGTGACCGTGGCCTCTTGCATGACCCCTCGATCTCATCATCCTCGTCTCTGGGGCGTTTCGTCGCAGTGGGAAGAGGGAGGTTCAGAGGATTTTCGAGAGAGGGATAGAAGTGAAAGAAGGAGCGGGGGACGTCGCCGGCGTCGCTGTGGACAGATGGGGAAGACGGATCCTGGGGAATGGGGACGTCCCCCAGAGGTATGCAGGCCACCTCCACCGACATGGTTGTGGTATGCGTGTGGTACGCGTGTGGTATGAAAACGCCTGGACGGCGAGGGATGGGGAACGCGGACGATGGCGCGGACGAGCTGGTGGACGGAAAGCAGTCACGCTCGGGGGTTTGAGTGTGGGGGGCTGCACGTGGTGGCGCTGAGCCCACGGGATACCCAAGAGGGGACACTCTGGCGGGCGCTCTGCGGGCGCGGGCAAAAGTCAAACACGTGGTGGGGAAACAAAGCAATGCTTACCGAGACCTCGCCGTTGAGCACCCCTCCTCGTGTTCCAAAAGACCAAAGCATCGTTACAATGGCTTTTTAGTTCACGCGAGCGCCGCTTTTCCCGTGCCCATTGTTCGCGACTGTAGTGTTATGGTCGGAATATTCTGGGCGATTCCGGCTCGGCGAAACTGTTGTGATAAGACTACCAGCAGCTTCAATGTGTGACGTGTAGTATACCGAATGAATATCCATACTCTCGTACGTGTTGTCGTCACCGAGTTGCGATGGATTGGAGGAAGCGGCGTCATAACTAACCTGCTCGATGAGTGTCCGCCGGGGAAGCTAGGCAAGGCTTCTATGCAGATGAAGTGAGTACCAACATACACTGGACATGCACCATGGAGTCTGTGGCTGAAGTACTGGGCTGCCCAGCTGGTCGCCAGTGGCCACGTACCAAGCTCGGGATCCCTCCGGGCCGAAACGGATCTGAAGCGCCCACACCGAGCCAAAGTGTGGCGACCAATCAGCGCACGCAGCGGACACCGAAGTCTCACTGAACGTGAGGTGGCTCACATCAGACGATATATTGCAAGCTCGCAGCAGCTTACAACACACGAGGACACTAACATCATTGCACCGAAACGGAACTGAACCGACGAAGTCTCCTACTTGCCCTCTCACGGCCCATGTCGAGCGCGAACGCGGCGGCCTCCTTGCCGGCACGCCGCATGCCCTCCATCCCAGCAACCATTTGCCACACGAGGTCCACCGTGGTCCAACTCCTCAGCGCCGGCTGTTCCTCGAGCACCTCATGGAGGAGCTTCCGATGGTCGTCCAAGTACTGCATCGCGCGAGGGTCCGAGCGCACGCTGAGCAACCCAACCGCTGCCATTTGGACTTCCTCGAGCGAAAACCCATCGTCCTCCGAAAGCGCGAGTGCTTCCAGGGTGAGAAGAATGTGGACGACACACCCGTGCGGAGAGAGCGCATTCGACGTGGTGCTGATTAGCATCGCGCTGGGGCTGGCTCCGCAGAAGTGTTCTCGACCACATACGGCTCTGGTCAAGTTCGGGTGCCCGGCGAGCTCGAAGCGATAGCTGTACTTGTCGAGGTGACGAAGGTGGAGCGTCCCGCAAGTCTCGTCGGTCGAGCGACAGGGAGTGCCATGGAGGACGACGGGCGCGTCCATCTCGAAAAGACGATGCGCCCGAATAGCCTTGAGGGTTCGTTTTCTCGCCAGGCTGCATTCAGACCCGTGATCTTCGAGCATGCTGTGAACGATTAGATCAGAGAATATAGAGAAGAGGTATGCTTGGATACGTGCCCAAAACAGAGGTGCCTGAGCACGATATGACGAGTTTCCTTGCCCAGCCTCCGTCGCCGATGAATCGGTCGAACGACCGGTGGCGTCGCGACTGGGGGATACTGATACTGGCTCAGGTCGCAGCGAAGTGGCGAAGGCGCGATAGTGCGAATCTTCATGCCATGATTGAGACGTTGTGCGGCGCTCGCGTCTGTGCAGGTTTTGCCGGAAGGGATGATGGCGCCGTCGATGACGTCGTCAGACAGAATGGTCTCTGCTTCTTCCGCAAAGACCTCGAGGTCGACATTGACTTCCTTGCCGTCGTAATGGACGAGATCCGGATTTTGGTGAAGATCATCGCAAAAGTCGAGACCTGCATGTCGTACACATTAAGACATGGAGTATATGAGGCAATAGATACTTGGCGTACCTTCAATCCTCTCCCTTTCATCAGTAGCGGACTGCGCTTCTGATACAGGCAACTGAATCTCATGCGCGCGCGAGTAATCTTCATGACACCGCCGATCAGTTAGGTAGGTGTCCACTATGTATGACTGGAGAGCGCACCGAGTGGCGTCGTCGGAACGATGTCTCCACCTTCACATTCCTCGTACCCGAAATATCCCTCCCCACTGCCGACCACGATCCCCGTTGTTTCCACGTCTTCTGTCGGCTCTGGCAGTGGCGCGGATCAATATGTGATGAATGAGGACCCGTGTCACTTCGACGTACCCTCGCATGGAGTGCGGCATCGTTTCATGGCATACCCGTCATCCGCGTCTTCCGGTGATTGCTTGATAGTTCGCGAGCACTGAAGGTCATCTGTTGGCGAGATGTTCGTCGCAGAAATCGAAGATGTGGCGGGCAACAGTGAGGCAGTCGGCACGCTTTGGCCCGCGGCTGTCTCAGCGGAGTGTGGCGTCAGAGTCATGAGCGAGGTTGGAGAGTATTGGCGAGGCAAGTAACGGCGAATTTGTGAAGACGCTTGACGTGGGATACCAAGGAGATGAGGAGGGGAGGAAAACGTTGACGCGGCCGCGAAATAAAGGCGGGGGCGCTCTACTCCCTCGCAGGACCAGCAGCTCCACGAGTGGCGACAAGACAAAGCACTCCGACGCGCGCGTCACTGTCTTGGCCTCTGGGAGCGGGGACCACCCCTTCAAAGAAAGTTGTCATACATGTACAGTGCCCGGTCGCGGCGCAGTGGCCTGCCACTCTCGTAGGTCAGCATGTTGGACATCGCCAAAAATAGATGAACACTGACCCATGCACATAACTTGAAGACGCGCAGGTGCGACCACAGGTACGCGAATAGAATACGACATCTGCGACGGCCAGAATGAGCCATTGCGGAAGCACCGGGCACAGCAGGGCGCGCCGACGGTCAGGGTCTAGGCTCGCGGGAAAATATCCTGCGGAATGTGCAATCTCAGAGCCATTCACTGTGCCGCAAATCTCATTTCTGGGTCAGAGTGAGCTGTTTGAAGCGTTGAAAGGCCACTGGTAAGCGATCGTCATTCTGTCAAAGAAGAAGTTGCTGACGTATATTCCTTAGTCAACTTGGGCTGAAGACGAAGCCTGGCGCTGAAGACTTACCTTCAAGCAACGGGTTTTTCTCTCCGAGCGACGGCGCCGTCCACGGATCAGGCGAACAAAAATGGAGGCGATGGAGAGCGAAGCGTACTCTCTCTGAGAGAAGAATACGTCTTCGAAGTATGTTAGTTTTTCTTCAACCCACACCACGGAAGGTACTGACCAAATACCCTACCGCCATGTGGAACAGATCGAACAATACGCACCTAGAGTTGAACCCGGTGGACCTCGAGTAGCAAAGTAATTGTAGTGCTTTTCACGTCTCGGAGCTGCGGCGCGCGACAGACCAAGGAAGCGTAGATGGATTCACAACATATCTAATACAATATCGTTAGCATAAATACAGAAACAGATGTCCCCCTTCCACTCAACATACCGTCTCATCCTCAAGACCCTGCAGGGCGAACGTTGGATGACGAACGTCGTGTTCTGGCCCGCTGTCCGCGCAGGCGACTGATGTTTAGCGCCGCTTCTCGGCCAATCAGGGCGAGGCGTCTCCGAGTGTGGTGGCGCTTGATGCGTATGAATTTGGTCACGTCTGACTTCAACGATAGACAAGGATGAATTGCAAGGCTATTTCGCATGCTACACAATGAGACGAAGCTTCAAAAGAGCTGATTATGGTATATGTTTAGATTGATAGTTGGTAGGATCTCCACCCTGAGCCTAGAGAAGACTGCAGCGTCGAAGGAGCCTTCCTTCCCAAAGTCTGGACTGAGGAATCAGGAAACTAGTACTCTCTATGTGCATTTCTAGACCTCATCAACGATGATCGCATCTGAGGATACATCAAGGAGGTCAGCTGCGGGCTCATCGACCTCCCCACGCGAAACTTCAGCATGTTGAGAAGGTATTGCTACCTGCTCTACGCCGTGCCCTTCAAAGGCTGATCCGGACCACGAGCACGAGTGAGCGCACTCCTGGGAACCGATGGAGGAGTACCACGGAGGAGTATAGGCGGGTGTTCGTCGAGAAGGCTCGACAGCGTGGGTAACGTCTTGAGAATATACTCACCCGCACGACGGTACTCACATCGAGGATCGTCACTCATGCTACGAAAGGCCGTTTAGTTATGTGCGCAAAAAGTCAGGGAGAAATTACATGCCTGGTGGCGGTTTCACGTTCAAGCAAGCGCTTCAAGAGGATCCGGCGTACGTCTTCGTCATCTACCCGCATTCGCCGGGCGATCAGTCGATATTCGGTTCCCGGAGCTGAGTAGTGAATCAAGAACTCAGGCTCCGCGATGCACTGCGGCCCGTTTGAGATGGGCCTTTCTGTGAACGCCTCTGAAGTGGAGTATATTACATCGCTATCGTCTTCAACGGCGACGACATGGACTTCTATGTCTTGGCCAATGGACGCGCTTCTTTCAACGACTGCAGTGGATACCATGTGAGACCCGTAGGGTTGAGTGGCGACGGATGTGCCACGTACCTGAACTCCCTTCTACTGTGGCCTCACCAAGTGCATCGGCATGATGCGACCCCAGATGGCTCTCGCACGCGTCATCTTCAAACACAGGGCGGTCAGTTCTGTGGACGCATACCGTGACTGCAAGGCGTACCGCGCGCCGTATCTTCGTTTTCGTCGAAACCCTCCTCTTCGTCGGTCTTGTCGTTGCGCTTATTGTTCTCGCTTTTATTCTCTCGCGCCTCCGCTAGCGTAGTAAAGTCCCTTGCTTGCACTGTATGATGGCGTCATTCAGTCTCGTGGATCAAAGCTGCGAGCGAGCGACCAACCTTCGCCAGGGGTGATGGAAGACTCCTTGTCTAGATCAACGCGTGATGGTTTCCTTAGAGAACGCTTCAACCAGGGGGAATATCGAGGCGGGGATGGGGTGGAAAGGACAGCGGATACATCGGGCTCGCTTGGCCCTGAGGTGGATACTGGAGTGGCGCACGCCATGGTCAAGTCGGGAACGTGCAACGCACCGGGGTGCTTTATAGCAGAGAGGTGAATGAGAGGCAACGTCCTCGAGACGATGAGGAGAAGAGGGTCAGAAAAATATGTGGGCTTAAAAGCACTGCAACCACAACGATTCCGGAAGGGCGCCTGGTGGTGCTTGTACTGAAACGACAAAGCTGCCGGATCCGTGAGCCACTGCCCTTCCGCATGTGTCCACACCTTGTGGCGATGTTAAGAACGGATCAAGCAGGACGAAGCATGGCTCCTGGGTGCGAGACCTCACGCGCTCAGTAGTTTGTCTGATTTGGCCTGGGTGAGTGCAGAGATTATTATCTGTGATCGTGAATGCTCACATTGCGTGGCCATGGCACCCCACATCGAAGAGTTCCCAATAAATTCTGGTACGAACCCGCCACAGAAAAACGAAGACTGAAAACAAGTCATGACTCAAGTGACGCGCGGCGTCCCAAGAAGTTACTTGCATTCGGCGTTCGACGGTCGTAGTGCACAACTCTGGAACGGAACCGACCTCAGATTGAATGCAAACCAAGACAGAAGACGTACAGTTGGAGAAGTAGATTTCGCGTAAACGGGCACGTCGCCCCGTGATTATAACACATTCACGTCTGCAAGAAACCAACTCTCTTCCAATGCTCAATCCACCTCTCGACGTCCTCCCCACCCAGCGGGCGCATGTCCCGCAACGTTTTGGACGCCTCCACCGCACGCGCGGTCGCCACCGTCGGTTCGCGCCCTTGCATCGCGGAGCCAAGGAACTCCACGAGCTCGCGCGCGGACTCGTGCGAGGCAGCGCGCGCGCCGGAGACCTGCGCGTCGTTGGCGTACGCGCGCACCTTGGCGTGCCATTCGGACGCGGGGACGCGGGGCACGCCCAGGCACTTCGCCATGGACAAAGCGATGTCGCGCCACGCCACCGGGCGCGGGGCGGCGAGGTGGAAGACCGTCGCCTCGCGCTTGGCCGGGCTCGGAGCGGGCGACGACCCGACGACGAAATCCACGAGCGCCGCCGCCGCGACGTCGATGGGGACCCACGACACCGTCTGCATCGCGCGCGTCAATCGTTGATACAGTAGAGCGGGGGTGCAGACTTACGTCGTCCTTATCGGGCACGCATCCCGCGAGTTGGCTGAGGCGCGCGAGCGCAGGCACCCACTCCTTGGTGTTCCACGCGCCCACGCGCCTGTCGCCGCTGAGCTGCCCAACGCGCGCGATGATGGTGCGTAGGCCGGATTCCGAGGACGCGCGTGCGAGCAGCTGCTCCGCGACCCACTTGCTCTCGCTGTACCCGAGGCCGGCTGCGGCTTCCGCGCCATGGTCAAGGGTGTCTTCGGAGATATGTCTGGAGGCGGGTTGGTCTGTAACCCACGTCGTCAGTGCAAGGAGCTCGGGAGAGAACACATCACGTACTCAGCACAGCACTCAAAGAGCTCACGAAGAGCATCGCTGCGCCACCTGGTACAGGAGACGCCAGCGCGAGGTTGATGAGGTTGCGTACGCCAGCGATCAGGGGCTCGAAGGATGTCAATGTGACGTTGAAGTCAACGCGCCATGCTACAGAGCCCAGTCAACCTCGATGGCTTGCGATGAGAAGCGAATTCGGCGCACCACTGTGGATGATCACGGTCACGCCTGATCGCACCTCTTGGTACACTTCGGGGCACAATCCGAGAGTGGACGACGCAAGGTCCGCGGCGTAGAAAAGTAGCTTCTCCGTTTCCAGAACGCCGGGGTCGATACCCATAACCTTCAGTGTCTCGCGCTGCCTCTTCTTGATGTCCACCCCGAGCCGTGATTGAGCGCATAGATCCTCCGCACATCTGGCAGCGAGAGCAGGTGGGCAAGAATCTGTCCACCGAGACGCCCAGTTGTTCCAGTGACCACAACGGTGTCGAGGGGGGATCGTGGCGTCGGGGCGTTGGACGGAGGGAGACAGGTGCCATACTTGTCCAGGAGAGACCGCATCTTGTCGACACGCAAAGTGTGGTCTTCGGCTGGAGCGGAGGCCGGGGATTCTGAGAGGGTGTGAACGAGATATGAACTCAGAGCAATAATGGAAGGATTGGCGTAGACGAAGTTGGCGGGAAGTATGTTGCCTTGCGTCGTCGAAAGCCCGCTGGTGGAACGTATCGCTTGAAGGATGCTTCCACGAATACAATTGGCGCGCAAGCTTCGTGGTGACAGAGTTCAGCAACGTCATCATTTCCGTAAAAGAAGACAGACACGCTCACCTATCGCACCCGTGCTGGAAGAAGTCGTCTTCTTCGCTCAAAGTTGCGTTGCACATCGTACGACGCACCACCATGGCTACGAACTCCCGCACCGGTCCGGACGTCCATACCGAAGGGGGTGAGACTTCTACTAGGAACGACTGTTCAATGCGGATGTATGCTTCTTGGATCTCAGCCGCGTAATCTGCGATACACTCATTACGCTTTGGGGTTCCTTTTGGCGTTCTCTGGATGGGTTTCTTCGGATCCGCAACTATGACCATCTGGGCACCGCTGGGTGAGAATATGGCGCCGAATGAGTGTAAGGTAACGCACCCCCATGAACAGTCGAGAGTGTTGCGGCGCGTGAGCGTTTGCACGTTCGATGGACGGCCTACACCCGAAGCCAGTGAGTTCCCATTCGAGCGGACAAGGGGAGGTACACGCATACCATATTTGGGCCAGAAAGGCCGCGCGATTGCGCTCGTCTGCGGGGTCGAACGGCTCTTGCGGTTGCACGATGACACCGTTCTGGAACTGCCCTCGCCCAAAAATGACGGCGGCAGCGACGGCGGGATCCTGACCGATGATGCTCTCCATGGGGACCGGGTTCGTCTGCCCAAGTGCATCGACATTAGCGGTGGCGCAGAGACCGAGTTGCGGATGAGCATACCTTCTCGCCAGTGGAGAGCATGATCTGGTCATCGGCGCGGCCGTAGAAGCGACAGTAGCGAGGGTCGGTCGGGTGCTCCTGCCATAGATCACCCGTCTCGAATGCCCGCTTGCCGCCCACTTCTGTGTTCAGTGTCGCGGGACACCACAAGGGGGATTCCTGGCCCGATGATGCCTCAGTTTCGGCGTCGAATACCAGTCGCAGAATATGCACTGACCACCACCACGAGCTCAAATACACCTGGTTCACCCTCGATGTACCTTCGATGCACATCGACGGGAGCGATGAACCTCTGATACTCCCACATCGTGCCGAGCTGGCCCAGGTCGGCATCAGACAACGTGAACGTCTTGTCGCTCAAGCCGATGGCGCCGATCTCGGACCTGTGGATCGTGAGTGTCATTATTCCGGGACCGGATGACTGCGGTCTCAACGCACATCCCATAGCTTGTGAGCAGCCGCACGCCATGGCGAAGGAGCTCCTCGGCAACGTTCTTCTTCAGCGGTACACCTCCGTAAGACTACACCGTCTCGCAGTCAACACTAATCATGGACATCAACGAACGAACATAACGACATACCACGAAGTCCAACTTGCGCAGTACTTCGATGCAGGCAGGATCCTTGACCCATTCCTCAAGGAACATCGGGACCACCCCAACGGCGGTGCATCGGCTCCCAACCAGTTCGTCCATGAACCGCTGAAGAGTCGGGATTATTGGCGGTGAAGCTGGACAGAAGGTTGTCATGATCATCCCCGTCCCTAGCTGGTCATACGTCCCCTTGTCAGAAGTCACCGATGGGATGCCGCAAAGGGGCACGTACCACAACGGCCAGGTATCCCCAGCCCATGACGTCTGTGATGAGCGCGCTGCGTGAGCGCCGAGCCTGGGATCACATTTGGCAGGTGGTGGACTTACGGAACATGGAGGCGATATGGGCGGCTGAGCGAGTGCCGCAGTAGTCAAACGGATGGTAGCCTGCGAAAACGCCGCATCAGCGTCCACCCTGGAACAGCAGAGGAGGGACTCACAGTGGGATTGCGCCCATTGCGCCATGAGGCGGCGGGGTACGGTGATTAATTTAGGGAAGGAGGAAGACCCTGTATATGCGCACAAGTGGCGCATTGGAGCAACATTAAACTCAGCCCACAATTGTCGAAGGAGTGGCACGATTATGCGTACCAGACGAATGGACAATCAAGCCCCTCTCGTCGAGTTTGATCTCTGCAGGGACCGCTTCGCCGACGCAGTCGTCTTCATGGGACTGGAACATGTCTTCGTAGGTCGGGAGAGGAAGAAGGGTGAGCCCAATGTACTCCTTGGCGAGCTCGACTTGAGCTTCAGTCGCGAGGCGCTGCATCGCAGCGTCGGGAGAAACGAAAAGCTCCTGGACACCAATCTCGTGGAGCAGGTGGACATCAGCAGCAAGAGAGTTGCGGGGGGACAGGAGGAAGGGGACAATTCCGGCGTGCATCATACCGCAGACAAATGTCGCATAACTGATTGTATCTGCAGAACACGGGCATCTTCAGGAGGACGCGTACCGAATGAAGCGATAGATGCCGCACCTGCCACCGCGAGCACTCCAACGATGCGACCTTGTATGGCTGGAGGAGAGGATTGCATGGCGGCGAGTACCCCTTCGACGGCGATCTTCGCGGCTCTTATCACCGCGGGATAGAACTCCTTGTAGCGCAGCTCTTTGTAGCCACCGGTCTCGTCGAGGTATGCGAACAGGGTGTGGTTGGGGCTCTTCTTGGCGTGAAAAGCGACGAGCTCTGGCAGGGAGAGCTTTGCATAGAAGGGTATGGGGGTCCACGTCGTGCTCTTCGCACCTTGCGCCGTAACGATTGGCGGGGGGTCGATAAGGTCTGTTTGACCCATGATGGACGACTTGGAGGTGAGGTAGAAGAGCGTTTTTCAGCGGGGCCTTTATATATTGTGGGCTGCGTAAGACGCCTGCTTTATCAACGTTGGTTCGGCATACATATAGAACAGAGTTCAATAACGCCAATCGGGTTCCAACCCGTGACTGAGCGCTGAGAACTTACGCAACAACAAAGCACGTTTTCCATATCTGGAAGACGCAGCCAATCGTCGCGCCATCCTTTCACTTGTGAAAAAATGGCGCTCCGTTTTGCATCCACTCTTCGTTAGATGATTCGATAGGGTCGCCGGTTGGTCACCGGGAAGCGATGCGGCGTCGGGCTAAGGTGGAGGCGTCAGTCCGCTAAAATGAGCCCGACCCTGGAACGCTAACCTTCGTCCGTTTGATTGCGAACAGACCCATCGCTTTTGATCGACGGCCGAGGTGCAGTAGACGCGGGAGAAGATGCTGGCGAAGATCTTATGGACGCATTCTGCGTCACGAAAGATGTCGCCTACGCGGGGAGGTATGGGAGTCTGAGCACGTTGGTGAGACGATTCTCGGGTCAACCCGTCTTTCGGCTTAGCGGACGCCGTCTGGGAACAGAGGGATCGGCGTAATGACTCTTGCCGCCCAGTAAGGGACGAGCCGGTCTGAACGACAAAAAGAGTGATCAACTATGCGAAATATCTGGGAAACGATACAACGCACCAGTCACCCGTTTAGGCACCTTGCGGAAGAGCCAACGGTACCGTGGATCCTGCGTACGCGCCGACAACATACTTCGGGCGCTAGAACGTGAGTTACCGTGTCGGATAGAAGAGATAGGGAGCATGTGTCCGCGTATACGTTTTCTGTGGGTACAGGCGTACTCAAGTCGCAAAGCGCCAATTTCACTAGCAGACAAAGTTTGGTTATAGACGTGGAATGCTAAGAGAAGACAGAGATGCTCGCTATACCACGGAGACAGATCCAGGATTTTTGCATGGATACAATGACAAGTACACCTGGAAAGCTGTGAGGGGAGGGGTAGCAGATCCCAGGAGAAGGCGCACCTTAAGGGAAAAATCCAGACCCAATAGCTACTATACAACCCCAAAAGCCAGGTGTATGCTTCTTCGTCGACCACCTTGTCCAGCCTAGCGGTCCGAGAACATACCCGACAAGTCCTTCATATCCAGCATGATCACCCCCGCCTCCTCGAGCTCGCCTTCGATCTCCTTCTGGACCTCCGCGGCAGTGGTGATGAGCCCGTGCTGGTGGTACTCGATCCGGTCGTACGTGGCGTGCGCGCCGCGGACGAGCAGCACCTCGTTCCCTCGCGCGAGCGCGGCGGAGCACGTCGCGCGGATGCAAAAGTCGCTCTGCATCCCGACCATGATGATCTCCGCCGTGGGCGGGATGACGTCCGCGAGCGTCGTGCCCGCGAACGCGTTGTTCTTGCGCTTGTCGATCACGAACTCGCCCGATCGCGGCAGGTGCACGAGCTCCCAGCCCTCGCTCCCCGTCTCGTCCGGCTCGCCCGCGTCGCCGCAGTTGCGGATGTGCACGATCCGCGGCGGCGGGGCCGCATCGCGCGCGCGCGCCAGGATGGACGCGATGTTCGGGCCCACGACGGCAGCGGCGGGGATCCCTGCCGGCGGGTCGCGGAGCATGTTGACCTGCACGTCGAGGACGAGGAGGACCTGGTGACAGTCATCCGTCTCTGGGTCTGGCATCGAAGGGGGGACGTAGGGCGCGGACGGTGAGCTTGAGGAGGGCATCGTGCGGTAGAAACGGCTGGCCTGGGCAGGGTAAAGAGGTGAAAGAGAGCGGAAGCCACACCCGGGTAGTGGAGAGAACAAGAAGGAGATTTGGAGTCCGTCGTCGGCGTTCGGTCTGGCTTTGCGTCAGCACCGGGCCGTCGGGCCGCGAAGCCTGCCTCTGCGCACTCCACAGGCGTTGTGGTCGCTTATGTAATGCAGACAGCTATAGCGTAGATGATTTATATCTCTCTCTCCACCTGCCCTCTTCCACGGCGTTCCACCTGGACCTCATGCACACTCGGCGGTATATTATCACAACAGGAGTTGGTGGAAGCCCTTAGCCTCACTCAATCCCCCTCCAGTTCGGTCTCATCGGAGTCCATGGTTGGCACCATCCCCAACTGGTTGAAGACTGGTTTTGTCTCGCGGATCCGCCGGAGGCTTCGGTATATAAACAACAAGCCCTTATCACCGCAAACACGAGTGGCTTCTAGCTCCCCAGGATGCCGCGCCGCCGATGATCAGGTCCAGTGTGCATCGTGAGTCTGTCGCACTTTCCGCCCCTGTCTAGTCACTGCTCTTAGCCGTGCCATTCTCGCAGACTCAGTCGTCTCAATGACGATGTACTACTAGTACTCATTCAAATGCTTCGCGACGATAAATCCTTACACACCCTCAAGTCACTTTCTCAGACGTGCAAGCACCTGCGAGCATTGGTCGTCCCTATGCTCTTCTCTCACTACCAAATAAACATCAAAAACCCAGACAGCGCACAATAGACAGTTCCTCCCGCACTATTTCCCTTCATACAGTGAGTCTTATCAATTTCCAAACGTTGCATGTGGTAACTTATAGTTCCTCAGACACATTAGCCTACACTGTTTATGCCCCAATGCCTACACCGCGCCGCATGTCCGGTCTCAAATCGTGCTGTGCGGAGCTCTGGATCCTCCCCCCTTCTTCATGGACAGTCTTACACATATGCCTCATTGGTCATCCATCACGATCAAGAAGAACATGTGCCACAGACACGGTGTCCCATGGACGGCATTGCAAACCATCCTCTCCGTGCCTGCCCTGCGCAGGCTCAGGGTGCATGAGATCTTGTTCGCTCCCCACAGGCTCACCCCATCCGAGTTCTTCTCCCCCGCGTCCATCGCTCCTCTTACGTCGTTCACATACACTCTCGGCAATGTGCTCGCGTCCAAAAACCTTCCGGCTCCCTCCGAACTTGAGGCATTGTCGGCCGTCCTCGAGGCCGTGTGTGGAACGCTGGAGTACCTCGAACTCACCGCTGCATCGGCCCCGCTAGACACCCTGGAGCGTCTTCGGTGGCCCCGACTCCGCACGCTCAAGCTTTCTGGCTGCCGACCGCAGCCCCAGCTACGCTCCTACGATTCCCTCTTCTCCAACATGCCTCATCTCCGTTTCCTTGCGCTCAAGATCCACGTCAAGGAACCTCCTGTCCCGCCCGCCTCGGCGCCGGAAGAGTTCCCATGGCCGGAGCTGGAACACCTTTTCTTGCCGCTCCCCCTCCCGGAGAACGACCCCATGTACTCACGACTCCCATCGTCGCTTCATACGCTCTCATTACTCTCTTACCCTCATTACGCACAGCGGCACGATTCCCACGTCGGCCACTGTGACATCACACCGCCGCGGCCTACGTTCGAGGCCCTAGAAACCATCCTCCGACGATGCCTGACTTCCGCACAGCTCACGCGGCTCGAGATCGAGTACGCCGTCCCGTCCCGGCCGGGTGAAGATCTCCTGGGGCTGGTCGTCAACGCCTGTCCCCTTCTGGAGGAGCTCAAGCTGCTTCGGTATCGGCCCGATCTCGAGCCGGACGACCCATGCAGAGGTCCCATTCGGGCGTGGAAACCACCGCACGAGCTCGCGGTACGGCCCCGCCGCCCCACGCTACCCCCTCCCCTCTCTGTCCTTTCTCGGTGCTGAACTCCTCATCCAGGCCGACATCGCGCGCCAGCTCGCCCCGCTGACGCGTCTGCGCACGCTGCGGGCGCACCTCGACTACGGGCCCCCGTCGGACTTGTCGATTGTGCCGCTGGCCCGCAAGAATTTCCTCGCCGTGACGCTGCCCGCGGTCGCGCTCGTCGTCGCGCAGACTGTGCCGCCGGCCCTCGAGTCGATCGCGCTGTGGGTATCGAGCTGGACGTTCAAGGACAGGTGTCTCTGGGCGGTGTTCCGCATCGAGCGAGGGGTGGACAGACTCGCCGTTGCGGTGCGCAGGGTTGGGTTCGAGTTTGCGGACAGTTCGGAGTTGTGTTATCCGGGCTCATGGGTAGGTTGAGCCGACGCCTTGCGCCGTGTACTATATGATGCGTACATATCCCTGGGGCGGGATGTCCCAATTCTCATCCTCCACGTGTGCTAGCTCGCAAGTGCTTGTCCCCGTGCACGCCAACGGCTGGTTGGCCCCCGCACAGGACAGGCTTTTCATCTACATCGAGTGTGCAGCTAGTCGCGGCGCGACCGTCCAGGAGGCTGCCGGCAGGATCCACATAATACTGGTACCTACCTGCACACCTAGGTCAATACGGGCATGCGGGCCGTCATCTGGTCACGCCGGTACCAAAACAACTTCAGTCGTTCCATGGCGGCATCCATCAGGTCTTTCCCTGGCCGGCGCTCAACGTTCAACGTTCAACAGTGCACCCGCTCTCGAGTAGAGGGCGATGTATCCATAACCTTGCGCATAGTTGTACATACTGATACATACACATTACTGCCAAGTACAATTCACGTAGATCCAGGCTTCGAGCATAACAACTCACACACCCACTATATATCCATACTATCCTTCCAACGATCATCCATGCAACCTATCCCCGTCCCCTCCGAGCCCCCTGCATCTCTGCCCACACCGCCATCACGTCGACCTCGGGCGCGTCCGTGGGTAACTGCACTCGCGAAGTCTCTACATGCCGGCTGAGGCGGTTCACCTGGGTTGTAGGTGGCGGCACGGCCGTCCGCGTAGCAGGAGGACGCTCTGGTTGCGGGTCCGCGCGCGCGGTGTTCGAAGGCCCAGCGTGGACACTTCCTGACGGACCCGCGGCGTTCCCGCTGGCAGGCTGTGCGTTGATATCGACGTTGAGGTTGACTCGGGTTCGCGAGCCTCTGGACTTCGGCCGTGAGGGATTGTTGGGCGCAGGGCGTTCGGAGGTCGGTCGCGGGAGGTCGCTGGGCTGCGTCGCGCGCGAAGACTCGCCGGTGACGACGTTGATCCACGGGAATTTGATCGGTGTTGGCCAGCGGGAATGATCAAACGGGAATGGACCCTCACCGCGACGCGGGATGGGAGGCTGATCGGGAAGGCGCTGGTGGACGGGGGACTGGGCTTGAGCCGCGCGCGAGAGGCACTAGGACGGTAAAGAACACACCTCGAGCCTGCACCGGCACACCTGGAAGCCGCTTCGACCGGGTTCCATCCATGTCTGTGTATGAGAGATCTTGAGAAAGGGGAAGTAGCGAGAAAGAAGAGCGGACGCACCTCCTCGACCGTGTACAGGCCGTCGTAACGATACCCTGCGGCCGGCGCATACTTGGAGTTGGACTTGAAGCCTCGAACGGCACGGACGGGTTTCTTCGTCTCCGCCGACTTCTACACGCGGTATGCATCGTTGTTGGGGAAGGACGTATATAAGCCTTGGACACACCTTTAAAGCCGCATTTGATTTATACTCCCAGCTCTGGTCCCGAGTATGAAGTATATCTTGACCGTTCTCGGTGGTGCGTCCTCCTGCGCCGGTGTACGTCCTGGATCGACAGCGGCAAGTTGAACGGGAGTGAGGGTGAAGGGATGCAGGGACTCACAAGTGGTCGCCTCCGTCCAGGTCGTCCTCATACCCTCCCGACATCACGATGCTCGTGCAACCCTTCGACTTGGTTCCCGCGATCCCAGCCATGGGCGGCTTGTGGACCCCTGCGTGATGCAAACACATACTGCAAGACAGAATGAGCGCATAAAGCCACCACGGTCGCGCTGGGGACTCACCGGCTAGCAAAGGTAGACAGTACGGGCACCTGCTCGATGGGTCCAAACTCGTTGCTGGGGCACAAGTCAATTATGTATGCCGAGGCAGTCATGACAAGTACTCACGCAGGTATGATATTTTCAAAGTCGGGCTGTATGTGGGACCGAGTCCTGGATTTCCGCGGTGCCATGCTAAAAAGCTGGAGGGTCGTCGAGGAGGAGTGTGAAGAAAAAGTTGATGTTGAGTGCTAAGTAGTCCGCTTCAAGTCCGTGTGTAATCCATGTCAAGCAATGACGCGTGTGAAGATGACCCAAGCGGACTCAGTCACACCAAGACTGAACAAGATTCCAGAGCGAGAGGCAGCAAAAGAGCAAGCGGAGGAGGCGGAGGTGGCGGGAGGTCAAGAAACTGCGTTCAGGGAAATGTGGGCACTGCACGCCAAGCACGACCGGCGCTTCGGGGGCTCGAGATGAGCATCAAGACTCGAGATCGACGCATTCACGATGCGTTTTACGCCTATATATATATTCCGAAGCCTTACGCGACGCGCATCCATAAGGAGGTACTTTTACACGAGCTAACAAACACACCAAACTTGGTATTCCTACATTCTGTTGAACGTCAACTAGATCGCCGCTGACCTGGAACAGTCGAACAACGGAGGAACGGCGCGCTCAATCTTGGGGCCTGCGCGCGGGTGACGGTTGACAAAGCGCTCTCACAGAACTGATCGAGAGGGAGCCTTCTGTCTGGTGGACAGAGGGCTGATGACAGGTGGAGGGAACCCCAGCGCCCCGTTAGACCAGGTCAGCTCCAGAACTTCGAGCACCACCTCTTCTTCGGTCAGCTCCCGGTCGCCATCGTCGTCTTCCTGTTCCGCGATAGGCATTTCCTCCGGCCGCACGGGCGCAGTCGCGCCCCGAGAGCCCGCGCGCGACCTCCCGCGGACTTTGTACCGTGATCGCGCTAGACGGTCGACCCATGATATACGTCTATTGATGTACAAATGTTCCGTGAATACTGCAAGTTAATGTTAAAAAACATCAGTACTAGTGTTCATATCCCCAGGACAAAACCCAGAACGAACGCACATAAAACAGAGCTTCCCATCCAAGAGGTCCGATATTTGCACAACCAGTCAGCCAGTGACCGTAAATATACATTGCACGAGTATTCAGGGAGAGGATCCGTCACGTGCAGTCTTCTTCGAAGGCGACCCGTCGCCCTCCCGGACCCGCTTGTACGGCGACGACACTTCTACGTACGCCATGTTCCGGCGCCCAGCACCAGAAGTTGGCGACGGTGACGTCGGTCGCGGACGTGGACGCGGCGATGATGAGGGTGACTTCCGCTTCGGCGTCGACTTCCGCTTCGACCTCGGCTTCATAGGCGACGGAAGCTCGATGTACACCCTATTCGAGACCGGGGACGGGAGCGCCGCGAGCACCTCTTCGTCCACGTCGATCGCGGGGCCCCCGGACGACCAGGGCCTCAAGTTCGTGGATGACGCGCGACGCTGCGCTGCTCTGCGTTTCCTGGCGCGTGTAACGTAGGTCTTCCGGCGGGGCGTGAGGAACGTGTGCAAGGGGATATCGTCCGAGTCTATGCCAGAGTCCGAGGCGGCGGACGGTTCGTACTCGCTTTCCCCTGCGCCTGTGAGATGGACCTCCACTTCTTCCCAGGGGTAGACGAGGGAGGAGTCGACTGGGTCTCCCGCACGGGGGAGGGGAGGTTGGTTTGGGAGTCGCTGAAAGCGAGTGAGCCCGGATGGGATACGAGACCAATGGTGAAAACTCACGTTGAGATGGAACTTGCACACTAAGAAGCCGCTCTTGCCACGATCCATCCACGCCTACAAGCAAACACATTGGCGGGAATTCGCACAAATCATACGCCGGGTACGCACATTCGTGACTCGGTACAGTCCGTCGTAACGGTATCCGGTCGACGGTGCATATGTGCTTGCCAGCCTCGCCCCCCGTATGATCCGAACTGGGATCTGAGTATCTCTGGAGCGCTGTTCATCGAAGCAAATATGAGTTGCGACAGGGATAGGACCAGGGGAATGTGCACCTTCAGAGCCGCGTTGTGCCAGTTGTCCCAGGACTGGTCTTCAATCTGGACCTGACGACGGTAGGGATGTTAGAGATCGCCTGCTAGATACTCGTCGGGGCCGACATACGTTCCCCGAGGCTCGGCTCCTCGCACCACTACCCGTGTAGACACTAACCAACACCCGATTGAGAAGGGCTCCCAGGACCCAATGCGCGATACGGTCGAAATGGACACTCACATTGTATCTCCTTCATCTATATCGTCCTCGTACGCTCCCGACATGACCACGCTCTCCGCACCATACTCCGCTGCCCCGCTTATCCCGGCCTCGAGGTGGTCGTGGAGTCCCGCGTGGAATACACAGCGTCTGTGTGGCGAAAGAAGAGAAGAGGGATCGAGGAGAGCGATTAGAGATTGAGCTGGGAGAACAGGGGGGGCACGTACCGGTTTGCAAAAATCGCACCGATTGGCACTTTCGACGCCTCTCCCAGGCTTCTGTCGCAGCAAAAATGGGCACCGCAAACGCCGTGAAGGCGATCAGATAGTACTCACGGCTTATCTATACTGGGGAAAGCTGGCCTCTTTCGACGTGTTGTCTTCGTGCTCTGCAAGGCATCGGTGTTGGAGGAGTCGCGCATGGTAGAAGTTTGAATCCGGGCTGAACTGAGGGAAGAAGGTGGGCTGTCGAAGGAAGGAGGGTGACATGACTTGGTGACCTGGGAACTCTGGGCCTGTGCTGGCGCGGGACCGCCACTTGGGAGCAATGATGCCTAAACTCGTTCTATCATGTGACTGTGAAGACATGAGGAAGGGGTACGAAGACTCGTGTGGATCCTTGAACTCGCCTTAGACTTATGCGTGTATCTTGACCTCCGATACATGCGTCGCTGCGACGCACTCATTGCACGTGCCGTAGAGCAAGCCGGTCTTGATGCTAAATGCTGAACAGTGAATGAACAGATACATTACCGCGCTGGTATGCCAGCGCGTCTGGCCGGGAAACGCTTGTATGTCAGCGATTCAAACACTGTATGCGGGTCCTACAAGAGTAGTTAGCATGGTGGTATAAGGGACAAACGAGAGGACGAAAAATGACTTGGTGAAGCCGAACGTATCCAATAGCGGCAGCTCAGCGCAGGTTATGCAGCAACGATATTCAGCACATATATGCAGATCCAAATAGAGACGAGCAATTGGCCACCACAGGCACCCCGCTTGAATGCGTATATCGCAGAACCGAACAAACATACCTGGGAGTACATGGCATTACGAGAGAGATTGCGAGCCGCCTGTCATTCTTCCAGTAATGGGCCAGGCGAAGAAAGGGTGTTCAGATGTTTCCTGAAAATGGTGGGGAGGTGATGTTTAATACTGATGTAAAATCTTGCTCGGCCCACAAATGCGACACATCTGATGGGACGGAGGTGAGATTGGAGAACTGAGGGAGAGAGGGACGGGGAAAAGCCATAAAGTACTAGTTGATTCAGGAAGGGACCGTGGCAGCTGACCGCGACGTCGCGGGCGCTAGATTGACTCCATCTAATCTAATCTCTCCTCACGGATTCGGACCTGGCGCAAGCCAATTGTGTGGATATCCCAAATTCTACGCCTGGAAGTGTTCTACGTGCTATTAAATATACAGGGGGAACTACTTCATCTGGAGGAGTGCACATTATGGTTGGGAACTTGAAGAGATGCCACACGGCTCCCGGGCCGCGCGCACAATACCAGCACACTACTTTCCTACCAGCTGCGTCAGGTCCGTGCTCTCAATCCGCTCTACCCTAATCCCGCGCGCGCGGAGTGCATCCGTCACCGCGCGAATGTGGCTCCCCTGCACCGTGACTTCGACCCCGCGCGCGGCTTGCTCGCCCTCCTTGCCCGCCGACACCGCCGTGGCGCTCGCGCACACGCGTCGCAGCTCGTCCGCGAGCCCGCGCGCGTCGATCCCGTACATCTCAAAGCCAGCGACGTGCGTTCGCATCCGGTCCTTGCGGCTCCTGACCAGGATTCAGATAGGGCGAAGCTCGCCCATGCTGTGGAACCCCAAGGAAGGTCAGCGCGGAGGGAGGGGAAAAGGGCAGAGCGAAACAGGGTGCTGACATGGGCATCGGCTGCACGCCGTCGCTGCGGAGCTCGTGCCACGCCTGCATGTTCGCGCGGACGCACTTGACGAGTTCGTCGCGGTGCACGTAGTCGATCTTGTGTCGCCCGGCTTCGGTAGCGATAGACTTGAGCAGGTCGTCCCGACAGACGTCGACGTACTCGTCATTGAGACGGTTCACGAGAGAATGACGAGCCACGTATTCGTAAACAGCAGCCTTGATGTCTGCCATGGAGAACTTGGCAGGAGAGCTGGAAATGTTCTGTCAGCTCAGACAAAGAGTCGGAAGAGAGGACGCGCACCGTTCGTTTTCCGCGGACGCGAATATTGGTGTGGTCAGTCTGAGTGGCTCCCAGAACTCGGTGCATTCAACACCGGACCCGACCTTTGGCTTCTTCGAAGAGCTACTCGCTTTCTCTGGCTTGGACCCCACCTCGGCTTCATTGAGCGTCACAAAGGAACGACGGCGAAGGACGACAGAGTGGTCGCTACAGACACCTAAAGCAGTCTTAGCTGAAAGATCGTGAGCGAACTCAGCAAAAGACATACCGGTGATCACGACGTCGCCCTTCGACTCCTTGATTTTGATGAAGCCCTCTTTCGCTGCCGCTTTGAAGAAGCTCTTCACTGTCTTGTAAGTGGACTGCTTGATGTTGATGGTGCTTGCATCTATAAATGCACTCGCCTCAGAGACGCACAAGCGTCTGGGGAAATTATTCGGACCTGACAGTCCGTGGCGCTTCAAGGCCCTCGCAGGGCGCGCAGGCAAAACGTAGGAGGTCCAGAAGATCGTCGCGAGTATAGGGAACGTCGACGCTGGTGCGTCTTTAAGAGTCCAGATTACATGCACCAGCGCAGTCGTAAGATAACGCGAGACGTCTGCGGCAGAGACGAAGTGAGCATTTGGTTCATTCGCGACGAACGGATTCGTCGCGAATACTCACCTTCTGGCGTAAGGTCACGAACGGGAGGCGTGTTTTCATCTTCTGATAACTGTGCTTCGTCTGTAGCCGTTAGACCCGGTGCTTCTGTGTTGTTTTTATCGCCTTCTGACGAAGCGGGGTCACATTTTCTCTTCGTCCGAACTCGTACTTCTGAGTGACGCTGGTGGTACCTCGGGCGAGGGGGGTCGGCGCTGGCGCTGGCGCCAAGTTCCCATAGCGCATCGTCTCGTCGGTGGAAAATGTTCACAGCCTGGCGCGTCTGAACCTGTCGATCCTTCGACGCATTTAGAGTACTGGAAGACACCACCATCCTCCCTACGGCAATGGCGGGGTTCTTCGCATGCCGAAAGAACGGCGAAACGGCGACCAATTGGCCGGGCTCCAGCGAGACATCGCTCGGATGTTCGACGACTGGAGGGGACGAGATAAATGAGCGGAATCCTTTTGAGAATGGAAGAGCTCTTTCCTGCGTGGACATCGAGAGTGTGACCTTCAGTCAGGATCTTCTGCGCGACAACCTCTGGCGTGGACAGAGAAGGAAGCAGATCTGGACTTTTCCACAGAGTGTATACTGCGAGACGAGTGAGCCACCGGATACACAAGACATTGTTATGTGTTGCTTACCTGTAGGTACGAGGTCTTCTGAGCCTGTTCCGGTGGTGAACCAAAGCGGGTCTCCCTCTGAGGATAGGTAAAGAGTCTGTGCACCTCCGTTAATAACGCCACCACGACTTTGAGAAACGCCGACTTACTCCAGATTCTCCGAATCGATCTTTGAACGTCTGAGACCTCAGGCCATCAGGCACAATGGTTTCGCGCTCTGCGTCAGAGATGGAAGGGAACGCGTCAAGGACTTGCTGTCGGATCTTCTTGAGCTTGTGAGCCTGGAGAAGCACTGGATGACGTGTCAGCCACGTGGGTATCCACGTCATCAGCATTACGAGAACAGACCTGGATCTTTGGTCTTCAGAGCTTTCTTGAAGTTGAAAGGGGCAGGCTGCGTCGACCTGGGCCGATGGGTGAGGGGTGGGTTCAACATGGTGGTGTACAGAAGAGCAGTGAAACTTCTCTTGTCTCGCTTAAGAAGGGCCCGGCTCAGGGCGCGGTAAGCGACATATTCCCTCCCTTGGCATAGAATTCACCCCGACGCCAGTATGTCCCATAACGGCTGAAATCGCTACAACTGCATACATGAAATATCACCTCTGTAGGGAATATACAAAGTTTAAGGCGCATATATGTTGAACGCGGACGGGCGTTAAATTCGGCCTAGGCTCTGGACCTTCCGGTGCAGTCGATTCCCCACTAAGCAACGCAAACAACGAATGGAACCCAGTACGAGCACCGCCAATCACAAGCCGAAATAAAAGGCTCAACAAACCCTCCACTCCCCCTTCCGCCTCCCACCAGGATCATCTATCCCCATAGAGGACGACCAACAGCTTCACGCGTGTTGTTCATCCATCGCCATCACCGTGAACGCTTATAGCACTTGAGGCTGGGATCCTTGTTCACGACGAAGAGAGATTCGCGCTTAAGGAGCCCATCTCAAACCCCTCACAGCCTGCCCGGAGAAGCGCTTCGCGTTCGGTGGAGCGCGATGCGAACTTGCACTGGAACGGCTCTGGGTACCTAGAGTGCCGTCAGCATGCGTCATACGTACGAGATAACGAGAATGCGTACGAAAGGAGTCCGCGGGTCATCTTCCCCGATGGTAAGATTGGCATTCCGTCAGGTCCATCGGGGGGCGTAATGTCTAGTGTATGAAGCACGGTCGCAATGGCGATGAGTAGGGAGGTCTGCGCGAAATGCTGCCCAGGACAGACGCTGTCCGGGAAGGTTGTCAGGTCAGGGCATGCTCGCAATTTAATTCCAGGAAAAGGCCACAGACCGTCGTCCGTAGCCAAACACGATCGTCGCAGGATCCATCACGTCTGGGTCCAGATGACCGTCTCTGAGATGCCGCTCTGGCTTGAAGACATCGGGGTCAGAAAAGTACCTCTCGTCGTGGGAGAACGCCCTAGGTGCAGGAAACCTTCAGCTAAGTCTGTTTTGCGGTTGAAGATCATGACACACCAGATATTCGCGAGTATGGTAGTGCCCTTCGGGATCAAATACCCCTTGTACTCGTCGTCCTCCAACGAGCGGTGCGGAACGGCGAGCGGGGCGACGGTGCGCCATCTGAGGCACTCCTTGGCGAGCGCTTGGGTGTACGGGAGATCGGCGAGGTCTTTCTTCTCAGGGAGGCGGTTCGGGCCAACCACTCTCATGAGTTCTTCCTGCGCCTTCTTCTGGATTTCCGGGTAGAGAAGCATGGCCACGAAGAAAGTCTGGACAGTAGACAGGGTCTTGATTCCCGACAGAAGTCAGCACCTGCCTATACCCAGCAAGAGAGTGGGAGCTTACGGTATCGGCGCCACCACCATAGGCCGACGCTGTTGCATACTTTCCTACCTCCTCTTCCTGAACAGCTTCCTCGGCGGGCAATGACTTTGCGCGCTCCATGATGTGCGCTGCCATAGATGGGAGTGCGGTACCTCTGTTCTGCAACCCGGTTCAGTCAGCTTCGCGAGCGCGCTGGGTGGACGAGCAGAGATGCGTACTATCGCGTCCATCGCTGCGTTCCACGGAACTTCGAACAACCTCCGCGCACTCCTCCTCCACGACGCGGCATGACGCTTGAACCCCGCCCCGGGCATCCATGACGGGAGATACGCGAGCGCCGGGAGCACCTCCACCAGATACCTTCCCGGCTCCAGCACGACCGCGAAGACCTCGAGCGCCTCGTCTGCCACCTTGAGAAAGTCTTCCTCTTCTTCGTCCACCTCAAGCCCGTGCGTGACGCGCAGAACCATCGATCCAAAGAAGCTGTAGTTTAAGGTTGTTCAGCACTCCGATCCTCGCACTTGGGACCTGAGATGACGTACTGGCGGATGTGGGACACAAAGTGCTCGGGGGAGTCGATGAGACGCCGCACGAGACGGTGCGCCTCGACCTCCTGCCACCCGGCGTACCTCTCAACGGCGTTCAGGTTGAAGTGCTGGTGCATCGCTCGCCGGTAGCGCCGCCACCACGGCCCGTACGGGAGGGAGGTGAGTCCCCACGAGAAGCCGGAGCTGTGATGCGCATTTCAATTCGGCGTCATAAGACCGTGGACGATGAGCGCCGTCGGCCCATAAAAGGGGGGGAAACTCACATCTCGGTCATCGGTGACAAAGGGCGGTCGGAGTAGTTGGCGGAGCGCTTTTCGAGGAGGTCGACCGCGGCTTCGTGCGTGCCCAGGACGACCATGTGTTGGCCGAGCACGTTGAGGTAGACGATGTCTCCTGTGCCTTCGTCAGGAGAGCCACTTACTACTCGGAGGAAGGTAGGCTCACCGTACTGTTCACATAAGGCGTGTAGCCCGCCAGGAATGTCCCCGGTGGGCATGTCCAATGCATTTCCTATGAAAGGCAGAGGACGGGGTCCTGGTGGAAGCGGCAGCGTCGCGGAACGCCCCCTGCGCTTCGCCAACAGGAAAATTGCAGCAGAAAGAACAGCGAGGGCAGCTACGACGAGTGTGCCCATGGGGATGGACTAAAGGTCGGGTTGAACGTTGAACGTTGAACGTCGAACGTTGAACTGTGGACGGAGGACATCATCGAGCCTTGACATACCTGCAGATAGGGGACGTCTCGTGACGGGTGGAGGTAAGATCCGAGGATGCTCCGGACCCAGGCTTTCAGAATTGACTGGGGAATGGAAGATGTGCTATGTTCAACGATCCTGTGAGGTCGGAGATCACTCACAGTTATGGGGCGGGAGCAGTATGTCAACTCCATATGACCTCTTCGATCCAGTGGAATTTGTAGAAGCCAAACAGAAGGTTCCGCGCGGCCACCTCTATTAGGTCCTGGCAGCCGCTCAATATACGTGCAAAAGACCGAGCTCGGTGATGGAGTGGTACAAGCACTAGTTCATAACGTAGACGATCGCGGTCGAGGGTGGTATAACCTTGCGCATAGTGGTACATAGCGGTACATACACGTTCCTGCCGAGTACAATCCATGTCGATACAAATTCCAATAACAACAGCAGTTGACGCACCCATGATATCCATACAACAGTCCAACACGCATCCTTTCCACCTATCCCCGTCCGCTCTGTCCCTTCATCTCTGCCAACAACACCTGCACATTTACGTTCGGCGCGTAGGTGATCCCACCTGCGGAGTTTCCGCCTGCCGGCTAAGGCGGTTCACCTGGTTCGTAGTCGGCCGCGCAACCGTTGGCGTAGCAGGACGCCCTCGCTGGGGGTCCGCACGCACGCGTCTCGAAGGCCTCGCGTGGACACGCCTTGACGGGCCCGCGGCGTTCCCGCTGACGGACTGTGAGTTGGGGTCGACGTTGAGGTTGACTCGGGTTCGCGAGCCGCGGGGCTTCGGCCGTGAGGGAGTGTTGAGTGTAGGGCTTGGAGGAGGTCGTGGGAGGTCGCGCGAAGACTCGCCGGTGGCGATGTTGATCCACGGGAATTTGATCGGCGTTGGCCAGCGGGAATGATCAAACGGGAATGGACCCTCGCCGCGACGCGGGATAGGAGGCTGGTCGGGAAGGCGCTGGTGGACGGGGGACTGGGCTTGAGCCACACGCGAGAGGCACTAGGACAGTGAAGAACATACCACAAGCGTGTACCGGCACACCTGGAAGCCGCTTCGACCGGGTTCCATCCATGCCTGTGTATGAGATCTTGAGGAAGGGGGCGTAACGAGAGAGAAGAGCGGACGCACCTGCTCGACGGTGTATAGACCATCGTAACGATACCCGGCGGCAGGCGCGTACTTGGAGTTGGACTTGAAGCCTCGGATGACACGGACGGGTTTCTTCGTCTCCACCGACTTCTACACGCGGTATGCATCGTTGTTGGGGAAGGACGTATATAAGTCTTGGACACACCTTTAAAGCCGCATTTGATCTATCCTCCCAGCTCTGGTCCCGAGTATGGAGTATATCTTGACCATTCTCGGCGGTGCGCCCTCCTGCGCCGGCGTACGTCCTGGATCGACAGCAACAGGTTGAACGGGGGCGAGGGTGAAGGGATGCAGGGACTCACAAGTGGTCGCCCCCGTCCAGGTCGTCCTCCCGACATCACGATGCTCGTGCAGCCCTTCGACTTGGTTCCCGCGATCCCGGCTCTTGTCTGATTATGGACCTCTGCGCGATTCAAGCATGACCTACATACAAGAGGGAATGAGTGCATATAGCCGGTGGGCACCGTGGTCGCGCTGGATATTTACCAGCCAGCAAAGGTAGACAGTACGGGCACCTGCTCGATGGCTCCGAACTCGTTGCTGCGATAGAAGTCAATCATGTATGCCGAAACAGACAGGACAAGTGCTCACGCAGGTATAATCCGTTCGAAGTCGGGCTGTAAGTCTCCGGCTTTCCGCGGTGCCATGTTAAAGGCTGGAAGGCCGTTCAGGAGGGGTATCAGAAAGAGGATGCTGTTGAGCGCGAAGTAGTCCGTTTAAAATCCGTGAGCAATCCATGTTGAGCACAGTGCGAGTCATGGCGCGTGTGAAGATGACCTCGGCGAACTTATTCACATTGAGTCCTGACAAGACTCCAGAGCAAGAGGGGGCGAAGGAGCATGCGGAGGATGGTGGTAGTGGCAGTTGAAGCGTGAAGACAGGGCGCGCCAAGCACCACCGGCGCTTCGGAGGCTCAAGACAAGCGTCGAGATCGACATACCCACGATGCGTTTTACCCAGGTATATATAAATATATCAGAGCCTTATGAGAAGCGCATTGATAAGGAGGTACTTGTACACGAGCTAACAATCATACCAAACTTGGTATTCCTACATTCTGTTGAACGTCAACTAGATCGCCGCAGACCCGGAACAGTCGAGCAGCTGAGGAACGGCGCACTCGATCTTGGGCGCAGGCGACGGTTGACAAAGCGTCCTCACAGGCCTGATCTCGAGAGATCCCTCTTTCTGGTGGACAGAGGGCTGGTGATCTCGAGAGGAATGACGGGCGGAGGGAAACCCAGCGCCCCGCCAGACCAGGTCAGCTCCAGAACTTCGAGCACCATCTCTTCTTCGGTCAGCTCCCGGTCGCCATCGTCGTCTTCTTGTACCCCAACAGGCAGTTCCTCCGGCCGCGCGGGCGCGGTCGCATGCCGAGGGCCCGCCGGCGACCTCCCGCGGACCTCCCGAACATGGATCTCGCCAATGATGCGCTGCCAATTCGCGCGGTCGATAAGCGCGATGTTCATGCGGAGAAGTTGCGCAAGACGGGTTGCGGCGGCCTCGCGCTCGAAAGTGCCCTCGGGTCTATGGGACAGCCTCCCCGAGTCGATCCAGAGAGGATCCTTGGGCTTCCAGTGGCTGGGAAACAGGGGTGGGTTGCGTCCGGAGAGCACGCTGAGAAGGATATGAGCGAGAGCGAGCGAAGACACAGCGCCGCGCATACTGGGCATGTTTCATGTACTGGAGATGTCTGCCAAACAGCGTCGACGGCAACGGGGGATGGTCTGGCGAGGGCCCACCCCCGAGCAGAGGGTTGAGAAGTGCCAGGGTACTGGTGATAGCACGAACTGGGACTGACAACGGTGGTCAGTATCAACAGCCATGACGAATGCGTGCCAACACCCTTACCGTTGGAGACCCCAGCTTCTTCGGCGCTCCGGGATCTGACTTTGTGGAATTGAGGCATCGGGGCCGCGACACGTTCTAACCGCAACAAAGTGAACCATCAGCAGTGGTCTAGAGTGAGGTTAGACGATTACACATACCGGGGCCAGGAGAGTCAAGGCGGATCTCGGTGAGTGCCTCCGCGGGGATAGCTCCCTCGTGCGAGGCGGTTTTGTTGTCGTCGAGCGCCGCCCTGCAAAAATCAAATGTTTGCAGCCGGTGTTGCCTTTCTCTGTAAAAACCGTCCAAAGATACAAGGGGCGTAGTGGCGGACAAGCCTTCGCCTGGCTCCTTGACGCGTAGCAGTTCATCGGCTGGAGGAATGTAAGACAACGTAGACAAACAATCAAGAATATCGGACGCACCCAAGCTTGAACTGCCGGCGGGCCGATATTCAGTACAGTCTGGGGAACCAAATCCCTCCGGGTTGTGAATCGCACCACAGCGCGGGGCCCGGTTTTCGCGACGGGTGTTCAACCTATGCGCTGAATTGAAGGTGCCCATGCCGGTGAGAGAAGGCTGTGCGGCCTGCAGGGATACACGTCAGCCGAAGAAGCCAAAGTCAAGCAATGTAGCATAGATGATCGAGGTAGCCATTGCGAGGCCGCGTAGAAATCCCCAAGCGGACGGTCGAAGTGTATTCATACGTCACGTGACCTCATCAAACAGACAAAAAGTTCCCCCTTAGACGAGCTGAACGACCAATCTCATGGTGGAAAGGCTAAAGAAGAGAGTATGCGTACAAAAGAGAAACAACGCACATATAGCCCATGCAAAGCATTGCTCAACCGGAGGTCCTTTGTGTTTCCACCACCAAAATGACGAGTTCTATGACGCATAAACGGCACCAGCAGATGGTCATTCTTCGTCAATCATTGCGCGGCTTCCACAGGATTAGGAGCGGCGATGAGGCTTGATGAGGAGGCGAGAAGTCCCATAACATTTTTGCATTGTTGATCTTTGTTGCTCAAGTAGTCTTCGTGGCGGACAGGATCGATAGAGCAGGCATTGGTTCTCGGAGGAGATTGAGAGACGCAAAGAGACGCAGGCAAAAGAGATGAGGGGGCGCGGAAGCCAGTGACGGTGGACGCAAGGAAAGGAAGCGAGCGCGTCTGACTGGCGTCCCTGCGGTGGCTCGTTTCCGCGTCTTGTCTCTGGCCGTATGCATACGGTCCGGCGTCTGCCTCCAGGCTCTACTTTGTCACACAAATGCATTCGACACCACTTGCGTCTAGTTCTCTGTCATCGCTTCCACTTCCGCTGCCAACGACCGTTTCATCCCGCTCTCTCCGGCCTCGCCCAAGCACCAGATCAAGACGAAGCTCGATGTCTTCCAGCTCCCATTCGCGCTCACGCTCGCAGTCAGTCGCTGCTGAGTCCTCATTCTCAACTTTGCGCCCCGACCTGCATGGGCAGCCACGCTCTTCGACCTCCCACCGGACAACTCGTAGTTCTAGCACTCGCTCGGGGCGGAGAAAACAACCGCTGCCGCCGACCGATGGCAAATCTGGGAGGTCTCAAGGAACATCGAGTGAGCTTTCTTTTCGGTTTGTATCATGCATTGCCCCCTATATGCACCGAAATTTTTGTTTCCAACCGTCAAGCGGTTTGTGCGCACGAAAGAACATGGCCTACCACTCGTGGCGCGACAGGCGAGGAGCATATGTGCTGGCCTGTCGCCTCACCTGTTTGATTTCCTTATTGCTCTCCCACATGTGCAGGCGGCTCCCATCGGAGCATGCATTTTGTCGCAGCCAGCCGTGCGGAAATGGGGCGCTTCCAGTGCAGATAAATCGCTACGCGGGAATTCCCCCAGACATGATCCTACGATCTCGTATCTTCACTTTCGATAAGCCGTGCGCTTTAAGGCCGGTCAAAACCCTTGCGCGGGCGCAGGTCGGTCCGAGTTCTTTGAGCGGCGGGATGCATGACGTCTTTGGTCCCGAAGAGCAGTGCTTCGCAAGGCCTCCCCCTCGGTGAACGCCTTCGGTCCTCGAACATATCATGAGTTCCGTTGCATTCGTGAAACGCTTCCAGTGGGAGTGCGGAGCTCCTGCTGCGCTAGTCTCCCTCGTTCTATCCTTCTCTTCCTGTCTCTTAAGCCTCTATGAAAGTACCACGCTGACGACGGGCCACAGATTCCGGTCCCTCGGACAAACCCTCGTCCGGACCCGCTCCGCAGAAGCGACATCCATCGCCGGATCCATTGGACGAGATAACAGCCGGTCCTTCGAAACGACGTCGTAAAAATGTGAAGGCGGAACCGGAGGAGCCGTCGCTGCGATCTTCGCAGGAAGGGGATGCGTTTCAGACGCATGCGCAAGGTAGCACCTCTGGTCGGACCGCAAAGGGAAAGGGGAAAGCGAGAGCCTCAGGTGCGCTTGTGCCGTGTGAATCTAGCATCGTCTCTCAGTGCCGACCAGATTCTGGATCCACGTCACCGAGTGGCCCTGTAAGACCCGCAGGCTCTTCGACACGTATACAGTCTCCAGACACGGTTGCGACCAAGCCACACGCCATCTCAGGCGCCAGTTCCACGCACCCTGAGGACCCGTCTGTGGACTACGAACAGACGATTCATGAGCATAGCGATGCCATCTCCGCCGAAGCCCGCCCGTCCATTGGTCGCCCTGAAACAACATCGCCCCCTCGCCGCCCCATGCCTCCTGCGGCCCACGACGACGGCGCATCGGAGGCATCCTCGTCTAGCTCGAAGGGCAAAGGGAAGGCGCGGCCTGCTCGGGTTCCCGAAGCAGTCCCGCTCAGCGAAGTCGAGCCACTCGCCGAGTACACATGCCCGGTGTGCTTCTCTCCGCCGACGAACGCCACGATTACGCCATGCGGCCATGTGCTCTGCGGCGAGTGCCTGTTCACGGCGGTGAAGACGGCCATCCAACGCGGAGCGTACACACTGCCGCCGGGCGAGCGGATGGTTGCGAGGTATGCCCCCGTGCTTATTGTCGAGTCGAGGCTCTGTCGTGACCGATCCGATATTTCACAGGTGTCCGGTCTGCCGAGCACCGATTCCCGGTTGGGACGGACGGGGTGGCGGAGTCATTGGACTGATCCCCCGTGCTGTGTTTAGTCTGTAGACAGGCGATGTAAGGTTCGTTCTCAATACTATCGGCGATCTTGCTCTTGTGCTCTGGATGCTGCGCGCCTCAACTGCCGAGTTCATTTTGTCGAGTAGAGACGGGTTTGGTCGTCATGCTGCCGCACTGCCACTGCCGCTGCATTTGACTCGCCGTACGAAGGCCGTCTGGTACTCCAGGTTGGAGGATTTCCGGACGTGGGTTGCGATGTCGCTGACACCTCGCACAGCTCGCCGCGATTGTAGTGATTTGAACTCTCAATGCGGATCACAGGACGCACTGCTCTGAGAAGACGAGCCTCGAGGATCCTGCGGAAGACGAAGCACAAGCTCGAAGCCCGGGTGCGCCTCTCATGGCTTCTACCATCTCGGTCTCCACTCAACAGCTCACTATGTCTCCAGAAGGACGTCCCATCACGTATTCCCAACAATGTTCTCATCAGCCCGTCCAAGGTTCGGGCCCATAGGCGCTCGATTCGCCCCGCATGGAATCGAACCACTCGGACCTTCCCCTCATCCCAGGCCCCGTCCTAGGCGTCGTCCCTTGTTTTAGCTGATGAGAACTTGGCAGCGCGGGAGAAGCTGACAAGATTCGAGATGGCCACCCGGCGGCTGTCGGGTTGCGATCACCGACCACATCTCAAGGGCCAACAACTCCTCCGGCTTCTGGGCGCCGAAGGGCTCCCCGACGGACTTTGCACTCAACCCCGGAGCGTCTCCGCCATCGAGCCTGGTGGCTCTGGTCGCCTGCGGATAAGCCTGCAGGCGGCGCATCTCCCGCCATCCATTCCCCCGCCACGCCTACCGCCCTCGCGATGTCACACCCGAACTACTCCAGGCCGTGGTGCTCCCAAGCGACGCACCAGGACATATATCACACATCTATTGCCAAACAGACGTCGAAACGCTGCTCCAAACTGCCGCCTGCGGCCCCGCGTGCGCCAATCGCCGTCGACATCGAATCCGCATTGCGCATCGCGCCCTTCCAGCGCTACTTGGTGTTCGTGGCTGTAGAAGCCCGTCCCGACGAGATGATGAACGCCGGCGAACCGTGCCGTCTGTCCCGCGCATTCGGGCCGGCAGCAGGATACGGACGTCACGACGTCGTCGAGGCCTATGGCGACCGTGATCCCGAGGCGGGAGCCCCACTCCCGGCCCCGGGTCAAGAGGACGACGTCGTGCTCGCCTCGCCTCGCCTGGAGCGCCGAGGACATACGGACTGGCTCTAGTGCCCGCCTCGACGCCGACGTCGCCCGCGCGCGGGGCGGTGTCGATCCCGACCGTGGCACGACATCGAGCATTGAACGCAGACCACACGGGCACGCGCGGCGCGGCGGGCCGTCGTCCTCATCCACGACACATCGCCGACAAGGCGACACCTACAGTAACTAGTGCTGCATCAGCTCACCCGATTCGTCCAGGTCACGCGGGTGGGATGCGCAGGGGACCGCGGCTGCGGCGGGCGGGGCGACGGCTACTTTTGTGTCTGTCGTGCCGCGGGTCGCTGCGTGCTTGCGGCCAGCGCCCATCGGCGGGACCGCAGCGCACACCGCCGCGGGATCGCGAGTCCCCTCGGAGCTCGCGCCTGCCCTGCCTGGGCGCATGGGCGCAAGGGTGGCGCGCGCACATCCTGGGACGCTCTGCGATCATGGCGCGGGTCGGCTCAGCGCGCGAAGATAACTGAGCGCGAAGGCGGCTTGGGAACCGGTGGTGCGTCGACTTCCCAGGCCTCTTGCGCAAGGCGGGGCGGGTGCGCGTCAGGATCAATCTGTGGTCCCCGGGAAGTCGGCGGTCGCAGTGCAGTGCGGCCTGGGGAGTCCAGTGTTTTGCAGGATGGAGAGTCGCTATCAATACCATCGTCTCTCGTGGTAGCGCTTCAATAGGGACTGGGTTTGATTGCATGGTGCGTTCGTGATCGTCACTGTTCATTTTTATTCAGCGGTGTTATCTAAAGTGCTTTCTTCCACGGTCGTGCGTGGATCACAGGTTTATGGACTGTGTTCAATACACGCTCGCATGCGCGCCAGCACTCATTGAGCTCGCAGGGTATGTGCGTCAACAGTTCGACTGCGCCGTACGTCGGAGGAAGTGAAAGCTGATCAGATTCGGAACCAATGCTACATCTTTTCCCGACCGTCCTCGCACTGAGTGGCAGTTGGCCGCACCTACAAGCACCGCTCAGAGGCTCGACGAGCACAGTGTAGAATGGCGCTGACCTGGCACGGTCCCAGGCGGCGTCCTGAGCGGCGCACTGAAGGGAGTGTGGTTCCCTTCTCAGCAAATAGCTCGCCGCGCGGCCTGGAAAGAAGCGGTACGGCATCCCGTCCCTTAGTCGCCCAGCAGGCTCAGTCTCGCAGCGTGCGTGCGCTGCTGCCCGACGCACCGTTCACAGCGGTGGCTGCAATGAACTGTCATGACGAGCGCGCCCTCGCCCATCACTCTCCCCAGGCTTTGCTTGCACTCCTCCGGCTCCTCTGCGGTAAACCTGTTTGTCGGCGCCCCCGGCGCACCTGTCCCGGGGAGCTGTGTGCTGTGTGCGCTAGCATCTCCAGTCCCGCCCGATCGATGGCGCCGCCACAAATGCTTAGCTTCACGCCACTGCTGTGACACAGGTGCGGTCTATACAGTCGTGGTCGACATTCACATCTCATCATTTTGTTCCAGGACCGCTTCTGATTCTCGCCATGCGTCTCAGACTCGGAAGGACGGGTGTACCGCTGGCGTGCAGGTGGCCACTGAGAGGCTGAGGCAGTCGGAAATCGAGGACCATGGGTACGAGGAACAGTGGCTATCCCTTGTGCTCTTCTCAATCAACGTGTTATGTTGTATTCAGCAATCAAGTGAGGAGGTTCTACCCGGGGGGGCGATGGCCGGTTCATCCGCAGATGAGCACTGGTCTCGGTATGGTTAGCCACTCGGACATCGAGCAGAGTCGGCCTCCTATCCCATGCCTACCATGGTCGTGGTGAAGTGCAGCCCTGCGCAAATTCACGTCGAGGTACATGGGCTGTTGATTGTGTCTCCCTGCGTGGGAGGTCGCCCCCGATGCCATCGATGCCACAGGTTTCATGCGTCCGCCGCGCAACTCAGCGCCCCCCGCCGGCGCCCAGGACCACAGCGCCCAGGACCGCGCACGCGCTTCACTGATCCACGGCCCCGCCCCGCCAGGGCCCAGAGCACACACGACGCCCGCGCGAGAGCACAGCGCGCTGGTGGTGGACATGCCACACGAACCACGGCGCATTATGGGCGGCGTGCGTCGTCGGTCAGGAGATAGCACTCACAGGTGCGCCCGCACTCGTTACCTACGTGCGTACGCCCTCAAGCATCCGCCCCCCGCCGCTGTCGCCCACACTCCATTCATTGGACTTGCTCCGCCCTCTCCTCCCGCCCACCGCCGGCGCCGCTGCGCTCTGGCGTCCGCGTCGCCCGGGTTCGCCGGCTTCGGCATTCACCTTGAATGCCCTATCGACGTCAAAGATCCGACATGGCGGCCTCTGGCGTCTGCAATCCCGCCCCGGGTGCGGCTGCGGCGACGACGACGCCCACAGTGCCTGAGATAGGTGTGTCCCAATTCGCTTCGCCGCCGGCGCGTGCTGACAGGAAATGAGGTGATGTCCCCCGCGTTGCCACATCGTTCATGTCGTCGTTATGTCGGCTTCGGCTACTCCGGAACACAGAATGGGGTAGAACAGACGCATTCTTTACCTTGTTCTCAGTATGTCCGAGGATCAATGGCTCACTTCTGTGTCCCATTGCCGCTTGACAGATTCCGCCGCGCGTCCGGACGGGTGGTTTGAGCGCGAGTGTGAGGGGTAACCGGTGGAGAACCCACGGTCCATCCACTCTAGCCTGACCAATGCCCCATGTCACTCGGCACCCTTGCCGTTGGCCTCAAATAACAAGACCGACGGGGGAAATTGAAGAACAGAGAACAAGGCAATCCTGCTATGTAGCGCACGTCTATGACTTTCCGTCTCGTGGTGTACTCTATTGCGGTTGTGGTAAGCCTTCTCTCGTTGCCCTTCTTTCAATCTATTTACGTGACCCTGGCTGTACAGCAGACACCTGCAGCCTCTATGGCGCACCTCAGACGACGTCGCAATGTACTACGAATGCCCTCCCACGTCACTCGCCATTCAGAGACTACGTTCACCGTGCCGTCACCACACTGCCCAAGAATCATCCCACACACAGTATCGTCATCCGCCTTCTCATGCCTTTCCGTCCCTGCACCACATGCCCCCAGCGTAACACGGCTCAAGTGCTCACGCGCCGCACGCCCTCGTCCCTGCCTTCCGACGTGCCTACAGCGGGGACTCGTTGCAGGTCCTTAGTACCGACGTTGTGAGCTTGGCGGCGACCGGTGATGCCTCAGGCCTCAGGCGCCGTACGCGAATCCCCCACTGGCAGGATTGCAGGATGCCCACATCCCGCCCCCGCATTGGCAGGTTTCGCACCGCGCGCACCGCCTCGTTCATTACGCCAACGTCCAGCAGCTGCCCGCGGCCCCGCGTCGCGACGCCGGATCCGGGCACTTCAACTCCTCCCGCGTCTTCAATATTGCGAAGCCCGCCGGTTGAAGCCCGAAGCGCCTGGCAGGCCGTCACTCCTCAGTCATCGTCGCGCCGCCCAATCGCCGCGGGGGTGCTCTTCGCGCCTTCCTACGCACGTCTACTGCGGGGCGGTGCGTCGTCTGGGGGCGCACGATGTGTTGGCGTGGCTGTTGAGGGTCGTCGGGTGCCGCAGGAGAAGCCGTAGTGGCCGTAGGCTGCGCTCGGAGGCTCGGTTGGGATCCACGCGATGGCATTAGAAGCTTGGAAACAGCCTCGGTCTGACGAGGTCTGTCACGGGCTGACAGGCGCACCCGCGCCAGCGTGCGTCGCTCGCGCTTGGCCGGTGATTCGGAGAACGCGGATGGCCACTGGTCGCGGTGGGTGGAGGCCTAGGGGAGCCTAACCAGGATGCGGGGCCGGTTCGCGGGTCGCGGGTCGGGAGGCGTGAGTCGGGAGGCGTGAGTCGGGAGTCGGGGTTGAGTGATCGGCGAGTCAGCGACGGCCTCTAACCCCCGGTTCATCTGATTGTTGGCGATGGCGAGGGGCGGGGAAGTCGATTCTGATCGTGCGAGGGCTCGCGTCGCTCGGTTACGGGGCCAAAATCAGCTTGACGAGCCGGGCTCTCCTGCGGACAGACGTGCGGAGAGATTCGAACCAGACCTGAACGCAGCGCGCCCCGTCGAAAAATCAGATCGCTCGTGATGATGATCGAAAGCCGCGTCCTCGTTTTGCGCTTGTCGGACTCCGGAGGGATAGTACCGGACCCGTGGTATCGTATCAAGTCGGTGCTACGACGATCCCGAGGTATTGTCTGCTGGGCCTCGTGCCGTGCAAGCCGAGGCCTGGAAATGTCTGTCGCAGTCCGCAGAGGTCAAATTACGTCCCCCAGGTGGCTGGCGAAACCCATGCGCTGCAAAACCGCACTCATTAGGTGAAGGTGTTGTGGGGGTGGGAGCTGGGCCTGAGAAAGTGGTTTTATGGGGCTCACCTGGTGTAAAGAGCGATCACACTGTGTTTTGGTCGTGAAAGCGTTCATCATCTCGTGGCGCGGTCGTTGCTCTCGGAGAATTCTATTATGGCATGTTGACCCACAACATCAGCGAGCTTTGATGGGTCCTGAGAGAGATGATAACAGTGGATCCACGGGCCGACAGACTCCATTCCTGGGACGGTGCTTGGGAACGCGACCGCTGAGTGGAGCGTGCGGACGCCTCGCGGAGGGGCGTGGGCTGTCGGTGGCGGAAGACGGGCGTGGGTGTCGAACGTAGTCCATTGCCTTTTCGGGACGAGTGTATTTTTTCATTATCGCGTTCGAAAAGCACATTCCGCGACGCCCGGAGCGTCGTCGGACTTCGCGGGTCTGCGCAGGCGAAGGTTGTGTGCCCGCGAGGACGGTGGATGTAGTCGGTACTTAGCCTAAACGTTTTCCGCCCCGGGCCCGCCCCGGTCCGAATTCGACGGAGGTCGAGCAACGCGCGCCTGGGCGAGCGCCGGGGCGCTGCGCTCCCTGGCGCTCCTTCTTGCGCTCGTCGTCGCACGCTGGCAGGGCGGGTCAGTCACTGCAGGGCGGATCAAATGTTCGCGTTATCGTAAGTCATCCCAGGACCTGCGCTCGATTGCCGCTCACGCCTTGGGCCATCGACGGCCGTCCTAGTCGCGCGCGCCTCCTCAAAGCCGCCCTAGCAACCTCTCCCCGCGTGCTGTCTCTGGTGCGTCCTTGTTTTTCTGCGGCGTCGGGGTGAGAGCGTGCCCCCACCGCTCGTGTACCCCTCGCCCGAACGGAGAATGTGCGCACCCTGAAGGCTGAGGCGACCCGACGGCAGCGTCACTTGATGGGATGATGTTGGTGTTGATGTCCCATCACATTTGTTGGGGCCGGGACGCGCACGAGTCTGGGGAGGCCGCCCTCCGCCGGTCAGGTTGTCACGGCTTTGCAGCCCAAAACAAACGCACGCGAGCAGACGCGAGGCCTTTCATACCGGCGGCTCGGGCGTCGCGACCGCGCTGCTGCGGCGGGCCAGCCAGGAGCGCAGCCGAGCACGGACAGCGGCGGAAGCTGACGCGCGGCGCGTCCGTCATTGTGCACGACGTCCTTGACGGGGGTGGGCAGTGGACGGGACAGCGACGGCGTACACAAAGACGGTCGATTCGGCACGGTCGCAACATCGCTTCACAACAATCTGCCAAACGAGGACTCAGCGAATCGGCTTCTCTGGGCTTTTCCCAGAGGGGCAGTCCACGCTGATGGCACTCGCGGGTGGTGAAATACGGCTGGGGGCGCGGGAATTCGTGGGTGGGGGAGCGGGGCACCGACGCTCAGCCAAGTTTGTCGCACGGGTTCGCGAGTTGCCAGCTCGATGATTGATCCCGCCGGTCCCATCTTGGAATCGCTCCCGATCTGGGCGGTGCACCAAAGGTCAAGTTGCCGTCCAACCATCACTCGCCTCTGAGAAGTCAAGGGGCCTTAGATTCGCTCCCACACCCTCCAGCCTAAAACGAAACCGTCTCGTCGCCCTGCGTTTTGACAACTTCTTCATCGCCGCCTTCTCGCCATCCTGCTTTCCTCTCTCCATCCTCCTCCGCCCGCACTTCTCGCGAGCTCGGTCTTCCTCCCTCCCATGCTGACCGACGATCTCCCTTGGCCAGAGCTCGGCAATGTCTCACGTGGCGCCACTAGGGGCAACCAGGGCCAGAAAGGCGTCCTCGGCAACCCTGACTCCGAGGGCCGCTGTCAGCTTCAGCTCCGCGTCCAGCCCGGCGTGCTCGCCGTGAAGCTCAATCGACAGTCCAGCGACTGGTACCGCACCCTCCGCGACGAAGTGAGCCGCGCCCTGAAGCTCACGAAGACGTACTGGCGCAAGGCCCGCAGGCGGCAGGACTACGACGCGCGCGCGGACCAAGATCACATGGAGCTCCACGAATGGCTCCAGCAGCTGAAGGACAAGGTCATGTCGCACCTCGAGGTCCTCATGCAGAAGGGCGAGATCCAAGGCCCGCCGTACATCATGCCCGACAACGTCGAGCTCACCTTCCTCCGCAAGTTCATCGAGCGCCAAGCCGCCGGTATTCCCCACAATCCCCGCCTCCGTCGCGCCCTCGGGCAGAACCCACGCCCGGTGGGTGTCGACCCGCACTTTTCCTCCAAGCTCTCCGTCGGTTCGTCGCCCTCAATAACACTCGCCGGAGTCATTGGGTTTTCTGACAATCGTACGTTTTCCCTTCCACTCTGCGCGGTTGTTATCTACAGCTCATATGTCCCCTATAGAAGACGGCGACGACGACGACTCAGGACCTCTCCTTGATGGGAATGAGTCCGGAGCTTCACATTCGCTTCTCAATGAAGTCAACTTGAACCGTACGTTTCGCCATTGTCGCGAGTCTGCCGACTTTGACGCCCATTTTGCTGTCCAGGCCGCAATCTCGCGAGCGCAAGAGCATCATTCGCCCGCGCCCAACGCGATACACAAGAAGCATTCGCCCGCTACACCGCATGCATGGATGCGGAAACACAGGCGCGACAGCAGCTCAGCATGCTCGAAGAGCGGCGTGACGGACTCAGTACGTGGTCGGTTCCCCATTGCGCCCGTATTCTCTGACACGTAACAGTGGCCTCCCTTGCAGAGAGCTTCCGCACAGATTACATGGACTGTGAGTACTCCTATCATCACGGAGCCCCGAGCTACAGCTGAAACCCGACCGCGTCCCGTCGCAGCTCCAAGTGGATCCACGAAACATTCGCCCCTGGTCGACGGCCGCGTCGAGCGCTCGGACTCCCGAGCGAGTACATCGCAATCTCACGACGAAGTCATGAACGCGATGTGAGTACAGCTTTCCCACATTCGTTCTTTTGAACATCCGAACTGAGGTGGGGTCGCAGGCCGAACAACCACGTGGGTATGCAGGACAACGTCGGTTGGAAGATGCAGCAGTGGTCACATGGCGATGCTATGGCCGTCACCGAGATCCCGCGCGGACACCACCATCACGACATTGGCTCGGTTGAGCAGGTCAGTGGTGCTCCCTTGTATATGAAGCCGGTGCTGTACTCAGCGACGTCGTTCTACTCGTAGACGTTCTCTCCCGTTCGCGCCGCGCAGGAGATGCAAATGAACGCGATGGGCCAACTGGAGCGCAAACATCAGCGCAGCTGGGAGGACCAGATGCACAGTACGTCCCGTTTCAGAGCTACTCCCGGGTATCACGTTTCGCGCGGGTCGCTGACGGGCGCCGGCTTGTCCATCGCAGACCAAACAGCGTTCGAAGTGAGTGATTCAAGACTGTGCGTAGAGCGTTTTTGATCTAAATTTCCTTCATGACGCTCAAGGATCTGTCTTCGCTCCACCCGCGCAAACGCCACCAGCTATCCGCCGAGTTCCTGGCCCCTGCAGCTCGGACGGTATGCTCCCCAATGAGGCATCCAGGCGTGCCCGCTGGCATGCACCCTGGCGCGGTGCTCTCCGGGGCGCCCGAGATGAGCGGTCTTGCGTTATGACTCCCGGCGCGGGCCCCTCGCTATGCGCCATGAGCTGCCCACCCATCAGACGAACGAGAGGAGCCGGAGCCCAGCGCGACCTCCATCAGCGTGCCGGGACGTTTCGGTACGTGCTGTCGCTCCCTGTCGCGCCTCGCGTCCGTGCGCGCGCCTGCGCCGGGCGCGTCTGAGCAGCGACGCCGATCTGACACGCCTGTCCGCAGTTATCCTACGTTTCAGATAATACATCCGCCGACGGTGTGCACGCCGTCGAGCCCAGACCCGATCGTCGCGCGAGCCTCTGCCTCCTTCATTCCCGCACCCTGTCCCCGCCCGCCCCCGCCCCCGCCCCCGCCCCCGACACCGCCCTGCTCGCACCCGCGCCGCTCCCACATTCCTCGCGCCCACCTTGCCGCCCGACGCGCAGTGTCTCGCCGACGGGCCTGCGCTCTTTATGCATAAACTTATCTTATGTTCAGTCCGACCCCAGACTCGCCCCGCCGCACCGCTGTGACATACTATCCTTATGCTGTCGAGACATGGACTCATATTTACCCCTCATCGTCCCTCACACTCACTACCCCTCTATGCATATATCCATCCCCGTCTACGCTCTCGCGTCCCGGGCGATCCCCACCCCATGTGTCTCCGCTGCATCCTGCCCGTGCGCCGCCGTTACCCCGCTCCCGATCGCATGCACGTCCGGACATGGCCTCGGCATGGACCTCTCGAATTTTCTTCTGTAGATACTTCGCATCCCCCGTCGTCTCCCGCATCGTCTCCCGCATGTTCCGATTCCCGTGTCCCGTGTCCCCCGCAGCGCTCTCGCTCCCATACCTCTGCACGCACACATCTCCCCACGATGTACAACACCCGCACGCATGTCCACGTCCGCATCTCTCCTCTCCCCGCTCTCTCCCCCGCGCGCGGCACGAAAAATCCCGTGCCGCCCGCCGTCCTACTCGCTCGCCGGTCCGGGTCTGTTTGGTGAGCACCGTCCTCGATTCTCGTCGCCCCCCGTGCCGCGCGCGCCTCCCCTAGGTTCGGTCTGTGCCTGCGATCTTTTTCGCTGACTGCGCGTTGTCTTTTTTTCTCTTTTCTTCGGGTGCAGGATGGGGTTGTACTCGCTTCTCGTGTCGAACGCACGGTTCAATAAGATGTTGTTTTAATAGTTCCCCCGCGCGTCCGCTTGAGCTCCCTCGAAAACCTCAGCCCCGGCGTCCAGTCTCCGGGGCTCGTCGCCGTTCCGGCTGCGGTCGCCGACCTGGGACGTGGATGCAGCAGAACGCCGCGAGGCGCCTCGTCTGAAGTCGGGCGGGTGGTACGTCCGTTGCTACATCGCGCGCACGTCTGAACGTGGAGCTTCGCAGACCCGCGATCACGGCTGCGTCGAGGTATTTGTCGCTGTGGTCTGCCTTACATAGGCCCACGGTGACGCAGCAGCGACGGTGGGGTCGCGACTGGGACGGGAGAAGGCGCTATCTTTGCGCGCATTGCTAGGCAACGTTGAGCCGTGTAAGCCGTAAACTGCCTGTCGGAGTGGGGAGGCAGGCCTGCGGGGTGAGTGGATCGTGCGACAAGAGCCGTGCGGGAGTTGTGGTGGCTGACCGCGATGGCTACTTTGCAGGTCCGGTGACGTCCGCGATATGCCGACCGCGCGAAGTCTGCCCGCGAGCGAGAAGCGACCCGTCTTCGCCGCGGAAGGGCCAAGCCTGCCATGGCTCCCCGAGCAGCGCGCTGCCGAACCGCGAAGCCACCCGGCGCGGGGGTTGTCCGTCGCTCTTTGGCCGTATGTATGTATGTCAGCTGTGCGCCCGGCGCGCGCGCGGTTTTCTGGAAGACGGGGAGCATGCTTTGCCGCGGCCCGCCGCACCCGGGGGGGTGCCCGCGTGGGTGCAGCGTCGCGCTTCTCATCTCCGCGCCCGGCCGTTTTTCGCGGCGGGTGCGCGCGAGGGCGATTGCGTCACTGCGCACGCGGCGGGCGGGGACGTCGGCGGGACCGTCTGGCCGATCCGCGAGGCGTCCCAGGCGCCGCGAGGCTGCTGCTGGCGTACCTGGCTTGCCTGCGGAGGAGGAGCTGGTGCGGGGGGGAGCCTTTGCGGGGGCGACGGCCTGCCTCGAGGCGGGCGGCAGGGAGCTTTGTCAGCAGGCGCCAGACCTTGCCTCGCACGGGAGGGTCGTGGTTGCAGCGTGTCCGTCGACGCTGCAGGGCATTTCTTGCTCGGCCCAAGGTGAGTCAGTGCCCCCGACCTCTCTCCTGTGCATGGCTGTCCTCGATGACCTCCTCGCTCCTCAGCTGCAAATTTCCCCCCCGCCGGACGACCCCCACTTCCAGCCCCGCCTGCGTCCGGCACCCCTCAGCACAGCCCTCCGTCACTTAATCTCGGGGCTTGGGCAGCTTTTCGTGCCGGAGATGGCTCAATAGCGTCCACTTAAAACAATGTCGCGCCCACCACCCATGTGCGGAGACAAGCGTAGCCGGATCCAAGCCTCTTCGTCGCGTGAGTGGCACGTGCGCGCATTGGCTGCCAGCTTCATATCCGACTGCACTCTCGTCCATATAAGCATCAAGCGCGCGCCGCCCCGGACTATTGTCCTTTCCTTCCCCGTCCACCCCCTTCCCTTCGTCTCCTCTTTCTTCCCTTTCTCCCGTCGATGGCTGCTCGCCGCGGTCGTTTCCGATGTACGTCCCCCTCCCCTCGCGCCCCCCCGCCGTCCGCAAAGCCACCCGCATCGATGCTCACCCGGCGCCTCCGCCCAGCCAAACTGTGCAGGAACTTTGCCCTCGGGCACTGTCCCCAGGGGGACGCCTGCAACTATCTGCACGCATCCCCCGAGACGATCCAGTCCAGTTCCGCCCCGTTTGGCCTCCAACCCTCGGTGAGAGCGGCTGCGAAGCCCCGCAGAATTTTCGCAAGCCGATGTGCTGACGCGTACTTATCTGTGCCCCAGCTCAGCCAGCGGAGCCTCGACGACCACTTGTTCCCCTCGACTTTCTCGCCCCCGAGCTGGCCCACGCTCTCCCCGATGACGACCGCGAGCGCAGAGCACCAGCCGGCGTACAGCTGGGCGCCGCCGCTGCCGCCGCCGCCGCCGTCGTCAGCGGGCCCGAGCGCGACTCATCCCCAGACGCGGATCAAGTACCGGCCGCTGTCGTGGCGCACGGCGCTCTGCCGTCATTTCGTCAAGAACCGCGGGTGGTGTCCCATCGGCGAGGAGTGCAATTAGTGCGTCGGCGGGGCCTTGGCTTCGCGCTTCTTCATCTCGGCTTTAATGTGCTCACGCGCCGTTGATCCCCGACAGCATCCATGATCTCGACCTTGCAGAGTTCGCGAAGGACGACGTGCGGTTCGCAGACCGCCGTGCGGGCGGTGCGGGCCAGGGCGTGAGCCAGGGCCAAGGCGGGCGCGGGCGTGGGCGGGCAGGGAGTAAGCACAGTCATTGTTGGGCGTACGTGCAGGGCTTGTGCCATGTGAACGAGTGCCAGTACATGCACCCCGTCGCCGTCGAGCTCTGTGAGTCGCTCTCTTTGTTCTCCGCCACCCGTGCGGCGTGCCCTCTTGCTGACCACCGTCCCATGGTAACCTCGACCACTCCGTTGACAGTCGCCCCGCACACGCCGTGCCTCTCGTGGCCGAACTGCCGCCGCGGCGCGCTCTGCCAGTACAAGCACCCCGAGCCGTACATCTCCACGTCCCCATCCGCGTCCCCCGCGCCTCCGCCCGCGGCGCTGAGCCCGCCCCCGCAGCAGCACCCTCCCGTGGCGCACTCGGACGCAGTCCCGCGCGGTGCCGTGCCGTACAACGGTATGTTCTACTTCAACATGCCGCAGACGCAACCGCCGCCACCGCCGCAGCCTGCGGCGCTCCCGCCCGCGATGTCGCTCTCGCCCGTGCAGCTCGTGCAGTCCCCGGTGGTGTTCACGAACCCGTGGCACTGGCCGCTCTCATACTCGCCCCCGATCATGGGCTACCCGCACCCGCACCACGTCGCGTACGCCCCGCCCACGTGGCCGTCGCTGAGCCCCGTCGAGGCCCCGGCGTACCCGGGCCCAACGATGCTCCCGCAGATGCCCGGTCCCGCCCCGCCGACGTTCTCCCCGCCGCTGCAGCCGTACGCGCCCCCGCCGACGCACGCGGAGTCGTACGCGGACGCGGCGCCGCGGTCGCTCGCGAGCTTCAGCTTCTCGTTCCCCCCGCCCCCGCAGGCCATGGAGTCCCTGCCGCAGACGGACCTGGCGCGGCCGACGCCGCTCGTGACGCGCTCGTTCTCCGCGGCGCCCGACGGAGACTTCCCGTACGTCGCGCCGAGGGAGCAGCGCGTCGGCCACGCGCGCCGCGTCAGCGTCACGATCAAGAGCCGCGAGGACCTCGCCGGCCTCGGGCTCGACAGCACCGTCTCCGCGCACGAGCGGCTTCCGTGGCAGACTCACGGGGATCGGGGCGAGCGCAGGGTGAGTGCCGCGTTCTAGGAGAGTGCGCATCCGGCTGACGACGCGCTCTTGCAGAGTTGGGCTCCACCGTCGTCGGTGTTGCGGGTCCCGCGTCAGGCGGCGGCGTCGCCGCCGCTGATGTAGGGGCTGTAGAGCGCGCGCTGCGTGTGGATGCCAGCACGGCAAGTACCAGTCACAGGCTGCCAGGTGGCCACGCGTAAGGCCCGGCGAGCGTCGTTGACCCACGTTATCATGACAATGTTCCCCTTCGCGCTCGCGCTCGCGGACGGCCTACGTCCCGCGGCTTCTCTTTCTACTCAACGTCTCTGTACTACTACTCACGACACGTTCTCTGCTTTTTTGGATGATGTCCCGTCTCGTTTACCTACATCGGAGTATACCATAATTCCGTCGCGCCGTTACACACGTCTACTCACGTCCATAAACGTTCCGTTGCATCGTGCATCCCCTCATGCGTCTCCTCGGTCTCTCTTTCACCTCCTCATTCCTTACATGCATCTGGCCATCGCGTCTCCGTCTCTCTTCCCCCCTCTTCGCTTAAGCTCCTGTTTCGCCCCCATCACGGACTCCTGCATCAGCTGCATCCGCATTTGTGCTCTGGTTCGGACTCGCATGCTATCCGCCGGTCATGATGGCCCCGGAACACCGCTCATCCGCCCCCCCCCCGAACTGCAATCTTCACCCCACCGCCCTGACGCCAATCTCCCAACACCCCCCTCCGCACGCTCGCACCTCCCAAATTCCAATCACCCGCGCCCCCCCACCTCGTCTTCGTCATCGTCGCCACCGCCCTCACGATCCCCGTACTCCCACCCGCACGACCGATCCTGGCACCTACAGGTGTACATATGTGATGTTGTACCACCACGCCTACGTACCCCCGCTGTACAGTACACGTACTCGCACGCACTGCAGCTGCATGCCTCGCTCCGATCCCGCCGCCGACGGCGCGGCGATGAATGATATACCGCCAGTATTGTGTAGCTGTCCCGCGTGATCTCCCGGTCGATAAGCAGTCGTGTCCCTTTGAGACTTTCGAACGCGGAAGGCTGAAAGCGAGCGGGCTCGGACCGGATGACATTGATAGCGGCGACGGCGGCAGTCCGACGAGGAAAAGAAAAAGCGGCGCGATCCGGGGTCGATCTCGCGATCTCCGGCGCGGGTCCCGGGCCGCGTGACGCAGTGGTGTGTTACGTCATCGGCCTTTTTTTGTTTACGCGCACGTGCCCCAGCGCCGCGAGGCTGCTGCAAGGTTTGGAAATTGGCCTGCTTGGACTGCGTCTTGCTACCCACTCTCATCTCTTGTACTCTCTTCTTGGATATTGGCCATGGCATCCCGGTCCAAGGTCGGCAAGTGGTCGAAGCGCGAGCCGGACTTCGACCGGATCGTCCCCGCGTGAGTGCACCTGTTCTGCTGCAGCGGCGACGCGCCTAACTCAACTCTCACCGCCCTCGTTCGTTTTCCCTGTGACCTGTTCGCCCTCGCGTGGAACGCGGACGACGCACATGTGCGCTGCAGCAACGAATTCGGGGCCATACCGGGGGTCCCGGTCCTCTCGACCTTCATCAACCGGTGCGTCCGACCGCGTCCGACCGGCGAGCGCTGCTGACCGGGGCTCGCGACCGTCGCAGGAAATGCGTGAACTGGGCGGGCGTGCACATGCCGATCATGGCTGGGATATCGGGCAAGAAGGAGGGCGGGTGCAAGAGCCTCGTCATGTCTGGCGGATACGAGGACGACCGGGACTCGGGCGATCTCTTGTGAGTCTTGTTCGCGCTGCCTGTCCTGGCGGCGACGGTGCTCAGGCTTCTGCGATCTGCGCGCGCGGCAGCACGTACACGGGCGCGGGGGGACGCGTCGGGCAAAACGGGGATAACGTGCGTCGGTCCCTGTCTCGTGTTGCAGACTTTCGCCTGACATGACGCGTGCGCACGAAGCTCCGCGATGGGCCCCAGAACTGCGACCAGACTTGGGCCAACACGGGGAACGCGTCGTTGAAGGTGCGTGCGTCCGTTCGTTTCGATCTGCGTCGGTCGTCTCTTACGCCGAGTCAAGGTATCGGCGCACACCAAGCGGCCCGTGCGCGTCGTGCGCGGGTTCCAGTCCAACTCCAAGTACGCGCCCGCCGAAGGCTACCGTTACGACGGGCTCTACATCGTCGTCAAGGTGCGTTTCCCCTCTGGCATTCCCCATTCCTGATCTTGTCCAACGTGTGCGGGGCTGCAGGCTTGGATGGAGCCAGGGCGGAGTGGCTTTCAGGTGTGCCGATTTAGGCTCGAGGTGCGCGTTTCCTCCCCCTCCCCCTTCTCCCACGCGGGGCTCAAGACCCCCCCTCCCCAGCGCATGCCCGGCCAGCCGCCCATCCCGCGCCGCGGCGAGTATCAAGACCCGTCGGACCTCGCGCGCTGGCCTGCACCGATCAAGTTCCCGTGGGTCGACGGCCCCGCCGCCACGGAGCCCGCCCCCTCGCGCGCGGCCGGCCTCTCGCGCAAACGGCGCAGCACGAGCGCTGCCACCTCCGACTCGGACGTAGAGGACGCGAGGGACGCGGTCGCGGGGCCGAAACGGGTCAAGGGCGCGCCCCCGGCGCGCTTCGTGGCCGAGCTCGGGCAGCCGTACCCGCGGCCGCGCGCGCCGGCGGTCGTCGTCCCACCGACGACGAACCAGGTGAACCGGCGGAACACGCAGGCGGGCGCGGCGGGCGCGCAGTCGCCGTCGGACGCGCCGGTCGTGGACGTGTTCGCGATCATGGCGGAGATGGCGAAGGGGAGGGGGTAGATGCACGGCGCTCGGTTTCGTGGTGTGCACCGCCTGGATTGGATTTTGTTCTGTCGCGCTTTGGATGTTCTGCCGCTTTCGTGCTTAGTCGATGGTCTCGTGAGTCTGGACTCGTTCTGTCTCGCACGAAGGCGCTGATGTGTGTGGGGCAGGTGGTGTATGTGTATTGCAGACGACGTCGTTATAGGTTTATGGATCCGTGACTTCGGTTTTCGCTTGCGCGCGCTCTGGTACCGCGCTGGTGCATGGCACAAGCATACAATTGCAAGCATCTCCCCGACCAGACATGCTGTACCTGCCTGGTAACGTATCTGTTGACCCAGCATCTGACATCAAGATCGACGTGCTCTACAGCAGCGATGACTGCGTCGCGGCTCACATGTGTTTGAAGTCAAGATACAAGCACGAGTCTAGCGCGAGTTCAAGGATCCACACGGTCTCCGCACTCCTTCCTCATGTCTTCACACTGGTCACATGATAGAACGAGTAGGTTCAGCGTTCCCCAGTCACCAAGTCCTGTTCACCCTCCCTTCGACTTCGTTCCCCGGCTCACCCCGGTTTCAAACTTCTCCTACCATGCGCAACTCCTCCAAGATTGGCACATTGCAGAGTGCGGGTTTTCTCGAGATAGAAAAGCCGTGAGCACCATCCGATCACCTTCGCCGCATCTGCGGTACCCATTCCGCGACAGAAGCCTGGGAGAGGCATCGAAAGTGCCAATCGGTGCGATTTTTGCGAGCGGGTATGTGCCCCCCCTGTTCTCCCAGCTCAATCTCTAATCGCTCCCCTCGCTTTCTTTCGTCACACAGGCGCTGTGTCTCTGCCGTGGGACTCCACAACCAGCCCATAGCCGGGATAAGTGGGACGGCGGAGCATGGGGCGGAGAGCTTGGTCATGTCGGGAGAGTACGAGGATGATGTGGACGGAGGAGATACAGTGTGAGTGTCCATTTCGACCGTGTCGCGCATCGGGAGCCCTTCTCAATCCGGTGTCGATTAGTGTCTACACTGGTAGTGGTGGGAGGAACGGGCACGTATGTCGGTCCCGACTAGTCTCTAGCAGGCGATCTCTGATGTCCGTGCCGTCTTCAGGTCCAGATTCAAGATAAGTCCTGGGACAACTAGCACAACGCGGCTCTGGAAGTACGCATTCCGCCGGCCCTATCCCTGTCTCGCAACTCATTTGCTTCGATGAACAGCGCTCCCGAGACACTCAGATCCCAGTTCGGATCATACGGGAGGCGAAGCTGGCGAGCGTATCTGCACCGGCGACCGGGTTCCGTTACGACGGACTGTACCGAGTCACGAATGTACGTACCCGGCGTATGATTTGTACGAACCCCCGCCAACATGTGCTTGCGTGCAGACGCGGACGGAGCGCGGCAAGAGCGGCTTCTTGGTGTGCAAGGTCCATCTCGACGTGAGTCTTCACCATTGCTCTCGTATCCCATCGGGACTGGTGTATGGCTGCAACGCGAGCCTTCGCAAGCCTCCATCAATCATGACCTCCCAGGCTCAACACCCAGTCTACCCTGGGATCAGCCTCGCGACCACGACCGCTCGCTGGCAGCATGGGCCCCCCATCGCCTCTGCTCACCGTCAAGGTCTTGGACGCGATGCACACTTCGGGAACGGACAAGTCCCTCGGCAAGATCGAGGACTGGCCGGAAGTGTACATCGGGCGCGGCCTCGTGCAGGAGGAACTTTCAACGTCGACGTGGGTGGGATCCATGGGCGACCCGGGAGAGACCGTCCTCACGCGCGCGCTGATCGTGTCGCTGATCGTGCGCGAGCAGTGGATCGCGATTCGTGAGATGGTGCGTGCTTGGTTTCTGTGGTCGCAGGACTCTGGCTGACGCGGTTGTACTATGCGCAGGCGGCATCGACCTGGAACGCGCTGTACATCGCGGGCGTGCGGCGCAAGGCGGAGGAGTCGAGGGTGTTTTGGTACCCGGTTATCGGGACACTGCGTTTACGCGCATTACATTGGCTGGTAGTGACGCAGAAGATGATGAGTCGAACTACTAATGAACCTTCAGGCAGTCTTGGTCGACTTCGCCGTACAGCCCTGCGTCCTCGACTAAATATTTATAACCTGTCCTTTGCACGAGTTTCGACCTCGTGCTTTCGTCCGACACGTCTCTCCAGGTCTCTCCTCGCGCTGGTTCCCCGGGGCGCCGCCGTTGAGTCCGAGTCCGCGACATAGCCGCCGTCGCCCGCACCTCCTCCGGCCCCCCGCGCCCCCCATGCCCTCTCTCGTCCACACGCCCGCACTACCACGTCGCGGAGGCTAGCGCGCCCCAGACGCGCGCGCACACTGTACATGCCCGACGTCGTCGCCGCCACTGCAGCGCCTCTGGCGTTTGGGCGCACGGCTCGTTGGCCTACCTCGCCGCCCCGCCTAAAATATACCTTCTCCCTCAGCCCGCGCACCCCCTTTCCTACCGAACACCCTGTCCCTCCTCCTGCACTCCGTCGCGCCTCGTCCGCACAATCATCGTACAGAAGACCTCGTCAAAGAAACACATGCAACCTATCGAATCATTATCAACTCCTCTACATCCGCAAATGTGTACCCTTCCTGATGGACGGTGACGCGCGACCCCCTTTCCACGCGGAATGACAGCCACGCGCATCGGTCCCTCGTAGATCGGGTGCTCGTCAACCACAGTGAGACCGACTCCAGGGCGGGCGGCATCATCTGCGCGAACACGTTCGCAACCGCCGGCAACGTTTGGTCGCGGAACGCAGGGAACCCGAGTTTATCGTGAAATGAATCGAACAGCGGCGTGCTCTGATAGTCGAGGTTCGCCCACAACACCCGCAGATGGACCAGTGGCGCGAGGATGCGCGCGATGTCCGCCTGTGGCGCGGGGGCGTGAGTATGAGTACTAGTATCGAGGAACGGATGCGCGCAAAAGACGAACCGCAAGCTCGTGCGGCTGCTTCCACTTCCGCGAGTCGCCAAACTGCTCCTCAAGAAATGGCCGCCCCCGAACGAGTGCCAGATCTTGCGGCGGCTGGATCCGGTATCGCAGCAGCTTGAGCTCCTCCAGAAGCGGACACGCGTGCACGACGAAGTGCAGCGGGTCGACGGCAGGCTTGAGCTCCACGATGTACTCGATCTCGAGTCGCGTGAGCTGCGCGGCGACGGCGCAGCGTTGGAGGATGCGCACGACTCGGGCCGCGCTGGGTCGCTCCGGTGCGATGGAGTTGATCTGGACGCATTCTTGATGTCGCTGGGCGTAGTGCGGATACTGGAGGAGAGAGAGGGTACGAAGCGAGGTCGGAAGCTGTCGGTACATGTCGTCGCTACTCGGGAGCGGGAGCGGGAGGTACAGGTGCTCCAGCTGGGGCCAGGGGAACACAAGCGGCCGTGGTGAAAGTTCGCGCGGGACCGCGAGCCCGACGCGAGGTGTGCGCTTCAGATGGAGCTCGAGCACCAGCTTGCGGAGCCCGGGCATATTGCGGAACAGGGTGGCATAGGGTCTGCATTGGGGCTCTCTGCGGCTCCCCGAGAGCTTGAGGGTGTGGAGGCGTGGCCATCGAAGGCGCTCCATGGTGTCCAGCGGCGCAGACGCAGCGTTGGGCTCAAGCGACGTGAGCGTCCCGCAGACCGCCTGTAGTAGGACCGACAGTGCCTCGGTTTCATGCGGAGGAATTGGGTACTGATTGTCGGGGTGCCAGCATATAAGATACTTGAATGATGTGAGTGGAGGGAGACGACGAGGGCATGCGAAGGTGTTCGAGGGGGAGACCTTGATTGGGGAAAAGGTGAGGGCGATTACGCTGAGTTCGCGCAGTGTGGGGGCGGAGAGAATGACCTGCAGAGCAGACCAAGAAACACCGTGTCGGGAAGCCCATGGCATAGTGAGTGTGACAGATGAGAGATTGAACATGCGTGTGAGCGTGGTCTTGAAGAACGGCGGGGGTTCCAGGACGCCGCAAAGCCATGGAGTGGTGGTCCATCTCGGTAGAGGACGCCTGAAATTGTGCACACAGTCGATGTCCTGGCACATGCAAGTCAAGGTAAGTTGACTAAGTAGGAATCAGCCACAGAATGAACGACTCGATAGGTAACTTGATGCTCACCGAACGTAAGGAATGAGCACAGGTGGAACGATCCACCGAGCCTCGTTCCGGTCAGGAAACGAGGCCTCGCACCGGGAGAAGAGAGCGGAGAGACAAAGAGCCCGGAGCCGTTTGCAGCTCAGAGAGAGGGACTTGAGGTCGTCGAGGGACTGATGACTCACGAGATCGATCAGTTCGTAGATGATGTCATCGTTCACATTGTGCCTGTACAAGCAACGGTAAGAAAGGAGCTTAAAGGATACAGCTGTGACTGTCTTACAGGCAGCCAAGAGGCTTTATCTTCACCTCCCTGCTACGGCTGTTTGGTTCGATTCCGCCGATCCAGTATAGCTTGGAAATATGGCCCCCAGGCCTGTAGCGAGGATGGGCACCGGGACCCACTGGAAGCGGCTGCCATGGATATTTCTTGGGGGAGAAGCTTATGGGGTACATATGCGTGAGGACAGAGAGAGATGAACGATAGAGAGGATGTCTGGGAATTCAACGAACGGAAGTCACTCCGACCCAGTGGCGCGCAGTCCCACGCCCCGGAGAACATCTATGCACCTCGGCTCCCATCATCATCCGTATTCGACGAACACACTCCTCCCTCTTCTGTACGAAGAAACATAAACGGATTGCAGAACCTTGTGAGTTAACGCCGCGCTGTTCAACGCACAAGAGAACCGCCCCAGGCACCCTTCCTGTAAGGCCTGTAAGGATCCGGGGGTGGTGTTCCTCGGGTGAGTCTTGTGCCCGTCGCAAATGCGTTAGATCCATGTCTATAGCGGGGATACAACATGAGGGGTAGTGATGATGATGGTAGTACATAAGACTAGAATAGTGTATGCATGCCTATAGTAGTGACCCTAACCCAGGACCGAGTCCTACGGGTTCAGCCTCCTCCTCCTCCTCCTCCTCCTCCTCCTCCTCCAGTCTTCTGATCGACGACCTAATTTCACAGCTCGAACTCGAGAATTGCAGTTACTGAGGTGGGAGACAAGAGTGTAAACGCCAGAGGCATCCACGGCGGAGTTTTGACGTCCATAGGGCGTCCGAAATGAGCGCAGAAGACGGCGAACACGAGCGAAAGGAAAGGGCGGAGGCAGGCTTCATACGTCCGCCGCATAACTCAGCACCCGCCGCCGCCGCCGCCCAGGACCACGGCGCGTCCCTGGTGGCGTGCATCGTGCGTGGAGCACAGGTGATTTCCCTGGTGCATCTGTTGCGATAGCCTATCAGCAGCTACGGATGCATCTGGACGGATCTGGCGATCCGTGATGCGCGCCCGTGGAGACGCGCCTCGGTGGGCGGCAAGGACGTGTGGCGCGCATCGCGTCCCTCCCCTTCACCGTCCTTGCTCTCCTCTACCACCCTCGCTACCCTCAGCCTCCCCGCTCTGCCCAGGCAGACGATAGCGACCATACGGTCGACTGTCGTCTGCTATTGGACCCCGGTGTCACCAGGTGACACCGACTGAGACGTGCGCTCTTCCGGATCGGCTAGATCAGTCCCCGTGCGCGTTGGCGCCGGTCACCTGATCGCCACGACTCCCCTTCCTCTTCCGTCTCCTCGTCTCGGTCCCGCTGTATCCTCCACGTCTCCCCTCGTATCATTGACTCGGACTACCCTACGTATATATAGTAGTACAGGTGTAGGGCGAAAGCCCCAGTGTTCCGAAGATAACAGACCTTATCCCTGTCTTCCCCTTCGTGACCTCTTCCCCCGTGTCGCACCACCGGCCCGATTGGACCGCGAGCGCGACATATTTTTGACAGTCACTCGTCTACTCTTCACCCCTACTCCTCTCTACTAGCTTATCTCTCTCTCCGACTGGGCGCCCTCGAGCTTGATCACCTCGACTACCTCTCGGATCCCCTCTCCCCATCCCGACATTTCTTGCAAGAACCCTCACCATGGCCGCACCTTTCTCTCGCTACAACCTCCGTCGACCTCGCACCACCGAACCAGCCTCTCTCGCGACGGTCGCCGCTGGCAACGAACCTGGTGAGTCCATAATCAACCGTACTCGTGAGGCTGAAGAGCCTCTCTTCCATAGTCCCCTCTCCTCTCCGGAGGATCCTCGCGCTTCGAGCGCGAGTCGCGCTGGTGTTTACCGCGCGTCCACTGCTCGGTCGAGCAGTGCCGGAACCGCACGCGCACGCTCTTACGCAGAGGTCGCGTCCGGAAGCCCGCGACTCCCGAGTCAACCCACGGTTAGTGGGCACTCGGCGGCTTTGGTAGCAACGAATATATTTCGTTCGCCCCTTCTACCTCCACGAGAGCTGGCATCGCCGCTCTCTAGTGTGCACACCCCTTCGGTGGCTGCTTCTAACCCTGTCGACACCGTTCAAGATGAACAGGATGGCCCCTGGACGACGGTCCAGCGAGGTCGTCAGGGCAGGAAGAGCTCCCGACAGGCTTCTGAGCCTCCCCGCGCGACGCCGATCGTCGCGCCCGCGCCGCGTCTGTCCCTAGAGCAGCTGCGCGCTGTTACTCGTGCTTCCGCTGACTTGACTCCTTCTGAGCACGCGCGTGTTGAGCGTCGCTCTAACGCGATGAAGAAGGCAGCTTCGTCGGCCTCGTCCACGTCTGAGTCTCGTGGCGAGGGCCCTTCTCGCATTCCGGCTGAGCTGAAGGGCAAGGCCATTGATACCCGCGACTGGGACGTCGCCGATGTCCCTGACCTCGACCTGGGAGCGCAGCGTCGCGCGTTTCAGCTATACGAGTATCTGCGCACGCTCCCATCGAGCCGGCAGCCGTCATCTGCTGAAGCGTCGCAGACCGACCGGGTATCGCAATGGCGCGACCAGCTGCGTGCGCCGGAGCCCACTGCTGCTATTCCCTCTCGCGCGCCTGGCGTGGAACCTCCTCCGAGCTCCGCGTCGCGCGTGAGTTCATCCAGACCGCCGTCTGATCACAACCAGACGGATAGTTCATTCAAGGTTACCATACCTATGTACACACAGTTGTTACAAGAACATAACCAGCTTCTTCGCGAGAACAACAACCTTCGCATGCAGAAGACCTCTCCGAGCAGTGAGAAATCTGTGCTCCCGAAGTCCTCAAAGCGCGCGGTAAAGCGAGAGGACGTACCTGTGGGTTTGGACGAGTTTGGCCTCCCCAGGGAACGTACGGCAGCACGCGATACAAGCGCAGGACTTGACGCTGCCGCCGCGCGAGGGACATCGCTGCGACCGGTAGCCCAGATTGAGCCCGGCAGCTACCTCGGGCGTGCCTTCGACGACCTCATTGGAGGCGGCTCTGCTGGAGAGCCCCCCGGTGATAGCTCGTCGAGCTCTTCGAGTTCTGGTACGGCTCGAGGCGGTGGCGGTGGGCCACCGCGTGCGCATCATAACTCAAGCTCGTCGTCCTCGAGCTCGAGCAAATCTGGCAGCAATCGGCACCGAAACCATCGTAAGCTCCGGCTCAAGCCTGAAAAACCAGAGCCTTACGATGGACGCGTCGATGCGCAAGCCTTCCACAAGTTCATGCGACAGACTGTGGAATATCTGTCAGCATTCGACATCAAACCTGAGATGTTACCCTCTCAAGTATCTAACTTCTTGAAGGGTAAAGCATACAGCTTCTTTGTGACGTCTGTATCGTCTGCGCCGCGCGAATGGACGCTTCGCAAGCTCTTCGTTGGCTTGTTCAATTACTGTTTCCCTGTCGACTATCGTCTACAGATGCAGGAAAAGTTGAATAAGTGTAGGCAAGGCGATCGCAGCGTACGAGATTTCGTACATGAGCTTGAGAACCTGTTCTTGATGGTCGGATTCGTCTCACCTCGCGAACGAGTTGAGAAGCTCTGGCATGGGTTGCGCACATCAGTACAGCGCGAGCTCTGGATGCGGAGTCTTACCCCGAATTCTTCTTGGGCCGAAGTCGTTGAACAGGCCGAGATAATCGAGATCGCGGAACGAGTATCCGGACGTGTGGGACGTGCCAACCACGATGACCACAATCGCCCCACCACGAGCTCTCGTACAACGCAGGGCCGCTCCCACGACGCGAGCGGATCCTCCGTGTCACGCCGCTTCGTTCCCTACCAACGGCGGGACCGCGATCGTCGTAGCGGCAGTCAGAACGCTGTGCAATCAAGCTCTATACGTCCTCAAGGACGAAGCGTACCTTCTGGAAAGCAAGGACAATATCAGCGTGGTTCGCGCGGGCAGAACAAGCCCTCGAACACGTACGACGACCTTTCTCCCCAGGAGAAAGCCGAGCTTGTTGCAGCTGGGAAGTGCTTTGTCTGCAAGAAAGCAGGCCACTTCTCGCGAGACTGTCCGCAGAAGAGCCAAGTTAAGTCCGACAGGAAGGGTAAGCCTCCTGGCGTGACTTCATTCCATGTCGAGACACGACGCACCGTTGGAAAGAAGCCCCCGAGCAAGGCTCCACGGCCTGAGATGGCGTCGATCGAGACAACCGCAGGTTTGGACTTGTTCATGATCGAACCTGCCCCAGAGCTGCCACCGCACTTTGAGGCCGTAGGCAGCGACCTTGAGTACGTCGCACCTGAGGACGACGACCTGTTGAACAACTTGGGCAACGGTCCGCAAGAGAATCAGGAAAATGTACCTCCATGGCATCTGCATGAGTGGCCACAAACCGTGCGCGAAGGGCGCACGCGGACGCATATCGGCGACTTGTACGCCAATCGCGCTATGCAAGTCCTTCAGGACTACGGTCCCTACTGCTGTCTAGGTATCGATTTCGACAGTGGGGAACCATACGAACCTTGTGTGTACCGCACAACTGAAGACCTCTATGTCGTCGTGCACGAACGGTTCGACACGCTCTTGAAGCGTAGTTGGCTGCGAAATAAAGATTTCAACCTCCCGTGCTACTATCGACAGATCGTAGTACACACCTTCGAACCTGCGCAGGGTCACCAGCATTGTTTCCTATCCCACGACGGCGAGACGATGGGCGACGCAATTGCGATCGGCACTCAACGTGCTCTCGCAGAGGCGTTCCCCTGGCCAGGCGTGACCAACAATCCTGTCCGCTTTGTCGTGCGGTACGTCGGCTTCGGAATGATGCGCTTGTACGACTACTATCTGCGCGTCGCTGTGGACGTCCCGCGCAAACGCCTAGAGAACACTAAGATGGACGCGTGCAACCTGTTCGCACAGGGAATACGCACCTTGACGCGTGCGCCACCCTTCGGACTGAACGAAATAGAGGACGAGATCAGCCTCCTCTTCAGGGAGACTGC